GCTGGAGAAACCAAAAATCACAGTAACAAAGGTCCTCCCGTTCTGAAAATCTTTACGTTACGTAACTAGCCAGGCGCGGTGACTGCCACTCCTCGCGCTCACTTCTTTCTTGCCTCCACATCGCCGTTCTGATCTCTGCCTATGTATGTATGATCTGCTCACCTGCAAGCTCAAAGATCGTGGCTCGGACTATGTAGATTTGGGGCAGGCAACAGCGGCGCGGATTGTCTGTCTGCATGTCATCACGCTCGTCCCCTATCGAGCATCCGGACGCCCGCTCTTTGATATGTACTGTATATGTACTCTAGCACCGGTTCGATCGGCTTGAGGCAGGGTCAGGCCTCTAACAGCTATAGCGGGGGAACTATCAGGGGACACGTCCCTTGCCCAGCTCGCCACCGGCCAGTTGCGTGATCTGCACAAACAACCTCCACACAGATCGCGGCGGTGGCCGCCATGTATTTCTGTGAATCTCAAGCAATGGCTGGTATCGGGCTTTCCTCTCGCGTCAGCACGTTCTAGCGTGCCCCATACCCCAACTGCCCCTGACCCTGCGCTGTGAACGCTCGACCTCGATCTCCCAGCCACTGTCATCACGACATCAATTACCCCAGCTATCAGTGGTCCTTTCATCATCTCACATCCCGTGCTCGAAAACACTCCGTCACGGCAACCGTCCACGCCTCCTATACCGCGGCAGATATACTCGAAGGCTGGCATAGAGATCATCTTTGGAGCCTGACCTTGCCTGGATTATCAACACCAGACAACTGCATCTCAGTGATCACACTTGTTGCTTGTCCTGTGATTGTCATTGGCATCACACCCGGCCGTGCCCCTCCTACACACCAAGCTTGGATCATCTATCGGCCCCGACAGCGAACCAGACACCGCCGCTTTACCAATTGAAAAACACATGTCGCCATTATCACCTGACATCTCGCCATCCGTCTCTCCTCTCTCGAAGGGTGCCGTTGGGCTACCGCACGAAAGGATGGACGGGATTGACGAGAGAAACGCGAATTCGAATGAACGGAACGAAGGTGGATTGAGAAAGGGTGAGTGACTCGCATCTTCTCCGTCTTCTATGAACCGCGAGCTCGCCTTTGGTTATCGCACGAGAGAGGCGTTGTCCTTTGTGGGCTGTTGGTTATTTTCGATGGGATATCTTGGATATAAAGATAAGGCGGAGAGATACAATCTCTCGCTATCTGTTCCAAGATGTACCTGTCACACTTGTTGCTCGTGTCCCTGTCCCTTTAGCACACAACTTTATTCTTGTCTCTGTGCTGGTCGATCTGCTTATCAATCAATCGGAGCCCGAGTCTTCCGCCGTATATCAACTGACGATCTTGAATATTATCCCCTCATCAACATCATGTCTCTTTCCGACACTCGCATACTCCCCAATCTCTACGACGCTCTTGCATTCCCTCCCCTATCTCCCCAACCGGCTAAATCCCGTACACCACGTGTTTCACCTGTGACCACCCATGGGTACAACACACCTCTCATGTCGATCTCGCCACGTCCTGGCGCCGCGTTCAAAACTGCCATCACCGCGGACGATACTCGTACGTCAATCTCACGACCCGCTCCTGACGGCGCTGTTACCGACTTGGCTGCAACGACAATCACCCCAACCCCGGGCACTTTATCTATAAAATCATCTGTCCCTCGCTCTTTTCAACCTACTCAACAACCCCTCGCTCTCCTCTTCGACCCTGCCAATCATACGTCTCTTGGCCAACCTCCTCGATTGATTTTGCACAACGAAGCAGACTCGTTGACCAGAGAACGCAAAGGCAAGATGCCTGTGCTTTCGCATTTGCTTAGCGTGGGGAATGGGCGTGTGCTTTGCTTGGCAGCAGATGAGAATTATGTTTATGCGGGGTGCCAAAGTAGCGATAATGAGATCACTGTGAGCAGTCCACATACTATTTTGGCAACCCGCTGATAGCATGACAGGTCTTCTCCCGTTCAAGCCTGCAACCGAAATACAGGCTGCTGGGTCATCAAGGCAGCGTCCTTGCTCTCTTGATCATACCCGAAAAGGATTGGCTTGTGAGCTCCAGTAGTGAGTCCGCACTTGCCGAGTGACTGCATCCGAAATGCATTTTGCTGATCAGTGATTGATGGTGACAGGTGCTGGTGATGTTAGGGTAAGTCACTCCTTTATCTGTTTTGCATCGTGCTGATGAGGTTCATAGATATGGTCCACGGAGAGCCTTGATCTGATCTACATTATCCATCCTTGTGATGACACTTCTGGCGATATCTACTCGCTTGCCTGGGACGAAAGAGAAGGTGGCACTTTGTACTATGGTGAGCAAGTCGTTCCTTTCCTATGATAGAGCTGACATATGGTAGGCTCTCAATCCAACTCTATCGAGTGGGTCAACTTTTCAGGCGCCGGTTCTGCTCGCCATCGCACAATCTCCGCCTCTGCCGCCAGCTCCATCCAAGTCGTCAGCAACGGCGACGCCTCCCCTCGCTCTGGTCCTTCTCAGCGCAGCGGCCGGTATAAGCCCCACAAGTTCTTTGACAATCCCCCCGACGGTGCTTGTAGCGGTGTCTCCACACCAGCTTCCATCTCTGTTTCTGGGTGCAATACGAGCAGGACAAGTGTCTCGCCCAAGGTTGATTTGGATACAGTGGATGATGGCTTGCTCCAGCAGACGCAAGCAGCGACAGAGATCGAAACGCCAGCCGAATCGCGCCTCGCCTTTGCGCACTATGGCTATATCTATGCTTTGCACATTATTACCCGACCCAACGGGCGCACGTGGCTTGCGAGTGGAAGTGGTGATTCAGATATCAAGATCTGGGAGTGTGAAGCCGGAGGAGGTATCTCTCTCGTTCGTCAATTCGACTCTCTATCCGGTGGTGTTCTCTCCTTCGCCTACCGCGACGACCTCCTCTACGCTGGTCTACAAGCCGGCGAAATAGGAGTATGGGACCTCGAAACCGGTGCCCGCATTCGTACCATTGAAGCGCACGAAGACGATGTCCTCACCATGTGCGCGCTGGGCGGTGATGTGTATACTGCAGCGGCAGACGGGAGGATCCTGAGGGTCAATGAAGAGTTTGATTGTACCGCTGCATTCAGGGTACACGGGGGACCGGTATTCGACTGTGTGGTTGTACCGACCCAGAAGGAGGACCAGTGGCAGCTGGTAACGAGTGGATGTGATTCTTATGTCAAGGTGAGTTTTTATGTTTTCTTCTTGCTCTGATATATGCTGAAAGTGTGTTCAGATCTGGCAGATCGAGGCGCCCAATGTGGGGCTCAATCATGAAGAGGTTGACATGGGGAATGAGGGCGACGTGATGCTTTACGCTTTGTCAAAGCTTGTTGCTGTCCCCACTGTTAGCGACGACGCTCACCGCGAAAGGTCAGTCTTTATCTCACGCGACTAGCTATCGTCGCTCATCTCTTTCACGTGCAGCTGCCGACAGGGTGCTCATCTTCTGAAGAAGATCCTCTCACAACTTGGAGCCACATCCGAAGTCGTAAGTGCTGGTGTCAACGAGATTTTGTAATATACTGATCAGAGGACAGCTTTCCGGTGAACAAGGTCGCAACCCTCTTGTTCTTGCCACCTTCACCGGTAGAGACACTGGCAAGCCCCGCAAACGTCTCCTCTTCTATGGTCATTACGACGTCCAACCAGCTGTCGAGGAGCGCTGGGAGACCAATCCTTGGGAGCTTTCTGGCCGAAACGGATACCTCTATGGACGAGGCGTGACGGACAACAAAGGACCGATCATGGCTGTTGCCTGTGCAGCGGCAAGCTTGCGACAGAGGCGAGAATTGGACGTGGATCTGGTGATGATCATTGAAGGTGAGGAAGAGGCCGGTTCCCGTGGCTTTGCCTCTACAGTCCGCGCCCATAAAGTCGATATCGGCCCTATCGATGCTGTACTCCTCTCCAATTCTACATGGATCGACGAAGAAGACCCTTGTGTGGTATTCGGTATGAGGGGTGTGGTCTATGCCAATTTGACTGTGGAGAGCAAGGAGGAGAATCTGCATAATGGAGTGGATGGAGGTGCGACGGTAGAGCCCATGTTCGATCTGGTGAGGGTACTCGGAGGGTTGTCGGACGCGAAAGGTGTCAAAGTGCCCGGTTTCTGTAAGTTGCCCCAACCGCAAATGATATGGGCTGACACGATTGGCAGACGACTCTGTCCGACCTGAAACACCTGAAGAAATGTCTCTCCTCCGAGACGTCTCCGCTGCCTGCGGCCGACCTCTCGAGGAGCTCATCCGCGTCTGGCGCCAGCCGTCCTTTTCTATCGCCAGCATCAACTCTTCCGGCTCCGGCAACAAGACCGTCATTCCAAGAAAGGTGACGGCGGATATTTCAATGAGGATTGTGCCGGATCAGAGTTTGGAGAGTATTGTGCAAGGACTGAAGGAGCATTGTGAGAAGACTTTCGAGAGTTTGGGGTCAACCAACAACTTTAACGCGAGTCATTTCTGTCTAGTTTTCGAAAGCTTGCTGACGACTTTACAGGTCCAAGTCACACATACCGCCTCCTGGTGGCTCGCGTCTCTCGAATCTCCCTACTTTAAAGCTCTCGAGTCTTCCGTTCAGGACGTATGGGGCGTCAAGCCGCTCAAGATCAGAGAAGGCGGTACCGTCCCGACAGTCTTTTGGCTGGAGAAGGAGTTTGGCGCGCCGTGTGTCCATTTGCCGCTGGGTCAGAGCTCAGATGCGGGGCATTTGGCCAATGAGAGGATGCGGTTGTTGAATTTGAGGTGAGTCATGATTGCTGCGCAGTGCCCCCGGTATGAGTACTGACTCGACGTAAAGGAATGGTAAGAAGGTGGTTGAGGCCTACCTCACGAGATTGGCCAGCGTTTAAAAGTACATACGGGGATGTCGCATAGGAAACAGGTTGAATATTCTCATTGTCATACACTAGCATAATGCATGGATCTCGCCAATATGTGAAAAGTCTCATTGAACATTACAACAAATACATTTTCTCATCTAACTGATTTCTCTGATCAGACTCGACACAAGCTTGGCAGCTGGATCAGGGTCCTGCCTTGCCATCTCTGCCATACTCAACAACTTCTTCACGCCCACCATCATTTCGCCCGTACCGCCTTGCCCGAACTTGACCTCTCTCAGCATGCCGACAGCCCGAGTCTGATCCTCCGCGTTATCGAACAGCTGGACTTCTCTAAGACATCTTTCGACGTGTTTGAGAGAGGTGATAGGAGCGATGGGAATGTCGGTGTCAAACGTGGACAGGACGTCCATGTCGGAGAGAATAGAGCGATTGGAGGTGGTGGCGAGGATAAGAAGGCGGCGGCCCTTGGGGGGTCGCTTTCCAAAGAGGACCACAAGAGCTTGGAGGACACCGTTGGAGAATCGGGGACCGATAGGGTTCCAATCTAGCAACCCGTTAGCGTAGTCCAAAAGCAACATGACGCAACGAAGGACATACCCAGCAACCTCTCTAGACTATCCACAACAATGACACTGAGAGGACTCTTGTAACTATCTGAAAAGACCTTGTGCAACTGGGCAATCTTTTGCGCTTCGTTGTATCCAACCATCGTCTCGGGAGAGATGAGTTTGATGAAGGGGAAATCGGAACCCATTGCGATAGTAGCTGCGAGAGCAGTCTTTCCTGCACCAGAAGGACCGTGCAGCAGAGCAGAAACGAGAGGGGTACGGTCGGATTTGCGGACTTGCTCGACAAGGAGCTGGCCGTCGTTGAGGATTTCCTACAATACTGTCAGGGCGGAAGTCGGGAGCTATGCAATTACTTACGTTGATTCTGCTGGAGTAATGAATGATGCCGTTCTGAACGACCTGCTGGAGTTCCTCTTCAGAAACACCAAAGGCAGCCTGCACTTCTTCGAGAGCGTGCAAAAAGTCGGACCGGCCAATCTTTATGTTTTCGATGCCCTCGAACGAAGCTACAGTTCCAACCTGTTTCCGTCAGCGCCCGATGCCTTGTCCTATACATCAAAACTTACCTTGACATGTCGATTGAACGCAAAACTGGTCGCACTCTTGGTCAAACCACCCAACTCTGCACCCGAAAAGTTCTTGGTCAACGCCGCCAACTCTGCCAGATCTACGTCATCATCCAACACTCCATTGTTCTTCATTTTGGTCGTGTGGATGTTCAAGATCTGCAATCGGCCTTTCTCATCGGGTAACGAGATTTCGATGTGAACTTCCAAACGTCCAGGACGGAGGAGCGCCTCGTCAATCATGTCCATTCGATTGGTCATACCGATGATGAGGACATTGTTGAGCTGGTCAACACCGTCCATTTTGGACAGAAGCTGGTTGACAACGGAGTCACCGACGCCCGTACCGCTGTTGGTAGATCCACGCTGTTTACAGATGGCATCCAGCTCATCAAAGATGATAATGTGGAGTCCACTCTCATCGCCCTTCTCCTTTTGCTCTTTCTCGGCATCGGCAAAAAGCTTTCGAATATTCTCTTCACTCTGACCGACGAATTTGTTTAGGATTTCGGGACCGTTCACGACCTTGGGTTCTCCCGCATTGAGCATCTTGCCGATCTGTCTGGCCATCAAGGTTTTACCGGTACCAGGGGGACCAAATAGCAAGATACCCTTGACATGTTGGATGCCGAGCTTGTCGACGAGACCAGGAGGGAAGATTCGACTGGCAAATGCTCGTCGGAAGATGGCGGAAAATTCATTGTCGAGACCACCGATGCCCATGTCTTCGAATTTGAAGTTGGGAGTGAGGATCGCATTTGTGGGACCACTAAGCATTTGAGATCAGACAATGTAAATCTAGCAGAGATGGAGACGTACCGGTTGGAGCTATTCTTCAACTTCATGTTACTGTTAGGCTCCTTCACCCAGATGATCTCGGTCCCCTCCATAATGATACCGGCGCGTCCATCTTCCCCATCAAGCGTAGACACCTCTCTCACAGTAGCCTTCAGCTCGTGTCCTCGGTAGTCGAACACGAGCGGCTGCATGGGTGTAAGAGGCAGAGAAGGGAAGGCACTGATGAATGCGGCCGCCATCTCTTCAGAGTCAAACAGATCTTGCGTTTCCTTGCGCTTGAGTCTGAACCCGATTTCGAGCTGTGCAGAGCTGGCCCAGTCGCCATTTCCGGGTTGGAAGGGTTCAATGTCCACTTCTTCGCCGTGAGCGGAGAGACCGACCCATTGTCGAATGTGTCTCGAGGGGCCAACAGTCCCTCTGGGAACACCATTGTCGCGGCTAGAGAAATTATTAGCAGATACAACAGTTGATGGATAGACGATACGCACCGGATGCCAAAGATGTAGCGCCCACGAACCTTTACAAAATCGACATCTTCCGGAAAGTCGCCTGGGTTGACGATGAGAAGATTGGTAAGGGCCAAGACCTCGGAGGGACAGGGAGCAACACCAAAGCTTTGAAGGGTTAGCAAGGCTAATGGTTGATACTTTGAGAACTCACACTCCTCTCCCAGAGCCTGTCGACTGTTGCTGGTAACCTCTCTGCGGCGCCGCCACCTGAGGTTGGTAGCCATACTCACCACCCGAAGGCTTTTCGCTGTACTGGCTAGCTCCTCTAGGGGGGAGGCCAGGGTGGGATTGCTGAGGCGTCCTCGCCGGGGACTGTTGATATCCTCCTCCATATGCGCCTTGAGACGGGTATTGTTGCTGAGGTGCCGGGCTCTGTCGTGCTGGCGGTTGGGACGCGTAGGAGCTGTTGTCCTGGATGGGCTGGTAGGACTGGCCTTCCTGAGCAGCTCTCCTCGCTGCGGGTGCGTTCGGGTCCTGTCTCTTGAAGAAGGACATGGTGTTGGAGATGCAGATGAGAAATGGTCAACTGCACAACAACTGCATCGAATGGAGCGACCGCGTCGTCATGCAGGCGGCGCCCCCCGCCCATGTATTGACCTCTGACTTTCCGGCGCATGCATTACTTTTCTGTGTACATCCACATGCCAGCACCCATCGGCCATGCGCAGCGACGAAGAAGATGACGAAGAAGAGTTCTACGATGAGAACGAGGAAGACGAGGTTCGTGCAGCGGTACAGAGCATTTCGGACGGCCGCTGACATGTTCTTAGGTGAATGCAGATGGCGAGGAAGAGGGGGAAGAGTAAGTCACAATGGAGTCAATGCAAGGTTGTATCTGACAATTATCATAGAGAAGGATCCGACGACGACGGATCCGAAGAAGATAACGCCGAAGACGAAGATGAGGATGAAGATGAGGAGGACGAAGATGGCGAAGATGAGGAAGAAGAAGAAGGTGGAGACGATGATGACGACGGTAGCGAAGATGAGGGCCAACCCATGGACGTCGACGCCCCTGCACGAAATGGCGAGCGCCCAGTGTCCCAGCCACCACAACCAGCAAGATCAGCCACTCCGCCCCATCTCGTCCGCCGGTCCTTTCTCAAACCTGCATTCAACCTTCAATACCCACCCCGCTCTCTCTCGGTCGAGGTCGTCGCAGGTATTCCACTGCCCACGCCTATCCATTCGCTTGGATCCTCGAACTGCATGTCTTATCTTCTAGCAGGCGGGCAGGATGGGTTCATCAGAGCGTACGACTTCTGGGGGACCGTAAATGGAACGCAGACGATGACTGCCCAACAAAGAAGTGTGGTAGGTCTGGGAGAGACCGTCAACAAGGCGGGTGTGGCCAGGGGATGGTGGACGAATGAGGTCGAGGGAATTGTCGGGGGCACGTTGGCCAAGCGACCTGAAGCAGTATACAGTATGGCTTGCGATGGAGATGCCTTGTGGACGCTAGCGGGGACGCAGGTGAGTGGATCGCTTATATACAAGCACTACTGATGATATACAGTCTGGACCTATAAACCTCTACACACTGCGGCATTCCCCGGGACATCTGGTCCATACTTTGAAAGGGCATACCAATGTCGTCTCTTGTATGACGTTGCTGCCGGAAGAGAAGAGCTTCATAAGTGGATCCTGGGACGGAACAGTCAAAGTGGGTGCTCTTCATTTCTATGAGACTGTGTGCTAAAGCCTCTTAGGAATGGGATTTGAATACGGGCCAGGCAACCCGCTCTTACCCAAGCCACAAGGCCCAAATATCTTCCATCGCTCTCCGCCCCACCGGTATTTCTTCCTCCCCTCCTTCCTCTCCGGCACACCAGAAAGACGAAGATGGCGAAGAGACAGGAAATGGTCTTGCTGCCAACCTCAATGTCTCGGTTGGGCCCGACTTTTTCCAAAAGAGAGACGGCCCTTCAGAAAACGAAAATGGTTTAGACAAAGCTAGCGAGGGCAAGAAACTCAGTGGGGAGAGTGGTGATGTCGATATGGCATCAGCTACTACACCCAACTCTGGAGCTGTCGACTCTCTGTTCGGCGACGAAGCCTCCGAGTCTGAACAACCACTCGCTTCAATTCTACCCACCAACGAGCCTCCTCCTTCTCTACCTTCGCCAGACAAACCAAAAACGCTTGGTCTCGCACTTCCGGGTCAGCGCCCAACCATCACCATTCCGCCCCAACAACCCCAAGCTCAATCCCGAGGTCAAAACCAAGTGTTACCACAGATACCGCCGGGCCCACCTTCAGCACCGCTCTTCAAACCCCTTCTTCCCACCTCTGCCAAACAAGCTGCTGCCGATCACATCCCAGTCCTCAGCCCTGCTGGCTACAAGAACTACTCGGACGATGTATTGTTGACGAGTTCGATGGACGGGCAATTGGTATTGATTGATAGACGAGTACCCAGCTATGAAGGAGCGGGGGCCGGTGTAGGGAGATTGGTGGCGGGGGAGAAGACGCCACCTTGGTGTATGTCTGTGAGTGCCCTGTATTGCTTCTATCGACTCAAGCTCACGATATCATAGGCGACATGGCTATCAAATGGGAACCAAGTCCTCGCAGGCAGACGTAACGGCACAGTCGAAGTATGGGACGTCCGGAAGGGCTCGAATGCCGCCAACACCAATATCCTACGGACACTCCGGACACCGGCTGGATCTGGACCTATCAGCTCTGTTGTGGCGTTCCCCGATGGACAACATATAGCCACGTACGTGTTGTCATTGGCATAAAAGTGAACGTTGAGCTGACGGAGCATAGGGCTTCTACGGATAATCTGAGACTATGGAATGCTGCAGAGCTTTTCCAGCCTGAGGATTCGATCAAGCGTAGTAAAGGCAAAACGCCGTTTAGAATCATTGCGGGGCATCACGGTGGTACCATATCATCTATGAGTGAGTCTGATCTTACTCAGCCCGAAGCCAGTCAATTCAGGGAAAGCTGACAATGAGCCATAGTCGTGGACTCGACGTGCAGATTCCTAGTGACAGCTGGCGGAGACAGAGGATGGGGCGGTGAGAGCACGAAGGCAGTGCTGATCCATGAGATCAAGTGGTAGACACATCTAGGAGGGTGTTTGGTCGGAGGCGGGCGAGGTTTGACACAAGCGTTCTCTGTTTTGCATGGGTATAATTGCATGTAACTCTCTAGCAGCACATTGATTCGCAATACTCGAGTACTTGAACAGATAGAGCTCTGTACGATTCCTCGGCTTTGGACCTACTGACACGGCTCTAGTTCGAACCACTTTGTGGAAACCTAATGCGCTGCCTATCATGTCATCTATAGTGACATGCCATTCCCTGAACAAGGCGGCTTAACCAAAATCCAACTCTACAACGGTGGAAACACGGCAGAGCGTGCTTCGGCGGCCGGGAGCGGTTTCCGCTTTCCCCTCGCTGGTCGTTGGCTGGTCGTTAGACGGACAATGAAATGAGATAGTGGCTTTCAAATATCATCTCTATCATCTACTCTGCGTGATGTCTGACGACGACCTTTTCGCCCGCTTTGCTGCTCTCCGTGCCCCTGCTTCGGCTCCATCTTCTCCGCCCCTGCATACCGTCGAAGCTCGGAGGACGGTCGACGAGGTCGCCAAGAAAGCTCGAGAGGAAGATGAGGAGCTCGAGAGAATCGCTAGTGGAATGCCTACTACCTCTTCTTTTGATGTAAGATCAGGGAAAGACGAGGATGATGATGAGCTGGCCAGGCGGATAGCAAGGCTGCGGGGCAATGAGGCAGTGGAAGATGAGGGAGATAGCGGTGAGCAAGATGTATCGTTCTTCTGCATATGGGACAGGGCATGTCTGATGCGACTATAGATGGAATCGTTTTTGAGAGAGATATCGGCATCTCAACACTTACCCACGGCGAGCGAAGAGTCGGACGAACAGATGATTGCCCGCGCTTTTGCGAGTGTACGCCAAGACCGCCTGCGACCTCTCTCGCCAGCCAACGGCAGCGACAGTGGCCAGGAATACGATGGCCCTTCGGAGGAAGAAGTGATCAGTCGAGCTTTGGATGAAGCCAAGCTGGATAAAGACAAATGTCCCCCATCACCAGATATAGGGGAGCAAGAGGAGATACCCGGTCTTTCATTTCCCTCGCTGCCGAGCCATGTGCCACAAGAGGAAGATGACACGGATGGGGAAGCGAGACGCAGACTGGAGCTGCTTATGGGCCTGGAACCTTCACCAGCCCAGGTCGGCAACAAGTCACAGCTCCCTAGCGTACCGAAGACGAAGCCGACGTACGACCTGCCCGGCTATAATAGTGCACGAGACGAGGACACGGATACGTGGTGTTGTGAGTGGATATCTGCTTTCAAGTTTCCAAGCTAAAGATCTTCAGGTATATGCAGCAAGGATGCGACGTTGCAGTGTATTGACTGTGACGACGACCTCTACTGCGAAGAATGCTGGAGAGATGGGCACGGAGTCGCTGAAGGGCAGGAGAGGGGTCATAGAGTGAAGCGATTCAATTGGGACGGTAAACGACCTGTCGCTGTATAAAAAGTACAATCATGATAGGGGCAGATGCATGGGAAGAATGTACAGTCGTGATCTAGTTCTTCTTCTGCTTCTTGACTGTATACTTGTCAGCTCTCGTTTTCTCGCATACAAACAAACTCACCTCCATACTTGGACCTCGCAGAGATTCTCCCGGCGACACCGTTCAAGTCCATCGTTCCTCGCACAATCTTGTATCTGACACCGGGCAAATCCTTCGCACCACCACCCCTGACAAGCACCACACTATGTTCTTGCAAGTTGTGCCCCTCACCAGGGATATACGCCGTGGTCATCATGCCGTTCGAGAGCTTGACCCGGGCAACTTTTCGAACGGCAGAGTTGGGTTTACGGGGCTTGGTGGTGTAGACTTTGGCGCAGACGGCCTTCTTTTGGAAACAGTTCTGAAGAAGAGGGACTGAGGACTTTCGCCTGGAGGACTTTCGGCAACCGCGCATCACTACGGGCGGTCAGGTTGAGTCTCTCTGCGAAGCGAGAGATTATTCACCTTGGTTGATAGTAGCTTCGCAACGGGAGCTAGAAGCAAAGCCTCTCTCCGATCTCAGTAACCTGGCCGTTTGTGACGGGGCGACGGCCCTGCTTGGCAGAGAGGCGACAGAGGGAAGGGTGGGTCGGACGGCGAGGCGGGAAAAGGCCGCTGAGAGATATAGCAGCGATCTTGTGGGATTCATGTCGAGGATGGCGGTGGTTCAGGTAGGTTTATGGGAAAGAGATGGGCTTCATAGGACACGGCGGATTCGTCGAAAAGTCGCGAGTTTCAGTCAAGACAGTATTACGTAAGACCGCTGAGTTGACCTCCACCGAAGATTTCTGAAAGTTGCGGTGAGATGGCCCTTGCCTGCAACTTTGCAACAACAACTGCAGTACGCAATGGACGGCGACTTTATCCCCCTCGAGGGCACCCCGGTCCCTTCCAAGAAAGAACGCAAGGAGAAAGTCAAGTACGTCGAACAAACACAGCAGCCAGCACTCCGCTGACACTCTCCAGCCACACCCTCTTCGTCTCCTCTCTTCCTTATACCGCCACTTCCACCGACCTTTTGACCCATTTCTCCTTCATTGGCCCTGTACGACACGGATTTATTGCCACCGATAAGGAGTCTGGCAAGTCAAAAGGTGTTGGATATGTCACCTATTCTCTGAGAGAAGATGCCGAGCGGGCGCTTGAGGAATTGAACAACAAGAGCTTTGGTGGAGGAAACAGAAAAATCAAAATCATCTTTGCTGATGAGAAGGTGAGTGCTCAGTGTGCCGTGGCTCTGGTAGAGCTAATGTCTTCTGCAGATGTCTTTGAAAGAACGCAAAGCTGAGATCAAGGTCTCCAAACCCATCCCCGGCCAAACCGACAACAAAGGTCCCTCCGACCCTAACGCTATTCGAACGCTTGTCCTCTCCGGCCTTCCTGCAGGCATCACCAAGGCTGTGCTTTGGAAAAAGATCAGAAAGACAAACGACAAGGCCGAAGTCGTCTACCCTGTTGAAGCGGAGGAGGGCGAGGAGAAGCCCGCAGAGGATGTTGCTCAGGTCTTGTTCCCTACACACGGTGATGCTCTCAAAGCCCTTCCCAAGCTGCACGGTCATACTTACAAGGGTGCCGTTCTGAGTTGTGTGCTCAAAAAGCGTTTGGAGAGGTTCTCGTCCAAGGGTGATGGAAAGGCAAACAGTCATGCCGGTCGTTTGATCGTCAGAAATTTGTCTTGGGACGTGAGTGATGCGAATTTATGTGTGTATAATTGCTGACTCTGCAAAGACCACTGTCCAGGATCTCCGAAAGTCTTTCCTCCCTTTCGGCCCCATCCACTCCATTGACCTTCCCACCCTCCCGTCCAAGCTCCCTCCCTCCGACGACCCATCTAAACCCCTTCCTCCTCCTCGTGCTCGAGGTTTCGCTTTCGTATGGTTCATGACCAAGCTCGATGCCGAGAAGGCTATCGAGGGTGTCAACGGCAAGGTGTTGAAGCAGCCTAAAGAGGGTGAAGGACGTGTGGTCGCTGTGGATTGGGCTCTGAGTAAGGAGAAGTGGCAGGAAGCAATCAAGGACGAGAAGAAGGAGGAGAAGGAGGAGTCGGGTTCCGAATCTTCCAGCTCGGGATCGGGCTCTGATGAAGAGTCTGGATCCGAGGAGGACAGCGATGAGGAAGAGTCTGGAGAAGAGTCTGGCTCTGGTAGCGAGGAGGAGGAAGAGGAGGAGCCCGTCAAGCCCACTCTCCCTGCAGTTGACGTCGGAAGCACCCTTTTCATTCGAAATCTCCCCTTCGAGACTACTGAACAAGAACTCACCGAACTTTTCCGCTCTTTCGGCCCCCTGCGATACGCCAGGATCACTATGGACAAGATGACCGGTCGATCCAGAGGTACGGGATTCGTGTGCTTCTGGAAGACGGAGCATGCGGAAGCTGCTATTGAAGAGTCCTTGAGAGTCGCTCAGGAGACGGGTGCCAACAACATTCCTGTAAGTAAAGGCGCCGTGATACATTTTCCAAGCTAAACCTGTATAGCTCGGTGGTGGTCCTTCCAAAAACCCCTTTGCCCTCCCCTCTTTGCTCACTGTCGACCCCTCGTCCTCTCTCGCTTCCCGTCTCGTCCTTCATGGACGAACTCTCGAAATTACCCACGCTGTCACCCGTGAGACCGCCACCCAGATGAAGGAAGACGGCGAGCGCTCTCGTAACGCCGCCGACAAGCGAAACACCTACCTCATGCGAGAGGGTGTCATCTTCCCCAATTCGCCCGCGGCCGAGGGTCTGCCAGAGGCCGAGGTGGAAAAGCGTCAGGCGAGTTTCAACTCGCGAAAGACGTTGTTGAGGGGTAACCCCAGTCTTTATATCTCAAAGACACGATTGTCAATCAGGCAGTTGCCATTGTTTGCGTCGGATAGGACCCTGAAGCGTCTGGCGATCCATGCGGTGAGGGAGTTTGACAAGGAGGTCGCCGAGGGCAACAGGGAAGGCCTTGCGCGAGCCGAGGAGATGGACGACACCATGAGTGCCACTCTGGAAGGCAAGGACAAGAAGAAAGGAAAGAGCAAGAAGGAGCGTGATACCGTCGTGATCCAATCCAAGATCATCCGCCAGACCGAAAAGCTGGATCCGGTCACCGGCCAGGGCAGGTCCAAGGGTTACGGTTTCCTTGAGTTGCGCACCCACAAGGACGCCCTCAAGGTCCTTCGTTGGGCCAACAATAACCCCGAAGTGGGACCGTTGATGTGGGAATGGTGGAAGCTTGAGCTCAAAGACTTGAAGGAACGTGCTGAGAAGGGTTTGGTGGAGGCCAGGAAAAGGGAGGAGGAAGAAAAGAAGGCGGCATCAGATGGAAAGATGGAGAAGCAGAGCAAGAAGGTGTTGGAGTCTGCTGAGGACCTCGAGGCTAGGTTGAAGAAGCTCGACAACAGATTGCAGGAGGGTGATGACAGGAGTGGCGGAGGTATGAGGGCCGGCAAGACTCTCATCATGGAATTCAGTATTGAGAACGTTCAAGTGAGTTTGTCGTGCTTTTATCTGATCTGATGCTGACGTTTGCAAAGGTTGTCAAACGCCGTGTCGAGAAGATTGTCACTCAGAGAGGTGAAGCCAGGGATGACAGGGGCGGTAGAGAAAGAGGCGGTCGAGAGCGTGACGGCCGAGATGGCAACAAGCGAAAGCCCGGCGTCATTGCCGCCGAAGACTCTGACGACGACGAAGCCCCTCGTGCCAAGCGCTCAAAGCCCGACGACAGTTGGAAGAAAGACACGCCTGGTGGTGGCAAGTTTGCCAAGCGGGACGCGCCTACTGGCAAGTATGACAAGAAGGACAGATCGGGAGGCAAATTTGAGAAGAAGGGCGGCAAGTTTGACAGGAACGACAGGCCTGGCAAGTTTGATAAGCGAGACAGGCCTGGACAGGTGCAGCCTCGCCAGGCGGGTAGGAGGGGTGAGGAGAAGAGTGTGGATCAGGTGAAGCAGGCCGTCAAGGCCAGCGAAGCCGGGGAAAAGAGGGGCATTGAGAAGCTGGGCAGTCAGCTCGGTAGTATGATTGGCAGGAAGAGGAAGTTGCGTAAGGGCGGCAAATAGAGTGTCACGTTGGATTTGTTCTCGGGGTTTTCATGCATTGTCACTATATTTATAGAGCACCAACAGGCATATTCTGATTGACAACGGCTAGCGAGTAGAAGATCCACCGAACCCAGTGGCTCTTCTCATCTCGCCCGGTGGGGTTCCTCCAGCTCTTCTTGAAGGACCAATTCCTCGATCCCAATCGTAGTCGTCATCCAAAAACCTCCTCGCTCTCGTGTTCTCCACAGGTCCTCGTCCATCCCCAAAGCCCCTGTTATATCCACCCCAGGTATTCTGGTTTCGATTGGCCATATATGCGCCTAAGCCGCCGGCGGCAATACCCGTCCAGAATCCTGGTGTCCAGGTTGTAGCTCGCGGAACCTGCGTAGAGTCTTCGGTGTACTCTTGCTTGACGTAGGGAGGTGGAGGTTGTCCAGAATTGAATCCTGGTCCGCCACCGCCACCGCCACCACCTCCACCACCGCCTCCCCAAGGGTTGTATCTTGATAGAGGCGGCGGAGTATGTCGTGGAGAATACTTGGCAATAAGAGACCGGGCGATGGAGTAGAGGATGACGAATGCTATCAAGTAGAATGCGATGTTGAAGAGAGAGCTGATATGGCGGTCTGCACAAACAACGTCAGATGCGTCTACATGGTGGGGCGATCGCTTACCAAACTTTGAAGGCATATGGTCATAGGGATCATCTCCGTATTCCAACCCTCTGTTGACTTTGAATAGGTCATATGTCAAACCACAAGAGCCTACAGCAACGAGGTCAGCCAACGCGCATCCTCGCTTTCCGTGGCTTGCTCATACCCCGCAGAACGTTGGAGTCGCCCGCTCGCGACCAGCCCTCACACGATACATCAACCTTGCCCAACCTTAGAGAGGAAGGTATGTCGGTATCGCACTATCCTTAGCGTCAGCGGTGTCACTACACACTTGCACTGAATGCACCCACCTTCCACTGAACGCCACCTAGTCCATCATCTCCCATATTTGTACACTGTACCACGTCTGGTTGATAAACTCTACACCCTGGTCCATTACAGGTAAGTTGAGCTACGGTGGCGAGCGTTAGCTGGTCGGCACTCGTATGACCCAGATGCACTGACGAATCGGATCAGTCCTCCGCCCCAGTGTATAGCGATCGGCATAGAAGGTGAGTGTCTTTATGGCCTTGAGAGGCACTTTCTTGGCTGCGACCATGCTGGAGTTGTCACTAATGAACAATGCGGTTTCAAAAGTCTTTCAAGATGTTCCAAGGCCGTTTCGAAGCGTCGACGTGGAATTCGCCACCCAAAAATGCGCTCCACGTCGATATCTTATCTCAGGGTCCTCGGAGCACGGCGTTTGCTGGAATCGATCACTATTCAGAACAACAATTATTCGCGTTCACCGAGCACTGTTGAAATGTTTACTACATCTCTGCATCACCCGCAGTATATTATGCAATGTATATGGCGCCGATGTGGATCGTTTATATCGGTACAATGGACGTTGAAGCCCAGCTTAAGAAGAGAAATAAAACCTATGCAGATACAGTAATCTAGAGAACGTTGACTCGGGGGTAGACGAGCTTGGGTCCGATCTGGCCAACACACATCTGACCAAGCTTGTGGCCAATCTCAATAGACTCGTCAAGGGTCTTGCCCTGAGCGAGAGCACCGAGGAAACCACCAGCAAACATGTCACCAGCACCGTTGGTGTCGACAATCTGGTCGTCGGAGAGCTTGGAGACGGGATAGGTCTTGGGGTTCTCATCAGAGGGGCCAAGGTTACCAGCAGAGCCGGAAGGAGAGGAGGAGGCGACGAGGGTAGAGTCGGCACCCTGGGTGATGACGACGACTCGGGGTCGAGAGTTGTTGGTCTTGGGAAGGGCAGCAAGGGCAGCAGCAATCTCCTTGACGGGAGCGTCCTAATCACATATTTAGAAGACTACGACTGAAAGGAACGATTGACTCACAGACATGCCGGTAGCGGTGGCGTAAGAAGCAGCCTCGCTTTCGTTGCCAATCAAGACGTCAACGTGGGGCAAAAGGGCCTCGAGTTGGACCTTGAAGAACTGAGGGATGAAAGGAGCAGACAAGTTGAGCACGACAATCTTGCCCTTGGAAGCCGCGGTCTTGGCAATTTCGAGAGCAGACTCGACACCGTGGGTGAGGAAGAAACCACCAATGTAGAAGTACTTGGCGCCGTCGATGAGTTTGGCGACCTCAGGGGTGGAAAGGTGAGAGGGAGTGAACTCCTCGGCAGCACGGAGGGTGGTACAGAGGGAGCGGTCGTGGCCGGAGAGGATGACGGCGCAAGCACCAGTCTTGGAAGTAGGCTGGACCTGGTAGGCGGACTGCACACCCTCGGCTTCGTTGACCTTCTCGAGAGTCTGCTTCAAGTCGTCGTCACCGACGGAGCCAATGTAGGCAACAGATTTGGGGGGGAGAACGTACTATGTCATCTGTGAGTGGTCATCCATGCAACGTCCAAAGTATCTTACAGAGGCAGCTCGGGCAGCGTTCTGGGCGGCACCACCAGCGACATAGGTGACCTTGGCGTTGGCAACGATGTCGTCGTAGCTGTTGTATCGTCAGCTGTATGAAGCCTTATCCCCGTCTAGTCACATACATGCCCATGTGCTTCTCCTCGGCGAGGATAGCGTCGTTGGACTTGAGGTCGTACTTCTTGAGGTACGCAGGTCCCTCGTCGGGGTTGACCTGGATATCAAGCTGGACCGTACGTCAGTCTAGTGGTGAGGTGTGGCATTGCTAGGGCTTACCAGGGGGTTACCGATAGCGACGACAATGGGAGAAGACATTTTTGATATGTATTGTTTTTGGAGAATTGAGGATGCTGATGCTAATTATACGAGGCCACTTAGAACGCACGTGAACCAAAGAAGTCACTTGTTTCTTTCACGCGCTTTTTGCATTTTATCCCGCCTCCACTTCCACCGACTTCTGAGAGATGAATCTGAATGCATGCATGTCGTCGCTCACAGGGGCAGACAGATATGTTTACTTGACAAGCAAAATCATCTGAGAAGGTCTATGAACCAGCATGTCGCCTCTAATGTCTTTATCTATCTACAAAACTTTTCGACTGATACGCCGTCATCTACGCAAGGAACCCAGACTCGATCCACGCCTTTGTCCACAACGCGACCAACTCTGGCCCAACCTTCTTCACCTGGTTCCTCATCGTCTCCGACTCTTCCTTCGTCCTCTCCACCTTGAACTCCACTTCCGAGATAACATCTCCGCTGCCAAACCTCGCTTGGTAAAAGTCGAGAAGCTTGTATGCGGGGTTGACAGCGACGTCGGAGTTGGATTGAGAGAGACGGGCGACCCATTCGGTTTGTGGGACGGTGTCGAATTTGAGACCGCCAGCCGCTAAACCGGCGAGGACGTCGGACCATGATGACAAATGGGGGTTGACGATGTGGTAGACGGATGCTGAGGACGGTTTGGATGCCAAAGTCGTAGAGGACACAATGTCAATGATGGTGGAAGCGGCTTGGTCGACGGGCAGCCAAGAGGGGGATTCGCTGATCATGGGAAGGGCATGCAGTTCGTTGACAGACTTGAACATCAATGGCCAAGACTCGGTCTCGTTCCATATGCCGCTGTCATTCTATGTCAGCTCGTCCCATGTAAAGCAAGACGCCACTCACTTTTCAGTATCACCCGCAAGCTGCCCAATTCGCAACACCGCACACCTCGCCTTTGTCTCCTTCCCGGCCCTTTCCATAATCTTTTCCACCACCCACTTGCTCCGGCCGTATCCCATCATAGCTGTCTCAGCTTTTGCCGGGAACACTTCCGTTACCGCCACATCCGATGCCAACTGCGCACTGACAGAGGAGGAAAAGAAGAATGCAGGTTTGACCTGACCAGGAGCCTTCAGCGTGAGGTCGAGCAGATTGAAAGCGCCGCGAATGTGCTCGTCGAACGACTCGACGGAAATGACAAAGTTGACTGGCCAGGCGTTGTGGATGACGGCAGTCGCTTCGTTCCTGAGAGACTCATACAGCTCGGGGGAAAGACCAAGGTCCTCACTGTTGACGTCGGCGGCGTAGGAGACGATCTTGGCCTCGGCAGCGGGGGTCAGAGTACGATGTCGCTGAGCAAGAGAGTCTTGGAGTCGTCGGAAAGAGTCGGCGTGGGATTTGGCGCGAGAGAGGCAGATGACTTTGCTGACGTCGGGGCGACGAGTCAACTGATCAAGCAGGTGGGCACCAAGAGAACCAGTAGCACCAGTAAGAACCACAACTTGGCCCTTGCTGCTGATAGTCTCAAGTTTGCCGTTGCTGGTCGGGTTTGCAAGGCCAATCTTCCTCGCCGGACTAGCGAGGTCTCCAACAATCTCCTCCTTGCTCAACTGTCGAGCATAACGATCCACCATTTCCCACATCTTCGCGTACACCTTCTCAGGGCTCTCGTCAGCCCCATTGCCTTGTCTGGCGTTGAACAAGTACTCGGCGAGCTGTCCGACGGAGGGGTACTCGTATACGATGTTCTGCCCAACCTTGGCATTGCCGAGATCGAGAGTCTTGGTGATGGCATTCTTGATCCGAGTAGCTTGCAACGAATCGATGCCAAACGAAAAGAGGTCGGTATCAACGCCAAGCTCTGCCTTGACGTCTTCCTTCCCTGGCGCCTGGGTCTTGTTGTCGGAGATGGTGGAGAGGATGATGGAAGTGAGGAACGACTCGAGATCGGGTTTGGTGGTGATGTTCTTTTTGGGTTCGCCGGACCCGCGCTCGAAGCGTTCATAGATAGAGTCGATCAGGTTTGCAAACTTGCGATAACAAGCCGGGCGGATGATGGACATCTTGGTCGCCTACTCATCTCTGTTAAGTCTTTCTTCCCTTATTCATAGAGGAGGTGCGTACCACAGGGATTTCAGTGCCGTAAGGTAGAATCTCGACCATCTCGGGGAGAATGCGCGAATGGGTAGGGGCGACGGCGTTGGCTTGTTCAATAACGGGCCAGACGGCGTCGAGGAAGGCCTTCGGGTCTTTGCTGAGCTCGGCGCCTTGCTCGGACGGGAGAATGAGTGCGCCAACTTGGGGTTTACCGTCGCCGAACACGATACACTCTTGGATCAGAGGCGAGTGTCCCCTCTAGGCAATCCATCAGCCTCTACACCCCCACGTTACACATATGCACGCACAATAGCCGATTCGATAGGCACAGGATTGGTCTTTTCTCCCAGAAGCATGTTCAACGTATCATCCATCCTCCCCAAGTACTTGAACCAGGTCGGATGTTCCGGATGCTGCAACACAAGGTCGCTCGTACACCACGCATTGTCCGACGCCCTATTGCTTGTGACTTTACCGGGCCAACCGTCTTTGACCACGATCTCAAAGGTGTTGGAGCCTTGGGGGAGGGTTTCAAGGTATTGGGCGATGGGACCTTCGTTTCGGAGCCAGTTCCAGCTTTTGTCGGTCTTGAAGTCTCTGAAAGAGGTCATCACTGCACCGCACTCTTCAAACTCTCATCAGTATCTTGACAAAGTGGAAGATGGATGAAAGCTCACCGGTAGATCCGTAGACGGAAACGAGGTTAACCCCGCCCTCGACCAACTTATCACCAAGGTTATCCGGGAGGGCGGCCCCAGCATAAATGACGGCAGAGGATTTGGCGAGCGTCTGAATACCTTCATCCGTCTCGGCTAGGAGTTTGAGCACGTATGGCACCGCGTATTGCTGTACAGGAGGAGTAGGTGATTCGCGGATGACTCGGCAGATGTTGGCGGAGGTGAGGGGGATGTTCGGGGGCATGATGATGAGGGCTTTGCCGTGGTATAGACATACAAAGCTGCGATCTCGATCAGCAGGCAACCTTGTCCAATGTCGAGAAACGTACGAGGCAACATGACCAAAGGCGTGGAAGAGAGGCAGAGCCAAAAAGGTGGAGACGGGCAAGAGGTGAAGAGCGTTGGCGAGGAGTGCATGGTGAGTGATCGCCACGGGTTTCGGAAAGCCGGTCGAGCCGGAGGAATGTAGGATGGCGACTGTGCGTCCGGCCTCTTGCTGGGGCGTCAATCGGGCGGGGTACGGCGGAATGTCTGCTTCTCGAACACCTTGAGGGCCCCAAAGTGGAAACTTTGTTTCTGGGACGAGCTGCGATGGAGGTTATGTAGTGGACGCGAGGGCGAGCTAGTGGCGAACGTACCCTTATGTCAATGCCTTCTTTCTGAAGCAAGTCTCGAGCTTCATTTGCGGTCGCCTCATACTTGTCCTCGTAGATGAGGATCTCGCTCTTGGTGATTTTGCACAAATGAACGATAGCCGCTGTCGAGTTGTTGGTGGACAGAAGCAGTCCAGCCAGCCCGAGCTTGGCAAGAGCTGCCTCGAGGATGGTCTCGTTGATCGAGCTCGTGGTGAGTACCGCAACGATGCGCTCTGGGGGCAGGTCCCCGGTTACGACTTCTGGCTGGATCTTGAGCGAGGCGTAGTGCGCTGCCAGACGATCGACTGCCTTGGAGAGATCCAAGTACCTGTAACGTGCGTGTCAGGGACGCATCCTTTACCTATCAAAGGCGGTACATACGTGAGAGTCTGCAGCTCTTGGCCAATCTCTGCAGCACCGGTGTGAACAGCAGGATCATCAGGCTGGGTTTCTGGTGCTTGTCAGCGGTCATGGACGTGGTGACAGGAGGCGACCTTACTAGCTCTAAGGGCGATAAGCTCTGTGACAGACTGTGCTACAAGGGCGGGACTGGACATGGTACAGGACGTGTTGGGGGTGTAGCATGGCTGTGGGTATTCGGGGTATATATATGCAGCTGCTGATGATGTGAGTGGGATTATCATGTTGCTCCGGGCCCCAGATGCAGCAGCCGATCCTGTGCCTGGGCGAGGCCACACGCGAGGCCCGAGGCTGACATGATTGACTTGACTTGATGATCAGCAAGCCAAAAAAGAAGCAACCGAGGAAATTGGCGAGTGTAGAGTGGGGTGCCCCAGCGACTAGCTCAGGGAGGAGAACCTCCAGCGTATTTCTGGCTCCTCGCGCCCATCGCATCCCTCCATATCCACGGCGGACGACGGGGATTCTTCTCTCGACGTCACCCAGATCGACTGTGTGGCCTTGAGTCGGGGGTTGGCCAGCTTGACTACGAGTTACGAGCTGAGCTTACCTGCAGTGCCTTCTGACCCCTGTACCCTGTCCTGTCCCTTGCGGGCTCTGCGGGCACCATCATGATGCGTACGACCCGGACCATACCTTCAACTGCAACATACTGCCGCATTCCGCCTGCAGCCTGCTGCACGTCGCGAGTGTCACCCTCCGATCTATGCAGCTTCGCAGCCAAAAGGCACTCGGACGCGGAAGGCCGAACAGGACTTATTCGCGCGCTCCCCCACACACTCCCCCTGTCTTTGCCTCCACTTTCCTGACCATCTCTTTACTGCATCAGTATAGCAATACCATGTGGCTCGTACTCGCACGCCACGGCCAGACTGATGAGTAAGCACACCCCCGCCCAGACACCCGCTCACGGCCTGCAGCAACCTCCAGGGCATCATCCAGGGCCACAAGGATACCCCGCTCAACGACTGGGGGCGCTTCGAGTCTGCTCGCCTGGCTGGCGCTCTCAGGACAGTCGCCATCACAGAAGCATACACGTCCCCCCTTTCACGCGCGAGCGAGGTATCTCGCTCGATACCCCGTATATTCGTTGTGCTGATATATCCACATAGACTGCAAGTATCGCACTCAGACACCGTCCTGAGATCACCATCCACGAGCATCCCGGGCTCAAAGAGCGAGGTCTTGGAAGCTGGGAGGGTCGGAGGCCACCTCGTAAAGAACCTACGCCTGCCGATGCGGAAGGCTATGAATCGTGCGTTCTTCGTTGCGGAATCGTCGATACGTCACTGAACCCCCGGCATCCGTAGCCTGACTCTGCGTTCCAAACTCTGGTTTGACGAGCTGCTCAGCAACCATATCCCACCACCACCCCCCGCTACTGAAAGTAAGCACCGCAGTTCCGTCCAAGACGCCGACATCATCTTCGTCGTCTCCCACGGCGCCTGGCTCAGCAACTTTCGCCACCTCCTCTTATCCCCTGCATACCACTTCAAGATAGACAGACACTGCAACCTCAAAGCTCGCTGTATTAACACAAGTATATCACTCGTTTATTGCGAATATGATCATGCGAAAAAGAAGTGGACAGGGGTGCTGCAGATGTGGGCCAACGTGGAGCATCTGAGGGACGTTTTGGAGAAGGAGAAAAAGGTGGGAATTGCTGATGATGTGGGAAGATGAGAGACGGACTAGTTTCATTGCGAGTGATTGTGTAGCCCAGTCTTATGTGAGCTGCTTGGTGTCTCTCGATTTTGGCTGATTGTTCTCATAGGTAGCCTTATATGCATAGTGTGACCTGTCGCTGAGCGATTTGCAGCCGGGGTGATAGATCTGGTCTTCCGGATATCGTTCCCTTCGCCGCACTTACGATCACCTGAGGATAGACAGTGAGTCACTGGTCTCTCCTCCAGGCTACCTTCCTTTGAGCCTTTGTCGTTGTTTTTCTCGGCAACGAGCTCGGATCCCTCCTCATTTTGGAGTTTGCATATACCAATTCTTTGACTTGACTTCAAGCCCCGTGAGGCCTCAATAACCATGCGTCTCATTCTAGCTCGACATGGCCAGACAGATGAGTGCGCACCATCCATACTCTTCTTAAGGGGTGCCGCTGAACCTCGTCCTGACAGTAACGTCCGAGGCATGGTCCAAGGACAAACAGATACCCCTCTCAATGACCAAGGCCGCCATCAATCCGCTCAATTGTCAGAATCTCTCAAGCGGTACCATATCACCAAAGCATATACATCGCCCCTGTCTCGGGCTAGCGAGGTAAATCATCTACTATTCCACCACACAGCCGGGTGCCGTACTGATCGATATAGCAGACTGCAAAGATTGTACTGGCATACCATCCCGACGCTCCACTTTACTTTCAGGACGATCTGAGAGAGCGCGGTTGGGGAAGCTTGGAAGGTCAGGTATGGATCCCGGGGACAATCATTCCGGATGATGCTGAGAGTTTTGACGAGTGGGTATTCCCTCTCCAGTGGCAGGTCAAAATGAGCGAGGCTGATGTCTGAGACCAGCTTTACTCGGCGCTCAACAGACTGGTTCGCGAAACTCCTCGACGCTCACATTCCCCACCTTCCTTCCCCTGAGGAGGCACCTCCTCTCTTACGAGGCCCTTCTCCCAAATCTCATCATTCGACAGAAGACGTCATTCTCATCATCACGCACAGTGAATGGCTTGAACGATTCGCCGCAATCACCTGCTCCTCTCCATACTTCTTCGGACAGACAGAAAAGTGCGACATGAAGGCTCGAATGGCGAATGCGAGCGTTGCGGAGGTCGATTGTGTGTATGATCATCAGGAAGGTGTTTGGAAGGGGATGATTGAGGGGTGGGGAGCTGTTGGACATCTCTCCAGGATGGGAGAGAGTGACTAGGGTGGCTGGACAATAGTATAAGCTGTGGGCGATTGAGGGAACGAAAAGAGCCGTGTCTGATTTAGCTGGAGAAAGTGTGAGTCGCGTGGTAGATGTATTGATCTCAGTAAGTAAAGGCAGTCCTGTATGCATATCATGGTCTTATCCGTGTGAAAGTTTGCTGCCGTCAACAGTAGTGTCATGTCATGTCGCTATATGTTTGCCCTTTTCCCTTCTTTCGTAACTTTAAGCAGCATGAAACACGCTACGCTCGAGCGATATTCATGATCGTACTTGGACATACAATGGACCGTACCTCTGACGCCTCCACAGAGAATGTGTTCTCCTGGTCTTTCCTTTGACCGAGTTCCCTTATCCCTGTTTTCTGATAGGTGACTCGCCGGTCCTGCACTTATTACAAGGTAAGCTTGAACGTTGTCAAACTTTGTATAACGAACAATCCCCATGCGTCTCATTCTAGCTCGACACGGACAGACCGACGAGTGAGCAGGTTTCATGTCCACAAAAACTGTCGCTGAAAACCTGTCCTCCTTCCTCTAGTAACGTCCGGGGTGTAATTCAAGGACAGAAAGATACTCCTCTCAATGATTGGGGCCGTTTTGAATCGAAGCGTTTAGCGGAAGCCCTCAAGAAGTACCAGATTACCGAAGCATACACATCACCTCTTTCTCGGGCTAGCGAAGTAAGTATCCATTCTCACTCGACATCTTCAGTTCCGTGTGCTGAAACAGGGCCGTAGACTGCGCAGATCGCCCTGGCGCACCGCTCTGATATACCAATATGTTCCCATCCGGGGCTGAAAGAGAGATGCCTGGGTTCCTTGGAGGGCCGAAGGAGAAAGAGAGGAGAGACTGCGCCTGCAGATGCGGAATCCAAGGGCGCGTATGTCCTCGAGTCCCGGGTGGGTTTTCCACTGCTGATGCTCCTGCGAAGCGTATCTATCCGGATGAGGCACTGGCTCGACAAGCTCCTTGCATCCCACATCCCCCCCCCCCCCACCCCTCGGCGCCTCACTAACAGCGACTCCTTTATATCATTTCGGAGCCCTTCTTTTTGCAAGAAGAACCTTCTTGGCCACTGCCGAATAATCACGTCAGCCAGGGCAAAGCATTCGTCCTCATCAACAGCAGGCGTTTGCATGCTAAGACGGACTTAGTCTTGGGGATGGTATTAGTTCTGGTGATATGACCAGCTACTGTTGTCCTTATAATTCCGATAATATGGTAGTCGTACTGAAGATAGATAGCGGAGTTGCATCAAAGTATGTAATCGCCCAGGCCATCGCAGCAACATTCTAGCATATAGCAGCTCTATCGAACTTTCCCCCTGGCTTCTATCTGCTGAGATGCGCCTTCCTCGTATGACAAACTGTCTGCTTATGCTGGAACACTGCTTCATGCTCATGACATCGCTGATCATTCTTCACTTCTCTTCAGAGGGCTTTGATGAAGCATACCCAGCCGCCTCTCTTCTCCTCTCATCCCTGATCGCATCCAGAACGCGTTGCCGAGACTGCATTTCCGAAGCCTATAGTGTGGCAGGACATCATAGTAATAGTACCATCTGGGGTAAACACCTCTTCATCATGAAGAGAGGAGATAGTTCCACTTACCCTCGAAAAATCCCACGCGCTTCCAGGAGGTGCCCATAAACCACTACCCCATGTCTCACCTGGGTTCCCTGTTACAGAGGCCATAGAGGCGGCTCTTGAGTTCAGATCAGGAGTGTTGTTGTACCTGCTCTTTGCGTTCAAGGTATGGGTAAAAGCATAGGCGGTGTATCCGCCAGACGCCGGTGTAGTGATACCGCTAGTGCTCGACCGGCTGAGAGACATGATGATGCGGATTCCAAGTTTGCTGAATCTCGAGTGGGCCATATATATCACAAAGCCGTTCCATTCATCGAGTACTCTGAGTACGCGGCCGTTGATGACGACACAAAGCAAGGCTGGCGGCGGCGGCACTTTTCGTCGCCGCCTATGCACAGGTAGCCGTACCAGCTTCGAAAAAGGGCAGAGAATAGCAACCGGTGGAACAAGCTACACTCGCTGTCACATGACCAGTTTATTACGGGCAACGTCTAGGAGTCGGAGCCTGGAGTCACTCGTCTTGCGGTTGTCGAACGCAACTAAAGAACAAGTACAGCTACATATCTGGCAGCCTTTCATCGAGACCATCTAGCTGTATGTTCTGTATAATGCATGCCCATGGCGCTTCACGGTCATCCATCGCCGCTCTATCTCAATTATGCATATCAGCAGCCAGATGTTGAACGACAAAACCGGGCCCCAGCCGGACGGGATCAAAACCTCCCCTGCCCCGAGATCCGTCATAACAAATCTCCCTCTCCCCTCTCTTCTTCCACCTTCACTTCCCAAAACGTTGAATGCCCCCATTCATCCCCCTCCCCGATCGTCTCCCCCCAAACGCCCGGCTGCCCACCCCGCCCCCCAACTCACCGTACACCCAGCTCCCTCTGCCCACATACGGTGCCCCGGATATCGACCTGTCCATACCCCTCAGTGCTACTGCCGACTATACCACTCACGCGGGAGGGAATAGGAGAATGTCTGATCATGGATATGAGAACGGGGGAGGAGTCGGGGGGTATTATCCTGGGGAAGAGACGGCGGCAGCAGCGGGGGGAAGCTATACCCCTGGCGAAGAACCGAGCCGGAAAAGACCCCGGACGGAAGGGGAAGGTGCCAATGGGAATGGGTCGTATGTACCCAGACAACGTGCAGCAGAGCACCCTCCACCGCCACCACCTCATTCCAGTCAACAGGCGCCCATGCCTGGACAATCACCGTTGAGCGGCTCGATATTCAATGTATCGCCGCGGAATCCTTTTACGGCGGTTGTGGGGGACTGGTTGCTCAATGTCGCCAATGGGCATCAGAATATTGAGGTGAGGAGGACGATAGAGTTAAAAATGAATGAGAAAGAAGGCTGATAAGTGTATATAGATTGAGATCAAGTTGGGCATGTTCCAAATTCCCTCTCAAGCAGGCCAACCGGCTCGCCGTATCAACCTACCATCTCTCAGTGAAATGAGCAAGTTTAACCCCATTCTCCTCTGCATATGCAACCGCTGATGATAAGATAGTCATCCCACCTGATTACCCTATCGGCTCATTCGTCTCCACTCTCGCCCCTCAACATCACAAATCCCTCAACAACCTCCTCAACCGCGCCGTCGAATCCCAAGCTTCTCTTCCCCGCGATGCCGGCCGTATCTATTTTAAACGCTCCAGACTCGTCGACTCGTTCTATGACCTGGGGAACGAAGGAGGGGGCAAGGTTCGGGTCAGTAGGGATATGAAGACTGGGGATGTGGTGGAAAGTGTGAGGAAGAGGAGGGTGGGGGATTGTAATGTGTTCTGTCCGGGGTCGGCGTATGACCTGAGGATTAGTGTGAATGTGGAAGAGCCTTGTATGTGGGATGAGACCTGGAAAGAGACAAAGCTTATGATGGCCTAGGCGAGGTTCCGGAGGGCCAGCCAAAGATTATAAGAGAGAAGGATAGAGCTTGTTATCAGCATCAAGTCTGTCGGGTCGACCTCACATCCGTCAACACTTTTGTACGTCCCTCCTTCCTCAGGCGTAGCTCATTCACTGACTCTTGTACAGGCCAAACCCTCGGACGCTCAATGTCAACCGACGAGCTCTTTCGAACTTGAAATTGAGGTTTTGAATTGCCGGAGATTGTTGGCAGAGGGAAAAGCGCAGAGTGATAGGTTTGACGAGATGCTGCAGAATGTGTTGGATAGCGCGAGGATGTTGGTCAAGAATGTCTAGTGTTAGCATGCCATGGATTCCGCATATTCTTGTTGCTTTCTGTTGTCCAGTCCCGTGGAAACTCTCGGACTGCAGCACAAGTGGAGACCGATCAAGATCGCATCTCGCTATAGAATACCCAATAACCCTACACCCAACAATCTCAACCAACGACCTAGTAGTTGGCAGCCTTCTTGGCGGCGATGGCCAACCAAGCAGAGTGCTCGTCGTAGGGGGTGAGACCGGGGGCGATGATGGTCCAGAGGTCGGGGGACTGGAACTGGTAGGTCTTGGCGAGGGCAGCGATGGTAGCCTTCAAGAAGTTACCCTGGGTAGCGGTACAACCCTTGGACTGGGTGTAGCAGTCCTGGATACCAGCCATCTGGAGCATTCGCTTGGAAGCGGGGGCGGCGACGATACCAGTACCTCGGGCTGGGAGACAAGTCAGTTCAGGCACAGGACGCGAAAAAAGCAAAAAAGGACATACGGGCAGGGATCAATCGGCACATGACGGAACCGCTCTTGCCGGAAACCTTGCAGGGAACGGTGTGAGGCTCAGCGATGTGAGAACCCCAGTAACCCCTTCGGACGGGAACGATGGCGAGCTTGGCGGCGATGATGGCACCTCGGATGGCGGTAGCGACCTCCTTGGCGGCCTTGATACCGAGACCGACGTGTCCGTCAAAGTCACCGACGGCAACGAAAGCCTTGAATCGGGTTCGCTGACCGGCAGAGGTCTGCTTCTGGACGGGCATGATCTTCATGACCTCGTCCTTGAGGGAGGGGAGGAAGATGTCGATGATCTGGAACTCCTTGACGGGGAGGGAGAAGAGGTAGATCTCCTCCATGGACTTGATCTTGCCGTCCTTTACCAATCGACCGAGCTTGGTGACAGGGACCCTACGAGAGTCAGCTTGCGTCCCGTTTGCCATGTCTCTCACTCACCATTCCTTGTCCTCCTCCTTCTTACCGCCTCGTCGGGGACCCCTTCGGCCTCGACCACCGGCACCGCCACGACCACGTCCGAAACCGCCTCGAGATTCAGCCATGTTGATGAATGAGTTTTGTGTTTTTGTAGCGCGAAGGCGGGAGATTGAAGGACGACGCTCAGTAAGGCATCCAAAAATCCCATAGAGGGGGGGGAGCGGCATTTGCCGCCCGCACGGTGTTTGGCGGGGATATGGGGGTGGCGGGTGATTACGTCAGCGGGAGTGCCTCCACTCTGATGCGCGTGCTTTCTCAGATCCCATCACAGTCACGCATCGTTCACAGCTACTCTTTATCTCCCATAGCATAGAAGAAAACAGCCCCTGTACCCACTAGCATAACATAGAAGAAAACACGAAACATGGCTGCAAACGGAAACACCTCGAGCGCTGTGAGTCTTATCTACCCCGCGACCATCTACAAGCTGACATGCGCAGATACGGAGGAAGCTGGTCATTGTGGGAGACGGTGCTGCAGGAAAGACCTCGCTCCTCAACGTCTTTGCAGTTGGCCATTTCCCAGAGAGCTATGTGAGTCCACTGTGCACCGTACTGGAGATGCATCCCTCGCCTCAAGCATCTTGGACCGTGGCTAACTTGGGAATACATAGGAACCCACAGTCTTTGACAATTACGTGACAGAAATCGAGCTGGACGGCAAACCGGTGCAGCTGGCTCTATGGGATACTGCGTACGTCCACTCCTGGGCCGCTCTTGCGAACCAATCTTCCCGCGTGCCGCGTGAAAGAGTCGTATGCTGACAGCGCTTCTAGGGGCCAAGAAGAATACGAACGTCTACGCCCACTCTCATATTCCAAAGCCCACGTGATTCTCATAGCCTTTTCTGTCGATACCCCCGATTCCCTGGAGAATGTTACTCAAAAGGTGAGTCTTGCTGTGCAGGCCGCGCATCTCCGAGAGCGATGCCGCGCCTGCCCGTGCCCGTCTGCATGTGTGGATGGGGGCTGATTTGCATCGCGTAGTGGATAGAAGAAGTACGGTCGATCTGTGGAAAAGCTATCCCTGTCATCTTGGTTGCTTGCAAGACAGATCTCAGAGAGAAGGCTATCGCCGATGGGACCTACACGCCTCAGAGATTTACGGATCGCCAGACTGTACGCCCTTTCCCTCAGTTTTCCTCTGCAGTCTCATCTGACATCTCATGTAGGGCCAAAGAATAGCAGACTCGATAAACGCCCGCGCCTACATCGAAACCTCTGCTCTCCTCAACCAAAATGTCGACGACGTATTCGAAGCCGCTACTCGCGCGGCTGTGCTCGTGCGCGACCAGGGGCACGGGGGTGTGGGGGCGAGCTACGACCGGTCGGGGAATGGTACAGGGGACGGGAACGGGGGGAAGAGCAAGAGGGAGAGGGGGGAGAAGGAGAGCATGTGTGGGGGTTGTGTGATCGCTTGATTGGCTGCGGTTTACAAGATCGGCCTCGCAGCCACCTAGAACCTATCCTATGATCCCCACGACACACTCACCCCCACGACCGACGGCCATGCGCCCACCCGCCTTTCTCCTACCCTATCGGCGTCAGAGGAAGAAGAAAAAACGCCCTTGATGGGTCTCTTTGCATGATATTCACGAAGTAGTATGATTAGCTTTCCCCTTTTAGTCTTTGACAGATAAATACATCCTTATGATTGATTTCTCTCATGGTCCCTTCTCTCTCTTTCTGCATAATCCCGATTGTTTCTTGTTTCTTTTCTGACTGTTTGCGTATAACATAGGTTGAAGTAAAAACAAACAAACACATGATCTGGTATGACTCCGTAAAAGCATGAATCGTAGATGACCCCTATACACTTAGTCTAGCGGTCCTGCTTCTATCGACACATCAGCTTAGCACCCCTACGCCCAAGAGTCCATCCTTCGACATCCCGAGGGCCAAGCTGGGGCCAAGACTGAAAGAAGAAAGTTGAACGAACGCAATGACGTAAATCGGCGGATACCGGCGGCAATGGCCGGTCGGTGCCTTTGTTGACACCTCCACTTTTTGTGACCAGCTCTGCCAGTTGCGGACTGGTTGCGGATAAGGGGGGATGGAAACAGGCCAGACAGAGGAAAGAAATGATGGATTCGGGAAGATTCTTTCCTCTTCATGTTGCTTTTCATCCTTTGCGAAAGTGAAAGCTGCATTGAGTGATCAGATTGCATACTTGGTGAGTTTCAGGCATCTCTTCTTGTCGGCGGTCATCTGGGTGGTGTCGACTGACACATTAAAGAGAATACCTGCTTGCCAGCTTTCAGGACATCTACGCTCGCACCCCTTTTGGTGCAATGCAAATGTACCCTACACCTCATAATAACGAGGTAAGACCACCCTTCTCGCCCTCTTGTACAGTGCAGCTGACTTGCGTTCGCGCACAGAGTCGCGATAGTAACCCATTCAGACGAGCCCTTCGCCACCCTCCTCATCACATCCCTCGAATGCCCCGTCCATTCAGCCCTCACAATATGCCCGTTTTCCCTTCCCCAGAACACCCCGAAAATCTTCTTCGGGACTCGCCTTGGGATTGGGAGGATACCACGAGTCCGGATAGCAATCCTCACATGTCCTCCCACAGCGACGAGGCGTCTGAAGAAGTTGATTCGATAGTCCGTCAGCAGTCCAATCTGGAGTCCATGCTGCTGGCCGCCCTGGACGAACTCTATGTTGTTCAGATGTATGAAAACCTCCTCTGTCAGCCACAAAGTCCTCGCAACGAACACCGCCCGGTCAGAAGCCTGCTCGACCTCCCCAACGAGCTTCTCATGATGACGTTCAGATACCTCCCAGTGGACGAGATCGTCTCCCTGCGCTCGACGTGCAAGCTCTTCGCCGAGCTTACCAAGTCGAGTACGCTCTACAGATCCGTCTTGGTGCACCAATTTCCGTGGGCTTCCAACGACCCTCAAGGAGTTTCAGTGCCGCGCTTCTACACCGAGTACATCCTGCCTCATATCCGCCATCTTACCGTCATCCTGCCGGATAATGTTTTGAACACGATCCCTCACCGTGGCATGTTCCAAGCAATGGACTGCCAAGATGGCGTGAACACCCCGGCATTCGTCTACACCTTTCTGGATGCCATACCCTGGGAGCAACTCGAGACGCTCATCTTCCCCCGCTCGGGCTTTCTGGTGATTTTGGACATTTGGGCCAGGTTGCTGGCGCAGCAGACGCATTTGCGGACTGTCAATCTGTCTGGTGCCTGCCTAGACACTGACTGCATGGAGCTGCTGAGCGCCATGGACCGACTGGAGTACCTCGACTTGAACGGAGTGTTGGCAGTGGATGGATGGCGAGACTTGACAGAGGCGTTCGTGCATAGTGAAGCGTGGAAGGCTATCCGCTACATGGACTTTTCGGCTTGTGTCAATATCGACAAGGGGGTGTTCAAGGAATTCCTCAAGTCGCTGCCCGTGTCTCTACGGTACCTCGACCTATCCGCATTGCCTTGGGTCGATTCGGCGATGTTGGCGGGTATCAAAGTCTGGGGTCGTAGGGATGGGGATGGGGTGCGCGAAGGTCCTGTGCAGTTGAGATGGATCGGGCTGAGAGGGACAAAGGTCAGCGCGGTCGACCTCTGCATGTTGAATGTTCGATGGGCCAGGTCCAAACTCCAAGGAATGGAAAGTCTCCCCGAGCGTGCGATCAAGGCGCTTCAACTCAACAAGCAAAAGATTGTCGACCAGTACAACCTCGAGCTCATTCAGGTCGACCACGCCTTCACATCTTCGTTCAACTGCGCCCACTCGGCTAACGACCTTAACCATGGGCGTATAGACATCGGTCACTGTTTGTTTATGATAACGGGTCTCATAAAATGTGTAGAGCAGAGCGAATCATGCGTAATGCCGGAAGGGCTCACGGAGGAGGCTGAGCAGAGTTTAAGGAGCCGAGTGAAAGAATGGTCCACGCGGTACCTTCAGGTATGGACGGATAGGGGCGTCGCGCTGACTTGGAATTTTGAGAGGTGGAATTATGCGTGTCGTTTGGGTGAATTCCTGAGTAATGTGGCGAAGGTGGATTAGTAGGGAGATGGTAGGCAGCCGCTCGTAATCATGATTTGCTGGTCTGCGCGGAGGAATAGTGTATGTTCTCTGTCTGCATCAATATTGATTATATCCTATTATCGCCCAGTATGTATGTCTATATGTTATAAAGCATTATTGGATCTCCGTGATACCCCGTATCAGATCCTTCAAACTTCGACGGCAGGGACAGCCGCGACAGGAGCCTCGGCAGAGATGGCCTCCTTTTCAGTAGTAGGCGTCGCAGGCGCCACTTCCTCGGGACGGCTGACGAGCTGGCTGAAAGAACTTCTCCAAGTAGCGTAAGAGCCGCCAAAGTTGAGAAGGGTGTATGCGACTTGGAAGATAAGGATACCGAAGATCTTGAGTCATGGTTAATGGACTGTCGATATGGTAGCGTTGCTAAACTCACGAGGAAGGTCATAACCCAAGCAACACCGAGAGTAGCTTCGCCGAGCCTGTCAAAAAGTCAGTTGAATGTTCAGCGTGTTGAAAGTCAGACACACCTCGCCCAGGTATATGTGTCATAAGCTCGTGCCAGTGACGCTAAAGTTGAAAGAGTGGCGGAAGAACCCAAGAAGAAGACGAAGAGGGCGAACAGGCAAATGGTGTCGACCATGACGGAGACACAGATGTTGCGGGGGCTGACAAAGCTCAAAACCAAGCTTTCAGAGGAAAACGATTGTAAGCATTCGAGTAGGGAGGCACACGAATCTGAGACTCACACCAGCATAAAGTACAGCCAGGCGAGGACACCAGCAGCGATGAGGGCGTTTCCGGCAGTGAGGTGGGTGCTATAATACGAGTCAGCCTTCTGCACGAGCCACTAGTGATCATATTCAAAGACATACCTCCTGACATACTTGCTTCCGCCAAGCAGAGTGACTGATACCAGATGTCAGCTTGGATAGTCCGTTCCCACCCTATGAGACACTTACAGAAGTCATCTGTTTTGGCAATGAATGCAGCGGCCACGGAGAAAGTGAGGGCCGCCCAGAAGCAGGCGAAAGCTTTAAGACCGGTTGATACGAGAGAAGCAGAGCTCATGGCGGTACGATTTGGGAGAGATGGGTGGCAAAGAGAGGTTTGTGTCGTTTCTGGACAGACCATTTTATGCCCTCCATCTCGCTTTCATCTTCCGTGCGCTCACAATCTGTTGGGGATATCAGAGGACATATGGGGAAACTTTTCACCAAATTCGCTCGTTAACGGTCGTTAAACCGTCAACCTTGTGGTGCAGGCTCCTCCTCAGCAGTCGTTTAAAGAAATAATATGGAGACGCCTTCCGGTGCCTGAATCCGGTCTGACGAGAGTTGGATGTTGACGAATTTGGCGCCTTGGATGTCTTTTTGCACTGGTTCCTGTGCTCTATCATGTGCTCTATCATATCAGTGGTGTAGCCGTATATCAGGCACCTGTCAAAGACAGCCGAACGAGCAATGGAATCACATGATGGTTTTCCGCTCAATTATGCTCTTGCTCGAACAAAAGAACGACCTTTTTTGGCCTGAGGGATCAAGTAAGGGACGAGGAGAGAATAAGCTCCTGCCCCCCGCCGCGTATATTCTTCGCGTCGCTCGGTTGTTGTCGGATGGAGATTGAATGGGCCATGAGCTTTGAGTCGGGAGACTGGAGACTGCACGCCAGCAGTCGTAGAACAGGCTGCCTGGACCTCTCATCGTTTCATCCGGCGTCCGAAGTTTTCTCGGCTTTTTCCGCGGAACTCGTGATCGAAAAGCTCAGCAAGTACTCCATGATTCGAGTAGCAATAAGCAACGCACTGACCTCTCTCAACTATCTCAAAAGAGAGTAAATAGTCCAGGGCTAGTGGCTTCGACTTGCTCTATATACTGAGGAGGCAGCAGCGCCAGCAGTGGCCCTACGCATACATAGCTCCTTGCTTACTACTCTCTTCGAAAATCGCCGAGAAGCATTTAAGCATCACGTTGGAATCGTGCCTGGCATGGAAGCGGCATGCTGCCACCTGCACGGCCTGGCTAGCCATGCAGCCACCTGTTGTCAACGTGCTGTAACCTGTCACTTGGTAGCTGTCGAATGGAATGCTGATTGTGACCCCATGTGAACATCAAATGTGTGCCAGATCAGAACTGCGCCCGCACGTCTGTTGATTGTGAACGAACGTAGATGAACAGGAGAAGTGCGATGGTGCTGTACTTCTGGCTCTCTCTTCTACGACGCTCTCGCTGGCTGGCATCATTCGCTTCATGTCAACGCCGCATATTGTCGTCTCCAGTTCATGCCAAGTACACAAGAAGTCGTAAAAATAAGACAATAATTACAAGTACAACGTCATCTTGGTTCGACTCATCTCAAATCATTTCACCCCCAACCGGCTTTTTGTGCCTTCAGGCAAACACTCTGCTTCCACCGCTGCCACCACTAAAGCCGCTCGATGCTCGGGCCCTCTCTTCCAGCTCCTTCAAACGCTTTAGTTCCTTCTGTCTCTCCTCATAGGCATCGTAGGCATATACGATTGGCTTCACTTTGGTGAAGTCGTCTCCGAGCAGGAGAGATTCGTCTGAGCCCTCTCCGTCAGGCAGGCCATTATTGGAGGATGGGACAGTAGACCGAGGATCAGTCGATGTAGGATTGAACATGTCGTTGGGATCGAAGTTGTCTACATGGATCAGCAACAGAAATGAGTGTTTGGACTTCGACTTACTGTCCTCATCGACAACAGCGCGCCTCTTCCCCAGAGCCTTTCTACTGGGCTTGAGGGGTATTTTGGGAAGATCATCGCCGTCAATCTCTTCACCATCCTTGCCGACACTCGATTTACCATTCGAGTCACCCGTTCCACTCCTTGACGGCGCACTTTGTGATCCCCCATAGGAACTGGCCGTAGCCCCCGGGGCAGGTGTCTGGCTAGGCGTGGGGACAGCTGAAGAAGGTTTGGACGGGTTGGGCAAAGGCCTAGGACCCATACGCAGTTTGGCACCCCCGAGAGGGCTGACCGTTCGTCCGTTGCTCGGCGAGTTGGTGTCTCGGGGCGCGTGAGGTAGATGATGTCTATCGGGTGAGGGGCTTTTGGAGCGAGCCGGGGCAGCGCTGCGGAAGGGATTGTTGGACTTGAGATTTCCTCCTTGGGGCGCCGGCTGGACAGGGGGTAGAAGGGGCGCAGGCGTAGGAGACGGAGAGCGAGAGGATGATGCCACGCCAGAGGTCGGCCCGACTGAGAGCATTTGCATCTGCTGCTGAGCAGAATGTTAGCCGCGTTGCTGCTTGCGAAGGAGATACTTACACCACGATCCATCCTCGTCTCCTTCTTACTCCTTTCTCTGACCTCCCGAAGTTCCTTCTCGTCCACCGCCATCCTTTCCAAGTCGTCATGCTGCTTGATAACCTCTGCCAGCATCGCATGTGTCTCAAATAACGTCGCAAGCGCACGCTCTTCCAGTGTGGACTCTGGGCCTTGAGTGTCGGCAGGGGGGCCGTCGTGAATCATCAAAGCCCCAGACTTACTGAGCCTCTCGCGAGATTGCGAAGCCTCCGCCTGTGCCCAGTCCATTTGGTTGGTCAGGCTCGTATAAGCATTAAACACCTTTGGATAGAATTCTCTGATGACAGGCTTGTACTCCAGCTCCTCCGGCCTGGTGTAGAGAAGTGCTTCCCCAAGCAATTTGGCACTTTCCTGCGCTGCTGTGCACTCTTCTTCCAGCCTGCGGATATCTTCGGAATGGGACGGCAAGTCTTTATAGCCAGGCCCAGCTGCAAACTCAGGACCAGCATAATCCCGAGGAGGGCGAGGGGGAGGCGGTAAGGAGGTTGGCTGAGAGATGTGCGAGTTGTGTGAAGAGTGGGATGCAGGGGCAGGGTGGACCTGAAGATTGGCCATTTGTGAAGTGGGTGGCTGATCCGGATTGTGAGAATAGATGGGATGATCTTGCGGCATCGGCCGGCCCTGTAGTCTTGTCAGCGCACCCTCGAATGTCGTTTAATACGACTCACAAATTCTGGCTCTTGCGGCAGCTTGACCTTTTTCCACAGATCTGTCAAGCCCCCGCACTCCTTATCCATCCCATAAGCATAGGTCAGGTCCGCCAATATATCGGTGAGAAGCTTCTTGGTCGAAAGCGACACTGTAGCTTTGGCAGGGGGCGTCGTAAGGATGGGTTCGAGAGCTTGGACGAACTTTTTGTTCGTAGCATGGGCTGGACTTCTGTCAGCTTAAGCCTCATGGGGTCGGGATGTAGACTCACCCTTGAACCCCTTGACCGTGATGTTTCTCATCAACACAAACCACACCTTTCCCGCGCTTCTCCGCTGCATCTCATCACCATATTTGAACTCTTTTCTCAGCGCCCTCGCCGCTTCTTTGGCTATCGACTCTCCTTGCCCAGAATGATTTATACGATCACAAACTTCATATATAGCGGGTGGCGAAGGGTCCGGAGAGGTACACAGTATTTCTACATCGACGTAAGTCAAGGCCGCATGGTACTAAAAGACACAAACTCACGGATGGCTGAAGCCACATCATTCACTTGGGCCACCGCCGCACTATCCCTCCTGCTGAAATCCAGCCCTAGTAATCTCCCCTTTGGTTCTTCTTCATTCTGGCTGACACTTTGACTTTGCGTCGACGTGGACAGCGAATCTATCATGTCTAGACCTCTTCCGTCGCTGCTGCGTCTCGCCTCGTCCACCGATTGCCGCCAGTCACCAACAGCATTAGGCTGCAGAGAGACGGACTGCATCGAGCCATGGCCTGCAGCATGGCTCTCTGCTTGCGCTTTTTTATTCTTCTTGTCTGACGATTTGACCGTAATCCCCCAAAACTTCTTCTTGCCCTCTTTCGCTTTTTCGTGATCGGGCGGCTGCTGCTCTTCTCTAGGAGGCAGTGGCAGGTCTTTGTTACCGTACATCTGGTCGTCGACTGGGATATGAGGATTGGGGAGATCAATGGGGGTAGCCCGCTGCGGTTGTTCCCTCGAAACGTGGTTGGGTTGAGTCTGGGGAGTTGGCGTAGCAGCACTACTGGCGGGTGTGTAGGGCCTGGGTGAGGGGAAAGTCGGGGGATTGTCCGTGGACGATAGCGTCGAATAAGTGTGCGCCAGTGGCGATCTCAGGTTTGCTGGTTGCTGTTTCTGTAGTTTCGCCGCCGATCCGTCTCTTGGCACGGCATGCTGTGTGGCTACACTCTCGTTCTGGTGACCGTCAACCCGTGTGGCCATCGCAGGCGACGAGTAACCCCTCTCTCTGCCAGACTTTCCTTCGTCCACGCCCATGGCATTGGGCGTAGTAGACTGCTTCAAATTACTCTGTGAATAGCGCATATGGATGGGGTACGGCGGTCGTGATGTTGGGGGCGTTGGGGGCCGAGCACCCGGCGGAAGGAACATGGTGGTGTGAGTCGATTGGCTCGATGGAGACGAGTTGGCTGATGAGTGTGATTGCGCATAGCCTTGAGCTTGGCTTTGGTGGGAGAAGGAGGCATTGGGAATAGGTAGAGCGTGCTGGGGGTAAGTGCCTTCGTAGGCAGCGCCAGGAGCCCCTCCAACAGCGCCGCTTGCGGTAGGGACAATAGTCCACCCATCTGGTGATGGCGAGGACTGGTACCCCCGCGACGTTCGTTGCCCGGGATGTATGGGCGGGGGTTGCTGAGGCTGCCCTCGCCGTCGCGAATCTCTTGACGCCGGGTCCTCAGCCTGAGAACGCTCCTGATCCCGGCGCTCTTGCATCTGCTTGATCTCCAGCATGCTTGGAGCACCAGGCGAGCCCTCCTTGCCCTTCTGTCCTGTCGTTGGCGGCGTCTGCTCAGCCCCGGCATCGCTCGGAAAGGGCGTCACCTCCGTCTGATGGTGCATACCGAAGCCCCATTTGTTGTGATCGTGATGTGGTGTATGCTGCTGTTGTTGCGGGGGGGAGGGGCGCTGTTGAGCATTATCGTAATCAGAAGACTCTCTTGCGGCCCCGCCACTGAAGAAGGCAGCGATGCTCCTCCCTCCCTGATGTCCCGGCGTCGACCTGCCCGAGGGAGGGTTTGACGGGGGCTGTGAGGACGGCGGGGGGAGGGGGTCCACTTGGGGGGCCTTCTTGAAGATGCGCTTCATGGGTGCGCTGGGTCGTTTCTGTCGTAGCTGATCGTTGTCGCAAGAGAGGTGGTGGCCATCTATCGAGCAGTCCCAAGCATCGCCGCGCTGCCCAGTCGTCAACAACACCGCATAGACTGTGCCTGATTATGTAACATGACAGGCTGCCGGAATTTGGCCCCCGCCGGAAAGTGCGTGGTGTGCATGCTATGGATACGGCAGACATGCATGCTGCCCACCTCAAGATGGGAGTCATTCTGTGTCTTTGTTGGCTGTTGAAAGATTGCTCAGCACTTGAGGGGTCGTCGCCAATCGCGGTGCGCGTTCAGTAATGCAGCTGATGACACTTCGGGCGGCGTGTACGTCTGTAAATGAAGCCTTTCGACGACTGTCCAAAGCAAATTACCGTCCCCGTATACCTAGGGGCTTGGGAACTCAATAAAATCGTATCCTGCGGCCGCTACATGCGAGACGAGGAGTCTCGAAGGGTCACGGTCCTATGACTATCACTCAACATGGACTGCGCAAAAAGGTGCAGCCCTCGCCGCGCGCCTTTTCTGATCGATGCTGCGGAAAGAGATTGCTTACATAAAATGGTACAAGTGCTCTCCTTATCGTTCAACGTCAACCCCAACACTTCAATTATGGTAATGGAGAAGCCCACAGAGCCTCCAAAACAGCCAAGCATCAAGGCGGCGATATGCGCAAAGAAGTAGTGTACTCGTATCCGCGGCTGCGACGGCATGTTTCCGCTGATCGTTGGTGTGATTCCGCCGCAGGGTGTACAAAATGGAACTAAGAGACGATTCCCATATATCATTTCCAAACATGTATCTCATTCTTGTTTATATCATACCTCTGACTGCTCTTAGTCTCAAAGACCTATCGATCGCATCATTGCTATCACTTGTAGCCATGTCCAACCAACGTCAGCATCTCATTGCTTCGGCCGACAACGATACCCAGCTAGTCAATGCCCCAATCGGGTCGAGCGGGCTGGAGCTTGCACCATACAGGTATGTCGATGAATTCTCCCTAACGTTGAGAGCGAGCGTTGACCAAACCAACAGATACGCCTCAATAGCGCAACAGGGTGTGATGATGAAAGGTTGGGAAGACGCGTCTAAACAGAAACCCACTCTCAACTCTGAGCTGTCACTGTCAGCCCCAGAGACAGCTTTGGCCTGCAGGGTTGGGTCTCATCGTCGATCAAGTTCAGCGCCCCTTTTGACTCGAAAAATCACCGATCCATCCTCTTCCGAGAGGGGAGACAGCCGTTTGGTCGACCTCCCACCCGAGCTCCTGATGATCATCATCAAGCAACTTCCATTGAGCGACATCATGGCTCTGCAGCAAGTGCCTTTCCGGTTTCATGAACTTGCAAAAACCGCCGGGGCACTTCTCTATACTCACATCAAACTCGAGGTCCCGAAGGCATACAAAGGCCGACACATTCCCATATTTATCTCAAAGCACGTCTTGCCCCATGTACGAGGACTCGACGTTCATTTTTTGGATCCCTTCAGCTATCTCGACGAACGAAGCGACAGTTCAGCACACGACAATCTCCTACGGGGTATAGAAAACGCGGTGCCGGAAAACCAGTTGAGATCCTTCTCCCTGAGTACTACTCGTCATACACTCCATCCGACACATGTTGCGGAGCATAGCAGCAACAAATGGATCCAGTACATCTACAACAAGCAGGAAGCGCTTCGGACGCTAGGCCTCGGAGGCGTCGACGCTGGCTTTTACGATCTTTCGCTGGTGGCCATGCTACCAAAGCTTGAAGGTCTCGAATTGGGCCCTCTAAAGTTTGTCTGGATGGATACCAGCGGTTTGTTTCTGTTTCCGTTCGCGTTCGAAGGAGGAGGGCGGTTCGAGTACTGGCCGAGCCTTCGCAGGCTGTCTCTCCTCAGACATTGTCCGAGACCACCAATGTTTTACAGATCAGTCATCGACCACTTTCCTCCCAAACTTGAAGGGCTCGTGCTCGATGGTATCCTCGTTCCCGAGGAGCTTACCATGAACGACATTGCACAGATCCAATCGGTCACCCTGGGATGGGACGGTGTTGCAAGACCGAACCGGCTACGGGTGATCAGTCTCAACGAATGTCATCTGGATGTGGCCGAGCTCCTCAAGTTGCAATACCATTGGCTTCTGGCACGCATCCATGCCCTCGACAGACTACCCCTGGAAGAACGACGGGGATACGATATGCCCATCATCAGCGTCGGCAATCCTTCCGCTTTCAAGCTGGTAGCGTGGTGGCAGAGGTATTACGACGGCCAGAAGTTGGATTCTGCTTCCCATCGGAGACTTGCAGCACAAGCAAAGCAGGTGATGGCCTTGTCTAAAATTGACGAACTTACGGAGGAGGTTGTGCTCCAGCGCCAGCGAATACACCAGAGGATTATATGGCTATATGGCTGGGATATGCCCCCTACAGTGGTATCATGGCTCAATGCGAGAAATAAATGGCGACAGATGGTATGTGTACGCATGTAAACCGATGTGAGAATTATATTGACCTGTGTACTTCAGAGAGAGCTCGCGTGGCGAGAGGTGAACTAAATTTGCAGTAGAACAGTACCGCCGAGGCGAAGTCAGCGGGTGAGCAGCCATCAAAATTAAATCGACCACAGCCGCAGAACGACATTTTGAGTACGCACACGACATGATAGACTCTACATGCAAATGAAACTCAACAACCTTCAATGCCACCTCATCCTCAACATCTTTCTCATCACCGCTGGCCGCGCCACCATGATACCCGCACTCAACGCCCCCAATGTCAACAGCAACTGCGCCTTGTTGAAGCTGTCTGACAAGATGTCAAACGTCCCGGCTGGCGACAACCCACGAGTCAAGAACATATCTTGCCCCCATCCGAATACAAGTCCTGTCGATTCGACAAGAGCGGGGGAGGAGAGGATATTGGTGATGCCTTGGAGTGGGTAGACGTGGGAGATGACTTTCCGGGTGTCGATAGGGATGAGGGGGTCGTAGGGGATGAGGAACTCTTCCTTGTCACGCGAGGATGGTTTTCCTACAGGACGACGAGGGTCAAGAAGACGACGGGCGACAGATGTGATTTGATTGCGGTCATTGATAACTAGTTGGGTATCAGCACTGGAGCAGTAGATATATGCAAGACTTACTGATGAGCTCTTTGGGCGTAATCCCGGCTTTGGATGTAGTAAAGCCCAAGGTTTTGATTGCGGTGGGAATGATGAAAGTCTGAGCAAACACTTGGATCTTTTGAGCTTCGAACGTCGACACGGCAGGACTACTCATGTGTCAGCTCCATACCTGACATTGACGAAGGACTCACGTAACACCCTTGTCCGCATCTTCGTAGATCTCCACACTTGCGATCCTCCATCCTCCTTCACTCAGCCACGAATACACCAGCCAGTTCTCCACCATGGCAACCTTGACTCCCCCTCGTTCCTTCACACCCTCTATAGCTGTCTCATACACCACCTCCCCAGAGACACTGTCCACCACATAGACCTTCCCCTGTCCGACATGTTCACCCGCTTGCAGAGGGTTAAGAGCTTCAGAGGAGGAATGCGTGAACGTAGAAACAACGAGAAGATGGGGGTTGAGGTATTTGTATAGGGTAGACTTGTCGCCGAGGACGCGGCCAAAAGAGGCGATGGCGGAGGGCTGGAGAGGTTTCGAATCGATTATCCGCTCGTGCTCTGTGAAAGGACGAGACCACAAGAGCGTGGAGGTAAAGGCAGAAGTGCTTTCGGGAGTCTTTGGTCCAGCGAGAACATATCCCTTGAGGACGGCGCTGTCAATGTTTGAGATGGTGATGTAGAACGGCTTTTCGCCCTCGGCGATCTGACCCACCACTGTCTTGCAGCCTGGCCAGATGGATACCTCGTCCTTCTCATTGACCAGACCCAACACTCTGATACCACTCCCACAGTTCTTGTAGATTGTCGCAAAGACCTCCTTCACGACTCCTTCAAACAGATAAGTTCCCTTGGGAAGGCCTGTGGTGGGATGCACATCGCCCAAGACTTTGCCCGTGTATGCTTCCACGTGGAAAGCAACGGTAAAGGAGCGCGTTTCTGTAAACTGAGTGGCAACCACGCCCAGGATCGGCGAATCTGTTTCGCCTTCTTTGACCAGGTCTATTGTTTCAACCTGAATCTCCGATCCCTCTTTGGTTATAAGCCCAAGATTCAATGACCAAACACTTTGTCCGTTGGATGAATCAAGGGCCACAAGCTTGCCATTGGCAGTGCCGACTACAAGCAGCTTTTGGAGACCAAATCGGTCGCGGTGGAGTCGGTCCTTGATGAGAGGGGTAAGATGAAGCGCAGAAGAGTAGGACGCGCCTGTGAGCCTTTTGGCAAAGTTGATCAGGTAGCCAGGAAGGTCTTTGAGCGCTTCGAGGTGCCTGACAGACCTGCCTACGAAAGACTCTTCTCCAAGGATCTCACGTACTTCTTCAACCTCAGGTTCGCCCAAGTCGACGAATTTGGCGGCGACCACGTCTGCAAGTGCTTCTTCCCTGACCCAGAGAGGAAGCGAGTCGAATTGAGAGCGAAGAATGGCAGATGCCGAGGTGGTCAAAACGAGAGAGGGCAAATGCTTGGCGTCGAGCGAGGGAGAAACGGCGGCATGGAGGAGAACCCCATGAGAGAGGTCATCGTAGGGGAAGGTGAAGCCGGAGGTGATGACGTCGGCGGAGGTGAGGTAGGGAATGTCGATTGTCTGGGCAACAGCGATCTACAAGGCGTCAGCGAGGATTGCAAGAAAGTTTGAGAACTCACACCCATCGAGAATGACCAGTATACCCGGTTGACGATGACGCCGTTCTCGGTGATTGTGCCAGAGTAGACAGACTCGGATCGCTCAGCCGCATCTGCTGACAGCTCAAACTCCTCAATCTTCTTCCCTTCCTTTACATCTAGCACCTCGACACCCCCGTCTTCACGCTTTCCAAGAACGATTCCCTGCTCTCGTAGCCCGACGTCGATGATGGATGCGTAATGTCTGCCATTGCCAGGGAGCATGTCTTTGATCTGTCCAAGCGACCCGTCTTCGTGCACGAGCAGGCTCCTGATTCTTCCATGCTCAAACCACACCACTTGTGCCCCTCCAGGTTCGGCAGAGGACGCGATCATAGCTTGTTCGGGGATCTGGACGATAGAAGGCACTTGGCCAAAATCGCCTCGGGGAATGGGACTGTCCAAAGCGATAGTCGACGTGAGCAAGCTTTGGACGGCGAAAGAATAGTGCAGGGCGAGGATATGGATAGAGTTGCCGGAAGGCCGGATTTGTTTGAACACCATGTTGGAACCAGCACTGGGAGAGTCCATGCTCCAGACGATTTGACCGTTGTCATGCCTCAGTCTCGTAACGCGTCGTCCGTCGGAAAGTATGACCCAGGTAGCGGGCGCGCCGTCCTCTTGTTGGGGTACAAACGCAGCATCGGTACCGAGATGAACCGGTGTGCTCAGCTGGGAGGTGGCGGGAGGAAGGAGAGGGTAGTGCCAGAGGAGGTGGCCGGTGGAGAGGGAGAAGAGACGAGCCGAGGACGCGCTTGGGCCGGAAAGGAGTAGGATGGCTGCAGAGGTAAGCGTGGCATGACATAGCAAGTGATGTTCTTACTGTCATCTTGAACGTGGAATGACACTACAGGGTCATTGTCTTCCAGCTTTTGTCTCCAAGCTACACCAGTCAGCATTATGCAGGCGACCCGAAGACTACTCACCTATGTCTCCGTTCTCGGCATTGATTGCTGCCAGAACATTGTTGTTTGTTATCAGAGCTACTCTTCCACCTGAAAAATTTGTGCGCTCGATATACAGAGGCGGCGTCGGGGTCAACAATGGCTGCCCAATATAAGGCTTGTGCCAGTCAACGATGCCCGCGAGGTTGTCCTGGAGCGCGAGGGTGGCAGGAAGGGCGGCGAGGAAGAGGAAGGCCGTGAGCAGACACGATATCAAGGGGGACCCCTTTGCTTTTATCAGCATGTCGCCGTCATACGCTTGGAGGGATACATGATGGAATGCCTTCGCTCTGGCTGACGCGCAAGGAGGTGGACGGTGGAGGTCCGCGAGCATGGCGGGGGACACCGCCAATGTGCGCTTACGTTCGCGCCATGGATCGTGAAGAAGTAAAGCTTAAGAAGACTGATCTTTGAAAGCATATGCATGGGGCAAGAGTTCTCAGCAGTACATGTGTATGTCTTGGTAGTACAGTACACGCAGCAGACATGCGGTGTTAGGAAAGAAACATATAGCTTCAGTCCGGCTGGTAGGGAGTGGAATGGTCCATGATAGACCCAAATCCTCCTGGATACCACGCAATGCTCTATGGAACAGTCATATATTTATGCCTCTACATGAGCTATAGAGCACTCCTGCTGCATATCCAGAGTAATACCCAGGTCTGTCAAACCTGCCGCATGCGGTGGTTGAGTGATTCGGAGATTTGCGGGGTTTCCCGCCAGTGTAAGCGAGGGCTGTGGTGTGGCGGTGTGATCACGCTTTCGCTGTTGTTGCGTCCACTGAGCATTCATTCTCCCCATCTCCGCCATGTCCCACGCCGAGCAACTACAGACACTGCAAGCCATCTTCCCAGATTGGGACGAGCAAGACCTCCAATTCGCCCTTTCCGACGCCAAGAACAACGTCGAAGATGCCGTCCTCATGATCTCTGAAGGTAAATCGTACGCAATGTCAGATGCGGGTGGTGTCTCGGGGTATATCGAAAGGGTCGAAGGGAGCATATGGCCAGTGAAAGAGGACAGAGATCAGTGCGGGCGGAATCGTGCCGTAGTTTGCTGGAAGTAATCTACCGGTGCGCGCAGAGATGGACTGGTGTGGTGGAATTGAAAAGAGTCATCAGGGCGATATCAACATTGCGTACTGTGTGCAAGTGTAGAGATCCCCGCAGAATATCGCCCGTACTGCTGTCACGAACAACGCTAACGCAGTGTGCTCTTAGGTCGCGCCCAACAATTCACAACAGCTAGCAAGAAGAAGGCCGCCAAGCCAAAGGACAAGGCCCTCTCTAACAGAAACGCAGACACTGGAGGCTGGGGCGATGCTACCGTAGAGACCGGCTTCGGCAAGCCTTCAAGGGGCGGTAGGGGAGGTAGCAGGGGCGGGCGTGGTGGACGCGGTAGTGGTGAGTCGATCATGAAGATCACCGCAGTGCGTGGCTGACGCATTGTAGAACCCATTCGTGGTGGCCGTGGTGGTGCTCGAGGAGGACGTGGTGGTGCCCGAGGCGGCCGAGGCGGTTTCTCCAATACCGATGGAGCCGCCCCTGCCTGGGGATCTTCCAACAACGCTGGAGAGTCATCTACCACCCCCGGTGGATGGGGCGAAGCTGCGGCTGCTGAGCCTGTCAAGGCCGACGAAGGAGCTGGAGCCTGGGGCGCCGAGCCTGAGGCTCAACCTTGGGACGAAGCTCCCAAGCAAGCCGACGCTGTGCCGGGACAGAGCAAGGGCGACGACTTTGCGAGCTCTGGTGGATGGGGCGATGCCCCGGCGGCCAAGGAGGTTGAGAGCGCGGCCAAGTCGAATGGAAACGCATGGCAGGCAGAGATTGACAAGCCTGTGCCGGTCGCTCAGCCCTCAGCACCTGTGGCCAAGCCGAAGCTGACTTGGGCCCAAATCGCAAAGTACGTTGCGGAGAGTGTCTTTTTGAGTTTCTGCTGACTTTCTGGTAGGCCCGCTGAGAAGCCCAAGCCTGTCCCTCCTCCCGCTCCTGTCGCCCCCGAGCCCCAACCCGAACCCGAGACCGAGGCCACAATCACCTCTGATGAACCTGTCGCTCAGGACGAAGTCGCTGTCACTCCCGAAGCCCTCCAAGACACCACTCCCGAGCCTGTTGACGCCCTCGGCGATGCGCCTGCCCAAGACGAAGTAGAAGCTGAGGCTGAAGCGGCCGGTGCGTCTACCGAGGCGCCCGCCGAGGAGCAGCCCCAAGAGTTGTTGCCCGAAGAGACCGCTCCTGCTCAGGCAGACAAGTGGGAGACCGATCCCGCCATTGCTGGTTCTGGTGCTCAAAAATGGGCGGAAGAGCAATCCACTGCCGCCCCTGAGCCCCCTACCACCTACCAGGGTCCTCCCGGTTTCAGCGCTGTCGCTTCCAAGGCTGCTCCCGGCGTCCAAGCTGGCCCCAGGTCAAACTCCCGTGCCGCTCAGCGATACAAGGAGGCCGAGGGTCAGGGTGTCGTGCTCCCTGCCAGTGTTGGCGGCGTTGCTGGTGTCGAGATGCAATTCGGTAGCTTGAGCTTTGGTGGCCTCAATGGCGATGGTGTGGACTCTCCTGCGCCGGAACCCAAGCAAGAGGCTCCCCAACAAGCTGCCCCTATTCAGGCTCAGCCCGCTGCTTCTCCCGTCGCCCACACTCAACCTCCGGCTCCCACCCAGCAACAAGCCCCTGCGTCCACCGCTTCTCAACCTCCCGCTCCCCTCTATCAACAGCAACAGCCCGGCTACTCTGCTGCCCCCACACCCCACCAGACCCTCCAACAGCAGATGCAAAACTACCAATACCTCCAGCAACAACAGGCTCCTGCCCCTGTCCACTCTGCCACCCCTGAACAACACGCGGTGCAGCAGCAGCAACAGGCTCAGAACCAATTCTACCGAGGGCAGGATTACTACAGCCCGATCGGCTCTCACGGAGAGCAGGCCCAGCAGCAGCAACAGGCCGCTGCCCCTCAACCTCAGCCTCAGGCTTCCAACAGCCCTTACGAGCCTTTCGGTGCTTTCGGTCAGCAATCTAGATTCTTGGGTCAACAGGCCAACCAGCACGTCGCCCAGGGTTCTGATTCCTACGGCGCTGCTCAGAGAGTAAGTCATCTGTGTCGCGCGAGTTCATTGCTAATCATTTGTAGCAATCGTACGACTCTTATGGCGCATCTGGCTACCCTCGACCTCCAGTGGAAGAGCCCAAGCCTGCTGCTACTCCTTCTCACCCTACTGCTGGGCAGCTGCCTCACCAACAGAGTGGTTACTACTCTGGCATGGGCAACATGGGCTACTACCAGCAGGGTCCTTACAACCCTTACTACCAATGTGCGTCTATTCAACATTGTAAGGCGTTTTGCTGATATTGTATAGACGGCCAAGCCCCTCAAGCCGGTTTCCAACAATACTACCCTATCGCCGGCCGAGGTGTCTACGGCCAGCCCGCTCCTCAGCCTGCCCCCGCTCCTATCCCTGCCAAGCCCCAGGCGACTCAGTCTCCCTACGGCGGCCCCTCCCCTTACCCCGCTTTCAACTCTGAAGACTCTGCCTTTGGTGGTCTCGGTCGATACGACGCCAAGCCCGCTGGCGCTGCCCAGCCCAACGCCGCTGCTCAGACCCCTGCTCAGTCCGGTTCTGCCCTCGGTGGCTCTTATGGCTCCCAGGGCTTGCACGGTTTCTTGGGCATGAACAACACCCAAGCCGGTGCTGCTCGTCCCCAGGGCGCCTCTGAAGACAACAAGTACGGCGGTGCGTCCTCCAACCAGGTCGGCACCCCCAACGTGTCTGCCGCCAACCCCTCCGCGCCCAACTCTGGTATCGCTGCTCAGCAGGCTCAGGCTGCTGCTCAAGCTCAGGCTGTTCAGCAACAGCAGCAGCAGCAACGAGGCCCCTCTGCCGCTGGTCAACAGCAACACCAGCCCCAGCAGGCGGGTCAGCAGGGTGGCTTTGGAAGCTACCCTTACGGTGGCGGCTACGGTGGTCAGGACTGGGGACAGTACGGCGGGCACTATGCCGGTAGGGGTGGCTACAGTCAGTGGCAGCAGTAGGAGGTCTGAGATCTGTGACAGTGCAGTATTGCAGTAGGTCAAACAAGAAGAAGATAAAAAGAGGAGAGGGTGTAATTTAGTTGAAAAACATACTATGCCTCAACGTGAAAATTCATCTCGGCTGGATCTTTGATCATCAAGTTGATCCTTCGTATTCTACACATCCTTTTTTCCATTCTTTTGCATCTCCTCTTTCCACAACACAAGCATCGTTTCAACCTTTTCCCCATCTCAAGGCCAGAATGGCCATTATACTTATACTTTACAGATGTAATCGTCAAATATTGATTCATTGTGTGTCATGATCGGTTTTCGTTTGTCTGACATGCGCTCACTCTCGAGCGGATGGATGACTGGGCGATTCATATAGTGACGATTATCATTCACCGAGCTCTACCTAGTATCTTGCGGACCCAGCTTTTATTCTCCGTCGTACCACCGTCATCAAGCGCGCTCTCCCTGGCCTCTTTCAACCCTTTGATCTCCTTATAAGTGACGCTCATGCCTTCAAAGCCTTCCCATTCTCCACCCTCCCTAGTCTGTATTGCCATCCATCTGGCAGCTTCAGCTTCGAGCTCGCACTTGATACTGCCCCACCAGTTGGAGCCTCTGCAGCTGGGTCGGTAAGACTTGAGATGGGCAGAGAGCTTGTCAGCAAGGGTACTTAAGCTTTTGGGTTTAGTGGTTGCTACTTTCGAGCCTGTAGAACATGACCGTCCTCCCCCTATGCCCTCTTCTTGCAGTGTCGTCGACTGGCGCACGGGGGACGCAGTCATGGAAGGGCGAAAAGCAAAAGTCATGAAGCGGCGCCTATCTGCAGGCGTCGACGCAACGTTGGAGATATCATCAATGTGATAGTACAGGATGCTTTTGTCCGGGTGATTGTCAGGTGTAGACGATGTGGACGCGTCATCGTCATGATCAGAAAAAAGAGAAGAAGAGCCAAGGAGAGGAGTGTCTGTTGATCTTCGCTGTGCGCGGGCCGCTTCGTGGCTTGCAGACATGTTTCTGGGGGAATGAGCTGGCTATGGGTACAAGTACAAGATCATTATATATCCGAAGGCAGCCGATAGGTGCATACTGCTCGTTAAACTATACTTCTCCGCCACTCATGTACGGGTACCTTCGCAGTAGAAGGTTCCTTAAATGTTCTTCAAGGGAAGCTTCTGCCATAATGACTGCATTTACTTACACTGCAATTCTTATCGGATCACTTTCACTTATGGCACTTCCATTTATGACTGCGTGTGCTAGACAGACATGCAGCTGCCCACCGCGCTTGGTCTCCGCAGAAAATGTTGCCAACAACAGAAGAAGAGACACGTCACATGAAAGGAGTGATGTTGGGGACTGTGAGTGACCTTGTGGGTCGCATAATTCGACCGGTATTGAATGGCATAAGAGCGTAAAAGGGTATGAGGGCACCAGAAACTGCTGCATCATCGAGTAGTAGTAACAGTGCAGGCCCGCCGTATCGTTCAACCTGCCCACGCAAAGCATAGTGGCGGTACGGAACCAAAATGTGTAGGGTGCATCCCCCCATTTAAGGGCCACACAATGCGTGGGTGGATTTGAATCCTCCTTCTCCATCTTGTTTCCTTCATCCCTATTTCCATTCAACAATCAGCATGGCCGACAACACCGACGATCTCTACGGCGGTAGGTCATTCCGCTGGCCGCTATCACCCCACTGACTTTCACAGACTTGGACCTCGAGGACCTCGACGCCTCCCAGCTCGAAGAACTGGTAGAGCCGCCAGAGCTCGACGTCGCCCCTTCATCCACTCCCGCCCCTTCTCACACCTCCCAACCGGCTCCTGCGCAATCTCAATCCCAGTCTTTCTCGCAACCCTCCGAACAGCCTGCTCAGCAACATCAATTTGGATACAATTCTTTCGATCAGCAACAACAGTCGGACAGCGCCGGAGATAGGATCAAGCCAAGTGATATGCCTGATGAGGGGTTAGTAGTCTACTCTTATTCTCTATGCTCCCTGTTTTATCGGTTCCGTCATTTGGAGTGACGTAGCGGAGATGCGCTTGCCGTAGACGAAGTTGCGGCAGGAAAGGAACGTCGGGAACGCGCGTTTGATGTCGCGTGACGCACCCAGTTTGATAGGTCGCTATCGCGTTGCCATTAAGGCCGCTCGCGGCCATAGATAGGCCATAGCCAGAGTAGGAGTATCGTAACAGTGTAACGTACCCTCCTAGACCCTTTCCCCCTCATCTTGTGTACTTGTCGTAATAGAGCTGAACTAATAATCTGTATCCTTCATCTATAATCAATCGCTGTCCCTCTATCGTACTGGATGCCATGCACCGCACTCCTCGGCCAACCCTTGCCTCACATCATTTCTCGTGACCGTGTCTTTGACAAAACAGTAAGATGTTCATCGGTGGTCTGAACTGGGAGACAACAGAAGGTTGGTCAAATTCGTTTGTAGCGGTTCATACGGATACTGACATCATGTAAAGATAGTTTGACGACGTATATGGGGCAGTTTGGTGAAATTGACGCGTGTACCATCATGCGAGACCCTTCCGGGCGCTCCAGAGGCTTCGCGTTCTTGACCTACAAGAGCCCTACGAGCGTTACCAAGGTCATGGCTCAGCCCCACGTCCTCGACGGCAAGCAGGTAGGTCACCTCTTCACCCCACTGACTGGGCTGACGTCTCGTCAGATTGACCCCAAGCGTGCCATTCCCCGAGCCGAGCACGAGCGCACCGCCAAAGTCTTTGTCGGCGGTCTCGCTCCCTCCGTGACCGGAGAGTCCCTCAAATCTTTCTTGTGTCAATTCGGCCAAGTCATGGATGCCACCGTCATGTTTGACAAGGAGACTGGAAGGTCGAAGGGTTTCGCGTTTGCTACATTCCAAGATGAGGACAGCGTGGGCAGGGCTATGGCGGCGAGTGGAATCGAGTTGGAAGGAAAGGCGGTGAGTTATCCGTATTGTCAGTGATTGGAAATAGGCTGATGTTGAATTCAGATCGAGATCAAAAAGGCCCAACCAAGAGGTACGGCTCAAGGTTCAAGATCCACCTACCAGCAGAACCGATTCGGCGGCAATCAGCCGAATGCCTTTGGCGGCGGTATGGGTGGTGGCTTTAACGGTGGCGGTGGCTTCGACCCCAACTCTATGGCCATGATGTACCAGAACATGATGAAGCCTGCAGGTGGCATGGGTTAGTGTTTCTATCCTCTCGTCGGAACACTTGGCTGACTGGTATCAGGCGGCATGATGGGCGGCTTTGACCCCAGTGCCATGGCTATGATGTACCAGAACATGATGAAGTCCATGGGAGGAGGCAACGCTCCGGCTATCAACCCCAACATGGCTATGCGCTCGCCAAACGATTCTGTCTCTTCTGGAGCTGCGCCAGGCATGAACAACATGATGGGGATGGGTATGGGTGGCATGGGAATGGGCGGGATGGGCGGGATGGGCATGAACATGGGCGGGATGGGGATGGGTATGGGAAACATGATGGGCGGTGGAATGAACAGAGGAGGGGTATGTCTGCTTCCAACCAACATTGTGAATACGTGCTGATACAAGTGCAGATGGCCAGCCGACCTCCTAACGCTCCTCGTGGTCCTGCAGCTATGCGAGGTCCTCAGCAGGGTGGCGTCACCCCTCAAGGCCCTGGCGCTCAGCGATACTCTACCCAGGGTAACGCCAGGGCCAGACCTTACTAAGCTTTCTAACGAAGCTCTCATTCCTTTGTCTCTCTAGATCACTTTTCGGGCGTCGTCAAACTATATGTACTGAGCAGAGATTCTGTGTAGACGAAGATTACAGTGTAGGATGTGAGCATGCACAATATACTATATCGTTATGGTCAGAGTTATATACGTCGATGTGCCGCGACCTGCTGCTAGGATCTCTCGCAGTGGCTGCGCTGGTATACATGGTCAACATACCGTACACCGTTGAGCATAACCAGGACGTGTTTTTGATAATCGATACCCTTCTGCTCGATATCGACCAGCACCTTTCGATGAAACGCCCGCAGGCCGTAAGCGTCATCCCTCTAAATATGCATGTAGCTCGAGGACATGGGTCAATTCGAATGCTTGTAGGAGTCAGCGGATGCTGTAAGAGTCGAGATTTGTGCACTTCCGGACATCATTTGCACTCCTATAGTGCAACAAAGCCAAGTGCTATACAACTCTCCGTAGTTTAGTGTGGTTTAGAGCGTCAGACTGTAATTGGTTACAATATTCACATCTGAAAGTCGTGCGTTCGACTCGCACCGGGGAGATTCTTTTTGCCTTGTTTTGAGTCTTTCTCTTTTCCGTCAACACCGATGCATATAGGATTGTCTGCTAGGTATACGTGTATGATGGTCTTTCTTCGATCCTCCTATTTTTCTTGAGGCGACACCTTGCTGGTTACTCGTCTTTCGCCATGGTCGCCTCTCTCTGCTCTTGCGCCCCGCATGCCTCTTGCTCTTCGCGCTGCATATGCGCAATGGGTCAGTCACCGTGAGTGTGCATGTCGAGCAAACCAGAGGGTTTTGTCAAAGGGCTATGGGACGCTCTTATATCCACGTATTGTACAGATCGGGTCCACTATGGAAGTCAGTGTAATGTTTCATCAGAAAATCAAGCGACATGCTCACATTTGGTCGTTAACCACCCTGCCCCACCAATCGCCATCCAGGGCCTCCTCGCTCTCAGCGTCCCCTGATAACCTATTCATATTGAACAGCTGGGACTCGAACGTGTTGAGCCTCTTCCACGACTCGAACAATCCTCTTTGAGCCCGTTCATGGCTTGTAGAGCCCTGTTCCACCGAGAAAAACCCCGCGGAAGGAGTGAAGCGCATGGATTCTTTGGGACTCTTGGGATCTCCTCCACTCCCGTCTTCCAACCTTCTCGGATTCGGCGTCTCAGTCTCCTTCAAGAACTGCGCCATAAAATCCGATACCTTTCCTGCCTGCTTCCAAATGATCTCCAATTCTCTGCTCGCTGCCAAACACGCCCTGATCCCATCTTCTGCTGCTTGCCTCTCAACAGCGGTCTGCTCGACTGTGTATATGCTGACTAGAAGGATGGTCCCCGCTAGCCAAGAGGGAAGTTTGAACGATACGTCGAGGCAGTGTCCGGGTTGGCAGTTTTCTTGTCGACCACGTTGAAGGACCGCTTTGCTGATGCTGCAGATGGAAAGTGCCGCGGTAACGCACGAGGCAAGGGAAGAGAGCTGGTCGATAGTAGCCACTTTGCGTTTGGGAGGGATAAAGTTTCGATGAATGAGCATCTTGACAAAGCCGTGATATCCCCATATACAGGACGTTTGCTGGAAGATTGTGAAATTGGAGCAATTCGGGTCCCAGCGTAGTGCCTCGGGGACATTATCCGCCCACTCTTCAAGTGCCAGATCGAGCTCGATAGCAGAAGCCCGTCTCGTCGCTTGCCTCGAACCCTCTTGTCTAGCAGAGTACAGCAGCTGGAGCACCTTGCCCAGGATCTGATCGAGCTTGAGTAGCTGGATAAACATTGCCACTTTTGACACCTTCCCCTCTGGCTGCTTGAATGACGCGCGACCATCGACGCTCCAATACTCGTCGTCCACATCTTCTGGGAAAGGAGCATCCAGATCGTTGTCCGTCATAGCCACCGATCTCCCCACTATAGCGCAGTTAAACCTATCGAAATGATAGAGACACCAGAAAGCTCGCTTGTACAGCTCTCGCTCGGTGGGCTCAAGCCTTTCAAGTACAGTGGTGAGATGGATGCCGATCTCTTGCGACGAGCGCAGGGCCGATCCAGCAAGGTGGGCGCTCATCTGGGGTGTGGTACTGGACTGGAGAAAGTAGCATATGAGGACTTGACTTTGAAGCTCGTGCAAATCTGGCATGTAGAGGGGATTGTGCCCCATGTGCAGCGCCATACGCAGGTACTTCCACCCCGCCGAGTAAGGCAGCCATTGCTCGTCATAGTCCCTGTTCTGACCTTGCGTCGCCGAAAGCCCTCGTGGCCAGAACGTCCCGGCCGCATTGTAGAAGCGAGCGCCGCAAGCAAAGATCAGGAGGCATACACGCCCAAACCTCTGCTGGCTTCTCCACAAGCCCGAGTCGTACTCCTTCTGGAAGATATGCCGATTGAGGAGGGGAACGTTGATATTGACATGGTCAAAGTAAGCGTTGATAAGCTGCTGGTCGAGACCCATTTCGGGCCATATCGAATAGTCGAGTGGATTCTGACCGACGTCAGAGACAAACTGCTCCCATTCTGGGACTTGCCAGAAATCCTCTCGTTTATCCTTGCTGAGCTTTTCAAATATGTTGCCGCTCTCGCCCGCATCCTGCTTCAAGTCCTGGTAGTGACACACGAGATGAGCGCCGGAGGCTCTTCCGTGGTGCCGCCATCGGACATGCTGGTATTGGAGCCGGCGGAGAGAGTTGACGACAACGACGCTATCATCGCTCGGGTGCTCTATCTCGTCCAGGGACTTGCATCGGCCTGATTCCCTGATGAAGCTGACAGAGTCGATCAGAGCGTTAATGGGTTTTGGGGACGACGGGCTAGCAGGAAGGGGTGATGGCACCGGGTGGAGAGGTTTGAGAGATGGGTAGTCGGGAATGGAGCGGGCCCGGAGCTCTTCTTGGTAAGAGTCGAGGTCAAAATCCTCAAAGTCAAGAGGAGGCCCGACATAATCGTCCAGGTTGACATCCGGATACACCTATGCCCTTGTCAATGAATTTGTTTCGCTATAGCACATTGTACGTACCTCCCGTAGCATCATCTCTAGCCGGCTGCATCTTTGTTCCAGCATTCTGGCGTAGCTACGTGTGCCGTCAGTCAATGGCTTCACAAGGTCGTATTGTTTACCCACGATTTTGTTGGATTCCTGCGCCTAGATGCTTCTTCCAGATATGAGCATTCATAACCGAAACGGTCGCATTGAGCGCACTCTGCTCCATTTGATCAAGATCGAGCTCGAGGGTAGCACAAGTGCGGCTCACTGGCATTGGCGAGACTGTTCATGGGACCTTCACATCGCACCTTCTTTCTTCTACAGGCGTCACAGGCTCTCTGAAATCAACTATGAGCGTATACCTCGACCAAAAAGAGTAGACAGTATACGCACCCTCACTAGGGATGGCGACTTTTTTGGGGCTCGGCGCTTGACCTGTTTGTCGCTGCTCTCGTCGCTACCCTCGGACGTGTAGCCCATGGTGGTGATGTCTGGAGCTGACGGTGCTTGAAGGGATTGAGTGTTGGGGAAGAATGTCAAGAGAAGAAAGTTTGTCACTGAGGAACATAAAGCCGAGCCCGCGCCAAACAGAGAGAGCCCGGCGCGCCGAAATACCGGCCGCAGACATCGCCGAGCTTGGCCTCGGCACCATGTTCCCCAGCGAAAAGATGCATTTGTTGCATCTCGCTCGCACAACGAGATACTCGAGGTTATCCCATATTCAAATGTGCATAAGAAGCCTCTTAGACTCAGGCCTCGAACAGCAGACTCGCCCCAAGCTATCAAGAGCAACGCAATCTAGCAGTACATGGTGTCGGACCGATGAAGATACAAATTGCGGAAAGAGAGCCAGCAGGCAAGAAGAATGCACAGCAAATCATGTTTTCATATCCAAGTATTAAACAAGTCGGGTCCACTACGAGGCTCGCATCAACGACAGGGCGCTTTTGGCGAAGATAGACTTACTTGTGATCATCAAGCATCTTTGCCCACCATTCATCTCCTATCCCCTCTTCCTGCTCTTCTCTCCCCCGGGACGGGAGGTTCATGTCAAGCAGTTGGCTCTGAAACGTGCTCATTCGCAGCCACGAATTGTACAGTCCTTCTTGGGCCTCCATCGGATTACTCGTCTTCGTCCCTGGAGATGGCCCGAAAGGAGAATACGTTGAGCTGGAGTGAGGGGCAGGATTAGATAAAGACAATTCCAGATCACCGTTCGCGGTTGATTCTGGCTTTGAAGGCTCATCAGCCATCCTTGACACCATAAAGTCTGCTTCGTTTACGGCCTGCTGCAAGAAATCTGTCACCTTGCCAGCCTTCTGCCACAACTTTTCCATTTCTTGACTCGCTCTCAAACACGATTTCAGTCCTTCTCTTGTGCGGTACAGCTCCTCTTTGCTCATATCAATCGAGTAGAGGCTGAGAAGGAGGATGATACCTGACAACCATGAAGGGATCTTGACAGTTACAGGCAGCGCATGACCAGCGGGACATTTTTCTTGCCGGCCGCGAGCAAGCAGAGCATCGGTAATGGCGCAGATGGCGTAAGCTGCGTGTACGCAAGAAGCGAGTGAATAAAGTTGTTCGAGTGTCCCGGTGTTGGGGCGAGCAGGTACAAAGTTGCGATGGATGAGGATCCTGGCATAGTGGCCATGAGCCCACATGTCGGCCGACTGGCACAAAAGGGAATAGTTGGAGCGTTTGGGATCCCAACGGAGAGGCGGAGGGACATTGTCTGCCCATGTCCTCAGCTCTGCATCAAGCTCATCGACCATTTGCCGTCTTGTCATGTGAACATCGGCAGGTTTCTTGATGCCATAGATTCTGTTGAGCGTCTTTCCCATGATTCTATCCACCTTGGACATCTCGATGAAGAAGGCTACCCTCGATACCTTGCCTTCGGGCTGTCTTCCTCCCCCGTCGAGATCCTCTCTTTCCCAGTATTCGTCGTCGATGTTTGCCAGCTCGGGCACGTCAAAATCAGAGTCGAGCACCGCAACGGGCCTGCCCAATGTAGAGCTGCCGTACCTATCAATATGGTACAGACACCAGAAAGCTCGATGGTACAGCGCCCTCTCGACGGGGTCCCATTGCGCGAGGACAGCAGAGATGTGGGCCCCTAGCTCTTGGATGAACCGAAGCCCTAGGAAGGAGATGGTGGTCATCAGCTGAGGAGAGGAGCTGGCGTGTATAAAGTCGCAAACAAGAACGAGGTATTGGATGTCGTAGAGGGTAGGGAGCTGCATGATGTTGCGGCCCATGCGAAGCACCGCGCGAAAGTACTTCCAGCCCCCCGAGTAATAGGAAGTAGAATTATCTCCAGGGGAAGCGCTGTCCCATAAGACTCTTCGGTCCTTGACATATCGAGCTCCATTGGCAAAGACCAGCATGCAGACCTTTGCAAAGCCTTCACTCGTCCGCCACAGCTTCGCATCATACTGCTCTTGAAAGACAAGTCTGTTCAGGAGCGGCATGAATAGATCTACCTTGTCGAAATAAGTATTGATCAACAGCTGATCCAGTCCCCGCTCTGGCCATATGCTGAAGTCCATCGGGGATGTCCCGTCGGCCTCGATAGACGTCTCCCACTCTGACGTCTCCCAGAAGGCCTCCCTCTTTCTCTGGCCCATGTCGACGATGAGATCAGACCTGATTCCCCTGGCCGACTTGAGACTCTGGATCTGCATGACGATGTGAGCTCCAGATGATTTCCCGTGATATCTCCAGTGAGCTTCGCGGAGGTTTAGGACTTTGAGCCAGCGCACAGAGTCGATGAGAACGACTTGAGATGGCTTGTCTTTGTCGTTTTCTTCCTTGACATGGGCACTCTGGGGAATGCTGCTGAAGATCGAAAGCGCCGGAGAGGGAGCATGGGATGTCGAAGGTGTGGGAAGGGAGAGTGGCTTGAGAGCCGGATAGGGAGGGATATTGCGCGAACGAAGATCTTGAATGTACGTGTCGTAGACAAAGCCTTCAGACTCGAGACGCGGGCCGACATGGCTCTCGAGGTCTAGAGAGGGGCACAGCTGTACACAAGTCAGCCATGTTGAGAAAGAGACTGAAGCACTTGCCTGCCGCAGTATGCTTTCGAGACGGCCGACCTTCTGTTCCAGCATCATCACATACCTGCGAGTACAAGATTCAGTACCTGCCTCGAGTTTCAAGCGCTTTGCTTACCGCTTCGACGGCCCTTTTGGTCTTTGACTGTCTTCCATATACGTACACTCATGACCACCTTGTATGCAAGACGGACATTCTATTCACAAGTCAGCCACGACTTTTGGCGAGTCATGCTACGTACTGCCGCCGGCGTCGTTGTTTTGAGAGCCCTCGCAGCGCACTTTTCGTCTTCTGCAGGAATCGCAAGCTCTCTGCTTTGGTCATCAGCGCAGATAAAGCTTAGAGAATACTCATGCTCACATGTACGCGAATTGTGTTTGTGGACATTGACCTCGGGTCGCCGCTCGTGCTCGGGGTTGCCGCCGAGGCGTCGCCCGACGAGTGACGGCGGTCAGTATGGGGCATCTAAGCTTTGTGAATATTGGCTCGGAATTGCTCCGTAAGGGATATTGGGCAATTTGCAGAGTGGTTGGGCATACCGAGCCAAAAGGTAAACGACTTGCAACAACATGATGGCTGGTGCCTTTGAGCAGAGCCCGAGGCCGAGCAGCACACCCGGCGGCAGGGACCGAAGATGGCACTTGTCCTGTGTCCATGCTGGCTTGCCTGCTTTCCCGTCGCATCCAGGCGGACACACTAGATAGATACATAGACGGAAGCACCATCAAAGGTTTCTTATCATTAAAGTTCAATTCGTATAGAGTTACAGTCACATTATGCTCTGTCGCACTTTATCAGAGTCATGGCTCTATCCGCTGGCAAGCTCCGCAATAAGCTGGCAAGCCATCTCCAAGAAATGGAATGGTCCCGATACACCCCCAATCGCCTCCTTCCCCTGCCCCTGCCCCTGTCCCGGACCACCAGCTCCTCCGCTCGGCGCGCTCCCGCTCCCCCTCTTTTCCGAGCCGATGCTACCATGTTGACTACTCTCGTGCGGGGCAGGATCGTCCTGCCTGGAGACGTCGGGCATGAACCTGTCGGCTTCGCTGACCAAGTAGTATCCCAAGTTCCGAAAGTCCACAAGGTAGTGTTGGTCGTCAACACGATACAATTGCAAGTCCATCCGAACCTATACAATGGTCAGTTGCGGTCCTTTCAAGATCGATCTACTCACCATGACATCTCCATACCTCGCCCTCGTCTCGACATGGTACAGCCCCTGCGCCGCCTTCTCCTGCGCTATAGCATCCTTCTTGATTGGCGGCTTCTTGCCCATCACTGGCCTCTCCCCACCATTCTTCTCCCTCAGTTCTTCCAACACCGCCTCAACCTCCTCCGTATAACCCCCCGGCGGCGCACCGCCAATGTCCGGTAGAGGCACCTCCTTCTTCCGCCACTGCATTCCCAAGATATTCAGCGTTCTGTAGATTTCCAGCATGACCTCCATAGGCGGGGAACGCGAACGGATACCAAAGTGCCATTTGGGTTTCGACATGCTCTTGTCGGGCCGGCGAGGCTGGTGGGATGTTTGAGATGATGGGGGGAAGGACGAGGTTGATGTGTTCTGGGAGGGAGAGAGGAGGGCACGGGCGGCTTCTTCGGCCGTGTTTTGGGTTTGAGGGGGCAGGTTGCTGGTAGGAGTGGATATTTGTGATGCCGTTGACGATGGGGCTGTCGTGCATCAGCGATGATCTTGACTTGTTGACTAGACTTACGAGTCATCCACCCAGGAAGACTGCTATCCAGCACATCAAAGTGCGCATTGGGAATATCTTGGATTTCCAGATCCACATCCTCCATGTCGGGTTCTTCCATCTCTTCATTTTGCGTCTGCGAAGGAGGCTGCGCTGGGTCAACCATCGTCCCAATATGAACGAGGTAACTTACAGGAATATTTGCGTTCCAGGCAGGCGGCGACGAAGCCATGAATTCCTCCATCGCCGAAGAATCCTCATCCTCATACGCATTCGAATCCTTCAAGATTCGTCTATGGTCGCGCACCAGCTGATAAGCCACCTTGACTTGGTTATCACCTGGCGATTGAAGTGCCTCCCAAACCATTGCCGCGCTATACGTCGAAATCTTGGTCAAAAGCTCCTCCACGATATCCGGGTCAATCACCCCCAGTTCGTCTGTAAACACCAGACCTTTATCCTCCGCCACCTTTCTCGGGTCCGCTTGGCCTTCGTTGATCAACAACAGTGTCGTCATGTCGTCCATCGGCAGCGCGGGGTATCGCTCCATTTCTGCGATCTCGGGTAAGGGCTGGAGGTAGCGAGGAAGGTTTTCCTCAAAGAAGGGCATTTGTCGGATCTCAAAGATAGTCGCACGCTTGAGGGGGTCGACTTCAAGCATGCGTTTGAGCAGGTGGCGGGCGGGGTCAGAGACATGGCTGGGAATGTGGAAGACGCCATCTATGAAAGTGTCAGTGACAAAACAAGTGAAAGGCGACGAACTCACTCTCGATCTTTTTGAACAGCGTAGGGATATGTTCATCGTCGAACGGCAATTTGCCGCAGAGCAACACGTACATGATCACACCAGCACTCCAGACATCGATTTCAGGGCCGGAATACAGCTTTCCAGAGATCACTTCGGGCGCCGCATAGTTGGGACTTCCACAAGACGTCTTCAAAAAGTCACCGTCCGTCATCAGATTCGACAACCCAAAGTCTCCGATCTTGATATTTCTTCTCGAGTCGAGGAACAGACTGCCGCCATGTTAGCGGGGGAACTTTTGGTTCTATGTGAAGCGGGGCTCACTTTTCAGGTTTGAGGTCACGGTGGACGATATGGTGTTTGTGGCAGTACTCGATAGCACTGATCATTTGCTGAAAGAACCGCCGTGCCTCGTCCTCAGTCATCTAGCATGTCCATCAGCACGACTCTCCCAAGTCTGCACCTCGCACGACCGCTCACGCGCCGCCAACGCCAGCCGCGGCGCCGGCCTTCTTTACCGGCCCCGACCCTGAACGCCGAGAGCCCCAAAATGAATGACAATGGAACTCACTCCATGTTTGCCCTTTTGCACGATATAGTTGAAGAGCTCTTCCCCGGCATACTCCATGACCATGATGACGTCCGTGGGGGTGGTGATGACTTCGTACCTATAAGAGTCCATGCATCAGTCATCTGCCCGCTTATAGATTCATCTGAGAGTCACCCTCTCACTAGAGGGATACAATGAGGGCTACTCACAGCTTGATGATATGGGGATGCCTCAGCACCTTGAGGTACTGTATTTCACGCTTCACCCGGGCGTTCATATCGGGGGTGGTAATCTTGGAGCGATTGATCAGTTTGAGCGCCACTTGATGCCCTGTTATAGCGTGCGTCGCCACTACCATCGCATAAATCATCAGCCATCCTCCCCATGCACTTCAGTCGTCGCCACCCACGTTTGACCTTGCCGAAAGACCCCGTGCCCAGCGTTCGCTCGACAATGTACTGGCCTATTCTCGGCTTTTGTCGGGGCTGGGGGATGGGGGCGGGGTGCTGGGCGGACATGCTTGCTGAGCGGCGCTGGTGGTGGTGGGCAGGGACGTCGGGGGCTGGTCTGGATGCCATGTTGGATGATATTGCAAGGATGAAATGGGATGGACCTTATTTGGCTCTGACAACACACACCACCACCCCGGAGCATGACGCGTGGGGTGTTACTTTTGCTTCCGTCCGGCATGGACCGGGTGTTGAGACCGGGTGTTGAGTGAGTCCAAGTTCTGTTGGCTGCATGGAGAACGAGCAGCAGATACATGTATTCCAGAAACCAGTATGCGTGTACATTTGCACAAAGCCGATGCATACTTTGACACACAATAAGGATCATTAAGGATCAGATGTAGATGTAAACTAATAGGAAATCGTCGTAACGTTATATAAAGATCTGTCGAGAAAATGTGGGCTACATCATTGGATTGTCTAGCTGCGATTCGAAAGCGAAGGATTCTAACGAAAAAAACGAAAGAAGATGTAAAAAGTCTATGAACCCGGTTGGGGCACGGGTTCTGATTGTGGGTGTTCGGCAGCTTGCTGTTGTTCAGCAGAGGATGGTTGATCTCGGAAGAACATGGTAGTGATGTACTGCACCACATCAGCATAGTCTCTCCACAACGACAAGCAAATCTCACCTTCTTTCGATACCTCGTTGTCGTACCTACACCCAGCGTCCCGTTTCTAATCGCACTCGCCGTCAAGTGATTCAAAACCACATGATTCGGCACCGCCAAAATCGAATTGTCGTCCAGTCCCGCTGGCGGATTACTCTGCCATCCCGTCTGCGCCGCCGCCTTGGGGTCATGATTGTCCCATAACCTCTTGGAGTCGTTGTTGACGATGACCTTGTCGAGGATACGGGGGAGCGTGGGAGGGGCGGGGACGTTGGGAATGTAGGGGACGGATTTGAGAAAGTTGTGAAGCTCGTCTTGTTCCATACGGAGCGGCAGCTCTTCAATGTACTGGTACATGATGAGGGATGGAGGAATTTCGCCAGTCCATTCAGATTCGTCGGCTATATCATATTAGCGTGTTTCAGTTTGTACTAGGATGTCTCACTTTGCTCCTCCTTGACTGCTGGTTTCGAGTCCATGGCCCACTCAGCCTTGAGCTCCTCGGCCGTCTTGGGCGCCTCGACCTCGATCCAATTGACCAGTGTGCCGTCGTCGTCTGTGGCAGTGGAGATTTGTTTTGAGCAGCGCCATGATTCGTCGACGATGAATTTTACGCGGTACTGGCCCGGAGGAAGACGAAGGGTAGTGTTGAAATCGTGCGTACTGTGGATCGTCAGCAAGGGACTTGGTTCGATGCGACTACGCACCTTTTATGCAGCTTGATCCGGTTGGCCCATCCTCCTTCCCAAGTGCCCGCAACATAGACATTCCTGCCGCCTCCATTCCACTGAATCGGCACATCCACCAGACCATCTCCCTTCTCCTCCACCGGCCCTTCCGTAAACCCTTGCTGCACCGGTGGTCCAAAATCATGCTCTGCGACCTGCGGCCGCGGGAGATGAACCTCTTTGCGCTCAGCACGCGGAGGTTCTTTCCCAGGAATAGGAATCGGGACCGCTTTCGACGCATGCGTCCCTGCCGTAGGATCCTGCACACCATAAGGATCAGGAAAGTACGGATTTACGTCCGAGGCGCCCCCTTTCGACGTTTGGCCCGATGAAGACCCCGAAATGGGCGGTTCGAGCTTGCTCATCGCGGCGAGTGTATTCTGGCCGGCCAGCGGGCTCGCCTTGCCTCCGAGGGTATCGCGCCAGCGCCGGTTGTTGACGTTGGCTGTCGGGGTGATGGGTGGGCTCTCTTTGCGGACTGCAGTCGTCGACGGTGCGAGATGATGGGAGGTATGGGTGTGGGTAGTAGGCACGGGGGCGGCGGGCGAGAAGGCGGCGGGGGTAAATTGGAGCTTGTTGAGGTCTGGTAGCTCGAGGGATTTGCGTCTGCGGGGGGAGCCGGGACGGCCTGAGGGGGAGGTGTTGCCCGAGTGGGAGGGGGAGATGTGGCGCTGGGGCATGTGAAGGCGCAGGGAGGGGTGGCGGTGGGGGGCATTGCTGGGCGGCGCCTGCCTCTGGGCTGTGCTCTGCTGGTGGGAGGGCGTGTTGCCCATGCTGATAATGGCGGGGGATGTACAACACTCCTCTAAATGGAATGGAATGCTTCGACAGCCATAGCACGACGGAGGTCCCCGCGAGTTTGATCCCGCTCCTCGGCTTCCGACCCCCGGCCATCAACCTAACCAAGGTGTTGTTGTGGAAAGCGCATCTACATTCACCTGCTGCATACCTTGTATCTCTTGCTTAGAAGCAACTCTATCATAAGACTACCCATGAGCACTCACAATGACCTCCGCTGACCGCAACTCCTCCTGGTCGAACGCTGCCTCGGCCACCCCGGGCACGAACGACGAGCCGAGCACAAAGTCCAAGAAGACTCGTGTCCATGTAAGCATAATCAAGCTTCAACTATGTTACTAACAAAGTTATAGAGGGCTTGTGATGCATGCAGGAAACGTAAAGTTCGCTGCGAAGGTCCTCAAAACAGTCAAGCCGGCGGCAGTGAGTATCCCGGCATGCTGATGGCTATAGCTGACATGTGGGCAGAATGTCCCTTCTGTATCCAGATGGGGAAAGCATGCACATATCTGGAAGATACTAAACGTCCCAAGGGTCCTTCAAAGGGGTGAGCAACACTCTCTAGAGTCTGGTCAGTTGTTGACGGTTCGAGCAGGTATGTGACGATGCTCGAACAAAAGTGTGGTCGTATGAAGAGTATGCTATACCAGGCGAGTACTACACTCAATGTCGCATCAATGCTGACGTTTCTCCAGCTATGCCCTTCTATCGATCTCGAAAGCTACATCGGCACACATGTCAACTGTGAAGATTTCAACAACGATTCCTATCTCGACGACCTTCACTCGCGAGGAATCCCACCTTACCCCGCCCTCAAACCACTATCACTCCCATCCCCTCAATCTTCTACAGCTTCGTACGCTCCCCCTTCGTCGAATGACACGACAAGCCCCGAAAGCACTGCTGAAGGCGATAACGACGAAGATAGACTTACCCAAACCGCCCTCGTCAACTCGATGCACTGGCTCAAAGTCCGTGATGCCCACTGGCGCTACCACGGCAAATCCTCCAATGCCCAGCTCGTCATGCAGATCCAAGATCTCAAGTACCAAAAGGGCATCAAGTCGGATTTCATCGCTGAAGTCGGCAAGGCGAAGAGAGAGGCGTTCTGGGAGGCGACAGAGTGGGAGCGGTTCATTGATACGGATGGGACGGAGCCGTTAGAAACAAAGGCTTGGCCGGAGCGGGGGCTGGATCAGATGCTGATCAATGCTTATTTTGACAAGGTCGATTTCCACGTACCGCTCCTCAACAGACTGATCTTTCAAGAGCAGTACGACGCAAAGCTATGGCGGACCAGCGAAGGCTTTGCCAGGCTCTGCATGCTGGTCTTTGCCAACGGCGCTCGTTTCGTCCAAGACCCCCGAGTCCTATGGCAAGACGACTCTTCCACGATCGCCCCGCCGAACAACAAGTTTTCCGGGGGCTGGAAATACTTTCGAGCCGTACTCCGCATGGGCCACAACATCATGCAGCTTCCCACCCTATTCGATATCCAATGTCTCGTTCTCACCTGCTCCTTCATCCACACCAGCAGCTCTACCCCCCAGCGCCTCACCACCGTCGCCGCTCTCGGACTCCAATCCATCCAAGAGCTCGGCGCACACGTCTCTGCCGTCCTCGCTCAGTGGGATCCGGTGGAGAGGGCTTTGTATCATCGAGCGTTCTGGTGTCTGTATCATATCGATAGGTATGGTAGCGCTACGGTGGGTAGGCCTGTGGCGATACTGGATTCTGAATTCGACGTGCCCGAGCTGGCGGATATCGACGACGAGTATTGGGAGCGACAAGATTCGGACGGGGGCGGGACGCAGCCGAAAGGCAAGGTGTCGAGGGTGGCATTTTTCATCGAGATTTCCAAAGTGGATAGAATTATCGGGCGGACGTTGACGAATGTCTATGGGATACGCAAGCCTGTCCACGTGGTTGTCTCCAAACGGGCGATGGCGACAGAGCTCGACGCAGAGTTGACAGAGTGGGCTAAGAACGTGCCTCTGGCGCTCCAATGGGACCCAGACTGCTCAAACTACTCTCTCCTGTGCCATTCTGCCCACATGTGGGCCCAGGGGCACTTTGCAAGAATCCTCATTCATCGTATTCTCGTCCCTCCCCACCCCAACACTGGTACTCTCGAACAGCTCTCGTCACTCAAATCGTGTATCGAAGCGGCCTACGCCATCTGCGGTATCACCGACGCCCTCCTAGTCCGCGGTCGACATGAAAACTGCCCCCCGGGACACGCCATCCCCGTCATCCTCAAGCTACCTTCCTGGGTCTCGGGCATCATCCTCCTCCTCGCCCTCTATACTACCGATCTCAGTCAAGACGAGGTGCACCGCGTGAGGGAAGGGCTGGTATCGTGTATGCGGGCGAGCCAGGAGCTGGAAGTGCTGTGGCAGAGGTCGGGGAAGGTGACGGACTTTTTGGAGCGGGCGGTCGCAGAGGCGGATTTATTCGCAAAGGGGATGGCGCAAAAGGTGACGGGTCCAGGGGTGGAAATAGAGGGCGTTTCGTTGGAAGGCGAGCTGGGCCGTTATCTCCCCAAAGCCACGCCAGCCACTCCTTCCTCGTACCTGTCACCAGATGCTGGGAAGAATGATGGCAAGAAGACCCAGCAGGGGTTGTATGATTCGTGGTTGCGCATGAGCACGTTCCAATCGCAGCTGCTCAACATGGACATCCCGATGCGGGCGAGGGAGGAGATGGAAGAAGGGATAGGGGATGACTGGTGGGCAAAGATGTTAGGGGCACAAAAGTGAGTCTTGTTCTCGAGAGAGGCCTGTTGCTGATGTGATTCTTCATAGTGGTCCAGATCTATACAACACTTGGATATGATCTGCTTCACATGTATAGACATCACATCTGTATCACCATATTCGTAACCAGCTGTACTGTGTATTGAATTCAGACAAGAATGCTCTGTCTAGGATCCGGTGAATCGAAGATAATCGGGAATAGAGGATGATGTTACCGGTGGACGGTGATTCGCCGAGCCGGGAGTGTAATAGCCGGGTAGCCGGGTGCGCGTCAAGGGTGTCATGAGCCCGCCTCTATTGGAGTAAATTTGTTATATAGATGCATCCAGTCGATTAGAAACCCCCATGCACCATGACCACCATCCCCACCCTCACAAAGGCGCCCACCATCAACCCCAACCCCAACCCGCGCCCCCCGCCCCCAGACCTCCCAAAGCTCCCCATCCCGCCCCTCAGAGACTCGTGCGCCAGGTATCTCAGGGCACTCGAAGCACTCCAGACCCCCAGGGAGCATGCAAAGACCAAGCAGGTAGTCAGGGAGTTCCTCGAAGACGGCGAGGGCGACTTGTGGCAGAAGAAACTGGAGGAGTATGCCAAAGACAAGGAGAGCTATATCGAAGAGTTTTGGTGTAAGTTATTTTGCTGGCATCATAGGGCGGGTTCTGATGCGCTGTAGATGAGAGCTATCTCTCGCACTCGGATTCGGTGGTCTTGAGCCTAAACCCCTTCTTCGTTTTGTCGTGAGTGTATACACTATACTCTCGTAGTGGTGCTCACACGACCACCAGCTCCGACGTTACACCTCGAGCCAATCCTCAGCTCTCCCGCGCAGCTGCACTCATAACGTCCACACTCTTCTTTATTCACGATCTCAGAAATGGCTTGCTCCAGCCTGACGCGATCAAAAACAATCCCTTGGACATGAGTCAGTATGAGCGCCTCTTTGGCACTTGTCGAGTTCCCACAGACGTAAGCAGCTTCCATCGAGCAAGAGACCCAGGCTGATCATGTATGCAGACCGGATGCAGGATGGAAGTCCATGGTGATAGTCGACACATTGCTGTCGTAAGGCGTGGCCAATTCTGTATGTGAACTCCTTGATTCTTCCCATAGTCCCGCTGACATCCTTCAGACTGGTTTGATTGCCTCGACTCCAAGAACCGACCGCTTCTCTCTGACCGTGAAATCTTCCGGAACCTCGACGCCATCGTCAAGGATGCCGAAAAGACCCCTACTGCTCAGGTGAGTCTCCTCCGCTATCATAGATGCCAAGCTGACGCTTGTAGATTGCCGAAAACTCTCTCGGTGTCCTCACCACCGAATCCCGCAAGATCTGGTCCGGCCTCCGCTCAGACCTCATTAACTCGAACAAACTCAACCGATCCTGCCTCGACGTCGTCGAATCCGCCCTCTTCGTCATCTGCCTCGACGACACTGAACCCGTCGACACTGCCGAGCTCTGCTCCAACTTTCTCTGTGGAGGGTACAAGCTCGAAAGCGGGGTCCAAGTTGGGACGTGTACCAATAGGTGGTACGACAAGCTGCAGATCATTGTCTGTGAGAATGGCGAGGCCGGAGTCAATTTTGAGCATACGGGTGTCGATGGGCATACCGTACTGAGGTACGCGGCAGACGTCTATACCGAACTCGTCTTGCTATTCGCAAAGACCATCAACCCCTCCACCCCCTCCTTGTTCAAAGCCAAGATGTCTCCCTTTGCCAAGTCTGGAAAAGCGCCGCCCCCTACACCAGAGGAAGAAATCGATACCACCCCCAAAAAGCTCGAATGGCAGCTCACCCCGGATTTGCGCGCCGGCATCAAGTTTGCAGAGACGCGGATCAGTGATCTCATTTGTCAGAATGACAGTCAGGCGCTCGAGTTTAAGGGGTATGGAGGGGCGTTCATCAAGAGGCATGGGTTCAGTCCGGATGCCTTCGTACAGATGGCTTTCCAGGCGGCGTACTATGGGCTTTACGGTGAGTACTTTGGTTTGTCGATGAGGCACAGGCTGATCTTGTTGAAGGACGAGTTGAGAGCACATACGAGCCGGCTATGACAAAAGCTTTCCTGCACGGTCGAACCGAGTCTATTCGTACGGTCCAGCCTGAGAGTTTCTCTTTTGTGAAGGTAAGTCTTCATACCCTCTCTCCTTCCACCACTGACGCCTGTCTAGACCTTCTGCTCCGACTCGGCCACCGTCCAAGAAAAAGTCAGCGCCTTGCGCAAGGCATGCAAAAGACACTCTGAGCTCACTGCAGAGTGTTCAAAAGGTCTCGGACAAGATCGGTACGTTCTCCTTCCTTCCTCTATCTCGAGATGTTGGCTGACGCGCGACACATAGCCATTTCTATGCTCTCCACTGCCTTGCTCAGAAGGAAGTTATGGCTTACGAGTCCGCCCACCCCTCCCTCTCACCTCGCGAAGCCCTCCGCCGTTTCTCCATGGCGTCCCAACAACCGTCCAGCCCTCCTACCAACAACAAGGGTAACGGTAAACCCGACATGAACAGCATCAACGGCCACGGCGCCAGCCCCCCAGGTGCCGATACCTTTAGCCCAGTCATCGACCTCGAGCGCCCTACCATTCCTGCCCTCTTCACCGACCCCGGCTATGGGCTTTTGGGGACGAGTGTCTTGAGCACGTCGAATTGCGGGAATCCCGCGTTGAGATTGTTTGGTTTCGGGCCGGTCACGCCGGAAGGCTATGGCATTGGTGAGTCTTCCACAACGACAGAGGTCCGATAACTGACGTAATGGTCCAGGATATATCATCAAAGATGACGGTATCTCTGTTTGCATGTCCTCCAAACATCTCCAGACTCGTCGTCTCCTGTCCACCCTCCACGCATACCTCCTCGAAATCCGCAGTATGCTCATCCTCCTCTGGAAGGACGCCAACGAACGGCCCGAGACGTCCTTCATGGACCATTTCGGTGTGCTCCGAGACGCCAAGACGGGCAAGGCGCTGCAGATGGTGGAGCAGGATGAGGCAGGGGAGGGGAGAGATTTCGGGGAAGAGGGTATGGGCGGATTTGGGTTCTTTGATGTAGAGACGCAGACCCAGATGCCGCAGTCGAGGAGAAGGAGAACATTGGTGGGAAAGACGCTCAGTATTGCCGAGTACTAGGTCTGTTTGCTGTGTTCTTGTACATTAGAGTTGTGCGCAACAACGTTGTATTCTGAATACCGCTGTAAAGAAGCGACCACAAAATTGTTATATCAAATATGAAAATAATCCGTTCATATGCCATTACATCGATATGTCGGTCTACTCTACTCGTACACTATGTCACCACCCTATCAATTCTTGTTCATGTAATCCTTCAAACTAACGCCACTGTCAATACGATATTGCAATATTCGAAGAGATACTCACCTGAAGAATCCAGAAGGCAGCTTTTTCTCATCTGTCACCACTTTTTCTCCGTCTTTTGGCGCAAAGCTAAACATCCCGGCAGCTGGCGGCGGCGGCGTCCCACTCGAGGCAGCGCCGGGCACATACTTGACAGCAACGGGCCTCAAGCTGTTACCTGATGACGAGCCACCTGACCTTCTCAAACTTGACTCGTGTGATAGTCCCTCAAAGCTGGGTGACAAGTTGAACTTGATACCACCAAATGCCGAAGGGGACGAGACGGCTGGAGTGGGGGCAGATGAGGTGGCTGGAACAGGCACGGGTTGAGCTAGAGGGGGGGAAGAGGAGAGGGTGGACAGGTAGAGGTCGGCAGCTTCAGCATTCAACTCTGGAGCGGGAGCAATGTTTGGTGAGACCGGAGGCGAGAAATGACCTGCTGGGGGTAAATCATCGATCATGACGGGACCCGCAGACACAGACTCGTGCGTAAAGCTAGCGCCTCTGACCCCCGACGACCCTTCCCCCCTAGCAACGACCGGTTTGTTGAGCTTGGCGACCTTGAGTTTGCCCAGCCTCTTCTTCTTGGTCTCGGAGGGCCCAGCAAGAACAGCGTCAACCTCGGCCATGATGTCCTTTGTCGGCTCAAAGTTGAGTGCTCGGCGCGAGGTGAGGAGCGACCTGTTCCCGGAAGGCGAGGCGATATGGCAGGATGCGATGCGCCTGGACAGGTCATTGATGGCCTGTTGACGTTCCCTAATAGCAGCATCGACACTCCTCACAGACCTTTGGATTCTTTCCAAAGGCGGGAGACTAGGATAAACGTAAGCAATGGTCTTTGCAGGACTAATGGCCCATTTACGAAGCATGTCCCTCATCCTGTTTTTCGTTGCGATGTCTGAGGGAAGCGATAGCGTTTTCCAGCTCCTGCAACTTGTCCTCGGTGTCCTGAGGTTGGTAATTAGCAAAAGCTGAGTCGACATCAGTAGCACCCACCTGTACTGCATTGCGCAGCTTCAATCGATACGCGGCCTGGTCTGGGTTGAGATCAAGACTCTCTCCAGAGATCTGACCTCTCTTTGCTTTCAAAAGTCTTTCCACTTGGGCCACCTTTGAATCGACTATAGGATGTCAATACTGGACTTATCAAGATCTTTAAAACGTACCTCTCAGCATCTTTGACCTCAATTCTGCAAGTCTAGCTTCCGCCTCTTCGTCAATCCTCTGCTGCTTGACGACTCGCGGGTGTAGGTCGTCGATCAAACGCTGTACTTGAGACAGCTGAGACAAGGGTAAAGTCCTCTGCTTTTCCACTACATCAACGAGGGCGTCGAAATCGACGGTGCCGGCGTTACGACGTCGAAGCTCCTGGTGGAATTTGGCGTTTGAGGCGACTACGTCCTTGAGCTGCTGTAAAGTTAGTGACAATTTGAAGCACTACTTGTATTCACTCACTTTGAGGAGGTCCTCATCGAGGGTCTCTACGATCTTGACTGCCACGCTACCCATTGTCTTCTCGCTACTTTGAGTCACCTTTGACGGTCGTTCAGCCAAGACTGGTCGCGCGGGCGCGCTCAAGTCTGTAAAGTCCGCAGCCTTGGGGACGCTCGGTTGCGGTCTGGGCTCAGGCTTGGGGGCTGCTGGTGCAGATGCCGGTTTTGAGCTTGGCAACGGGGAAGACTGAGGCGAGGCCACCTGAGGTTCATTCGATGGCTTTGCGGAGAATGCCGACGGCGTCGAGGAACCAGAAGGCTTCCCAAGGCCAAGATTGCCAAACACAGACTTTGGCTGTGCGGCAGGAGCCGTAGCAGGCTGTCCAAATAAGGATCCAGCAGGAGCAGCAGGCGCAGGAGGCTTGATAGGCTCTATCTTGGGTTGGCCAAAGAGACCAAAACTACTCGGCGCTGTGGAAGCAGACGTTTGCGATTCCTTTTTGTCTGCAGAAGGTTTGGAGGCTTCTGCGGACTTCTGTCCAAATCCGCCAAACAAGGATGGCTCGACTTCCTCGGATTTTTGCTCGCCCTCCGCTGGCTTCGTAGCAAAGAACCCACCAAACCCACTGGGCTTTGACGCATCTGTCGGCTTCTGGCCAAACCCTACGAATGCGCTTGGAGCAGCAACAGGTTTGGCCGGGGACGACTCGGGAGTTGTAGATCCCAGAGGAGGACCAGATAACGGTGAGCTTGTCCTAGAGGCGTGTTTGGTAAAGTTTAAAGGGAGTTTGGGGGCATCGGTAGGACTAGTCTTGGGTTCTTCGGAAGGAGTCGAGGTGGCTGGACCAAGGCGCGAGAACAAGGAGGAACTGGAGGAGGGGGAAGGAGACGTAGGTTCATTCTCTTCAGGGGGTGTCGGCGCAGAGGTCGAGCTCTTGGTTGCGAACCAAGCAGGAGGTGATTTAAGACTGCTGGGTTTGGGTTTGACCGAACTTTCCTTCTCCGCATCATCCTCTTCCTCTTCGTCTTCTCCGGCGTCGCTTCCTTCATCAAGTTCTTGTTCCTCGTCGATGGGAGACATATCAGGGGTAATGGAGGTTGACCTCCTGCGATGTCTCTCTTCATGATCCTCCTCTTCCTCATCTTCTGAATAGTCCTCCTCGTCCTCGTCTTCACCTTCTTCGTCCCCTTCCTCTTCGTCCTCTTCTTCTTCCTGTTCATCCACTTCTTCCTCTTCTCCCACAAACTCTTGATTCTCCTGATCCTCGAGTCCAGACACTTCAGCGTCCTGCTCTTCTTCCGAAAGGTCAGAATTGGAAGGCTCAGGGGAGTCCGCGGTGTGTTCGTCCGCTGCAGGCTCAGCGATCTCTTCCTTCGTCTCCTCCTTGGTGCTGTCTCCGTCAGAGCCAGATACAGCGGTGGCAGGTTTCTGATCTCTGCCTACTCCTTCAAAGACGTCCTGGTGTTCATTTTCAATCACATCATTTGTTCTTTGTTTTTGGGCCTCCTCCAGCAGTTCGACGACAGCATCTCCACTCGCACCCTCGCTTGACTCTAAAGCAGCCTTCTCTGCGGACACATCACTCGCGGCTTCTAGCTCTGGATCCAGAGTCTCCACTTCATCAGGATTGACAGTCTTGTCCTTGCCAACATCAGCCTCGGACTTGGTTTCCGGTTCACTAGGTTCAGAGACAAGAGTGATGGGTGTGGTTGACTCTTCTTCATCTTTGACCGGGATCTCGGGCGAAGTAGATTTGGTTGGCTCGGGAGCAGATGCGTTGGATGCTTCTTCGTCCTTGGCGGGAGTATCGGGCGGGGTAGTGGTCTCCTTGGCAGGGGTAGAGAGAGTTTCCGCGGACGCAGGGGGTGGTGATTCTGCCTCGACTGGCTGGGGAGCAGGCACATCAAAGCCTTCCACTTCTTCATCCCGCTCCTTCTCCTGCTTCTCCTTCTCCAGCTTGTCCTCCCCTTGCTTCTCACCCTCTACCTTGCTGTCCTCTTTAGCAGGCGGTTTCTCCTCTTGCTTCTTCTCTTGCTTCTCCTTGATCAGATTGGCCTCTTCCTTGATATCGTCCTTCTTTTCTTCTACAGGCGGGGCAGATTTGGAAGTGAAGGCTGAAGTCTGTGTAGGTTTCCCAAAGAGTGACCCACTGTCCGTCTTGCCCGTATCGAACGGCGATCCGGCACCAAACGCCGAAGTACTCTTTGGAGTCCCAAACGGCGACGAAGGCTTGCTGAAGGCCGAATTCCCCTTCTGCTCGTCATCCTTCTTCTGGCCAAATAGAGACGGGCCCTTGCTGGCGAAGCCACCAAAGCCTTTCGTCTCTTTACTAGCAGCAAACCCGCCAAAGCCGCCCGTGATGGATCCAGAGGCTGAGGGAGCAGGACTGGCGGGCTTGCTCTGGCCAAAGCCGCTGGCCCCAAAGGCAGAGCCGCTTCCGATAGCAGACTGTTGTCCAAATGCTGTACCGCCACCGATAGCAGATGGTTTGCCGAATGCACTGCCCGTTGAGGGGGTGGATGAAGTCGACCCAGCGGGTGCAAAGCCTGAGCCGAAAGCGGTGGGGCCTGTAGGTTTCTTCTCCGTGGCATTGAACCCGAATGACGGGGCAGAGTTCCCGAAGGCTGTAGCGGGCTTAAAGAAGCCTGACGAAGAGGATGAAGGGGCAACGAAAGCATTGGGCGCTGGAGCGGCCGGCTTAACAGGGGGAGAGTTTGGGGGCGTGTCATCCTCCAAACCTGCGGGTTTCTTGCTTGATCCTCCCACAGGAGAAGCAGGTGGTGACTCTCCCAGCCCGGGGACGGACGCGGGTGATTTAGAAGATTCCAAAGCCGAAGCAAACCCGCCGAGCCCAAAGTCGTCTTTGTTGGACTTTTGCGAGAGCGCTGGGGAAGGAGCCTTGGGCGTTTCAGTCTTGGTTTGACCGAAGCCTGCAAATGCCGATACCGGTTTAGGCGCCCCAATGGAAGGAGAAGACGCAGGCTTGCCGAACGCGCTCTGACCAAATGCACTCCCGTTCCCAGCCCCAAACGCCGACTTTTGACCAAAAGCGCTCTGTCCAAAGCCGCCACCAGCTCCGAAAGCAGACCCAGTTCCTGTCGCAGGTTTCTGCCCAAGAGCGGACTGGCCAAAAGCTGGGGAAGCAGTACTAGGGGTTCCGGATTTTCCGAAACCGCTGAAAGCTGGGGCTTGGGTGGCAGAGGAACCGAAGGCTGAAGTTTGTGAGGAGAAAGATGGGGCAGGAGAAGCGGGCTTGTTTGCTTGACCGAAAGCAGATGGGGAGGACCCGAATGCAGATGGCGCGGGGCTAGCAGGTTTGCTAGACTGCCCGAACGCCGATTGACCGAACGCAGACTGACCGAACGCAGACTGACCAAAGGCGGGGGTGGAGCTCTGCCCGAAAGCAGATGGGGTGGCGGAACCAGAAGCGGAGGGTTTAGCAGCTTGCCCGAATGCTGATTGTCCGGATGCAGCTGGCTGGGCCGCATTGCCGAACGCCGGCGCACTTCCAAATGCTGATGCTCCACCTGAGGGCGTTGATGCGCCCGAAGCGTTGGGCGTAGGGTTCTGTCCGAAGGCAGATGTGCCGAAACCAGAGGGTTTGACCGTGCCGAACGCCGATTGACCGAATGCAGAGCCAGCGTTGGGCGCAGCGGTGCTGGCAGGCTTTGAGCTCTGGCCGAAAGCGGGCGAAGAACCAAAGGTAGAAGAACCGAAGGCTGCAGGCTTGGCCGCACCGAAACCAGATTGCCCAAACGCTGACCCGGAGGATGCACCGAAAGCGGATTTCGGGGTGGATGAGGCGGGCGTAGCAGCAGGGGCAGGTGAGGGCGCGGCTGCTGAGCCGCCAGAGAGGATATCTTGAGGAGTAATCATACCAGGGTATGGTCCAGCGTCGGGGTTCAGAACATCAAAAGAGATAATGACACCTTCCTGGCTGAACGTGAGGAGCCTTGGAACTGGGGCAAGATCGGGAAGGGTACCGTCAGTACTTTGCTGTACTGGCTCTTGGCTGGTAAAGTCGAATCCGAGCGCCAGAGGGGAGGTGTTGTCGCGGCCAGCTTTGGCTACTGGCATCGTACCTCTCTCTGACCCGTCAAGGAATAGTACTTCCCATTGAGGGGGCACGTTGCCTGATGGAGGATGGCCGTTCATCACCGCAATATCAGGCGCAGCCCCGGAAATGAGGAACGCCAAGTGCTTTGATTCTGAACCCCATGCAGCAAGCCCCGCATAATGCCTGAAATCCTCTGACCTTGCAGGGAAACCCATGTTATTCAGAGGGTCAAAGAATTTGACAAACGAGTGTGACCCGTTCTTGCGGCTGACAATGTATTGTTCGATTGGGTCACTGTCCATGTTTTGGGCATTCTGCACGTAGGTGACCAGCACAAGGTCGTTCTCCAGCCATTGTATAGATGAAGGGCGGTGATTAAGATTGGGGGGATGGGGAATCTCGGCTTTGGCGACTCCATCGGGAGTGTATTGGACCAGTTCACCGGAAGGCTTGCCAACTAGTATTTGCTTGCCCTTCTGCGACCAGCATGCTAGAATGTTGTGAGCTGTCTCCTTGAATAGAGACAATGAAGATTTACCAGATGAAAAGGGCCCCGCCACTGGTGGCATGAGCTTTCCTTCTTCAATGTCCGCCATCACAAGACCCTCGTTGGCCACCAACGCCACTAAACGCCCTAAAGAGTCCGAAGATGGGTTCGGAAGCACATTAAGCAGGTGACTGGGGATATTGGTGGAGAACGAATGGAGAGGGTTGGTCTGTTGATCATCAGCCAGGTATAGAGGGTCGTGATCAGAACATACGCTGCCCGCAATGATATCTTTCAGATTCCATACAAATATCCCGGCGCCGTTCGCTGTAGCGACGACCACTCGCTCCTCGTTCATCGCCGACCTGGGGATGATAAGGTGTTGTCTTGCTCCAGATAGAGAGACCAGCTCACCTGATCCATACAGGCCTAGCCGGCAGGGACACTGTCTGCGCTGGTGCAATTTCCGGCAGGGTTTTCCCTCCAGGAGGCGCCTCATTGATGGCCTTGTGTACGTCTACCAAACGGTGTATCCGAATATCTAAAGACCGTCAAAAAGAGAGCACATATGATCTTTGGGTGTAGACATACCACTGTTACTCCCAACAATGAGGAGACCCCACTTGTTCACCACCGTCATCAAATTGCACTCATTCGGCAGTCCTTCCAATTCAATCTTTTCGGAGACTCGTACATCCACACCTCCATTCCTTTTGACAAGCTTCAACCACTAGTAACAGGGATCAAGTCAGCTTGGGTCTCGAGTCTCTGGTACACGTACTGAAACGTCGAGCTCTTCTCCTTCGATGACTTGGGAGCTTGGTCCGGCAGCATTGGAGGCATCGTTGTCCATCGCCAGAGCCCCGAAAGCATTGTTCCCGAACATGGCGGAGGGAAGGGTTTGGTAGAGAGATGGCGGACTGTTATAGAATGGATCTGTTGTGGTTTGGATTCGAGAACTGACAACAGAGGATCAGAAAATAGCTCGGGATTATTTTGCCGCGCGGGCGGCCGGATCCGCGTCCAGTATGAGCGAGTTCATCTTTCTTCGTTCAGGTTGCTACATTTGCAGTTTATTATTGTTACCTCTTCGACCATGGCAACCCGACTCCCAGCGACACCTCCTCCCCCCGCCATCTTCCCCAAACTCCTTCCTCTCCTCATATCTCGGCTGACCACCCAGCCCGTGGATATCGCCCTCATTCCATCCCTTGAAACTGCTTTCTACATCTTGCGAGTCCTGACTCTGTACCCCGACGTCGTCCAGGGTGTCCCATCAGCGTCAGCAAAGAGTCTCGTACCGCTTGAGAAGCTCTTGGAAATATCTACGTCTCATCCATCGTCGATTAAACCGCCACTGGTGCTAGACGCCATCATCGCCTACCCCATACACTCTCCTGTCGTCAGGCAAGTGGTGTCCAATATTATTGCCAACTCGCCGGACGTGATTGAAGTGTACCGCATCGATGTCTTGCCCGACCTCGTCAACCGATGCCGTAAGGGCTCCCAGAAGGAAGTGCTTCTCGCTGTCAACCTGCTACTCGGGATCATGAGGGTGCACGATGAGCTCGTCGCTCTCGTTCTGGAGGCATCGGAGGACATCTTGAAAGGCTTGTCGGTGGCTTATGCGAAGCTCGCCGAAGACTCGCAAGGTGTTGTCCCAGACGAGGCTATCTTTTCTGGACGAGATGACATTCTCGTCATCTGCCGAGAGCTGCTGGTGCGAGTCGGGCTGGAAGGGTCAGCGAGCGAGACCATGTTCCGATTCATGGACGGCGGGCAAGGAGGGATAGAAGCGGTTCTTGAGGGTCGGAGCTTGAGGAAAGACTGTGAAAAGTTTGTGTCCAAGGATCAGGGCGCGTTCAACCCATCTTCATGGGTGGTCGCGAGCCTGAACAGGAGACGGGACGAACTTGCCAAGAAGGACGCCCGGGTTGCCAGCATCCTCGCGCTTTTCCCGACAATTCCAGCCCATCTCCTCCTCGCCGCTCTATCCCATCCTCACTTTTCCTCCATCCCATCGGGATCGCGAACATCTCCTGGCGAATTGGCAGAGCCCTTGCTGGAATGTCTTTTGAACGGCGGTCAAGGGTTACCGGCAGAGCTGTCCGTTTTGAAGGAACTCGCTAGTAAGCTTGGGTCTCTCCAAGCCAGCGCCGATGCGCCAGAGGAAGTGCCACCGCCCAAGAAGAAGTTTGAAAGGCGAAACATCTTTAGTGCTGAGGATTTGGACATGTCGCGGTTGCGTATCAAGAATGACGAGACGTGAGTGTATCCCTATCACATAGCATTGCAAGCTGACGCCCTTCAGTGCTCTGCCTGAGCTACAATCCGCTATCCCCTCACACCTCCGCGACTCTATCCAACGCCTCATCGCCCTCCAAATAGACGAGGAGGAAGAACGCCGCCAAGCCTTGGCCGGTGCCAACCTCTTGCCCTCTGACGAGTCCGACCTGGACGAATCTGGCGAGATCCCCCTTCGCGTCAAGGTTTCCGGGGGCGACTCTGAAGACACTGCCCCCGTCGATTCGGACGGAGATGCCGTCAAGGTCAAGCAGCAGAAGCAAAGCGGCAAGAGGCTGCCGGATAGAGAGGTGCATATGGTATTGAGGGGGTTGTATCTGGATGATCCGGGGCTGTTTGATAGAGATGGCGCGACAAGGAGGAGCGATCAGAGGAAGAAGCTGAAAGAGAGGACTGGGTGGGATGATGGGCAGATTGAGGGATGGAAGGTCATGCTCGAGCGAGACGTAAGTGCTTTGGTGTCTAGAGAACCGAGTTGATCGCCTGCAGCCCAACAAGGATACAATTCTCGAAGCACACCGAGATAGCGTAGGCAGAAACTTCAGAGATCCGTCACCCACACAATCGACAACCTCCAACCAGACGCAAGGCAGCAATCGCGGTAGAAGACCAAACAAGGGAAACAGGGGGCATTCCAACGCGGCGAGAACGAGGGGCCATGATCGCAAGATGCGACAGATGGGGGCCTAAGAGTTGTAGCATACAGCATTTTCGGGAGCATGGCATTGACAATAGAACAGCATATGCATCTGTCCACAAGGCAGCACGTTGTGTAAACGCCATCTACAATCTATCAGATCGAACCATATACAAGTTGACCGTCCACAATGACAGCCTTGACCTTGGCATCCAAGATCTCATCCTCCGGTACCGTCAAGAGATCACGATCCCAGACAACAGCATCGAACCTCTTGCCCTCTGTCAGGGATCCGACTCTATCTTCGCTGAACGACGCGAATGCCCCTACCCCTTCACATCAGCAATGCACACGGCAAGCGTACATAACTCACCTCCAACAGTAAGGCCTCTCAGGGCTTCCCACCTCTCCAGCTTTTGCTCCTTGTACCATCCTTCCTTTCCATGGGGCGATGTTCCATCCACCGATAACCGAGTGACCGCGGCGTACAAGGTGCGCAGAGGGTCAATGGATTCCACGGGAAAGTCGGAGCCGAGGGTGATGATACCAGATTCGCTACATATCATCAGCTTGAATTCAGTCAGGAGGGTGGGACGCACTTGAGGTACGAGCGCCAGGCGTAAGCGCCCTTGATACGTTCAGGACCAAGCCGGTCTTCAGCGTACCACATCTACAAGCATACATCAGTACCAGCTACTATGCCCATTGTCAGACTCACATCACTGGTAGCATGCGTAGGCTGGACGCTAGCAATTACACCCATGTACGCTGCTCGCTTGATATCCTCCTGAGTCAAGATCTGCGAATGTTCCAGTCTGAATCTGGCGTCTCGGCGAGCAACGGGGTCGTTGGTCGAACGCGCGATAGCATCCAGCACTACTTTGCCGGCCCGGTCACCGATGGTGTGAACATTCTGCCATATGTTAGTTGTATCTCATAGAAAGGAGAGGGTGACTTGCAACTTGCCAGCCCTACGACAAATCAGCGTTGATCCAACCAAACCCCTGGTAGTATAGACTTACAGCATTGTACCACTTTTTAATCAGATCGTTCCAGATACTCTCATCTTTCAGCATCAAGCCCTTCCATCCCGGCTTGTCGGTATAATCATCAATCAGCGCCGCACCCCTGGATCCTAGAGCCCCGTCGCCAAAGAGCTTGACAGCGCGAAGAGTGTAGTGGTTGTCAAAGTCGTCGTAGGGTTTGATATCGTCGCCGCAATAGTCACGCCCTTCGCACGAGAGCATGTTGTAGAACCTGATAGGAAGCTTTCCTTGCTTGGCCATTCTTGACGAGAGTCAGCGGCAGACCTCGAGAATAAGAAGTGTTCTCACTTCCTCCAGAACTTTTGATCCTTCTCAAACCCTTGCGCGTCATGAACTCCAGTGAGACCACCCTTCAGAGCGTCCTTCAGCATCACATTCAGGAATCTTTCTCTGTCATTGTCCGTCCATGCAGGCCGAATGGCAGTGAGCTGGTCGATAGCATTATCAATAAAGATGCCAGTCGGCTTGCCCTTCTCGTCGCGTACGACGGTGCCACCGGAGACGTCCCTGACTTTACCCAGGCGGGTCAAGATGGCAGAGGAAACCCACTCAACATGGAAGTCGACTCTTGACAGGCTGATTGGAAGGCCTCGGAGAATGTCTGATTTGTCGAGGTCGCTCTGCAAGATAATGAGCGTTCCTCTGTTGACGACTGTAAGGTGACTTACGGCGGTAGGAAACTCTTTGTCGTCCCAGAGATTTTGGTCCCAGCCAAGACCCTCGATCCATTTGCCCTCCTTGACCTCTTCTGGGTGGGCCAGAACAAATGCCTCAACCTTCTCAATGACCTCTGCGACGGAACGAGACCCATGGAGCTGCAGTTGCCGCGAGTGCCCATAGACGAGGGGGTGGCCGTGAGAGTCGATGAAGCCCTGAAGACAGTCAGCCATCAACAGTCATGCCTGCTGAAACTACCCACAGGAGTAACTGTATGTCCAGGAGGGATATCAACGATCCTCATGGCCTCGTTGATAGGTTTCGGGTACGTATCCGTAACCCACTTTCGCCTCATCTTCTCTGCAGGACTCTGTCAGCTCAGCCCACTGCTTCCCCGCACAACTTACTAAGACCACCCGCATCTACCACCTCTCCATCAATCACCACCACACAATCAGCTCTACCCACGCCTTCTTCATCACCATCACCTTCATATTCAAAGGGCACCGTCAATACGCTGTTGCCATTTTGTTTCGAGCAGATGGCGTAGAGATCCGGTAAATCACCCCCCTCTTCTCCAAGCGCAGTATACCGGCGGGGAGGGAAAGCATTCCGGACAAGGTTGGTCTGCTTTTGAGCATAGAGGATGATGGCGCCCATTATCAAGATGGAGATGGCTAGGTGGTATCCACGGGTGGACGGGATACGTGCCGGGGGATGGCGCTCGTATGGTATGACCCCGGCTGCTGTGGGTTGATTTTGGACCCGCCGTCTCAGTTGTGGATGGGGAGGCATGGCGGGATGGATACGGATGAGAGATGGGATTGGATTGGGAAGTGCCCCCTTCGTCGTCGTTGCTTGCTACGGCCTGAGGGTTGCTTGGAGATAGCCGTCGGTCACAGAAATTATCTAAGTGAGCCTGTTTCACATGTCAACAACAAGCACCACTATTATTATGCTCTTTCCGTTGCTGATTTGCCTGCAATAAGCTGTCTTCCAAATCTCCCGCAGACAGACACTCTGTTTGTCTTTGTGAAAAGTGTCGCCTTCAGATGCGCGATGGAACAGGGAAATCCTGTTGACTTCGGGATTGACGACCCGGTACATCAGAACCGCGAGATCAGAGTGAGTATAGAGTCGCCCTCGTCTTCAATGTATACTCATGATGGCTGATAGAGAGCTTGCGATGCTTGCAGAAAGAGAAAGAGGAAATGTGACGGGCCTGTGAGGAGTCACGTCAATGATAGCAGTGAGTTCGTCCATGGTTTCTTTCTATTAAGCATCGCTGACATGTCCTAGAATGTGTTCACTGCTCTCGCTATAATCTCGACTGCACATATACCGACCATGTGCCTACCCAAAAAGGTCCACCAAAAGGGTGAGTGTGCAAGGTCTGAAGGTATCGCGGACACCGTTGACGGGCTGTCAGATATCTGGAGATGGTCGAGCAGCGATGCGGACGACTCGAACAGCTGCTAAAACAGGTAAGGATCCCTCAAACTACAAGAACTAGCTAACACGGTGAATAGGCAGTCCCAGACATTGATCTTGATGAGTATGTCGGCCCTCCGATAGACCCAGAAACGTTCGATATCGTCGACTACAAAGTTCACATGGCATCTCTCAGCATACCTCCATATCCCGCCGTCAAACCCCTATCTCAAACGCCTCCCTATACTGCAACAAATCCCCTCCCTTCCGATATTCCTTCTCCCGAGAGCGAATTCCCCCTGGACCAAGTCATCACCAATACCAAAGCCTCGTCTGCCCCCTCAGATGTCGCCGACCCTGAGGAGCTCGTCCTCGTCAAGCACACGAGTCGCCTGCAAGTCGTCGACAGACAGTGGCGGTATCACGGGAAACCGTCCCCCGTGTATCTCGTTTTGCAGCTTCAAGAGCTCAGACGCCAGCTTGGTCTCAGCAACCTCTTCGATGAGATGAATAACAGCAAGAGAGATCGGATTTGGGAGATTCCTCAGTGGGAGATTGATATGGCAGAAGAGGGCATGTGTCCGATAGAATGGGCAGAGTGGCCGGAAGAGGGACTCGACAAACTTCTGATCAACTCCTATTTCGATCATGTCGCCGTGTACGTCCTGCTCTTGAATCGGGTCATCTTTGAAGGCCAATACGACCGAGGGCTTTGGAGGACCAATCGCGCATATGCCCAAGTATGCTTGGCAGTTTTTGCATGCGGCGCAAAGTTTGTCTCCGACCCAAGAGTCAAGATGCCCGACGATACAGGAGGCTACCACCCTTACTCTGCGGGTTGGAAATATATGCGCGTCCTCTTGCGGACAGGCTACAACTTTCTCCAATCACCGTCGCTCTACAGCCTGCAAAAGACTGTCCTCATTTGTCAGTTCTTTCAAGGGAGCAGCACTGTCCCTCACACCCTCCCTGTCATATCCAGCCTCGGCCTGCGCTCTTCGGAAGAGCTCGGCATACACGTCCGGCAACTCTTGCACCACGTCGACCCCGTGGAAAGAGAGCTCTACACAAGGGCTTTCTGGTGTCTGTACCATATCGACCGGTACAACTGTACCTTTGTGGGACGGTCCGTCGCCATGAGGGATTGTGATTTCGATATCGAATATCCGAAAGACGTCGACGACGAGTATTGGCAGCTGGGCTTCAAACAGTCTGAGGAAAAGGTCTCTCGTGTAGCTGTCTTTATACAGACCTGCAAGCTGGACCGGATCGTGGGTCGGATCATGCAGACGTTCTACACTGTCGAGTCTTCGTCTCAGCCTGTGGTATCTCTGCGACGTGCTGCCGATGAGCTCAGCGCAGATCTGGACGTGTGGACTGAGGAGCTGCCTTCCGTATTGCATTGGGACAACGAACGAGGCGACTATCGCATCTTCCAGCAGGCGGCCGCTCTCCGCACATACTTTCACTACTGCAAGATCCTCATATACCGGCCATTCATCTCCAGCTCTGGTAACCATACCAAGAACGACCCTCTCGAGACCTGTCTGTCGGCATCCTATTCCATATCCGACATTCTCTCTGCCTGCCTCCATCGCGGCCGTCGTGAAAGCTGTCAGCCGGGACACTCTCTCGATATATCCTACATCCTCCCCGTATGGTGTTCTGGCATGATCATTCTCGCCAGCTTACTGCACAAGACCCACTCGACAGACGAATACGAGCAAGCGCTGTTTCATGTCAAGGTCCTTCTAGCGGCGAGCAAGGATATCGAGGTGGTGTGGAGGCAATGTGGAAAAGTGACGGACTTTCTCACGCATCTTGTTAAGGAGGCGGGAGAATGGAGAACTATGGGGGGTGGCGAGGGTATGGAAGGTGGGGAAGATGATATGAGGGGTACGGTGAGGGCGACGTTATCTTCGTTGTTCTCGCCTCCGCCACTCGATCGACGGGCTCAAGACCGGGATTCGTTCGGGTCTTGGATGCGATTCAGAAACTTTGAAACTCATGTCATGGGTATGAGCAGTGACAGGCTGGAAGGGCAGTCTAGCGAGGCGAATGCAGGGACGTTTGCGAGTGGTCATTTGTGAGTTGACTGATGGCGCTTCAAGACAGTTCTCTGACGTGTGGGCTGCAGGGGTCCCGATCTCTTCAACTCTTGGGCGTAGCGGACTGTTTCCTCGGATGGATAATGATTCGGCTCAGATTCCTCGGATACTATTGGAAGACGGGCTCAGCGACGCTTTACAAGCGGTGCCCACGCACGCCTGGCGACGGAGGGGGAGGCCTGATAGTCTCAGCATACGCATCACAAATGGGATCACGTCAGACCCTCTAGAATGATTGTGATCATCACCATACTGAGTGTCTTAGACTTATGCATATTGTGCTGATGCCAGACTCACTCTCCACTACTCCTCACTCATCGTTCAACCAAAGTAGCGGTAGTGGAGGCTTACATAATGAGGACTCTGCTTACGATGACGGCGGCCGCCGCGGAGAAGGCCTACGGTCTCGGCAAGTCAGCAGTGACGCTGAAAGATAATCGGAGCAATGTCGATTCAATACAATCACCTTGACATCACCCAGCATGCCCGCGAGAAGGAGAGACGGCGAGAGCGAGGAGGGCGCATCCCCACCGTCAGACACCCCGGGAAACAAGAAGCGTAAGGTGCACGTGAGTATCGCAGTTACGAAACGCCCTTCTCGCTGACATTGTACAGAGAGCCTGCGACGCGTGTAGGAGACGAAAGATCAAGTGCAATGGGCCCATGGACAGTCGTATCAATGACAGTTAGTTACTGATTCTCGTACGAATGACCAGTACTGACTCGTGGTAGAGTGCGCTTATTGCATTAAGCTTGGGCTCGAGTGCACCTATAACAACGACACTAGCAATAAGAGGGGACCATCAAAGTCGTGAGCGCTGATTCAGACGCGTGGGTATTCAGCTGACCTCGGCTGACCTCGGTCAGGTATGTACAGATGCTGGAACAGAAGTGTGGCAGGTTGGAGACGCTGCTGCGCCAGGTGGGTCTGAGTCTCTGAACCGAGTCCGTGACTGAGTGACCTCTAGGCATTCCCTGATGTGGACATTCGCACCTACGTCGGACCAGAACTGGATCCCGACGCATTCGAGATCACTGCGTACTCTCAAGCGCTCGCGTCTTATGGAATACCCCCATATCCCTCGGTCAAACCCCTCCCCGTCCCTTCGCCACAAGTCTCCGCCCCTGCGCTGAATACTGAACCCGTCACGTCCTCTGTTTTGCCTCGCGCTGGAGAAAAAGTGCGTAGGGGTAAAGACGACGACAGGCAAGACAAGCAAACAGCCGAAGAGCTCTCGCTCGCTAGATTCATGAGCCGGCTCAATGCTCGGGGTGCTCAGGGGCGGAATCACGGCAAACCTTCCCCCGCCTTCCTGGTATGCCAGCTGACAGAGTACAGAAAGAGTTGTGCGCAGAACCCACAGCTCATCGAGGATCTCGAAAAGACGAGGAGGAGTCAATTCTGGGACATGCCGCAGTGGGAAACGGACATGACCAATGAGGGACTTCGTCACGCCGACTGGTCTATATGGCCCTCAAAAGGTCTAGACAAGCTCCTTATCGACGCATACTTTGACCACGTCGACCGCTTCCTCCCATTGCTCAATCGCCCCCGCTTCCAGCAAGAGTATGACCGAGCGCTCTGGCGGAGTCATTATGGCTTTTCGCGCGTCTGCCTCATGGTGTTTGCGAACGGCGCCAAGTTTGTGCAGGACCCTCGGGTGAAGCTATCACAAGAAGACTTGCAGGATACGGAAAGCGCAAGCTTTACTGCTGGGTGGAGATACTTTCGCGCTTTCATCAATATGGGGCAGAATCCCTTGCAGTGCCCTACCCTTTTCGACCTCCAAACCTCTGTGCTTCTTTCCCAGTTTCTCCAGGGATCGACTACTCTCCCGCACAACCTCCACAACGTCTACTCTATCGGCATCAGCTCTGCACAAGACCTTGGTATCCATATTCGCTCACTCATGGAGCACGTGAATCCTGTAGAGAAAGAACTCTACGTCCGCGCGTACTGGTGCCTATACCATATCGATAGGCACAGCAGCGTGTTCTTCGGTCGTCCGATGGCCATGCGAGACGTAGACTTTGATATCGACTATCCCAGAGATGTCGACGACGAGTACTGGGAGAGTGGAGATCAGAGCAGCCGGTTTTTACAGCCGCTGGGAAAGGTCTCTCGGGTAGCTAGGCACATTCAAATCCTCAAGCTCGACCGTATCATGGGCCAGATTTTGCACGCCATCTACACCGTCAACACCTCCCGAGATTCCAACATCACCCACGCATATCAAAGTTCAGGCCAACTGCTCGATACCTGTCTCAACCGCTGGCTGGCCGAGTTGCCTCGCGAGCTCCGCTGGGACCCTACCTGCCCGGACTTTGGCGTCCTCCAACAGACCGCCAGCCTGTTGCTGTACTTTTACTATTGCAAGAGTCTCGTGTATCGCTCTTACGTGACGATCACCTTTCCCGACCCTGTCGACTCTAATCCGACCCTCATGCCTCTTGCAGCTTGTCTTGCAGCGGCTCGCTCCATCTCCGAGATCATCTACACCACCCTGGCTCGGTCCAGACAAGAGGGCGTCCCTCCGGGCCACGCTCTCAATGTGTCTTTCATGCTACCTGCGTGGTCTGCTGGCATGATCTTTCTCTTCAGCTTGACTCTTGTACAAGATACGAGCGACGAGAAACAAAAGATGTTGCGCGAGATGAGGCGGCTTACAGAGGGGATGAGGGATATGGAGCTGGTATGGAAACAAGCCGGAAAAATTACCGACTTCTTCGAGCACCTTACGAAAGAGGTGGAGAAGCCGAGATCGACAGTGTGGCGGCCGGCCGAGGGAGGAAGTGGGGCAGGAAGGGTGGAAGACCGGCAGCTGATCCCGTTGTACGTTATCAATTCGTCCCCGCGTGAACTCCCGCAAGGTCAGCCTCAGTCGCCGGAAATCTTGGAGACGTGGATGAAGATGGATGCATTCGAGTTTCAGATGCTAGGGATGGGCGCTGGGGATGCGGGGTCGGAGCCGGATGAGGAGTGGTGGATCAAGCTGTATGATCATTATATGTGAGTGAGCCCGGTGTCACGATTTTGGATGGGGCATGTTTCTAACATCTTTACAGAGCGCCTGATATCATGAGTACCTGGTCCTGAACGTCAACTGCTCAAGATTGAGTATGCTAGACATGTTGTCTCTTCGCCGAGACTTCAATCCACCGAATGCTCTTGTAAATCACTCGGTTCTCTACAGCATACCGACAATCCACGCTCAGCTGGCCGTTGTTTTTGAGTGTGTCTTGTCACTAGTTCATGTGCTCGGGCGTCCTCTGTGATGAGAGATCGGAGGTCGTCAAATGGTCGTCGATTGTGTTTCACTCGTCAAAGAGCATGACATGATCCGACGAACCATAAGCTACATGATCATTGTATAACACTTAAAGACCGTACTACAGAGACTATATTCGTACAAGATGATCCCAGTTCACAGGCACACAACAAAACCAATTCTTCCAGATCAAACATGAAACCCGTGACCCTTTTGCAACCAGCGCCCCAGCATCCAAGACTCAGAGCACATACATGAAACTCGGGTTCCTGCATTCCAGTCAGTACCGGCAGCCACAAAGGCGAACCCATATCAAAGAGAGAGAGAGGGACTCACTCAAAGTCAGTCATATCATCGAACGCATGATCATTCAACTCCCCCTCCGCCCCTTCCAGCCTCCTCATCCTCATCATCTCCGTCAGCTCTTCCCTATACCTCTCCGCCTCCTCAATGTTCATGATCGATACATCCTTCAAATTCGCAGGGAGGCCCAAGCTCACCCGACGGGCTTCTTGCAGGCGGTTCAACTGTCGGAGGTGGAAGCTCATGGCAATAACGAGCAGGAGGAGGGTGCACCAACAGCCAATGTCGACGTAAAGGCCGGAGTGATAGAGAGGGGCTTCTCTGGCTAGGTACACTTGAGGGCCGACGATCTGTAAAGAGTATTAGTGGGACTGGGTGAAAAGCAAGTTGAGGTGGGAGAGGGCTAACGTTTCCGATAGTGAGGGCACCAAACATGGTGGCAGTTGTCAAGACTCGTTTGGTCGTACCCGCACAGTTGAGGTTGGACCAACTGACCAGCAATGGTTCTAGTAGCGGCGAACCGTCAGCTTGAGCGATATTTAGGCCAGGAAGAGTTGACGCACGGATAGCGGAGAAGAGATAGGCAACATAGTAACTAGCCATGAGGCCGCCCGTATGGCCCGGTGGCAATTGAGTCAAAGCACAACCACCGGCGATGGGGAAGAGGCAAACGCAAGCAAGGACGGGCCATCGACGCTTGAACTTGTTTGTAATGTAGATAGAGATGAGGGTACCGCTGATTCCAATGGCACCGAGAGGCATCTGGAGAAGGATGGTGGTGAATGCGTCAAAGCCGAAGCCCTAACCAACATGAATCAGCATGGCCCTTCAGCAAAGAAAAAGGAAAGCAGGAGACACACCTTGGTGATGAGTCCACCGAACGCACTTATACCACCGCTGGGCACAGCACAGCAAAACCACATCGCAGCCCACATATAAGTCTTGGGGTCTTTGTACGTCTCCCGGAATTGGTTCCACTTGAATTTGGACGCCTTGGTACCAGTGTTGTTGTCTCTCAGCCGGTCAATGGCGATGAGCCTGTCGTTGCCTTTACGCAGAAACTTGGCAGTGGTTGGCGAATTGGGCAGCATGAACCAAATCAAGGGCACCAAAGCCAACGAGATACCGCCCATAAAGAGGAAGATGCCTTGGTAGGGCTTGACGGTGGACGAGCCTTCGACAGCCTTACCGATAGCATATGCGAGAAGCGGACCGAGAATGGCAGCGACAGAGTTGGCAACCAGATAGGCGATTGTGCGGTAGGATTGTTCGCGGCGGACCCACCACATCTGGGTGATGAGGATGAACGAGGGCATGATGGTGGCTTCGAAGACCCCCAAGAACATTCGAGCGAGAACGAGGCCGGTAAAGTTTTTGGCGGCGCCAGTGCACATGGTTACGATACTCCCTGGCATAGCGTCAGCTTCGAAGGCGTTGGGTGGAAGGTCAGACCCACAAGAAGTCATGTTGAAGACGACCCAGTATTTAACAGGCAAGACGATGAGTGCGTAAGACGACAGCGGTTGGCATACAAGCTGGGCGCAGTATCTTGTTCTTTGTCAGCTTTAGCAGAATGACCCAATCGCCACTCACACTACAGAAGTCAACCAGGGGTACTCTATGCCTTTCAAGTTGGTCTCCTCCTGCAGGTTGAAGACCGCCGCGTAACCAACCGATGATTTATCGAGCTATAGTACGCGTCAGCCTAGTTCGTCCCTCTCCCAGTCCAAGTCTGCTCACCTGCTGGATAAAGTATGTCAGACACATGGGCAAGCAAACGAAAAGATCAATCTTGCGCAAAACCCGCTTATTGTCCTCGGCAGTATAGTCGACATGACCCCCTGCTTCCTCTAGCAACCTGGCGGCATCATCGAGCTGGTTGTTGACAGTCTTCTTAGAAGGTTGACCTTGTTCGGCGTCATAGCTGGTAGATGTGGGGGCGACTTCGATATGCTCTGTGTCATCCTTGACGTCCTCGAGGGAGAGGATGGCTTGCTTCTTGTCATCTTTCAGCGACATGGACTGCTTGAGGCGTAGTCCTGTGAGGTATTGGAGAGATAGAGGGTGTGGTCGATGAGTTGGGGGTCTGAAAGGCAGCTCTTCATATAGTAAATGATCAGAGTACGACAACGAGACAATTGCAGACAGAGACGACCCGGGCCGTTCATGTAAATGACTTGACCAGTACCGGGCCGTGATCCATTGGGGACTTGGTCTGTTGTCAGAGAGTGGCAGGTGGTACGGCCACGCGGTAGATTGTTGCGGAATATCAGCCGGTTTTTGGTAGAGAACCCGGGGGGCGAGCCCGACCACACGCAAGCTTGGTGATGATTATATGTAAACAGTCATGTGTCGCTGCTCCCAGACGAGGCGCCCTCAAGAATCGAGGAGGGCGTCTAATCTTCTTACTTGGGACTGGTAATAAAGACGTTACCATCGACCGCTCAAGAGCATACTGATTGTAAGGTAGATAGCATATGTACTCGTACAGTGCTCGTTTGTCGGTGATGACCTTACGTAGCTTCGATCCACCATGGCGTCTCTGCAGTGGCAGCGGCGCTATGTACTTACATTGTGACCGTCCGTGCTGATGGTGGGTTTGTTACATTTCTTGTGCTGCCCTCCTTATCTGTCTCCGTCGGCAAAGTCTGGGAAAAGTGATCGGAGATCGTCGTACGTATACTCGGGCAAGACGGCGTGGCGTAATATCATGAGACGTTAACATGAGTTGCATTGTATATAAGCCGTACATAGACCCTACATACAGAGACTACATTTCCTACAAGATGATTCCCAGCCCATGATAGATTGATATTCCAGATACACCCACAATCCCTGAAAAAAGAACACATTCCGCATACTCAGAGGACATACATGAAACTCGGGTTCCTGCAACTCCTGTCAGCGCCCGCAATCACGACTCAGCACAAGTTCAAACTCACTCAAAGTCTGTCATGTCATCGAAAGCACCCTCATTCAGCTCCCCCTTCCCTGTGCCCGTCCCCTGGCCTCTCGACCTCATCATCTCGTTCAACTCTGCCCTATACCTGTCCGCCTCCTCAGTGTCCATAATCGACACATCCTTCAAGTTGGCCGGCATGCCCAACGCGACGCGGCGGGCTTCTTGTCGGCGGTTCAGGACTTTGAGATAGAAGCCCATGGCGATGACGAGTAGGAGGAGGAGGCACCAGCAGGCGATGTCGACGTAGAGACCGGTGTGGTACTTGGGACTTTCGCGGTCGAGATAGACTTGGGGTCCGACGATCTGTCATCTCTGTTTAGTGGGTGTGTTCGGAGGAAGGAAAGAGAGAAGGGGCGTACGTTGCCGACAGTGAGGGCACCGAACATGGTGGCGGTTGTCAATACTCGTTTGGTCGTACCCGCACAATTCAGATTGCACCAGCTGACCAACAACGGTTCTGATTTTCGCCAAGCTCAATAAGCTGTCATACTCCCGTCTTGCGTGAATGTTGACTCACGAATAGCCGAGAAAAGATAAGCGACATAGTAACTAGCCATCAAAGCCCCAGTCTTGCTGTTTGGCACTTGGGTTAGGGCGCAAGCACCGGCGATGGGAAAGATGCAGATGGCAGCGATGACAGGCCATCGCATCTTGATCTTGTTGGTGATGTAGATACCGGCGAGGATGGTGCAGATGCCGATACCGCCGGGAGGCATTTGAAGCAGGATAGTGGTGAATGTGTCAAAGCCGAAGCCCTAACATGGATCAGCCCGTCTCCCAGAGCCAGAGATGATGAGAGACAAACCTTGGTAATGAGACCTCCGAAAGCACCGATACCACCACTAGGAATGGCACACAGCAACCACATAGCAGCCCACATATAAGTTTTGGGATCCTTGTACGTCTCCCAGAACTGGTCCCACTTGAACTTGGATGCTTTGGTACCAGTGTTGTTGTCCTTGAGCCGATCGATGGCGATGAGTCTGTCATTACCGCCACGCAAGAACTTGGCAGTAGTGGGCGAGTTGGGCATCATGAACCATACGAACGGCACCAAAGCGAGCGAAATACCGCCCATGAAGAGGAAGATGCCTTGGTAAGGCTTGACGGTGGTTGAGCCTTCGACGGCTTTACCGATAGCGTACGCCAGGAGGGGACCGAGGATGGCGGCGAAAGAGTTGGCGACTTGGTAGGCGACGGTGCGGTAGGATTGCTCGCGACGGATCCACCACATCTGGGTGATGAGGATGAAGGAGGGCATGATGGTGGCTTCGAATACGCCCAAGAACATTCGGGCGAGGAGGAGGCCGGTAAAGTTTTTGGCAGCGCCGGTGCACATGGTGACGATACTCCCTGACAACATTGTTAGCTTGACCATTGAGAGATTAAATGTAAGACTCACAAGCAGTCATGTTGAAGACAACCCAGTACTTGACAGGCAAGACGATGAGCGCGTAGGAGGATAATGGTTGGCAGACAAGTTGCGCGCAGTACCTGGTCGCATTGTCAGCTCTGAGCAAAATATCCCGGATCATACTTACACAACAGAGGAAAGCCAACTATACTCTGCGCCGTGGAGATTGGCTTCCGTCTTCAGGTCAAAGACAGCCGCGTAGGATACCGAAGACTTGTCCAGCTACCCGTGCACGCGTCAGCATCCATCCGCCGTTTTCATTCGTCAATCACTCACCTGCTGGATGAAGTAGACTAGACACATGGGCAAGCAGACAAAAAGATCAATCTTGCGCAAGACGCGCTTGTTGTCCTCAGTAGTATAGTCGACATGACCACCTGCTTCTTCTAGCAGTCGGGCAGCATCGTCGATCTGGTTGTTGGCCGTCCTCTTCTTTTTGGCAGGCAGGCCCTTTTCGGCACCGTCATAGTTGGTGGCGCTGGGGGCGACTTCGATGTGCTCGGTAGCAAGCTTCTCATCCTCGAGAGAAAAGACGCCTTGGTTCTTTTCTGGTGTCGACATGGCGCTAGTGGGGATTGGGATGAGTGGTTGAGGTGAAGAAGAAAAGAGATGGAAAGACAAGGGTTGATATAAGACAATTTGGAGGCCGATGCTTTCGGGTCAGAGGGAGAGATCTGTCCCGGGCCGTTCAAATGACATGGTCAGAGGCGGGCCGTGGAGCATCGGCGAATTGTTTGTTGACAAAAAGTGCTGCGCTTGGCAGAGATTACTAGGAGGACAATCATCATCCCTCTCCCGTGGCCCCAGTGGCGTACGCCTCCAGGCATGACTTCACCCCGAGTACGATCGGGGACGGCTGGGTCAATGATCTTGCGGGCCATTCCACAGCGCCTCCCGTTCAAAACGACCATTTGTGCGGCAAAAATCAACCATCTCACAGCCGGTCCATCCAGCGCGTGACTTGTCCCCAGGCACCGTGCTCACTTTGCCCCGGGCTGCCGACGCGTTTGGTTTCCTGTCAACGTCATCACATTTGTTTCAACACTTCTAGCAGACTTCTAGAAATACAACCATGTAGAGTACTAGTACAGCGCATGCACTACTCATCCTCATCCTCCCCCAGCACCCCCACACTCCGAATCTCCCCTCCCGGCGCATACACCGTCGTCTCATTTGCCGCCCCTCCCTCCACATACCCCTCCACCAAACTAAACACATCCGAATGACTCTTGCTTCTCGTCCTCGTAGAGGGCTGGGGCTGGTACGACAACGTGCCAGACCTGAGTCGTTTCCTGCCCAAAGATGGGGATGTCGGCTGACTAGTGTTACGGGAGGATGAAGGGGAGGGGTAGTATGCGGATGAAGATGCGGATGCTGTGGGACGATGTCGGCGGGAGAGATTGGATGGGACTGGAGGAGGGGAGAGGGTGAATGCTGGGACGGATGTCTGAGTCCTGCGCAAGCGGGGGAGAGTGTGGGCTTGGGGCACGATAGGATCTTGACGCGTAGGAGTCGCAGGAACGCGGGGGAAGGGGTATCCACTGCCCTTGTGATTCTTGGTAGGCGTTGGCGACCCCGAATCGGATGTAGCGAGCGAATCGGTATCGACTGTTGGCTCGTCATCCACCGCCTCTTGCGTCTCGTAACGCAGCGTCGACTTTTTAGGCGTCCTCTTTGCCCTCTCACTCGGGTCTTCGGGCTTGTTGACGCCAATCTCCTCCCCATTGTTCATAATGACATGCGCACCTTCCTCTGCAATCTCTTCTTCCACACTCTCAATCACATCCAAATGCAGCCCCCCAACACCGCTCTCGCCCATCCTGCCTTCGGCCTCGCGCTTCTCCCGCTCGATACCAGGCAAGACGGTGCGCACCCACTTGCCGACATTGTAAATGGCCTTCTCCGTAGCAGGGAGGAATGAAAACATTTGGAATACGTGGACCATGTCTTCGTACAGTTCGTGTGTGACCGAGACGCCGGCGAGGGTGGCTTTGTGCGCGACGAGGATGATTTCGTCGCGCAATACTTCAGAGTCGCCCGATTGGATGAGCATGGGAGGCAGGCCGTGAAAGTCGCCGAATAGGGGAGAGGCGTATGGGTGGGTGAGGTAGGTGGAGATGCCTTTGGGTCCGAGATAGCACCCTACAGGGTTCAAGTGGTCTATCACGCGTCAGCATGTAACAAATGTATGGTATAGTACTCACCACCAGTTTCGGGTCGTGGGACGACATCAGAACTAGCATTCTCATCCCAACTCCCACAGCTCATCGTCAAATCCACCCACGGGCTCATCAAGATCAACCCCGCAGGGAGCTTGTACCCCTCATCTCGGAGATACATGCACAGCGCCAGACCGAGCCCACCGCCGGCAGAGTCGCCTGCGATGATGATGTTTTCTGGGGGGATCGATAGCGGCGCGGAGAGGAGGCGCAGGTAACCATGTAGGACGTCGTGTAGTGGGAGGGGGAAAGCGTGTTCGGGGGCGAGGCGGTATGTGATAGCTATGCTGTATCAGCTTTGTCCAGTCTTGAGATCAAGGGACGCACCAAAGACTCGGGCGTTGCACGACTTGCTGACGCCAATAGTGATCAGCCGGTGAGTTGCAGCATTTCCCACATAGTACGCTCCCCCATGAATGTAGTAAATCACTCTCTCCCCTGCCCCTGCTTCATTGTCGAGTTCCGTCGCTTTCAGCTCTGGTTTCCCAGCCCTCGGGGACGCGCTCCTCCCCTTCCCTTTCCCCTGCCTGTGCCGCTGCCTTGCCCGTTTCTCTGCTTTCAGCCGTTTCCACACTTCCGTCCCCACCACCCACTCTCCCGCCAGCTCCCTATCCCCGCGTTCCAAAAGATCACACTGCCTCAAGAAACCCCTCGCTGCCTGCGCTTCGGTCCGTTTCGGGACGACGAACGTTATGGGGGTGACCACCGCGTCTCCAGGCAGCGGCATGAGAAAGTGCAAAGAGATGAACCTCCTTATGAGGACGATATCAGCCAAGCTCGAATGGTCCGCAATGTTGCGCATGAACGACGTTATAAGCGTCATCCTATACCCCCAACTAGTGCGCTTGGGACCAAACAAGAAATGCGACACGAGCGCCACAAGCACATGTATGCCCTTGGTGAAGACAAATCTTATAAAGAGCCACCATTCTGCGAGGGACCACAGGAGCGGGCTGGAGGAAGCTGGTGGGGGCAGACGTTGTTCGAGCTTGGGGTCTATGCGGGATGACGGGGGCAGGGGGGAGGGGGAGCGGAGCGGGTGGGAGGTGGTGTATGTCTGGAGGAGGTGCTGGAGGGGGAGCGGCTGGAGGGGGGCGTTGTTGCGGGGCATGGCATCGATGGGCTGTTCGATACATCTATCTCTCCATTCGCCATAACATGTCAACAGCGGCCATCACCGGTGCTGTCTGCGCACCCACTTTACACGCGACGCGTCTCTTCCCCTGTCATGTTCTCTTTTTCATTTGTCCTTTTCTCATCCAACCCATACTCCCATACTCGCCATGTCCACAGCGCTGGAACGACTCAAGGAGGCGAGGAAGAAGGGCGGTAGGCTGTCTCAGTGGAAGGTATGTCGAACCCCAGCGACGCGTCGGAAAGGGATCATATACGACGCGTTCACTGACCCTACCGCGTTTCATAGCCTACTGTAGAGACCGACATCTTTGATCACGTCACCGAAGACCAGTACAAAGCTATCGTCGGTGATAGACTGGACCAAGATGATTTTATTGAAGATGATGGGACGGGCGATTATGTAGATGATGGGAGAGAGGATTGGGATGGGGCGGAGAGTCAGGAAGAGAGTGAGGATGAAGACGCGTTTGATGGGGAGGATGAAGAGTATCGAAAGGGTAAGCCCAACCCCAATGATAGGAGTCAAGACTGACGCGTCTATAGCGCGTCAACTGAAAAAGGCAAAGGCAAAGGCGAAAGCCGCTGCCAACCCCGACAAGGCCCCCAAAGCCAAGCCCAAACCCAAAGCTTCCTACTCTGATTATGCCCGTCCTTCCAACAAGTCGTCAACCTCGTACCGCGCGGCCGCGCCAAGTGCACTGGCGGAAGACGACTTTATGGCCAGTCTCTTATCGGGCATCGACGCACCATCTAGCACCCGCAAACGCAAATCCTCCCCCGAAATCCCTTCGTCCGACGGTTTCCCCGAACCCAGCTCGGACAGCTCCTTCTTTTCCTCTTCACGGAAGCGATACGGAGCGGAGAGCGATGATGAGACGATGTGGGATGCCAAAAGAGGCATCATGGGCAAGAAGCCGCGTGTTTCCGATGTGACCGTCACTGGCAGACGCGATTCGCATATGGACGTTGATCAGGAGAATGATATCCAGTGGGACGACGATTCCATGGATATCGACGAGATCAAAGCAGAACGCGCGGACAGCGACGACGACGATATACGAGTCAAGAGTAAACCTCTGACGACATCAAAAGTCAACGGCGTCACGACGAAACGCAAGGTCGTCAATGCTTCTTCCGTCAAACACGTCCTCAAGCGCGAACCTTCACCTGTGGCATCTCCTGCCGCTGTGAAGGCGGAAAGGGCAGAGGTGGAGATGGAGGTGGATCCGAAAGTGATCAAGCCTCGGTTGGCAGCCAAGCCCAAGGGCAAGAGCAAGCACTGGTCGGCGATCCAAGCGGACCTCGCTGCAAAGGCCGCCGAGGCCGATGTCGACGACCTCGAAGCTGCCAAGGCGCCTGTCAACAGCACGATCCATTCGGACGACGTGCTCGAGGCGGACGGCTCGCTCAAGTTTTTCTGGCTCGATCATTATGAAGAGGCTGGACATATCCACCTTATCGGAAAGGTGTTGGATCAAAAGTCGGGCAAATATGTCAGTTGTTGTGTGTCGGTGCTCGAGATGGAACGATGCTTGTATGTCAAGCCGAGAGCAAAGAAGTTTGGTGAGTATTTCGTCTTTGCAAAGAGACACTGCTGATATCGTGGCAGCCGACGGTCATCAAACAGATCTCGACGTTTCTCAGGACGACGTCCTCGACGAATTTGACAGTTTCCGGAGAAAGTCCAACATCAGCGAGACGCGAGTCCGTTGGGTGAGACGGCAGTACGCTTTCGAGGACCAGACTGTAGAGAGGGAAGAGAGCGACTGGCTAGAAGTCAGGTACCCTTTCCATCGTGAGTGTATATCACCTTTGGACCAAGTGTGATACTGACGATATACAGAGCCCGAGATTCCCGCCGGTTCTAGTGGTTCTACCTTCAGTCACATATTCGGTACCAACACGACTCCATTCGAGCTGTTTGCGGTCCAACAAAAGATCATGGGTCCCTCGTGGCTCGAGATCAAGGACCTATCGCCTGCTGCAAACGCTGTACGTCCTTCATATCTGCTTTGCAACCAGCTCACACTTTACAGGCTACCTGGTGTAAAATCGAATTTTGCGTCGAAAGCCCCTCCACGATCAACCCCTTCCCCGAAACCGACAACGCCGCCCCTAAAGACACCCCTCCTCTCACCGCCATGTCCATCTCCATCCGCACCATCGTCAACCTGCGCGAAAACAAGACTGAAGTCCTCGCCATCTCGCTCCGTACATGGGACGACTACAATATCGAAGATCCCACCCCGCCAGACCAGCTCCGATCGCAGATCACCACCGTCATCCGGCCTATTGAAAAGTTTCCTGCCGGGTTTGAAGCGTTTGCCAAAAATCCGAAAGATGGCAATTCGTTCCATACTGTCAAGAATGAGCGGTCGCTTTTGAATCTTGTCCTCACGCATATTCAGCGACATGATCCTGATGTGCTGGTGGGACACAACTTTTTGGGCACGAATTTCGAGACGATGCTTTACAGGTTTAGAGAGCTTTCTGTGGACAAGTGGTCAAGAATAGGCAGGTTTAGGAGGGGCAAAGGGATCAAGATCTCAAAGATGGGGAGTAATGTCAGGTTGTTGTCGGGCAGGTTGGTTGCCGATCTGTCTAGTGATGCCGCCAAGGTGTGTCCTCTCATCCCTACTTACGTGCAGTCGCTCACGTCCTGCAGGGCATGATCTCTTCGACGACTTGGTCTCTTACAGAGATGTGCCTCACACATCTCAAGATCCAGCGCGAAGATATCGACCCCGAGGACACTGCTACGTATTTCGACCACAGTGCCGTCTCTCCCGACAAGTTGATCACTTTCACGCGATTGTGCGAGGTGGACGCCTTTTTCCAGATGGCTATCGCTGCTAGGGTGCAGATCTTGCCGTTGACCAAGCAGCTCACCAACTTGGCTGGTAACTCTTGGTACGTTCCGACGTGGAGGGAAGGGTATGGCTGACCTTGCACAGGAACCTCACGCTGAATGGTGGTCGTGCTGTCCGTAACGAATTCATCCTCCTGCACGAGTTCAACCGCCTCGGCTACGTCTGCCCCGACAAGGCTCCCTTCAAAGCCAAGACAAAAGTTTCCGCCGACGGCGACGAGGGCAATGAAGATCTCGGTGCCATGAAGGCCGGAAAGGGCAAGGCCAAGTATTCTGGTGGTCTGGTCTTTGAGCCCAAGAGAGGGTTGTGGGACAAGTACATCTTGGTCATGGACTTCAACTCGCTGTATCCCAGTATCATTCAAGAGTTCAACATTGATTTCACCACGGTTGTGAGAGGTCAGGATGGTGATGTGAGTTTTGCGACTTTTGTGGAAAGGGCTCAACTGAACTGACGGTGTGTAGGACGAGGACAAGATCCCCGAAGTGCCCAGATCAGGCGAAGCCAAGGGTGTTCTTCCCAAGATCATTTCGACACTCGTCAACAGGCGTAAACAAGTCAAAGGCCTGATGAAGAACAAGTCGGCCACCCCGGCCCAGATCCTCCAGTGGGATATCAAGCAATTGGCCCTCAAGCTCACTGCCAATTCGATGTACGGTTGTCTCGGTTTCGTTGGATCTCGATTCTCTTCGAGACCTCTTGCTGCTTTGACGACTTTCAAGGGTCGAGAGATTCTGGGGCAGACGAGACAGACGGCTGAGAATGATCTTGGTCTTGATGTACGTGTTTTCACTTGCGGCAGATCGGTGCTGACTCCGTGTAGGTTGTTTACGGAGATACCGATTCCGTCTTTGTCAACTCCAACGTGACTACCTACCCTGAGGCTTTCAAGATTGCCAATGACTTTAAAAAGGCCATCAACGACAAGTATCGTCTCTTGGAGATCGATCTTGATGCCGTCTTTGAGAGAATCCTGTTGTTGAACAAGAAAAAGTATGCGGCTGTCAAGATTGATGAATCGGGAGAGAGGATCACCGAGGTGAAGGGTTTGGATATGAAGAGGAGAGAGTACAGTCAATTGTCAAAGGACTGCAGCACGTAGGTTCTCCACGCAGAAAGTAGGACCCAAACTGACGGTCAAATAGTGCGGTGTTGAAAGAGATTCTGAGTGGAGAATCCACCGAGGTTGTTGTCCAGAACGTCCACGACTATCTCATCCAAGTCGGAGAAGCCGTCCGTAACAATGAGGTACCGCTCGAAGACTTCATCATCTTCAAAGTAAGCCCACCGTCCCGCAAGATGACCATGACTGATATCCATCGCAGCGACTGGGTAAAAACCCCGAAGAATATCCAGAGAAGAATGCCCTCCCCCATGTCCAGGTCGCCCTTCGCATGAAAGCCAAGGGTACATCCGCCAAGGCGCACGATGTTATTCCTTACATCATGTGTCTGGATGAGGACGGCAAGAGCGGTAAAACGCAAAGTGGTGACCGAGCCTTCCACCCTGATGATTTGAGGAGACAAGGATCAGAATTGAGAATTGGTATGTTTCGATACTCTTTTACAGGTTTCATCACTGACGGACGACAGACTACGAGTACTATCTCGACAATCAAATCCTTGTCCCCGTCAACAGATTGTGCGAGACTATTGAAGGCACCGAGCGGGCGCGTATGGCGGAATGCCTCGGTCTCGACCCCCGACGATACGCCAACACTGCCTCAGCCGAGGCGCAAGAGCAAGAATTCGCCACATTCGACTCTCAAATCTCTGATGAAGACCGGTACAGAGACGTCGATCCTCTGAAACTGACCTGCCCTGGCTGTATGGAAGAATTGGCGTTTGTCGGTTTGCTAGGCAAGGAGGAAGCCGAGTCTCACATCCGAGCCAACGGTATTTGCTGCGACAAGTGCAACACCCCCATTCATCCCGCGTCTCTGGGGCTGCAGCTCGAGAACCAGATTCGCGCTCATATCGCGCAGTATTATCTGGGATGGATGGTATGCGACGGCGAGGGATGTGGCAGTCGGACACGGACGATGGGTGTGTATGGCAAGCGGTGCTTGGGCTTTGCGCGAGAAGATTGTCGGGGTACGATGAGGCTGGAGGCGAGTTCACTTACCAAGTCCTTGGACAGCGCTGATGATGGGTTCAGTACACGGATATGAAGTTGTACCACCAACTACTATACTACCGCAGTCTTTTCGACGTTGACAAGATTCTTGCGCCCCTCCAGGGCAGTAAGCGGTTAGGTAAGCCATCTCAACCCCTCTTCTATGGATGTCAACTGACCTCTTCTGCAGAGGAAGTCCGACCAGTAACACTTGCCAACAAGAAACTCCTCTCAGACCTCGTCAACGTCACAGACAAGTACCTGAGCAAGAACGGGAGAAGATATGTCGACTTGGGAGGGTTGTTCAAGTTTATGGAAAAGATCAAGCTGTGATGTGTGCGACAGATGGGATGGTTTCTCTCGGTGTTTATGTTTATCTACTTTTTGCTATTTTGGTATTCTCATATTTGTATGGTATGTATGCATGGAGACGTTATGTTCTTGGTCAAGTCAAGATATCAGAAGTTGCATCCCAACATCATTGTCCGTGATCTATACTTTGTGTTCGACCCTTCATTTTGGCAAGCACCCCGGATACAGGCAAACAACATTTCCAGCAATCACGTTCTCAACGTTCCAGAAGGACCAAACTCCTATTCGACGTTCAGCACAAACCAGACATTAGGCATCGGTGACTCACTTTAGCATAGCAGTTCTTGCAGTACGGCGTACCATCTCTATCCGACACCTTTGCCGGGGCTAATGTCGTATTACATTTGTTACATTTCAAACACCACCTATGCCACTTGTGGCCCACCGAAATCACCTACAACCCCATCAGCTTTACTCCTCACAAAACACCACATCTCAAGTGAAAGACCTCACTTGCTCAGCAGCATAAACCCTCTTCTCACACCCCCCACAAAGATCATCCCCAGCAACGCTGATCCCAACTTTCGTCCTCGGGCTCGAGCCCTTCTTCAACAGCCCCCTATCATCCAGCGCTCTCGCCCCTCCCGCATACGGTATACTTATCGGCCTTTGATCCCTAAAGTTTGGTCTGGTGATCGGCGTTGAAGGGTCTGTGGGGGTAGCTGGTTCTGGCGGAGGTGATTGGGCGGTGGGGGGGACGTAAAAGTCTGTTGTGGGCGGAGGGAGGGGGCGGGGGGAAGAGAGGGAGCCGGCGGGGCGGTGGTATGATGGGGTTGAGGTCTCGGTGGGAGGAGGTTTGGGAGGGGTGTTAGGTACGGAAGGGAGGTGGTTGGCATGGCGAAGATCTATCAGAGTGTGAGTATTGCTCCAAGTGGGTGGATGAGGGTGAGAGGTACCTCTTGTACCGAATAGGACGACATGGCATCGAGAGCAATACGGCTTTACCCATGAGCGAGTCAGCTTTGGTCATCATGACCATCCGCCAAGGAAGCCGAACGCACCTGAGAATCATGCTCCACTAATCCTCCAGGGTCCAACCTCTTTCCACAATTCAGACACTTTAAACACAACTTATGATATATCTACCATCCATCTCTGTCAGCTCAGGGAGCAGTCTCCAGTGGCAAAAAATCAAGAAGGAGAAGACGAACCTTGCGACCAGGACCCATGACCTGCTCAGCATGATACGCCGTCTTGCTGCATCCTTCACACTTGGGTGCGCCCCCGAGCATCATCTTGTTGAAATAGTAAGCGGGATAGTTGCAGAAAGAAAGATATTGAAGATGAAAGGAGAAAGTAAATAGACGCGTCGGACGCGCTCGGTGGTCAAGGCGGTGGCTCGGATATGAGCGTAGTCTGTGCACGCGAATGTGGCACTTGCATAACATCATCAATTCATAAAAAATTATACGAGTACTATATAACCGTCCTAGGAAAATGTATAATCTATTGACAGGTAATTGTCCATGCAAACATCAACAGCACCTAGACCCAAGTATTATACAAGTCAGGTCCCCTTCCGTACCATCAGCTCTTTGCCTACCAAGAGGAAAGAGGACTCACATCTGGTTCCCAGACACCCGCCCCCACCGATCTTCATCCCCTTCCCCTTGCCCCTCCCCTGCCCCCTGTCCATCTTCCCCCTGCCCCAAAGTCACCTTCTTCATCCCCTTCAACTGATTCTCAAACGTATTCATCCTCACCCAACTTTCAAACAACTTTCTCTGCGCCTCCTTCTCACTCGACCCTTGCCCTTGTCCCTGCCCTTGTCCTTGTTCTTGGACGCCAGACTCGTGTCCCTGAGGGGAAGCATAGACCGGCTTGGTAGGTGTCCCCGATTCTTGCCTGAACGCCCGTCTCTCCGCCTCGCGTTGCGAATCCAGTCCCCCGCTTTCGCGCAAAAACTGTTCAATGAAATCTGCAATCTTGCCTCCCAACTTCCAATTCACCTCCAGCTCCCTCGCTGCTCTTAGACAAGCTCTGATCCCATTCTCTGCGCGCCGACGTTCGAGGGGCGTTTGGTCGACGGCGTAGATACTGATGAGCAGCACTATCCCAGCGAGCCACGCTGGGAAAAGCGCAGAAATGTCCAAAGCCTGCCCGGGCTTACTCCCTTCTTTCAAAGACCTCGACAGAACAGAGTCTGATATACTACATATCGACAGCGCCGCCGTCACACACGAAGCCAAGGACGACAGCTGATCATGCGTTGCCACATTCCGCCTCGGCGGAATCAAGTTCCGGTGGATGAGCATCTTGATATACGCGTGTAGAGTCCAGAGGGTGGCTGTCTGGCGGAAGAGGGTGTGGTTCGTGCGGTGTGGGTCCCAGCGCAGGGAAGGGGGGATGGAGGAGACCCAGGCGTCGAGGGTGGCGTCGAGCTCCATGGCTGCTGCGCGCCTCGTCGTTGGGCCGCGGGTGGTTTTGCGGGAAGCGTACAAGAGCTGGAGGACTTGGCCTAGGATCTGGTCGAGTTTGAGTACTTCGATAAAGACTCGCACGCGGGATATACGCCCGGAAGGCTGTTGGAGCATGACCCCGCCAGCAAGACTCCAGTACTCGTCGTCCAAGTCTTCAGGGAAAGGCACGTCGTAGTCGCTATCTGCCATAGCCACCGACCGGCCCAGCATCGTACACCCCTGTCTGTCCAGATGGAACAAACACCAGAACGCGCGCTTGTACAGTTCCCTATCCGCCGGCTGGAGGCGCTCCAAGACGACTTTGGAGTGGATGCCGATATCTTGGGCTGAACGGAGGGCGCTGCCGGCGATGGTGGCTACGCGCGCAGGCTCGGTACCTGCTTGGAGAAAGTGGCATATGAGAGCTTGGGCTTGGAGCTCGTACAGGTCCGGCATGCGGACGGGGTTTTGGCCCATGTGCAGCGCCATGTGGAGATACCTCCACCCTGCAGAGTACTGCAGCCACGGGGCAGAGTAGTCTTTGCCGGTCCCTTGCGTCTTTGAAAAGGCTGGGTGCCAGAATGTACCCGGGTTGCTGAAGAACCGGGAACCGCAGGCAAAGATTAGGAGACAGACACGGCCGAAGCGTTGTTGTGATTTCCACAAGCCAGAGTCATAGTCGCGTTGGAATATGTGGCGGTTGAGCAAGGGGAGGTGGACATTGACGTGATCAAAGTACGCATTGATCAGCTGTTGATCCAGCCCTTCATCTGGCCAGACAGAGTACCCCAGCGGGTTCAGCCCCACATCCATGATGAAAACTTCCCACTCTGGCACATGCCAGAAATCCTGCCTCTTGTGTTCACCGAGGGCTTCGAAAAAGTTGGATTGTTCTCCGGACTGGTGTTTGAGTTCTTGAAAATGGAGGATGAAATGGGAGGAGGCGGCTTTGCCATGGTGCCGCCAGTGGATGTCGTTGTCTTTGAGACGGGTGAGGGATTTGACGACGGGGGCGCTGGACGTATCGGGGACGTAAGAGTACTCTTCCGACTCTACATCTGGCACATGCTCGGGAGAGGGCGTGTCGGATGGAAGAGAAGAGTCGGCGGGGGAAGCGACAGGGGAAGGGTCGTCGGGGATGGACAGAGCGCGAAGCTTCGCTTGGTAGACCTCCAGGTCAAAGTCTGCTGCAACGGGGGCAGGACCGACGTAATCATCGAGGTTGACTGCCGGAAAGACCTATGAAATGTCAGCTCAAAGATCGATTGATGAAAGAGATGGACGCGCTGATTTGAGCATTCCCTCCATTCTTCGGCAGCGCTGTTCGAGGGCCTGGGTGTAGGCTGTAGCATGGCTGCGGGTGTTCCTCGTGGCAGTGGGGGGCTACACAAGCGAGGTGAGGAGATGTGTATAGATCATAGGCAGCACTCACCTGGCTCGGCGTTGAGCTCGCCGAGGTGGGCAGATCTCCTTCGTTCTTGGCGCTGGAAGAGTGGGCCCTGTGGTGAGCGTAGTGGGTGTCGTGGGGGACATTGGGGGGCCTGTGGGGGCGCATTGTGGGTGTGGCAGACTGGGGTATATGGGATATATAGGGGACTGTTTACGCTCCCTCGCCCTCGAGCCGCAATCTTTCGCCCATAGTAGCTGCGGCTGTACCAGCATGCCCACGTGGAGTGTGATCGAGCGAGTCTCTAGAACACCACACAACCCTACACACACACACACATACCGTCCGTGCGCGATCACTTTCCTTCTCCGTCGGCCCGTCGGAAACTCGGAACCCGAAGTGCTTCCACCCGTGTCCGCAATTAGGGAGGCTTCTGAGATCTGATTAAAGTATCTTCTCTTTCTCAGGCCCTTCACAGAAGATGAGAGAAATTGAGAATCAAAGAATCAATTTTGTGGACGAACTGGTTGCGCTGGATGAGCTTTGTGACGCTGAAGACTCTAAGGTCTTATACCAGGAAGGATAGGATGAATGAATTAACATGATCAAAGGATGGGGCTTTTCCTAGAAAGATCTGGGAAAAGGGGCCTTTTCCTTTGAACGCGAAAGCCAGAGGAAGACGAAGAGGAAATACTTCCGTCAAAAGCCTAAGCCTCCACTTGCGCTTGCCTCCACTTGAGTTGACGGCTTCGGACTTGCCTGGCATTCTCGAACATTCCCACTCCATCTGATCAGCATACACCATGTCCAACCCCCTCGACCAGCCAGTCACAGACACCCCCCTCGCATCCCCATCCCCATCCCCTCCTGCAGCCACCCCCACCCCGGCCCAGGAGCAGGAGCAAAAGCAAGAGACACCCCTCGCCATCGAAGATGGCTCCCACCAGCCTGCCGATCCTCAGGGAGAAGAAGTAGGGGAGGTGCACAGACTCGACTTGGGAGGCGGAAATGTAGTCAAGCTGGACAAATTGGGTCCTATGATTATCAACTCTGACGGTGTGCGTCCCTCCCTCCTGTACTCGTACACTCAGAAGGCAAGACTGACACAAATCAGACCTTGTCGAGAATACAAAACTGGCAAGACCTCCATCCGGTCGAACAAGAACGTACAGTGAGATTACTGGTAAAGAAACGTAACCTCGTGCGATTGAAGAACCTCAATGAGGCTGAGCAAGCCGCTGGAGGTGGTGGCGAGGAGCTGAGTGCTCTGAAAGACCAAGCGTAATGTCAAGGAATGCAGTGTTGTACAGATTACAGAATAGATGGCCGTAGCAATGGAATGCTTGATCTTTTCATGGCGTAACACTATTTCTTAAAGACATGATGCTCTATCACCCCCCAGTCTCCAGCCTCACTACCCTTCCTAACCAAAACTCCTCAACTCGATCCCCTTCTTCTCCTTCCCCACCCCCTGCCCCTGCCCTTGCCCCTGCTTACCCCCACCAATAGCTTCCCTTACAGCCTTCTCCAACTCTCCCCGCTCCCCTTCTTTCATAGCCATCGTCGCTTCTTTGAACGCCACGGGGCTGGACTGCGCGAGACCCAGAAGGACGCCGGTGGCTACACCGTGTAATTGCGATGGGCCGGATGCAGAAGCAGACCCGGGCGGGTCGAGCATGATACACAGCGTTGGCAAAAGCACACCATACCCCCTCGCCCTCTGCCCTCCTTCCTCCGGTAACCCAGTCCCCCAAGCGACCAAAGCCTTGATAACTTCCCTCACCCCTCCAAGCGGGGGCGCACTCTCAGCATTCGTAGCGTGGGCCACGACAGTGTCAGAGATGTAGCCGATCATGAACGGTAAGAGGTTGAGGGTTGTATGTTGGAGGACGGATGATGGGGATGGGGGACAGTTTGGTCCGAGGGGGGAGGGGATGGGGCGGAGGGAGGCGGAGAGGAGGGTGGAGGCGCAGTGGATCGCTGTTAATCCGAGCTGTTGGCCAGTCAGTAGTCATTCCCATGTAGATAGTGTGAGGACGCACCTCGGGACGTTCTACAGCAGCACCGAGGTTCTTGCCAACAGCGCTCGCTGTCGCTTCAACGAGGTTTTTGCTGACTTTGATCGAAGACGGTAAAGCCGTCAGTATCAGAGTGATAGCGAGCAGGTTGTTTTTGATTTTAAGGTTGGCCACCGGGTTGACTCGCGATCTATTTTCCCATCAGCACCTTTTTTCATGAACAGCAAGGCAAGGCTTACCTCATATCATCAACATTGCTCAAACAAGCCGACACCACCCCATGTACCACCTTCTCCCCATTGCCCACCCCGGGCACTTGCGCCCTCACCAACCCTTCCACCAACACCTTCAAACTCCCCAAGCAACCCCCTACCAAATTCAAAACCGCTTCATCCTCCAACAATCCCATAAACAGATGCAGCCCCACAGCATAGAGGTCGGCCCGCTGGGAAATGTCGATACAGTCGATAATCTGGGCGTAGGCGGAGAATGCGGATTGGAGGAGGGCGGTTTTGGAGGAAGGGGCGTCGGTGTGGTGCCATGTGGCTTTGATTTCTTTGGAAGGCACGATCTGGCGGAGGGTGAATGCTACAACGGCCAGTGCCCGACGCGTTTGCGCCGCATCGTCGACACCAGTGCCCTTCCTGCTAATCGCGAAATTGCGCATAACGCCCACCATCTCCACCTTGACGCTCGCCGGCTCACTCATCGCGATCCGATAACACACCGTACACAGTTCATCAAAGAACTGCCCTTCGAACACTATCGTACCGCTCAAAAACGGTTTGACAAGGGATTGCAAGGCTTTGAGGTATGCTGCTGCAAGGGAGGATTGGGCGGTGTCGCCTAGGGTTTTGAGCAGGGATTCGAATGCGAGGCCATAGATGATGTAAAAGTTTGTACAAGGTTCCGGTCTGATGGTCGGTAAAGAAGAAGGCGGGGTGGGAGAGCTGAATCGCTGGCCGTCCATCGCACCGAGGGCGAAAGGATTTTGCAGCGAAAAAGTGATGGCAACAGCATGTACCAATTTCGGCACCGCCTGCTCATAGTACGGCAACAGCACCTCCCTCCCCAACCCCGCCGCACTATCCACCCCACCACCCAGTCCACCCATCTCGGGGTCCGTCCTCAACTGCGCATAATCCCTCAGCGCCCCGATCCAGAATGGCGCCAGAAGCCAGCGATGGGGCTCAATCACGGCGGTAAGGTATGGTTGCCGGAGGGAGGCAATTTGCAGTTCGGCCCAAGCGGTGAGGATGGAGATTTTGAGCATGATGGCAGCAAAGGGGGAGAGATCTTCGACATCGCCTAGGGAGAGCATGTCGCCGGATTTGCACTGCTCCAAAGCGCCGGTTAGGAGTTTGAGGATACGGCCCATGCGGGGTACCTCTTTGACGACACCGCTGCCGACAAAGACGGCGCATACTTGTACGGCGAGGGAGAGCACTTGGGGGGCACTGTCCGAGCTGAAGGAGGGGGTGAGGGCGGCGGCGATGGGGGCTTGGTGTTGCTCGAGAAGGAGGGAGCTGTCAAAGTCCGGGTCGGGGGAGGATGCGAATTTCTACCAAGAGATTAGTGATGGTTGGCGAAATGTGTCAACACTTACCTCGATGACGTCCCTCAAGACAATTAGACCGGCCACTCTCACCTCCATCACGCCAGCCGCACTGGCCGAGAATGCCATCTTAATCAGATCGCCCACTCTCGACCACAACATGTGCTTGCCATTCGCACCAATCCTCCTCGCCAACACTGGATCGAAATGCTCCGGCCTATTCCCCTCACTCACCGCCTGGACAACATCATGCAGACAGTGCAAGGCAAATAGCTGCGTGCGCCATCGGGATGAAAGCGCGTTACTACCCGAGCCCGCCGAGTTGCCAGCAAATGATTCGCCTTCGTCGTCGATAAAGCCTGTACCGGCAGAAATCTGTTGAGGTTGCTTTGAAGCTGCTTTCTGGGCGGCGGTGCGAGTCATGATCTTTTGGCAGATATCGATCCAGCCGGATGGAAGAGCTGCTGCGGTCTCGCTCAGCCAGCTGGTTATCAAACGCTTGACGTCTTCAATAATGGGGTCGTCATCCAAGAGACCAAACAGGTCTTCCACCAGCTGGTTACCACCGATCTTGCTAATCAGGATGGCGTCCCTCTGGACAATCTGGTATAGAGCAGTAATGGAAGCGACCTTGAGCGGCCGTCTAGGCGAGGCGAGATGTCTCCTAAACGTCTTGACGAGCTTTGGCGTATCAATAGCAGCTGGCGCAAACATCAAGAACTGCTGAATACACTTGATAGCCTCCACCGCCAATCCCTCATCCGTCTCCTCGCCAAACTCGTGCACCAGCAAAAACACCAACGACTTGACCCTGCCCGCCTCTTGCAGCTCGGGCCCAAGCACGCCGATGAGGGCGTGCAAGATCCTGCAGATGACTTGATAGGCTGGCAAGTCGCCTCGGAGGTTGACACTTCCCAGAGATCCGCCTTCGGGCTCGTGCGTTTCCAGCAGGTAGATGTTGGCGAGCATGCCGAGGGTGGTGGGGACGAATGGCTCGTAGCTCAAGTTGGCAGCATCTATGACTCTGCCGAGTGCTTTCATGGCGTAGAAATGTACGACTGGGTGGGGGTCGGTAGCGAGGCTCATGAGGATGTTGACGATAGTCTTCAAGATGGGCCCGCCAGCCAGACCGCCGACGGACGAGTAGATGGCGCTGAAAGCCAGGGCACAGCCAGCTCGGGCATCCGGCGAACGGTTGTTGACGACTTGATCAACGAGCCACTGCACTTGGTTGGAGAGGTGGGTGGGTGAAGCCAGAGATGCAAGAAGGCCGATAGCTTCCGCAGAGGTTGACCGGATACTGGGTGTCGGGTCAAATATGGAATCCTACTCCGTGTCAGTTCGATCCAATGCCGAGTATGTAGACTCACCTGGAGGATAGTTCTGATCATATCGCTCACTTGCCCACTCCCCACATGCCTTTTTGCTCTGGAACCTTGCCCTTCGGTCTTTTCCAAGCTCCGTCTCAAAGCCAAGAGCGTGTTGACGACAACGGCTTGCTTTCGACCCGGGTTCCTTTCCAGCTTGCTCGACTTGATATGGGAGGAAAGAGTCGCGAGCGACTGCACCTGGCCCTCTTGCGTTTGATGAGGGAAGAGGATGGAGAAGAGCGATACACCGGCGTCAATGACACCTGTTTGTGCGGGGGGTGGGCTTGGAGATGTCGATAGAGACTTGGCAGAGAACAATGAAAGAGCATCATGCTCGAGGGATCCGAGGACGGGTCTGGACAACAGTGTCTCGAGATCAACTTCCACTTTATCCCTGTTCAGCCATCCGTCCTCCTCTTCCCTTCCTTCGCCGATATCCCTGACCCCAGCAGTACTCGTCACGCCAAATGCGTACCCGTCCGCAGCGTACCAAACGCCGGTAAAGTTGCCAGCCTGCGCGGCGATGGCAGCCTGGGTGTTGCTGCCCGAGTAATTCTCGGGGTCGGCAAACACAGTGATGGCAGCTTGGAGCAAAGCTGGTTGGGTGGACTCTGTAGCGGACGAAGGCCCGAGCGCTGTAAAGCATTGCAAAACACGTCTCCTCAGAGTCGCCTCGCGGTCAACAAGAGACGGGTTGGAAGTAAAGATAGTCGAAGGGTTGGGAGAAGTCGCTTGTTCCCGGAGAGCCTCGGCATATGCCGTAGCAAACCCATTGACAAAGTTCAAAGTGTTTGTAAACAGCGTAGCAAGACGTCGGGCGACGTCGATATTGACCAACGACTCGTTGTGGGTGAAAAAGTTGAGCACCGCAGACAGTGTACACTCGCGCACTTGCAAGAGATAACTCCACTCGGCCTCGCCTCTTTCTCCCACGGACGTGTCCTTGCTAGAAGGTTTCGGCAGGGCGTTCCGCCACAGGACGAGCAATTGGGGCAAGTGAATCTTGACAAAGCTCGGGCCCAGACTCATCAAGCCAGCCACAAGGTTCCAAGCCACTTGCACCTCTATACTCGCCCTCGGGATCTCGTGATCACTCGACTGTTTCAGCAACGACACCGCCATGTCAAACACTTTTGTAGGCACATCATGCGACACATACAAGGGCCGAGCAGCGCTGACGGCAATCAAGGCGGAAAGACCAAGCGATTTGCCAACAAGTCGCTGGGAGAGGTCTTTTGGCGCAGTGGGAGATGGGAGGTAGCCGAGGTCTTTTTGGATATCCGAAACAAGGACATTCAGCAGGCGAGGCAGCTGGGAGGGGTTGATATGGCAGAACCTGCGAAGCGTGTAGGAGGCGGCGAGTCGGACAGAGTAAGACTCGTGGCCCAACAAACGTACGACGGGCTCTGCCAGCAGTTCGATGATTTGCGCAGGAGCATTACCGAGCTGCTCGAGAAGTCCGGCGATCTCACGAAGGGCAATGATGAGCACATTCTTGTCGATTTTGGGTTGTCCGGGGAGAAGGGTTGGCTGCCATTTCTTGAGGTAGGAGCTGATGAGTTCGCGAATGGCGTTGACTTGCCCCGGCTCTGACAACAAGCGCTCCCCAATCAGATCGCGTAGCAAGAGATCCGCCACTGCTCTTGTAGCCAGCTCTTCGTATCTCGTGCTCGGCCCCTTTTGAGGGGTGACGATCTCGTTCATGATGTGCTTGACAATCTCGGCATAGTTTGCCTCTACATATTCCGCCCCGAGGGTCGAGAAGAGCGTCGAGTAGACGTCGATGAGAGCGTTGCGCAATTTGCGAGGAGATTGGGGGCGGTTGTATGGTACAGAGATGTATTTGAGCATCTCTTGTACTGAAAACAATGTTCTCGCGCTCTTGTCTTCTGGCGCCGAGGTGATGACTGTCGGTTCACCACTATTGTCCTCCTCTTGCTTCTTCCTTCCATTGTCCGCCTGAACCACCCCACTGCCAGGTGTCTGCGTAGCCGCCAAAAAGTGGGCCAGCATCCGGCTTAAGGCGCGTCTCGTGGTATGGTCCGCAGTCTCAAGACTCTTGTAGGCCAAGGGCGCGATGATGTCGAGGGTTTGTTGCAAGTGAAGGACAGGCGAATAGAGGTGGAGGGAGACGAATGTTTCGGCAGTGGCGCGTTGGACAGGTGAAGCTTTGTCTTGAAGGCCCCAACGAAGGGATTTGAGGAGGTCTTTCAGGAGAGCGTCGGGCAGGGCTCGGCCGGCAGAGTAGAGGGATTTGGAAAAGGCAACGAGGGATTGGGTACGCAATAGAACGGACTGGTACATGTCAGCTGCAATTTGGATGTGCTGACAATACATACCAAGTTGGTGTTCCTCAAGACCTTTTGCGATGAAGTACAGATCTCGGCCATGAAAGACATCATCTGATTTCGTCAGTCTGGCCCTCGCTTTCATCTCTTTACTTACGTTCTTTCCATGTTCCTTGATGACCTCCCCGATAGCATACCAGCAGGCAACTCTCGACACATTCTCCGCCGCGCTCATACCCTTCGACCCTCCATCGCTAATCGCCCTCACAAGCGACTGCACGAAATCAAAGAGCGTCCGCGATTCAACTCGCTTATGCAAGTTGACCAGGCATCTTGTCACAAGATGCCTTATCGGCCTGCCAGGTTTGGGTAGTGTGGGATTAGGGGAGGGGAGTAGGAGTTTGAGGAAGAAGGCGTGCAAGGGCTGGATCTGAGGGGAGAGTTGCTGAGGGTCGAGTTGTTCTATGGCTTGTTCCGCCTGCCGCAGCCAGTGCAGGAGAGATAGTTCGGAGCCTTCTCCTGTGAAGCGGTTCTATGCATGGTGAGCGGGCTATGTGGCAAGTCCCGGAAGACTCACCTCGTCGACCTTGAGGGCTTTGACTGTGAGCTCTGACATGGCGCGTCGCTAAGCTGTGCTTGCAGTCGAGAGGAGGTATACAGGAGTATAGTCAGTACGTCTCTGCTCTCTGCCCCCTGGATATGGTCGTGGTGAATGATACAACCAGGATATCTCGTGCATAGGCACCTCGCATGACGGTGAAGCGCGGGAGCAAACGGGCGGGGGCAGATAGCGGCATCAAATTCGGGCAGAATTCATTGTTCTCTTGCAAAATCGGCCACTACCAAATCCCTATAGTCTTTACACCCGAAAAAGTCACCCAAAATGTCCCTCAGCACTTCCTCCTCCGCTATCCACCTCTCCCTCCCCCCTACCTCTTCCACGTCCGTCTTTTCCCGCCCAAATCCGTCCACGTTTGACTGACTTTCAATCCCTCAGCCGCCCTCCTTCTCAAATCACCGTCCACCCCTCCGTCGTCGCCTCCATCCTCACCCACCACTCCCGCCGCCCCACCGACTCCGAGTCTACGAGAGTGATCGGTGCCCTCATGGGCACCCGCTCCGACAACGGCCAGGAAGTAGACATCCGCTCATGCTTTGCCGTCCCCCATACCGAGCAGGGCCAGCAAATCTCCGTCGACCAACCGTTTCAACAAGAAATGCTCCAGTTCCTCTCCAAAAACGGCACCAAAGAGGTCCTCGTCGGGTGGTACGCTTCCTCCAAGCACATCGACTCGAACTCTGCCATCATCCAAGAATACTTTACCTCCCAAACCAACAACCAGCCCGCTGTGCACCTCACCGTGGACACTGATCTCCAAGAGAATGGACAGGGTCTGGAAGTGAAGGGATGGGTGTCGGCGCTTTTGGGTTTGTCTGCCAAGTCGGAGAGTGCGGTATTCGTGCCCGTGCCCGTTTCTGTCAAGTATGCCGATTCTGAGCGTCCTGCTTGTACGTCCTTCCCTTGCAAGTGTTGGTTGCTATGCTCACTATCCTCCAGTGGACCTCCTCACCTCCAACCCCACCCCTTCCCCCTCTCTCCCCCCTCTCCCCACCCTCTCCTCCTCCCTCGCCCAGCTCTCCTCCCTCATCGACCAATGTCTCGCCTACGTCCAAGGCGTCAACGCCGGCACCACCCCCGCCGACGTCCAAGTCGGCAAGTACCTCCTCGAAGGTCTCGGGCGATGGGCCGCCAACGGCGCGAAGGAAGATGAGGGCGGTGTCAAGGCGGGTTTGCAGGACACTTTGACTGTGGAGTACTTGTCGAGCTTGGTGAGGAGCCAGGTCGAGTTGGCTGGGAGGTTGTCGCTCTTGCAGCAGCAGCCTTCGCAGTAAGTGGTGGATGGAAGGGTCGTTTGTGGATAGATGAGGTTCATGCACTCTGATCGATTGGATAGAGGGCGGCTCACGTCTTTACACAACAATCCATGATAATGCTAATCATCTCTGTACTGGCTCAGGCTGCGGTCCAAGCACCCCCTGCCCTTTTTTGAGCGCCCTACTGTACTCTCCCATATCAAGCCTCTCCAGCCTCTCCCCCGTAACCTTTTCAAACTCCCCCGCCAAAACGCACTTTAATCCAACCCTGTCCTTACCTTCAAACCCCCCATACACACTCTCAGCCACCTCCGTCCCATGCTCCTTCAGCGTCCGGTCAAACGCTTTGGTGATATAGCTCATGGATGTACTCCGATTGCCAGAAGCTAACGGGGCAAATGACCCTTTCAAGAACGGTTCCAGCTGATGTCCAGTCCTCGAACATTGCTCATACCGTTCTTTGAGAAGACTCTCCAACTCTTCAGCTTTTGACACGCTTGCGGCACTCGGTCGAGCCGTATCATCATCCACCCTCCAAACCACACCATGTTTCCCCGCAGGAGGGATAAATCGATCCAGCATCGTCAACCCATCCCCAGCTGTCGTGGGCAGTACGGACGCGCCACGGGTCAGGTAGGAGGTAGCGTACAGCGTGATGGACCCATCATTCTGGCTGCTGGGCGGCGGGGGGTCGACAGATGTACGAGGCGTTGATTTCAGGTCAGATGAGCTGGCGGAAGAAGAGGCCGGGTAGGCGCGGAGGTGGAGGACGAGTTCTTGGGGGTTGTGGCTTGATGGGTGGGTGCTGCGCGCCAGGGTTGTGGTGGGGGAGGTGCTTGGTGTTGCCATTTTTTGCAAAAGCCCCGCTGGGTATCCGAAATTTGGTAGCCGAGTTGGGGTTTGTTGAGAAGATGGCTCTACCTTTATATGTAGCGTGGCTCAGTACACGGAATGCAGTGGATGGCTTCATCGTATCTACAACCCACATGAAAGAACCTTTCATTACCATCTTCCAAACCACTCTCCACACCAGAGCCAGTCGGCCCATTAGACTGCACGAAGCTCATTTGCCTTTGTCACCCCCCCAAGCCCCTCCGCCCGCTTTTCCTTTCTCTCCCCTCATCATTCCTTTCACCCACGCGAATCTATAGAAGGGACGCTAGAGCAAGCTAGCGAGGTGGAGTGTGAAGAAGGATCGGGACGGAGTTGGAAAGGTCTCGTCATATGAGGGTTGTTGGGCCGTGCCTTCGATGATAGATGAACCTCATTTTGAGAAGGACCAAGGAATTCATTGTTTTCGGCCTTCTGGAGGTGAGTTTGTTGTGGAAACTTTTCAGACGGAGAGCGTATGTAGGATTACCTTAGAGTGGCTGCTGAGGACGTCTTTTCATCATGACAATGATAGCCAACTGCGAGTTGCAATTGCAACCCTATACTATATCTTTGCGCTCAGCCTTAATCACATTTAACATTCATAAAGTCAAATTGTGCAGTGCACTCCGCATACTCTCTTTAGGTGCCCATGTAGTCCACCAGCTGTCCTTTCCTTCGACATACGTTCGACTTCCGAAACGATCGCCGCGAGAGCGGACGTTTGTCGAGCAAAACAACAACACGTTCTCCTATCTTCTTCCTCAGAGACCCGAGTCTCCGATGTGGATCCAAAGATAGGCGAGAGCTATATGGCAAAAACAATTGATCAGAACAACAGATGCCGAGCGCGGAACTCGTGTTTGGGCGCTCGACGACTCACCCCCCTCAACCCGACGAGCGGGTGGTACATCGAGGCTCAAGCGCCTGCGAGTGTCCTGCTGCCATGTCAGCGAATGACACCTCCTCCATGTCACCCGTCCCTCTCTCTGGAATATGCCCCCTCCCATTCGTCCCTCTGTCACAGTCAGTCGGCAAGCCCCGAGAAGTGGCCGACCATTTTGACGGAGGCAAAGAGGCGCGTTAAACAGATGAACCGACAGTGACATCACGCCCCGCAATCGGTCACCAGTCCGGCGCGGAGAACGTTTTGCGATGAGCTGTAAACACGGCAACTGCCCCCATTCTGTACATTCTCCTCCTCTCGTACTTGTGCTTGCCTCCCAGCATACACCAGACGGGCATGCATACCCATCTCGCCGGCATGATGCCCAGCATGCACAAGCTGACTCCACTGGACAGAGAATTACCCCCACGGCGGGGTAATTACTGCCATTTCTCAGGGTCCGCCCGCAATCCCGATATCGGACCCCACGTGAGTCACCGTCTCTCGTCCACTTTACTTCTTGCGGCTTGCGGTGTCTTGCACTCTTGCTATCGGTTTCCGGCCCGGGAATCATGTTTGAGAAAAAAGCTGCATGATGCATGACATGAGGGGCCGACTCGGCATCCCATCCTATATAGACCCCTCCTCCCGAACCATCCCTCATCCCCAGTCACCCACCGCCACTCTTCCATCCACCCCACCCTACTACCAACAAACAGAAAACAAGCCAACCACAATGCACGCCCCCGAACTCACCGACTACATCAAAGACCAAGCCGCCAAGCTCGACGAAGTCTCTGACGAGATCGACGAAGTCAACGTGCTCAAGCTCAAGTCCCAGGCCAAGGACAAGGCGACCTACGACAAGGCTGCTGCTGCTGCCGAGAAGGCGGAGGCTGCGCGGCTCGAGGCGCTCTACGACGGGGAGAGCAAGTTTGATGCGGAGAAGGACAAGACAGCGTTTAGGCAGTATGAGGATGCTTGTGATAGGGTCAAGAACTTTTACGCTGTATGTTCCCCCCCCCCCCTTCCCTTCTTTCTTTAGGACAAAAGCTGACGAGATGAACAGGAGCAACACTTGAAGCAGACGTACGAGTACAACGTCAAGATGCGCGAAGAGTTCCGCAACACCACCCGCGCCCGCATGTCCGTCTGGGAAGCCATGGAGCTCCTCGACAACCTCGTCGACGAGTCCGACCCCGACACCTCCGTCGGCCAGATCGAGCACCTCCTCCAAACCGCCGAGGCTATCCGTCGGGACGGCAAGCCAGAGTGGATGCAGGTCGTGGGCTTGATCCATGATTTGGGCAAGCTGCTTTGCTTCTTTGGGGCGGATGGGCAGTGGGATGTGGTGGGGGATACGTTTGTGGTGGGGTGTCAGTTTAGCGACAAGATTATCTACCCCGAGACGTTCAAGGTCAACCCCGACTACAACAATCCCAAGCTCAACACAAAGTATGGGGTTTATGAGCCGAACTGTGGGTTGGAGAATGTGTTGCTGTCGTGGGGGCATGATGAGTACATGTACGATATCTGCAAGAACCAGTCTACCCGTGAGTCCTCTCTGCTTTCCCGCTTTTTGGACCTTTGAGCTGATTCTTGACTAGTCCCGAAAGAAGGCCTCGCCATGATCCGATACCACTCCTTCTACCCCTGGCACCGCGAAGGCGCCTATGAACACCTCATGGCCGAAGACGACTATGAACAGCTCAAGGCCGTCCGAGCTTTCAACCGTAAGCCCCCTTTCTTTACTCTATCTGTGAAAAATCGACTGACAATGGGATAGCGTACGACCTCTACTCCAAATCGGACGACCCTCCCAAGAAGGAAGAGCTCGGTCCATACTACCGTTCTTTGATCGACAAGTTCTTCCCTGCAGAGGTTCAGTGGTAGTTCTGGCCGAAGCGTCCGGCTGGGGTTTCTTTTAGTGTATATCTTTTCGGTTTTTGTAATTTCCAAAATGTCCTTTTTTCTAAAGAGGTCTGTTTCCCTGCCAAGGGGTGGGCTGTACGTCATGATAGTGAGAAGGTAGAAAGCATAATATGAATAGAAGTTCTTGCTCAACAATTGATGTATCGAGCCTCTCGACCAGCTTCATGCCACGAGTCAAGTCTTGCTAATCGAGCGCTATCCTCAAGAGCAACAGGTATACATGAAGGGCATTTACAACAATCATCAAGAGATAGAGATACAAAAGAACCGACAAGTCAGCAACGAAATCATACAAAGCAAACACAAAACCCCAGGCTACTCGTACTGTGCGCACCCCGCTACCACTTGTTCTCCTTCACAACCTTTGCCATCTCCAAAATATACCTCCCTAACCACCACCCCACGTATCAGTCCCTCTCCCCAGGGTTCCATTTACAGACAGACGAACGCACCTTCTTTATACCGTTGCTCGCCGTTGGGCGCTTTGATATACATCCACCCGAGCGATGACTGGCATGTGGCGCAGATGAGGTCGGCGACTGTGTGTGTGCCGGTCCTAGGCGGCAAAGTGTCAGTTTACGTGAGTTTCAGATGGGATGTGGGAAGGGAGGGGGGATGTACAGGAGTTTGCGGGTTTCGGTCTTGCCTAGGGAGGTGTTGATGGTCGAGTTCATCAAGCTGATAGTGGGTCAGTATTCAAGAAAGGTGATTGGTAGGTCTCAAGGACTTGATCGCCCAAGGCCCAGATGCACCATGTCAAGATATAGAGAAGGGTAGTGCAGGGCTAGTGGAGGAGGCATGCTCACTATGCTCGTCCTGATCGTCCATTGAACGCCTTTGACACGAGCTCATCTTGCAGCGCCTTCACTTGATCAGCTCAGACCACATCTTGAGCCTACGATCGCTGGCTCACGATGGCCTCGGAGCAGGAATGGCACGAGTACACAGGCTTGTCGTCTGGGAGATAGTGGCGGTCTTGGGAGGCGGTGGTTGGCTGGCTGGCTGGGGGTGGCGACGGGGGCCTCTGGCTACGGAATGGGATGGGCATGATGATGTGATGACGCAGAGACCAGTGACTACTACCACACTACCCTAATACCCTTCGCTACCCTTCTAGTGCATGCCCGCCGAATGAGAACGCACGGCAAATACCGGGAACGCGCTTGGCTTATGGGACCCCACCGAGTGGTTACGTAACGGCTCGGATAGGAGGGGCAAGCGATGGCCGAAATCCCCAGCTGGTGTCTTCAGTTAATTGCACGCTGAATCCCATCTCTCTTCTCTCCACCGCCATGTCCGTCCCCCGCTCACTCCGCCCCGCCCTCAAGCACGCCACCGCCCCCGCCGCCACCAGGGGGCACGCCGTCGCCGTCGACCCCCCCTTCCTGCCCCCAACGCCCCACGTACAGCAGCCCCAACGAAGACGCTGGGTCGATGGCGACGTCAGACACGACTGGCGCAGGAGCGAGATCCAAAAGATCTTTGACGGCCCCCTCATGGAGACCATCTACCGTGCTGCCTCTGTTCACAGGATGCACCAGGATGCCTCCAGGATCCAGCTGTGCACGCTCATGAACATCAAGAGTGCGTCCTCTTGCTTTGATTAGTCAGAGTCGTAAGCTGATTACAGTGCAGCTGGTGGATGTACCGAGAACTGCAAATACTGCTCCCAATCATCGTCATACAAGACCGAGACAAAAGCTACCCGGTTGGTCCAGCTCGACCCCGTCATCATCGCTGCCCGCGAAGCCAAGAAGAACGGCTCGACTCGGTTCTGTATGGGTGCCGCCTGGAGGGATCTCGCGGGAAAGAGGTCTGGCTTTGACAGGATCTTGGAGATGGTGCGTGAGGTCAGAGGTATGGGTATGGAAGGTGAGTCATTTCCATCTCGAGTTTGTAGCTCAAGCTGATGAGCCCAGTCTGCACGACTCTGGGTATGCTTACTCCCGACCAGGCTCGCCGACTCAAAGAAGCCGGTCTGAGCGCGTACAACCACAACTTGGACACTTCCCGAGAGTACTATCCCGAAGTCGTCACCTCCCGTTCCTACGACGACCGTTTGTCCACCATTGAGAATGTGCGACAGGCCGGTATCTCGGTGTGTTCGGGTGGTATCTTGGGTTTGGGCGAAAAGGATGAGGACAGAGTGGGCTTGATTCACGAGGTCTCCAGGTGTGTAATATCCTGCTATGAAATGAACAAGGCTGATAGAAGAGTAGAATGGCCGAGCACCCCGAGTCTTTCCCCGTCAACACCCTCGTCCCCATCCCCGGTACCCCCCTCGAAGGCAACGACCCCGTCAGCGTCCACACCGTCCTCCGCACCATCGCCACCGCCCGTATCGTCCTCCCCAAGACCATCATCCGCCTCGCGGCCGGCCGTCACATCTTTAGCGAGACCGAGCAGATGATGGCATTCATGGCTGGCGCCAACGCGGTGTTTACGGGTGAAAAGATGTTGACTACGCCTTGTTCTGGGTGGGATGAGGATAAGAAGATGTTGGACCGATGGGGTTTGCGGGGCCAGAGGAGTTTTGAGGATAGTGAGAATATTGATGTTCCTCACCACCACATCCACGAGGAGACTGGTACCGGTGCCATGCTCTAGAGCTGAAGAGTGATTCAGACCTGTCCCGGCTGCTTTTGGCGGGCAAGTCTTGGGACGATGGACAAGGTAGAATGTGGATACGATCATAGAAGTCTTTTCGAAATACAAAAAAGGAAGGTTGAACGACCCGAAACAAGAAGAAAAGTTGTGCTGTGCAAGGGACGATTTGTATGGTATTTTTTGGAGATGCGAATATTTGTAAGCTGTGATCATGAGACTACTCTTGATTCGCTTCCCTCCAGCCTGATATCTGGCGGTACATACTGGATACGATGGTCGATTCTGACATCACAGGCGAACCATTCATCGGGCAAATCGGCCGCAAACGCGAGAGACGAATGAGAGATTGATGTTTGGTCACCCTTTACCCCTTCCTTTCATGAACGTCCCCTTTGACATGGTGGTGGAAGCAATATCTCGTGAGAATTCGGCGTGCTCGCCGTGCGATGCGGTGTATGGGGCGGTACTCCTTGAGAGGTTCGATTCGGGAGAAGAAGGGTATATATTTGAGGGTGGCTATCTCCATCGCTGAGTCTCTCAACGTAATGATGATTGACTCCTAATAGCGCTTTCATCAGCACCTTTGCCACTCTCCCTGCCTTCCGTCTCGCAACGTTATATCTACAGTAGAGCACTCGAGTCGACATTATGCTCAGCCATCTCCGCCGAGCCTTATCTCGCCACCACGACGATCTCCTCCAGCCTTCATACCAACTCGACCTAGCATCCTCGTACTCTCCCTCTCCTTCTTTCCAGGACCAATCACGAACTGGACATGGTCGTTCGAGGATCACACCCTTCCCTCCTGGACGATATTCCACTGCCCCCTCGCTAGGATCTTACCATGACCAACTCCAAGAATTGTCAGAGGGTGCAGCTGAGAGAGACGAACTACAAGCTCTCGAAGCGCTCTACGCTGCAGACAATGACAATGACAGCCACTCAGGCGAATTCAGGACGGCAGTGAGGCAACTTGTGAGGAGGGAGGTGGAGGGGCAGAGGAGGATGTGGAGGCGGACCGAGTTGGGGCTGGATGACGCGCTTGGGGATGAACTCTTCCCCTCCGAACCGAGTGATGAACGAGACACGAGGGACGGAGGGGAGGTTGAGGTTGGGGGATGGGATGGGAGAGAGGGGGATGGGGTGGAGAGTGTTTTTGCGACGAGGTCGTCAGGGACGTCGTCAGTGGGGAGCTTGGATGGGACGCTCGCGAGTGAACTATGGCGAGCACGCGAGAGCTTATCGGCCTCTGAGAGAGGGGTGAGCGAATATTCGGAGGCTCCGCCGCCTTATCGTTCGCAAGAAGTTTCGGCTTACAGTCAGCCTTTGACACTTCTGCCTGCACCTGATGAAGTCTTGGGAGTAGGGGTCGTCCCGTCGTATCGATCCGCTGGGTTTGCTCTTCCGCCGCTAAGAGTACACGGGCTCGAAAGTCAGGAGGAACGACAACCTCTCTCCCCCGCGCCAGACTACATCTCCATCGAGGGGATAAACCTTCCGCATGCTCGGCACTCTTCCAACTCGTCCCGCCAATCCCAGCATTCATCATCATACCCTTCCAGCTCTCCAGGATTGACGACCCTCAGCTCTAGCTCGGGACATTCTCCGGTAGAGTACGATAGAGCTCCGACGCCATGGTTGCCTGCTGTGCTGTCTTCTGGAAGTTCAGTGGGAAGCTCTCGTGAGGGATCGCCTGGGATTGTGGGTGATGGGTATGTTTTTGGAACGTCTTCTGGCCAAGAGTCACCCTCACCCAGGCCTCCAAGTTCGGTATCAGATAGTCATGGCAGTTATCAATTAGCCAGGATCTTTTTTTGTTTTGCGGTTCAGTAGAAGCTTCAGAGGGGATTTAAGGGTACATACGCCCCTTGGGACACATATAGTTCATGGATATATCTTATATCATGCATGAGTTTATTTCTCCCAGCGCGATGTTCTCGGGTCGGATCAATCAACTTTCTCATAGAGGGTTGGGTGATGATGATGACAGACAATGTATGTTTGTGATTCGCGTGACCTTGTTCTCGAGAGAGGGGCTACCACTTTCACTGATACGGACATCGCGTCAGACTAGAAGTAGGCTGTAAGAGGAGCACCCTGGATCATTCTCTAGTAGTGATGTATATGCATGTTGTGGAAAGCACCACCGCTTAGAATGCCTTGTACGTCCAATCACCACCTAGCATAGTCCCCTTCACCTTCATCGCTCTCAGTCCAGCAGCATCACAGCTGAGAGGGTCAGCGTTGATGATGATGAGATCTGCTCTGTCGCCGACTTCGAGCTTCATCTTGTTGTTCTATCACGCTCGCGTCAGTCGACGTCCAAGATAGAGAGAGTGGGGTGAACGGATGGACGTACAGAGGTTGATGCAGCCCAAGCTACTTCAAGGTCGATAATCTGTTCTTTACAGAACGGATTCTCCTCATCCCCCTCTCCCGCTCGTGAGATAGCAACAGCCATAGCCTCCCAGGGCTGCAACGGCGCAATCGGACAATCACTCCCCATCCTAATCGGTACCCCGGCATCGACCAGCCACCTGAACGCGTACGCCCCCAGTTCCCGCCCAGGCCAGAACTTGTGGCACAGATCCCGGTCGTCGACGAGGTGGCAAGGCTGGATGGAGGCGCTGATGCCGAGGGAACCGAAGAGCGGGAGGTCGGAAGGGGAGAGGAGTTGAGCGTGCTCGATAGTGGACCCGGGGAGGATCTTTTCGGCGCGAGAGAGGGCTTGGAGGGTAAGTTGGTTGGCGTGGTCGCCGATGGCGTGGATGGCCATCCTGAATCCATTATCCGCACCCCTCTTGATCAATACCCCAAGTTCCTCTGGCTCGTAGTTGAACACTCCAAAGTTGTCTTTCGACCCCGGATAAGGGTCATGACAGAATGCAGTCTGCGAGCCTAGAGAGCCGTCGGTGATGATCTTGAAGGGACCGACCTTGATCAGGCCGTTGGTGTCGGGGACATCGTCGCCGGATTTGAGGCCGCGGTCGATAAAGTACTGGAGGTGATCGGTGTACATGCCGACGTTGACGCGGAGAGAGCGGAAGCCTTTGTTATAGCGCCGTTGCCAGTCGATGATACCGAGTTCCCACTCGAGGTCGACAATCTCTGTCACGCCCAGAGAGCTGCAGCGCCTTATTAGCAGGGGTCGAAATGGAGTTAAAGGACTTACGCAGCGTATCTAGCCTCTTCCATCACCCACTCATCCATCACATCGGCACCTACCTTCCCGATCACCCTTGCCATCGCGAACGCCTCCTCCTCATACAGATATCCACTGTGTCCCTCCGGCTTATGTCCTCCAAGCTTCAGCCCGAGCGAGTTGGCGCAGATAGAGTGGTAGCCGTTGAAAAAGAGATGGATGGGGCGTTCTGAAGAGATGGCATCGAGAGCTTGCCGGGTGAGGAGCTCGGGATCAGGCCAGCCGGCGTTACGCATGTTGGTACCTGCGAAATTGCTACAGCCCTCAACGATCCGGTACTTGGGGTCATTCAAGGCATCTGCAACGCGGTCAAGGACTTGTTGGGCCGTTTTGGCTGTTTGAAGGTCGAGGCGGTGGGAATGGAGAGCGTTCAGGGAGGTGTGGACGTGTGAGTCGACCAGACTCTACATGAGTGTCAGAGGGGCCGAAGGAAAGTCTGGAGCAACTCACGGGGCTGACCCATTGCGAGCCGAGCTCTTTGACGTCGATGATTTCGTCGACTTGTGCGTTGTCGGCGCCAGTCTCGGTGATACTGGCGACTAGACAATTTCGGACGAGGACACTGTAGGTGCCAGCTGGATAGCCCACGAGGGATGCGTTGCGGATAAGGGTCGTCCTGGGCATTGGCGAGTGTAAAAGACAAGAAGAGATAGAATTCCATCCCGGTCGTTAAAGGCAAGAGGCGCGCATCGTTTAAGAAGCCGCGCGCCTGGGTGCCTGGCTTACTGATAAGATAACGCCTCGATGCATTGTTGTGACCGTATCTACTTCTATTCCATCGTCTAGCCAACACCATGCCTTCGCCCCCAGAGGTAACCTCTTTTCCACATCCCCGCTCTTCTCTGCCGGCCAATCCACACATCACTCCTTCCGCCCCTTTCGACCCGACACGTTCGCAGAGCTGCCTACAGCTATCGAATCCCTTCAACGAATCCTCGCTCCGTACGAGTCCCATCCCGGCCCCACAGGCTCTCCCTCCGACGGCGAGGATGAGGAAAGGGAAGCGGCGCGAGACCGACTCCTATTGCACCTGAGTGTCACACTAGGTACTTAGTACTTCCCTGAGGTGGCATTGGCGCTGAGTTGTGTGGATGGTTGAAGAACTCTCGGTGTACATATACTCAATTCATATTTTATTGTTCTACTCTTTCCATGCGATACTACCGAAAAGGTCCTATCCCCTCTTCAAAACACCTTTTCCAGTCCCCTTCCCTGCTGCGTCCCAGCTAGGCCGTGACAACATTATCGCAAAACAGAAACGCCCATGGCGTCCGCCTTTCCCCTGACCCCGGGGAACACCCTCGACCGTTCTACATCCGCCCCTCCTGTCCCCCCTCGCCCATTCCAAGTACGAAACGCCCCCTTCACCCTCCCGCACATCTCCAACCTTCTTACACCCACACCTCTCCCGCGCTTCCCCAACCCGGTTCCTACGGTTCTTCCTTTGCCGCGTCCCGCCAACCCAGACCCCACTCTTCCCTCTGTCTCCTCGTTCCATTTCGACCCTCCCACAAATTCAGACGCTTCTTGTCCCGGCTCTTGCACCCCGATGGCCGTGCGGCTGCCCACCCCTCTTAGGCCGTCCGCTGCCGCTGCCTCAGCCCCTGTGGTTCACTACGTCCAACAGGCCGCCCCCGCCTTCATTATGCACGGTCCCCCGCCTTTCGTAGGCGTGTCTTCCGCCGGCACCGAGGGCGAAGACGCGAAGAAGTTTCTGGAACAGGTTGAAACTGCCATTGACGGCAACCTGTACTTCTACCAACTCCCAAGCGAATGGGCGGCCTGTTGGGTGCGCATGCACACCTCGGGCACCGCGAAAAAGTGGATGGACAAGCATTGCCGTCTGTCGTGGAAGGAGTTCCGGACTCAGTTTCGCGCGCATTTTGCAGTGGAGAACCTCCCTGGCCCCGTTGGCGCACGGCACGCCACTCCTGCCAGAGCTCGCGCTGGCTCTTCTTCACTGCAGAATGCGCGCGAAACCGAGTCCGGAACTCCTCCCACGACAGATGGCAATGCTTTTCCATCCACTTTTTCGCGGTGCCCGAGGTATGCATGCGCACCCAACGAGTCGTCCATTCGTCGGCAAGTTGGTGGGACATTGACGACACATCACCCATATTGGACATCTGAAGATTAACAACTCAAAAACCTTTTAGATACGCTGTAGTCAGCAAAGAAGACCAGCAGATACACAATGGATCGGTATCATGTTCATACCACAACAGGTCCATTACGATATCGGAAATCAACCATAGCTGCAGCCCCGCGATCGTTGAATGATACAATCCTCGTTACATGTGAGGTTACAAATATCGCACTGCAAGAGCTATCAGCAGCTGAGGAGACTATTCGCTGAGCAGACGACTCACATATCCGCATAGCCCGCCATCAAGACTCAATCCATAGACGTCCTCCTCCCTTCTTCCATTCACTGTACCTTTCCGCGGTCGAGCTGTCTTGCCCGAAAGCCTTGAAAGCCTTGGAAAGGTTCTGTATCTGAAGGGTGATTGCTTCGCTATCGACAATAGTGCCGGTCGACTTGGGAGACTTGGGACATGTTTGAGCGCCGAAACCGCTGATGATTGGTGCTCGAGGTATGTTACCGTAAATAAATCAGTTATGGAGCGACATATCACGAGAGGCAACTCACTCGGCAAGAAAATACTCTTCACTAAACATCCATTCAACCACCCCAATATCCAATCTGCGTGCTCTTCCCCAGGAGGCAATGTTCCCCCTTCTATCTTCTATCCTGAGCACTAACAACGACATTTTCCCCGTGATTATCATGTGAGAAAAAGAAGGGAGATAGACATTCGCGAGCCTAAGCTTGCACCGCCGGCAAGCTTCGAAATAGAGCATAGGGACATTATCGTCTTGTTGACTCTCAAACCCTTCCTGATTCGGTAGCTCGACATCCAAAAGCACAAGTTCTTCTGCTGCAAATGTCATCATACCCACGACTTGCGGCCAGTCGTCCTCAGAGAGATAAAGACCCTCGATGACATGCTGGCCTACTCCGAGACTCTGCAGAGCAGGGAAGAAACGTTTGGATGTGTTTGGAGAGTGCCATTCGACAGCGAGGTAGCCGTTACAGAACCGCCGTGGCAGGCGCTTGCACGTCACTTCAAAAGCCTCGCGGAGGAACCTCTGTTTGGCTTTGATCGTCCTTCTGATCGCCATGGCCGAGTTGACGATGAGGTGGCGGCAAGACTGCAAGAGCAGCGCTTTGCGGGCTGTTGGGTGGATGTCGAAAGGGATCTGAGTGGGGGCGGCGTACTGATCCTTGTCGGAGAGGAGGTGGGAGAAGACTTGGAAGCATGTCTTTGCGTCCCACTCGGCGGAGAGGTATTGGTAAGGGAGCAAAAGGCCTTCGGACGGTTGGCGGGAGAAAAGTATATCGGAGCGTTTCTGCCAGGCAGCCATACCGCCTTCGCGCAGACCCAGGTCTTCAAGAGGGATCGCATTGACCCGCTCGCGGAAGACCTCGAGGTTTTCGTTGGGGTCGCAGAAGAAGACGGGCTCGAGCGGCTCGTCGTCGACTTGTTCGCTACCTTGACCTCCCTCTCGAGCTCTGAGATGTCTATCCTTGAGGATCTTTCTGTTCCGCCCCATCGTGGCGATAATGTCCCTCTCCACCTCTTCATACACGACCCCATCAATAGCCGATATCCAATCACCATAGAACCGAATATAGTTACCATAGAACCGAATATAGTTGGAGTCCTCAAGCTGGACCGTCTCGTATAGCTCAGCAACGTTTGCAGAGTAGACCTGGCGTGATACGGATAGGAGGTTGATGAAGTGGGTGTTGCAGCAGATGGTGGAGTGGAGGAGGTGGGTGAAGATGAGGTTTGTGACCTCGGGCGGGAAGGGGGCGAGGGTGGTGATCTCTGGGGCGAGGGCGGTGGGGCAGGACTTGGTGGTGGTGGCAGGGGGATGCATGGAGTATGGTTGAGATGTTATAAAGGACAAAGAGCTCAATTCCATGATCAGTCAGCAACAACAACCCCGAGCCAAAGTACGTAATACCACACCTATGTCCGCCGGGCTTCTTGACCTTACGTTAATGTATCGAGGGACGACAGAGCTGTATCAGAACGCCAACACTTGACTTGCATGTACAGTTCGCGAGAGAAACATGCTAGGACATCATGCATGGTACAAATATGAGGGATGAGAAATCAAACCCAACTCGAGCAACAAGTCCTAACTCTTCCACCCCGCACCTTTCGCCACCCAGCCCCAAATCCCCCTAAACGTATACCCCTGCCACCTCATCCACACCGCCAACACTACACTAACCCCCCCGACCGCCGCGCCCCACCCAGCGACCATCCGCACCCTCTGCGCCGGGGACATGGCCGAACTCGGGCCCCGGGGCGTGTTGGACGTGGGGTTGAGGGCTACGCGCGTGATGGCGACCCAGAGGTTTGGTATAGGCCCGGAGCGGGCAGAGACGGCCATGGGCGGGAGGAGGTTGAGGCGGCGGCAGTAGGAGTCGGGTTGGACTTCGTGTCGCTGTTGGGCGAGGTCGAGGTCGGATTTTGTGGCTACAAATACTGCTGGGATGTTGTCGAGAGAGTATTGTTGCTATTCCTTGAGATCAGGTTTGCACAGAAAGCGGGGTGAGAGGGGGACGTACTCTGAGGTTGGAGATGTATGAGAAGGAATTAGTGTCGCTCGAATCGTGCACGTAGATGATGATGTCGGCCATATCCAGTCGTTTACTGTTTCGTAATGTCTCGCTCTCGTACTTGGACCCAAACTCTTGCAGCTGCAGATCCGTCAGCCAGGATTGACCAACATTGGCTCTGAGACTTACAACAAGGTACTTCTCCACCCCTTCCATCTCCACAGTATTCACAACACTCAAAACCTTCGTCGTAGGCTCATACCCCCCCACCCCATCCTCCCCACCCCAGAACGGCTTATTCACAAACGACCTCAACAACGACGTCTTGCCCGAGCCCGTCGCGCCCAGGACGTAGCACAAAAACACATTACGCGTGACCTTGCGTTGGCGGCGGTCTTGTTTACGCGGACGGGTGATGTGGAGGGCGGAAGGTGATGGCAAGTCTGTTGCTGGGGATGAAGAGTAGCCCAGGTGGGCGAGGTAGGCGAGGGTGGTGCGGTGGTCGAGTAGCGTAGTCATACTGCGCCAATTAGCGCGGCTTCGCGTGAGATGAGATGAAAAGAAAGCAGCTTACCTCCACTGCGCGAGCCAGCCCTGCAACGTGACGCGTCCCATATCATCCGTAATTGTCGTATCCGGGAACCCCTGCGATATCCACGGATTCCCCGGCGACGTCGAGAACAAATCATCCAACTCGCTCTGCGACAGCGCCCCATCCTGATCCTTATCATACGCCTCAAAGATGTCTGTCAAGAACTGGTTTCCTAACGGACTCAGTTCCACCGAACAATCATACGGCACATCAAACCTCGGCGCCAAAAAGTCTTCTCTCAAATCCAGACTCTCTCCATACCCGAATTTGCGCAGGACCGTCCAAGTAGTTTCCATGCGGCCTTGTTGGATAAACATGGTGTGGAGGTAGAGGAAACCGAGTTCGGTGATGCCTTCTTGGGGCGGAGAGGGGGGGTGGTTGATATAACCGAACTGAGGATCGCGGGGGAGGGGAGTGGTGGGGACGGAGGATGAGGAGGAGGAGGGGATGGATTGGACGGCGTAGGGGTCGTAGGAGCGGACGATGTCGAGGATGCCTTCCAGTTCTTGGGATTGTAGAGGGGCAGAGAAGCATTTTTGCTACACGAGGTTAGTCAAGGGAATGCGGGTATATGAAGGGGCGCACTTGGAACTGATTCAGCTCATGGGCGTTCAAGAGTCCGTCCTTGTCGATATCAGAAATGGTAAAGATTCGCTTCAAAGCTTCCAGGCATTTCGGTTTGAGAGTCTACAGACGTCAGCTTATCGTTTGTAAAACGAGCAAATCACTCACATGTTCTCTCGAATCATAGAGAGGAGCCGTGGGGTGCAATACCGCCTTCTGAGCAAAGTAGAACACCTCCGACACGTTGAGCGGCAGTAACGCCGAACATTCCACGACCGTCTCGACTTCCTTGAATTCACGCATAATCGGCGCGCTCTCATCCTCCAACCCCTGGTTCGTCACCCTCCCACCCCTCATATCAATCTTGTTCCCAACCAAGATGACCGGGACCTGCATGACCCATTTAGCAGTGCACGGTCTCCTTAGCAACGCCCCCGCCCCGCGGAAAAACTCACATTGATGCCTTCTCTTCGGAAGAGCGGGAGCCAGTACTCTGCTACGCGGTCGAACGAGCTGGGGTCGGCGATGGAGTAGACGAGGCAGATTACGTGGGCTCGGGAGATTGCGTTGAGGAGGTGTGGTCTCGAGCGAGGGGCGGCTGTGCGAGGAATTAGTATTGAGCGACCGAGAGGGATCGTCGTGGATGGGTGTGCGTACAGGATGTATCGACAATAGAGGTTGTAAAGTTCTCAGGGGTTATCTCTGGGGGAATGGTGACCTCTGGGACGACATGAGGAACCTGCAGCAGGGTCAGTGATTGGCGACGAGATACAGACATAGTCGACCGACATTGGTAACGAAGGATTCCTTGATAAGTGAAGTGATAATCGAAGACTTTCCCACGCCGTCTGTTCATAGTACCCATATCAGAAATCTGTATCATGGAATCCGCCCTGACTCACCATCTCCCACGAGCACAATGCGGACCAAGTCACGTCGGGGCATACCGGGCAGTCGGGTGCCGATTTTTAAAGATACCGGGTTGTCTAAGGAGTGTTGGGTATGGATCAGGAGCGGAGAGCGAGCCGGTCTTGATGTCCCGTCCAGTATTATACAGCGTTGTGGGAGTCGGGGAGGGATAGAGGGGACAGGGGAGAAGGGAAAAGTGCGAAGGAATAAGACGGCATGCGCGACCGTGGTGGCTGCCGCATTTGATCCCGTCCATTCACTGACCTCCCATTAATTTCGGGCGTCGCTCGATCTATAACAAAATCACAATACATCTATGGACCCCAACGCAGAGGACAAGCCCAAGTCGGTGCAGGTCGTAGAGCTCGACGTGGAGCCTGCACATGATATACCCCAGGAGCCCGTTCGAAGGGCTGATTTCGGTCGAACAGTGAGTTGGATCGCTTCAAAGAAGTTCTGTAAGCTGACCGGGTATGTAGGAGAATCCTATAGTGCCGCCTCCTATACAAGCTCCCCTGGCGAGCTCCATTTTCAGACAGGCATTGGAGCCGAATACACCCCCTCCAATCGGCCCTGCACTTGCAGCAGAGCGTAAGTTGTAAAAAGTCGTCATGGCCAGCAGAAACTGACGTGTTGTAGCTATAACAGAAGACCCAGAGAAGATCAAGCAATGGCAAGAGGAAGAGTTCCATCGGAGACTTCGTGGCGAGTACGAACAGGCTCAAAGACGCGTGGGTGATGTGGTAAGTCGATTCAAGGTATGACATTGGCCAAGCTCATGTACTCTAGGTGACGAACAACATGGAGCGTCCCCTCCGTCTGACATCCATCCGCCTCTCCCCGCCCCCTCCCACCACCCGCGCCTCATTCACATCGTCTCTGTTATCCCCCTTCATATCTCGGCCCAACCCGAACCTTCCATCATGGCTCAACCCTGCCCCGCCGCCTCCGACGACGCTGCACGAGATCCTGCTGTCTACGAGGGCGTTGGTGGGCCATGTGGGACAGTTTGGAGTATACGATATGGACCGGTTGAATGTAAAGTTGGAGCCTAGGCGAGGTGGAGATCCGGATGAAGTCGAGATGGTCCTGACTTTGAGGGAAAAGGGACGGTTATTCTTGAAGGCTGGTACCGAGGTTGGCGGAGGCGAGGGTGGTGGTGTAGGTCAAGGTTCTTTTCCTCCCGACTCAGAGCTGACTCTGTGGCAGAACATCACTGCTAGAATACGGAACGTCTTTGGCGGAGCCGAATCTCTCGAAGGAACCGCTTCCCTCGGCACCAAAACCAAACACGCCTACCAACTCTCCCTCTCCTCCCCCCTCTTTGCCTCTCCTCTCCTAAACTTTGCCCTTTCTGCATTCTCCCTGGATCGAGACAATTCGGCTTTTGCGTCGCATAGAGAGAGGTCGCAGGGTGGGCGAGCGAATTTGAGCATGATTGCGCCTTGGGGCACGCATGATTTGCAGTATGAGCTCATCAGCCGAGAGGTCGACCGGCTCTCTCATGATGCTTCCGTCTCGTACGTCGCTCAACATTATCAACAGAATCACACTGACGCGCTCTCAGGGTCCGTGAGCTTGCTCAGCCATCTACAAAATCATCCATCTCGCACACATACACCTCCGATACCCGAGACGACCCCTGGATGGGCACAGCCGGCCGCCTACTCAAAGTAACCCACGAATACGCCGGACTCCCAGGCTCCGACAAATTCGCCCATTTCCTCAAAACCGTCACCCAAACCCAACTCTCACGAGAACTCTTCGCCGGGTCCGGCGTGCACTTCTCCCTCGCCTCTCTGACTACCTTCCTCTACCCTCTTTTCCCGCACTCGCCCACTTCACAGTCGACCACGTATCTTTCCGACCGCACGTTCTTGGGCGGGCCGAATTCGATCAGGGGTTGGAAAGTCGGCGGGATGGGCAGGAGGGATGGGCCGGATAGTTTGGGCGGGGATATGAGCTGGGGCATGGGTCTGTCGTTGTTGGGGCCGATACCGGGGAAACCGAACTGGCCGGTCAAGTGGCACGGGTTCATCAATGGTGGAAAAGTCTCAGCTTATGACACTTGTGCGTACACACCTCTCTCTCTCCCGTCTTGACTGCTCTGACGCTGATACCATAACAGCCCGGTCATTCGTCGACAACATGACCAAAATGTACTCTTCTCCCTCCCTCTCTGTTGGGCTCGGTCTCGTTTACAGGCTTGATCCTTTGCGGGTCGAGGTCAACTTTGCTGTACCTCTTATTGGGCGAAAGGGAGAGGCGTTCAGTAGGGGATTGGGAGTCGGCGTTGGGATCGACTTTTTGTAGGAAGGGGTTTGAAGGAAGGTAGAATGCCACTATTCAAGACTAGAATAGTCAAAAGGACACTCGACAATGTCCATGATGCATTGCATAGCGCTGATATGGAACAAGTTGAGAGGCCGGGCCTCTCTCTATCAACACCCAGGGCTATAGGTACCAAGATAAACACAAGTTCATTGCTCTGACAGGAGTTACAGTCCTCTGAGCCCATTGTCAGTAATGATGGCCTACGCAAATAGATATCTCTCACAGGGTTAGTCAAGCGTGGCCTTCATACTGGCAGATTTCACACATCTGTGATGGGCCCAGGGTCAGAGTTCCTCTAGAGTCTCCCGCCCAAGCCGAATAACCCGGCAGGTCCTCCAGAAATTGTTGAAATTGTTTGTAAGAACCATCGACAACGTCTTCGTGTTGCTCGGCAGCATATCCGAAAGACACTGGATAAGAGGTAAAGCTGGTAATGTCAACATGAGTGGGGAAACCGCTGAATCAGAGTGTCAGTTGGTGGTTCTCAACACATGAAGAGAAGGATTCACATTGGTCTTTCGTCAGAGATTTTGCGGAAGAAGCCTTTACACCACTGTTTGACCTGCTCCATCTTCACCCGTTCTGACTCGCGCCGCAGCTCGCCATCATTCCCATGTATCAGGTCTAGTCCGAAAGACGGAGTCCGGGAAACGCGTGTCTTCCAATCAGCGGCATGTACGCCATGGAAGACCAGACGTGAAGGCAGACAATGCGAAAGGGCGACAATGTCATAGATGACCATGCTGAAGCGGGTACGTTCAACCCATAGCATATCACGGCGCTCATCCTCGTCCATGATTTCTTCGTACCCTTTCGTCGTGTCTGGCAATCGCATGCAGACTGCAGCGCCACGTTTCAGTCGGCTCATGAGAGCAGACATGGCAGACCTGATACTGATCTCGCCTGTAGCTGCAGACGCCTCGGGGATCTGTTCTGGGTGATAATATAGTTCTTGCATGATAGGTAAGGCGAAAGATATACGCTTGAGAGAGGGGAAGAGGGGGTGGGTGTCACTGGGGATGGTGAAGCCTGTGTATAGGTAGTAGTCTGGGTCTTCTTCGTCTGGAGGGGAGCGTTCGGTTCTGTACTTTCTCCACTCGGTGTCCAGACGGTCAGAGGCGAGGGCGGCCATCCGAACTGCCGTGACCGATTCTAGTCGCAGAGAACGACAGTACCGCCATAGCAGGACTTTTCGAGAGGCTGAATGAAGGTTGAGGGGGATGATGCCGGTGGGAGGGTCGGGCTCATTGTGGTGCTGGAATGTCTGGGAGCAGGTCGCAAAGTCCCAGCTATCGATATCAAGCTCGGACCCCTCGCCTCCTGCCCCTTCCCAGCCATCAAAGAATGCTTTGCAGTTATGATCATCAAGAGAGACGATATCATACAAGCGCCAGACATTGTTGACGTAGAACTCTTTGGAGGTGCGTAATACATTGGCGAAATGCTTGGGACAACAAAAATGAGTGTCGAACACGAGGGCGTAGATGGGCGCGATTAGCTCTGGTGGGAGAGACTGGAACGTATCGATGGGAATGGGAGGTGAGTGAAGGGAGCAGGCCATGGCGGAGGCGAGCAAGGTAGTAATGAGAGTCAGTGATGGAACCAAGATGGAACCCAACAACAGGGTGATCGGCGTTACGCGGCGGATGCAGTGTGACCGTGCCATGACGCAGATGTGGCATCAGCACAACATCAGCATTCAAATCAATTGCGCTGCATCATTCAACATCCACATGAATGGCCTCCGTTCATGGTTATAAGCCAATAATATTCACATGCATTCACGATCTCAGTCCTTCTTCCTATTGCTTGCACCCTCTGCTTCACACTGATCGGAGACCTTTCAGATCAAGAAGTCAGCAAAGCTTTGATTTAGATCGAAGCTGATATCTATGGAAGAAGTGTTGTAGAGCTCACATTTGATCCAGACTGCTGGGTCTGACTGGCAGAATCAGTGGGGGCTGAGGTACGTGCTGAGGCATATGACAAAAAGTCCGTGACGTAATCTCCGCTCACTTGAGGGAGCGTCAAGACATCGCTGATGCATTTGTCATAGTGGAGACCGTATTTTCGTCGAAAGAAAATGCTTAAAGAGACTCACTTCTGTTTCAGCATAATGCGTGTGGACTACAGAAGTCTCGTTTCGGGTAGTTGCTGAACGTTCGGAAGCGTAGCTCAGGAAATCATTTATGTAGTTGTTGCTCAATTGAGGGACCTGGAGGAGCAAGTAGCACAGTAAATCAGTCATCATTAAATCGTCGCGAACGCAGTGATGCATAGGAGGGAGGATCTGACACCTACGTCAGTTTTAGGCCACTTTGGTGGGTCCATGTTGTATTTGCTTCTGCGCGACGGTGGCGTTAGCAACGAAAACCAATAGTTTATCTACTGATCTCATAGTCTGCATCGTTTACGGCAAGAAGTATCCGGGTATCGAATCCGGTTACATGCTCTTGCTTTCGTACCTTACAGTCAATATATATGTGGTGGGGGGCGCCGACTTCGCGGCAGGTTCTCGTAACGGATACATACATTTTATCAAGTCATAACGTTCACATTATGCGGCCCTTCATATATTTAGCTGAGAAGGTGTATCACATGACAGCAAAAGACACCTCTTTGTGCGGAGGGGGTCCTCAAACACACCACATCCATAAGGAAAGAGGTCTGGGAGCACTGCAAGGCTGCAAAAGGTAGGGGGAAGCCCACTCGCGCATAGGGTTCGAGCCCGAGGGATACACCAAGAACTTCTCCCCATTCTTGATGCTCATGAAGGCAGATATCTTCCGACTGTCAGCAACATGGGTCCTGTTGTTGGCATCCATGCAGCCTGATACATCCAGAGTGGAGATTGGAGCAACATCGGCGACATGAGGAGCGGGCATCGGTGCACCAGCAGAGGGGGGGGAGAGAGTAGGTGAAGAGGAAGCGTGATGGGAAGATGCCGCACTCTCGACATCTGTGGCGGCGGCAGGGACGTAAAGTACGAGCTGCCCTCGGCAGCCGTGGATGCGGAGGCGATGTTGTCGAAGGTGGGCACAGGCAAAGGTCCGTTCACAGGATACGTCTCCAAGGCCTCCTGAACGATACCGACATCGCAATAGAGAGGGTTGTGCTCCTGAAGCCACTTCAGCGCCGCGAGGATCATGTCACGGCGAACTGTGAGCAGCTCCTTGGAGATCTGGTCCATGGTGATGGGCTGATCGGCGATGGAGACCATGATCACCACCAATTCGTTGACAATCTCGGTAGCACTGAGGGGCAACAAACGCCCCAGCCTAGAGGCTGCCTGGGGTAGGATGACCAAGCTGCCTTTGGAGACATGTGATGCACCATGACCTTGCAGTTCGATGCAGCACCTTGTAGCCCTGGCCCTTGCTATGCACAGCTTCTCGATCATCGTCAGGCGCACAATCTCTATCGGCACATTGCAGATGAAGAGTCCATTGACACGCGCAAGGACGGGGACCTTGGTGAAGGAATGCAGCATGAGGTCGGACTCTGAAGGGATCGCATCTAGGACAGAAGGACGCCATGTCGTCTTCGTCTATGCCTTCAATATCGAAGGTACTGAGAGCAGTGCCATTGGTTGAGCACTGAGAGACGCCTCCGAGCATGTCTTAGTCGAGATGTGCCATGGGTATTATTCCGTGGAGGCGATGCGACTAAGCCGTTTCAAACAGCATGAGCACACGGTCTGTTGGAAAGCGGCATTGGAGGTGAACGAATTGTACTCCCTCAGGATCTCAGCTAGACGCTCGTTGGAAGGGACGACATGCCATTCAGCAGCATCGAAGCGATGGAGACACTATACGGGAAGCAAGTCGGAAGGAAGAGCATGGTGAAGAGGATACGGGGAAAAAAAGAAAAACGACAAACGGGCGCGGCATCACCCATCTCGACATCCACATTATCGCCTTCCACCTCGGATTCCTCCGCTTCATCATCATTAACCCCTCTCCCGCCCTCTTCCATCATTGTTTTCTCCTTCTCGAGAGTCAAACTATATTAACAGTGTCGATACAAGTAGATGAGAATGCAGACGGTAAAGCTCACAATGATAGCGTTATTGTTCAGACGTGAAAGAACTCGGACAAAGAGGTGGAGTGTGTAAGTGAAAGAAGATGCGGGGAGGGTGCGGACTCACTCTTTTTTTCACGAGCGCAGGGTTCGCCATCGTCAGGGGCACCACGACGGACATTCGCGTTGGATGAAGGGTTCGAGGAAGAAGGCGGAGGCTGTCACGATACAAGCTCTTGTGGTCAGTTCATCCGTGAGACAAGACCAGTGCCCCAACAATAGTGTAAATGACGATCAACGAGGTGGACTGTGTAAGTCCAAGAAGATGCGGGGACGGTGTAGACTCACTCTTTTTTCAGAAGCCCGGGATTCGGCATTCTCACGGGCACCATGACGGCCATTTGCGTTGGAAGATTAGTTCGAGGAAGAAGGCCGAGGCTGTCACAAGATAAGGCCCTGTGGTCAGTTGATCTGTGAGACAAGTCCAGTGCCCCAAATACAGAGCTCACTTTTGAAACACCGAATGCGGCGGGCGACGAACGCGAACTGTTGGAGACGTAACACTGGATTCTGCTCTTGAATCATCATTGGAGCCAAGACCAGGGACAGGGTGCATAACAGCAGGTAAAGTATGGAAAACAGATTTGGCAGGGGGGGCAGGACACCAAGTACAATAGTTGAGGCTGACAAAGTGGAGATCATAGACTTGTATCATGCAGCGGAAAGAGCAAACATGGTTTCGAGCAGCTCGGTTGAAGGCGTTTGAGGGCCACGACTGGCAGTCTGTAGGACTTGGCACCGTGAACAGTAGCTGGAGGGAAGGAGTGGATATCGGGAAAAGTCTTGCGATAGTAAGGCGACCATCTGCCAGAGGTGGTGTCAGACAAAGCCCATGTGTTGAGGAGCTCCTTCATGGCAGCGCGGTTGAAAGGAAAGGAAGATCCCCGTCGCGTACCTCCTGTATACGCGCCAAGTTCAGTTGACAACCAGACAGAAGACCAGAGAACTTGAACTGACAAAGTGAGGGGGAGGCGCAAGCAGCCTGTCGCCATGCCCCAAGGCAGGGTCCCAACCCACGGCCTCTAATTGACCAACATCGACAGAGCAACTGTGAGAACAAGTACTTTATGTTCACCAGCGGCGAGGATGAAAGCAGCATGCCCCTTGGGAGGGGTATATATGGAAGGTGACGCAGGGAAGTGATGAGGAGGGGCAAAGGAGGATCGAACGCTGTCTGAGCTGACACAAGAGGAGACGGCAGTAGCTCAAAGACCAACGAGAAGGGAGAGGGCAAAGGGAGAACACGCATGAGCAGTCATGAGACTACGCAGCCCTAAGTCTGTCACCAAAATCGTGATCAATATTTGGAGGACGTCCGCCGTTGTTGACCTTCGTTCGTGATGCGTTGTAGGGCTTGGTAGTCAAAAGGGGTTTTGATGGGAATGATTGCGGCGTTCTGAGGGAAGATCCAGGAGCGAGAGGGGTCTAGCACCCTCGGTAAGTACTGGGGGACTTTGCCCTCCGGATAAGACCATAGGGCTGGAGGAGTGTTGGTGGGGGGTGTTTTAGGGGGACGTCCGCCTTTGTTGACCTTCGTTCATGGTGCGCCGTAGGGCTTGGTAGTCAAAAGGGGTTTAATAGATGGGACAGATTTTGATATTTTTGAGGGAAGATCCAGGAGCGAGCGAGTGATAGAGCAAGATAATAGTCACGATGGGAGGGATGTTGAGAAGGATTGAAAGGGAATTAAGAGCCAGAGGCGGGCGAAAGGCGGGTGGTGACCCCAGCGGCGTCGAGTGGTAGTCGGGAAGAGGCGGAAGTCGGACGTTGTTGGGTGCGGATGGCGGTGGTGGGGGGAGTGGAGAGAATCATTGTATGATGAGCTCTGCAGCTGGATACTGTGCATGTAGATGACGATCTGTTGCGAAGAGAGCGCGAAAAGAGTGACGATGAAAGCGAGTAACAGCTGACGCCAAAAGAAGAGGACGGAATGACAACCAACGCGCGGCGCGCGGCGGCCGCGGCGGCGGCGGCGATGAGCGGGCGAAGGAGTTACATAATCCTGAAGCAGGGCGCTCACTAAAAAGTGCCCCCAGATACCCTTATTTTCAGTTTTGTCCACCCCGACGCGCGGTAAGACTCTTTAACTCCGTTACGAGAATTTAGTAGAATGCTTACGCCTTTAGTACACCCCTTAGTATCACGCAGAAACGAATTATTTCCCCTTGGCGCGCCATAAAACTCGCCCCCGTCTAAGCAGGCCAGTTTCCGCTGTTTATTTTGTCTTCGTTCATTCTTCTTTCCGCTACACCTTCATCCGACGACACCTGATCGCTATTCTTCACATCCGCTGAGCCTCAGGCATATAAACCCCGCCACTCAGCACAATGCCCTTCTCCATCTCATCTCATCCCCATCGCCACCGCACGACGCGTAAACACCCCAAACACACACTATGGTCCGCAAGCGTAGTCACTGCATCTGCCTCGACGTCCACCCTGTCCTCGACGCACCCGATGTTCCCCTCGCTATCGATTCTATTCCACTCACCATCTCCGACCTCACCTTCCCGTCTGTTGAGCCCCTCATGAAGAGTCTCCGCCGGAGCGGCAGTACTGGTAGCCAGGCTACCATCAAACCGACCCCAAAGCAGAGACAGGCGTGGGAGATGATGGTGTTGAAGCAGAAGGAGACGGAGAGGGAGGTGACTCCGAAGGCTGAGAGGAAGGAGTTTGATTTCACTCCTGTGGAGATACCAGCCGAGAAGGAAGCCAGTCCTTCTGTCAAGTGGCCCGCCGATTCGGTGCTCATCAACCTTTCCGACGATGCTTCCTATGACCAGTAAGTCTCATCCCTTACATTATATCGCCTATTGGGCTGACACATTCTCAAGCGTACCCGATGTGAAAGAGTACCTCCGCCTGGTCGGCTTCACAATCATGCAAGCCACTTTCACCAACCTCGCTACAATTGACCCAGAGAGGCGTTTCGACATCTCGGCCCTCAATGGAGACGATCTGGTTCAGGTCGGGCGGGAAGCGCTTGCCAATGCTCAGCGCCGAGGGGAAGGGTAAGCCTCTTTGTGTCCTGCAGAGACAGCAAGGCTCACGCTAGACATAGCATTTTCGCAACCTATCCCAAAGTTTCTGATATCTCCATCCCCACCAACCCCCCTCCTTGGGCCGCGCTGCTCCGACGCAACCTCTACTCCATCGCCGAAGCCGTCCGCCCCAAATTTGAGGAGAAAGACGAAGCATTCGCTCCCATCTCCGGCCGCGGCTCCCTTGGCCGTAAGAAGGTTCGAAGTCTGCAGAAGAATAGGGTGGTCAGCGGGGAAGACGGGGCGAGGTGGAGCATGGGAGGGAAATTGGATAGGGATGCTCTTCTGAGGCCTGGGGAGGATGGGCCTTGTGAACGTATGATGAAGGCAAGTGCTTTGCCCTTTGACATCGGTGGTGGCTGATGAGAGCGCAGACCAATATCCGCGTACCGATCCCGTCCTCTCTCTCTCACCTCGAACCCGGGTCGTCGGAATACCGCCGCCTGATCGCTACCCTGTACAGGATCGACTCGCACCCCGCGGCACTCGCCTTGCGCCATCGTACGAGTGTACTCAAAGTGTTGGTCAAGCGCAAGACCCTTCTTCTCGATAGGTGATTTGACGTCAGCTTTACGTTTGATTATCGCAAGGCTTACTTCCCCAGGGATGGTGAGAAGACAGAAAAAGAGGATTTCGAGGTGGATCACGATTGGAGCGAGTACTTGGAGAATATACCAATTGTGGGGGATTGGAGCCAGGCTGTGGAGATGCGATGTGCGCAGAAGGATGGGAGGTATGAGGCTTGGGAGAAAATGAGGAGGGAAACGTTTTCTTCTCGTTAGAAACATAGAAACGACTTTGCTGGTACATGCATTCTGTATATACATATTTTGAGAGCGGAGTCAGTACGTCGGTCCGTGGAAGAGTTAGTCTCGCTCCGAGGACTGCATTCCCTTCACCATATGGCAGGACAGTGGGTGAAGTAGATGTCGGTCTCGAAGGTTGTACATGTGAGTAATACACTCTGCAGCACCACGAGCTCCCAGGGGCCACTCAGCTCAATCTCACTTCCGATATACGTTCGGTGATACTACAACAACATATACTACAACTGCTTCTCCTTTTTTGCTACCAACTCAGTTACCGCATGTGCTCGTAATCGATGTCGATGCTTCAGAGGAGTGGTATCAGAAGCTCGTCGCAAAGCTGGCCCGAAGAATACTACTCACCTTTTATCTCCTTTCAACCAACCTCAAAAAAAAATCTCTCTCCCTGGGCGTTTCACTCGGTCGACACTCAATGCACTTCCCTCTCTCCCCTCTCTCCCCTCTCTCCCCTCTCTCCCCTCTCTCCCCTCTCTCCTTCCCCACCTTCTCCTAAACTCTCCTTCACGTCCGCCCGCACGCAGCACAAGGGGATGGTAACTCCACGGCGACCATGATGTTCAAAGCTTCGTCGTGGTCATGGATGCGGTTTTGGAGCGAGCTTTGGAGTGCGGATGTTTCATGGGAAGAGGTGAACAGCGGGTGCTGTATTGTCAGCCGCCGGGGGAATCGGTCTGCGACGTGACTGCGCGATTTCTGTCAGTTTGGAAACTTGGAGCATGAGATGACGTTGCCTACCCCCTCGACATCTCTTGTACAAGCCAAAGCATCACGGAAATGCTCAGGAGCCGGTCATCTCCTCCCGCAGTCTCCTCCAACCTGACAATGACTGAGTCTGGTGGGTTTCTGTCCGGGAGAACCACACCAAGCCGAAACATCGCAAGATCTGCATGTAAAGTTGCAGTCAACCTTGCTTGAAACTTTTTCAGGATTTGTCGAGCGCGGCCCATCTGGGAAGGATTGGAAGAGGATAGCCCCACGCAAATGTGCGAGGGATGCTTGAGATCGGCGGGGAATTTCATGGAGGTCCAAGCGGGATCTGCCAACCAGCTCGGAGAGGCGATGATGGCGTCCAGTATAGGACAAAGAGGGAGGGGTAAGATCGGGTCCTGGTGATCAATATGCCTGACCCCATTAAACATCGAGTAGGCGTCATGAACAGCCTTTGAGGCTTTCACCAGTCACCGAGCGCCTGCTGTCGATGTGATGGTGACAGTTCGCGTCAGCCACAGCCACTGGTGTTCGATGGACGCCGCCAGTAAATCGGGGTCGTCAGAAGAGATCGGTGGCTGAATGCTGAACATGTGCGTATTGCGCTGAGCAGGCAGGGCCACGTCCAGGGCGGGATTGCCCGAGACAACGAGGGACGAGTAGAGATGTTGCCGAACTATGGGGATAAACTCCAAGGAATAGGCAGACAAGGTCCTAAGTGTGTCGCGAGGCAGGAGACCCTGGCGGCATAGGTCGTACAGAAGCTCCATGATAGTACAGTGGACTCTTCTGTCTTCTGTCGATGTGGGGCGGTGTGGCCCCGCCGGAGCTGAAGAGAGCTGGACACTGTTGGGGGGCATGGAGGTCATAATGATGGGTTGTACTAGAGAGCTTAGGGGAGAGATCTGACGTCGATAATCTTCGTGGCTTCGTTGCGGATCACAGTTGCTGTGAGTGAATCTGCACGGGCGTCTGAGGACGGTTTGAAGCCAGTCGCGTGTGTCTTCGGCGGCTGTCTCCGCTAGACACGTGAACCTCTTCGTCCTGCGTACGTAAACATTCCGCTGCGCTGCTGGCTGGCTGCTGCCGCTGCTGCGCGGCGCTGACTAATACCTTCTTTTCTTTTTGCTTCCGCCAAGTCCGGCCTGACAAAGGCTGAACCGGACACGTCCGGACCTCTCAGACATGGCCGCAAACCAGTCAAGTCTAACATTGTAAGTAGTATGGTTACATGTACGTACACGGTAATGGACGCTGACTTCTTGCTGTTCTTACGTTTCATGACCATGCAATACTGAACCATTTGCCAACCACGTTTGCCAATGGGGACAGCTACTGATTGGAAGGAATACATATGCTCGCGTACTGGCGACTGATTTACATCTGCAAAGCTACCTGGCTCACCGTTCTTCATACTTGCTACAGCTTTCTTGGCTCCTAGAACTTGAGATACCGTCGTCCCCTCCCTCGCCTCTTCTCGCGCTGGGTATTGGTATCTCTTGTGTTGAATGTCACCACCCGCTCCTGCTTTGCCATATCCATATTCAGTCTTTTTGCCATGGCGCCTATGGTTTCCCATAGCTCCATGACATGCCAGTGATCCTTCTGAGCCACCTGGATCCGCACTCGTTCCAACAACAACGTTTCGAGGTATGAGATGGATGGTTGAGTGAGTGTGCTACTACTACTGGGAAGCTAGTAGTAGGAAGGGGTGTTTGAGTTGATTACGTAATATCCGCAAAGTGACTGGACACGCGGAGGGGACCGAATAAGGTAGCCAGGGCCGTGGGTGGCGACTACGCCTACTTATTCACACACACCCCATTCTCTTCTTCATCCGCACACTCACCATCATGTCTGTCGACACTTTACCTCGCTCACTCGCCCACACAACCCTCTTCGGTGCCGACACCTTATATCACTCACTCGCCCACATAACCCTCTCCGATGCCAAGGGACCCTCACCCGCTTCATGCACTACGAGCCACGAGAAGGACCAATTTATGCAGGCCTACGACGAACTATGTAAAAAGATATTAGACGAGTATGACGAAGAGAACCGTCGGGAATTTGAGGAAGATCTGGAGATGTTGGAAGATTATGGCGATCCGAAGGAAGTAGAGAGGATGAAGCAGACTGCGTTGGAGCAGATTGCTGAGGACAGGGCGGAGCTCGTTGAGTCCCTGGAACAAGGCCGTCTTTATTTTTTACGCACCAGTGAGTTCCTTTATGCTGTTCAATTGAAGATGACTCTAGAAACTTGAGAAGCACAGTGAGGTGGCGATAGCAACGAAACGGAGGCGATTGTCAACGAAAGCAGCAGTGGAACAGAGCCGATTGTTGTAGAAACTGTGTATATGCAAGAATGTGTATTAGGCAAAGTCACATAGCAATCGAAGCTTGAATGAAGTACAGAGTTCTACAAGTACGGTAGCCTTTCACTTACTAACCTGTCATAGGGAATTGACGGCCTTCTTGAGCTGAGCCTGCGTCGTGTTTCTAAAGCGCCGTCCAGACTTGAGGAGTAACGGCCACAGCCAAAGTGACATATACTTGTACTTCCTTTCTCCGAAAGGCTTTTCCTGAGTGCCCATCGAACTCTCGAAGAAGGTTGGAGGAAAGTGACTAACTGCGGCGGTTCCAGGGCTTGGCTCCAAGTGCATCAACCTCGACTCGCAGGAAACAAATATATAACTGAAACTTATGCATCTATTGATTGATAATCAAATATATATTTTAACTGTCATTATTTTATCTTATAGCTGTATAGAAATTAGAAAATGTAGTTTGATGATAAAGTATATTGATCAGAACAATATGGGCGGACAGACTTCTGTTTTATATGTGCTCATCTGGCACCTGGCCTGATCCGGCCTTACCCATTGTCTGAGCTGGATAACCTGAAAACATGTGCGATAAAACACATGTCTGAGCTCGCACAAGCAGTCACTATCCTCGTTTCATCGCCCGCTGCTGACATAAAAGGTGCTACTGCGAAAATATCGCATGTTGATGAATGGAAGAAAGTTTTAACGCTTTCCCATTGGCAACCCTCCCTTCTCCGGGTGCTGTGAACGGGACTCGATGCTTCATTTTCTAGTTCATCCGATCAATGTGCGATTGAACAATGGATTTCACGGTCGTTCAAAACGCAAGAGACAAGAAATGCGTGATAGGTCCTCTAGCGAGACTTGCTGATCATCATCTACTTTACTTGGTCAAAGGACATGCATACCACGGTGCCAATGTTGTTGCCTCGAGAGGCACTCTGTCAATGACCTGTGACTGTTGGACATACGCACACTTAAAGATCAGATTTCTCCTTCTTCCACCTCCTCGGGCCTATCCTTCTTTGCAGCTGGGGCAGCCACCGATGAAACAGAAGACAACCTCCTTCTCTGTCGACAGCGTCAGCGTCTGGCAATATGAGCAATGAGATTGACGTACCTTTGGATCCCGATGATCATCCTCAAGACCTACCCTCTTATCCCTCGCCTTCTCCCGACCATACTCCCTATCCCTCCTGTCCCTATCATCCCGCTCCCTATCCCTTCCCCCCCTATCCCTCCTGTCCCTATCTCTATCCCTGTCATCCCTTCTCGCCCCTCGGGATCCATCATCCCTCTCACGAGGATCGACGTCCATACGATCGGTTTTGTAGTATGCTCTATCGCGGTCGGAGCGGTAGTCGCGATCACGGTCTCTGCGGTCTCGATGATCACGGTCAGAGCGATGATGAGTAGAAGACTCGCCTTCCGCAAGCTTTTCCTGCTACCATGTCAGCACGTCTTTACACATTTTTAATGGACTGGACGTACCTTCTGACGCCTGACAAACTTTTCCCAACCCAACTGTTTCTCCTCTTCAGACTCCATCGCCTTGAACTCGGCGACATCCTTGATATGGGGAAGAGCTTGCTCGTAAGACATGTCGATATTGATGGCGTCGACTTTCCGGAGGGCGTAGCGGAGGTCGTCGATTCTGTGACGCTGGCGTCGCTCGGCTTTACGAAGTTCTTCTTCTTCCTGCTGCTTTGCGCGAGATTGAAGCTACATGTCGTCAGCGCCGTAATAGAGTACAAAGCGCAGCACACTTACAAGTGAAAAGACCTCTTTCCGGAGCCTTTCCGAGATTTGTTGGTCCATATGCGTCTCATGGCACCATCCCTCGAGTTCCTCCCACGTCGTCTCCTTCTTGAACTCCTTCCCAGCCTTACCGAGCGCATACTCAATCTTCTCAGCAGCCCTCGAGACTTCCTCCGACAAGTCATCAATAGCGTCCATCCAAAGCTCCAGAGGCGACGACCCCGGAAGCCCCAACAGCGCTTCATACCTCGGATCCCCCTTAATAATCCCATACGTCTCCCTCCACTTCGACGTCCTCTTCAAATCCCCCCTCTCCTCCATCTCTTTCAACAACGCCTTAAACCCCTCCCTAGCTTTCCTCGCCCGGCGCACATCCTCAATACGCAATTTCCGGCTTTCTTCCTTGTGCTCCTGCTCGAGCTTGTAGGCGTAGTCTTCGTAAACTTTGATCATGTCGAGGACGGAGGCTTGTTGCAGGCTGGGGTCGGCGCGGAAGGCGGGGGAGGAGATGATGAGGTCGTGCGCGGCGCGCCAGCGGGTGGAGACTGTGATGGAGAGGGTGGGGATGAGGGATTTGAGGGTGCGGATGTTGTACTCTTTGAGCTCCCTTTCGGCGACCTAAACACGAAATTAGTCTAAAAGATAATAAGAAGCAAGAACCAAGACACACCTCTTCCTCGCGTCGCAGCTTATCCGCGTACTCTTCCAAAATCAATCGCTTCTCCTCCGGCAGCGCCTCCTTCCAGTATTTGTCCTTTGCAAACACTCTGTCGGCAGTCTTCAATGTGGAATACGACTTGATGGCGTTGGACTTGGTGAACAGCTTGGTGAAGATGGGGCGGAATCGTGAGATACGAGCTTCCTTGGCTGCTCGGCGTTCTTCGAGGATACCGTTGGTAAACTGCAACATCAGCCTGTGAGCCCTTGCACACAAAAGAGATGTACTCACCTTTTCAAAGACACCCTTCTTTTCGGCCAGTGTTTCCAAAGCGTTGTAAAGAGGATCCAGGACAATCTTCCTCATGACTTGATCCCAAGTCCAAGTCTCATTCACGCCCTCGCGCTTCAAAAGGTACGTGAAGGCGATCTCAGCCTCATGTTTCGTCTGGAAACCACCAGTAGGCATGACGATAGGAAGCAAGTCTTCTTGGGGTTTCGTGGCAATAGGCGTGTCGACCTTGGCAGCAGGCGAGGCTGTCTGAGGGGTGTCCTGCTTGTAGATGGCGATGGCGCTCGCCGCGGACGCTCGCAACTCCCGGATGTCTTCAGGAGTCGGTGACCTCGACATCCTTCTGGGACTGGGAGAAGGACTCAAAGACTCTCCCTTCTCCCTCCTAGCCTCCCTCTCATTCTTCCTAGCCTCTTCCGCTTCGACTTGTGCTTTCAGCGTAACCAGCTCTGCCGGGAGATCCCACTTTGTTTCTTTCGTCACCGAATTGACATAGTAAGGTCGGTTTTTGGAAGTGTATTGCTTCCATTGAGTTTTGGCGAGGGCTTTTTCGAAAGGTGTTTTGAGTTCGTCGGGCTTTTCCCAGACGGATTGCTTGGTCGTGGCATGGGACCAATAGACACGGCCCTCCGCGTTCTTGTACTCGCTCTGCGCCAATAGTCAGATACGAATCAGCCATGATATATATAAAGACGTACCCAGAGCGATCTGTTGTCAGACATGCCGGGTATAGGTGAATGTCCAGCAAGCAGAGAAGTGACAATTGAATAGTCAGCGGTACTCAAGCGGTACTCGAGGAATGCTTCGAGAATTGCTTCCACGATTTGATCCCGTTCGGATGCCCTCCCCATCATTCTGTCGCCGCCGAGATGTCAACTTCATGAATCTACTTATCTCTGTCTGCAATGTCCTCCAACGGCCGACCATCGTCTGTGAGGGGCCTGTACACCCCGCCCGCCGAGGAGTGGGTCTTCCTCCCCCCCACAGTCTCCCCGCCGAACCCCTCCTCAACCTCGCCCCCAGCCCATCTCCCCACTCCCTTCCACGACGCGTCCACCAGCTCTTCCTCCTTACTCGATGCTGCAAATGACGCAGATCTCGTTATTCCAGCCATGGGGAGGCCATTCAACCTCTTTCTCTCGGAATATCTGGCCACTGCTATGGGAATGCCGTTCGAAGTCGGAAAGACTCTGCTTCAGGTGGAATACCGACCCAGGAGACAGTTTGAGGCGCTCGAAGGGGCCGGAGAAGGTGTGAAGATTTCTGAAGAGGAGACTGTCACCGAGCTTCAAGATGAAGACGAGGTGCGTCCATCGCTCGTGCGTGAGATCAGACACTAATCCAATATAGCTAAGCAACCCGGACGAGGCCGACATGTACTTTACCGACCGGCTTAACAAGTCTGCCGACCCACTGGTCTCCAACGAAGAACCGGTAGCACTCCAAGCGGATGCCTCTGGCTACCTTCCTGACTGTAAGCGTGCTGCTCTTCAAAAGGACAAAGCTGATCAGTCACAGTGCATCCCACGTGGTTGCTGAAAGACGACCCCGACATTTCGCGAGGCAACGGCGTCTGGGGCATGATCCGCCGTATCCGCTACACCCCCTCCGAGGGCCTTCCTGCTCTCTGGAAGTCTCAACTAGTCTCCACCCTCCACGCCTTCCTCACCACCACCGTGCAGCCCACCGTCCATTCTTGTCTCCTCCTCCTCACACCCTATCCCGCGCTCGCCCTTGATACACCGCTTGCAGCTCTGCCGAACCCTGCTTTACCGCTCGGTCTGCAGATTGCCAGTCATCTCCTGACCCACCTCGTGCTCTCACCGCTCGAGATCATCCGAACGCGACTGATCGTCATGCCCGCATCGCATCCCTCCACCCCGAGCAGCGTCAAGATCTTCCGAGATATGGTCTCGGACGAAGGCGGTTTCACCAGCATGATCTTCCACCCCAACCTCCTTCTCCCTGCTGTCCTCGAACACACCCTCCGCCCCCTCTTCGCCCTCTCCACACCTCTTATCCTCGAGCGATACCTCGGCATCTCGCCCGACCTCTCACCCATCACCTACTCCCTCCTCGACCTTTCTCTTGGGCTCACCCACTTGCTCGTGCTTTTGCCCATAGAGACTGTTAGGAGACGATTGCAGTTGCAGCACCGAGGCAAGGGCGGGAAGAGGATGAAGACTGTCGTAAGAGTCAGGGAGAGGGATTATGTTGGGATTGTGGAGGGATTGTGGAGGATTGCCAGCGAAGAGACGAGTGTGAGGAGGACCAAGCTGGATAAAGGTGAAGAGGGAGGGTGGTTTGCCGGTGTCAGGCAACTCTACCGAGGCGTGAGTACCCAATACATATGTCGTATGATTCGTGCTAATGGTTATCCAGTTTGGTATGGCTGCCACCGCTCATGCCACTGTATTCAGTCTTGGCCTTGTCAGCGCTACATTGTCTGGTGGAGACGGTGGATGGAAGGAGATTTGAGCCTGGGTGGACGATATTTGAGTGTTTATATGAGAGTGTGTACGATTACAGGTGTACGATTGTCGAATGTATTCCTTATCCTACTCATCTGATCCATGAGGGAACGGCGTACTACATCTGACTTGTCTAGTTCGAAGATCCAGGCATTCTATCAGCTGAAAGCGTACGTACAGTATAGGGCCCCTTTCGGGAGCTAGGCTGGGATTGTGTGCACTTGAAAGTCAGAGGAGCGCGCTGAGTACCAAAATTGGCCAGAAGTAGCTGCGACATGAACCTGAAAGGCGATCAAAGGATCGTCCCTTCTCAACACCCATCTACAGTATGATATGAGTCAACCGCGTCAAGATTGCTCGGTGTTCGCAATACGAAGAAATTCATTGTGACAATGATAGTCGTTCGGACTCAATTACTTCTGTGCATGACGGATAGCACGTTCATGTTTAGATTGTAAAGTACACTACTGACAACTCCTTTCACCAATCTCCTTGTGGCAGTCATGATGGCAGCCGGATGTTAAAGGACCATACGACTGCCGGAGTTTGGGCATTCAAACGTGGATGTAAGGACGTTGAACAAGGCCTAGCTCCGCTCTCGAGCAATTCTATCAGTCAGGAGACCCCCAAAATGATACTTAAGGCGGGCTACAAGTCAGCACCAGGTTTCATTCTACCACACAATACTCATTACTCCTCACGTCATTTCCCTGTCAACTGTCACCTTTCAAAACTCCAGATCGCCCCACTGAATCATTCTTTCGCTCTTCGTTCTCTACGTCATCTCAAAACAACAAACCGACTTACGATTCCTGAGAAATCCATCTTGAGTTACAGACATGTCATCGACGGCTACTGCTCCCTCTCAAAGTTCCCTCACGGAGATGCCAACAAGAGGCGATCTGTCTCAATTCATCTCTGCTCATGGTGAACGACGTCTCACGTTACATGTCAAACAATCTCAGCAGAAAGGGGTTCTGTGGGTAACCCCTATGGAAAAGACAGACGAAGATGGAAGAATCCAACGGGCTTTTCAATTCCAGGGATCTGCAGGAGTGTTATCGGTCATGGGTGCGCTGCAAGGGATTACCATGGCGGCAAAGGAGCACAGGCAAGAATGGATCAACACTGTCCGTTCCTACAATGAATCTCAAGCCGATCTCGAGTCTGCGTTGGAAGAGGCCGGTGTCGATGAGAAACGCAGAGGCGCATTGCTGGACAACATTGGCTACAGCGTACTGTATCCTATGGAGGCCGGTATTGGGCCAGTCAGAAAGCTCATTTCCACTCGCTGTACTTCCGAAGCAGGGTCCAGAGCTAGCGAGTTTTTGTCGAATCTACAATCGCTCGTGGATAAAGGCAGCGGTATCTTGACACGTTCAATGGTCATGACAGAACGAACGGACCTTGGGGACATCCTGGCCGGGGCATCGGAGATCACTAAAGCCAAGGCCAGTGTCCGGAATCCCAAGGGGGATCAAGCAATAGTGGCTGGGTTGTACAGGACGAACGACGACCAGACCGATCCTAGTACTGTGAAGAACTATAGCCGGATGCCCAGCATGGGCTTCGTCCTCCAGCCGCGCAAAAAGGCTGCACCTCCCTCGAAAGCTGCTAAATCTGCTCTGGGATACTGGTCTTCCTCTCCCTCAGCATGTAGGTCGTCCAAGGTGCCCTCTGACGCTCCATACTACCCGTCAGCGCCATCAATCTCTGGAGGTAACGGCGGTGGTCTCGGATATAGTCCCTCGGCCCCTTCGCTCAACGCTGTCTCGGCAACCGGTCAGGATACTCCTCTAGACTACTACCCTTCTGCGCCTTCGATCCCTAGACTTTCGTCGCTCTCCATGGCCGACTCCAGTAGTCCTGCTTTGACGGAAGTGTCAATGGGGGAACAGGCCGGAGACGAGGTGTCGTCAGCAAGTGGACCGGTCATCGAAGCCGGTTCATGGCATCCGGCTTGGAGGCCTGAGTGATAGTTGGATGAGATGGTGACGAATAGCAGATATGGGCTGGAAGACGCTGTCCAACAGCAGGCGTACAGTATATGGAAGCTAGTAGTACATGTATCGTACCCGCGCCAGTGTATACGATTCAGTTGGTGCTTCTACTCACTTTGCAACTAGAACTTCATACTTCCTCACATGTTACATACCATACTGTGCCTCACATTGCTTCGTCCAGACTACCCAGTATCCTACCATGAACCTGACCGGATGTGCGAATTTAGTCAAGTCTCAGAAACAAGTTCGGTCACGGGACAATTTGGCGTGCGGGTGCTTGCGAGAACGTACTGGACATGGCAGGTAGTTGGCGAAGCCTGGATATATATCTCTAGCATTGTATATGCACTCCAATACGAGTACATCACAAAGAAAGAAGAAACCCCAACGATCTTCTATGTCTCTACATAATCCATCCATCATTCCGCCTTTCTCTTCTTCTTCTTATCTTTCCCGTCCCTATCCTTCTTTTCCTTCCTATCCTTGCTGTGCCCACTCGAGCTGACCTTGCCCAGCTTTCGGTCCAAAACTCTTTGCAACGCGCGACGGGTCTCGGAATTGGCAGGGAACGATTCAGGGTCAAAGTATTCGGCGGCGTATTCGAGGAGCCACTCGGGTCGGACTTCGGTGACCGTTCGGATAAACTTAAAAAGTCATCAGCACGAGAAGATCGAGAGGGGGAGGAGAACGTACGTTGGCAGTGGTAAGGACAAACTCGTTGTACAACACCCACTCGGGGGTAGTGTCCATTCCACAAGAAAGATGTAACCGCACAACCTGAAGCAAATCAGCACCATCCAGCATGATCGTTGGAAAACTTACCTGGTTGTCCTTGACAGTCATATAGCTTCCCTTCTCACCCTCCTTGTGCGCAACTTGCATGAAGAACCCGCAAGTCAACGCTTGTCGGATATTGTTCCAATAATTCCTGTCCTCCCAAGCCGTTGAGCAAAGCTCCAAGTCAAACTTTTCCATCGCGCGCTTCAGCTGCGTACGGACATTGTCGGCTTGGGCGAGCGAACGCTGGTTCAGGTAATTTTGCCAACACCAATTCTTGGCATCATCCTCATTCGACTTGTACGCGTGGTACACATTCAACAATGTCAGATGGTCACCGTCCGGGTGGCTGAACTGCGCCTTGGCCAGATCGGCCTCCTTCCTCTGCGATGCGGGCCGCATGAAGACGTTGGGGACGGAGAGCATAGCGGTGAGGGAGAGGACTTCGTTGGAACAGCCGAATTCGGGAGAGACGATGAGCATCTTGGCGAGCTGAGGGTCCAGAGGGAATTCAGCCATGATGGCGCCCAAGGGGGTGAGGTTGCCTTCGTCGTCAAGCGCAGCGAGGTAGTGGAGTAATTCGAGGGCACGCATGATGGTTTCGGGCGCGGGCGCATCTGTGAACAGTCAGCCGATGGTTGATAAGAAGAAGAACCAACGCACCCATGTAGTCAAAGTGGACGAGATCCTTGATACCCAACTTGATCAACTCGAGCACCGTATTCGACAAGTTGCTCCTCAAAATCTCCGGGTGCGTCTGCTCCTCCAACTCCTTCACAAAGTCCCTCTCTGTATACAGCCTGAAACACTTTCCAGGCCTCGTTCGGCCCGCACGGCCCGCACGCTGCATCGCCGAAGCCTTGGAAATCGGGGTGACCAACAGCGACTCGAGTCGGACTCGAGGGTTGTACACCTTTTGTTTACAGAACCCAGGGTCAACGACGTACACGATACCGTCGATGGTAAGGGAAGTTTCGGCAATGTTGGTGGAGATGACGACCTTGCGTCCTGGGAGGCCGTCCTTGCCGGCGGGAGGGGCATTGTCAAAGATACGTTGTTGTTGATGGGGCGGGAGGGAGGAGTACAGAGGTACGGCAAGAATGGGACCCGCCATTCCCTTGTTTGCGAGCTCCTCGCCCTCCGCTCTAATCTTTCTACACGCATCCTCAATCTCTTCTTCACCAGTCAAGAACAGCAACACATCTCCTTCGTCTTCGGCTTGGTGTATGAACAGGACCGTACGGATAGCCGCTTCAACATAGTCATTCTCGGGTTCTTGGGTGAAGAACGTTTCGACAGGGAAAGTTCGGCCAGAGACTTTGACGACGGGGGCGAGACCGGTGGGGTTGGTGTCACCAAAGTATTTTTGGAATTTGGCAACATCGAGAGTGGCAGACATGACGATGATCTTGAGGTCAGGGCGTCTTTTGGCAATCTAAGAATAGTCAGATGTGTCCAGAACTAAAGAAAGGATACTCACGTCTTTGAGAAGACCCATCAAGATATCGGTAGCCAAGGTCCTTTCGTGCGCCTCATCCAGGATAACGGTCGAGTATCGTTCAAGTAGAGGGTCGTTCATGGCTTCTCGCAAGAGCATACCATCTGTCATGTACTTAAGGAAGGTGGTGCCTTGTTCTGTCATGTCTTCGAATCGGATAGAGTAACCGACTTGCTTTCCGAGTTGCACTGCTAGGTGTCAGCATTTGAGCCCGGGCACAAAGACGATACTGACCGTCCATTTCATCGGCCACACGCTTCGCAACACTCATAGCAGCCACACGTCTCGGTTGTGTACAAGCCACCATCTTGCCCCTCAACATTGGCAAGTCGGAGTAGCACACAAATTGGGGAATCTGGGTGGTCTTTCCGGAACCGGTCTGACCCTCCATAACGACGATCTGGTTCTCATTGAAGATCGACAGGAATTCCTGCATTTTTTGGTACACCGGGAGGCCCTTTCGCTGCTCGAGAATCTTCTTGTAGTTATTGGACCAAGGGGAAAGGTTCTTGAAGGGGTTCACTTCACCGTCCTGCACGAAATGAGCACTTTAAGTATCGACGCTTTGAGGAACCTACCATGATCTTCTTGGCTTGGTCAACAGTGACCTTTCTGGGCACCATTCCGTTCAAAGGGTGTTCCTTTCTGTCCACAGATCCAGTCACACCAGAAGCACCGTTGTTCAGTCCATTGCCGTTCTGGTACTCTTGACGGTGGGCGCTGATTTCAATGTCAGCTAGGCAGTTTTCCTAGCTGGAAGCGGGCACGCACAGGTAGGGGTTGGTTTCGGGGGCGGTGTTGGACTCCATCTTGGATCTTTTGGCAGGAGGCTCGGACATTGTAGCTTTGGAGAGTTGGAGAGCAATCTATGGCGGCGAACGCTGAAAATCGACAAAAACATGTTTAAGTGGGCGCTCGACGCGAAGTGATGGCCGACGGTGCGTCAGCGACAGGAGGATTCAGTGAACGCTGTGGAACTCGGATTCTTTCTTCAGTTTCTTTTATTTTCAAAGACCCGCCATGGCTCAGCCGATGAAAGAAGGTGGGTGAACAGCCAAGGACAAGTATAGAGCTCATGCATGGCAGATATCGACAACTTCGTCGCCGTCACCCAGGCGTCCAAGGACGACGCTCTTCACTTTCTCCAGGCGGGCGGCGGCCTCGAGGTGTGTAGGCTGCATCAGCGGATGGCCACTTGCTAATGAAATCAGACTGCTGTAGAGAACTACTTTGTGGCTCAGAATGCAGGTGGTATGCCCCAAAGCGGCGACCAGGAAATCCAAGATGCCGCTACCGCCTCAGGTTCCGCGGCACCCACAGAAGGCAGCGGCGGTGGTGGTGGTGGCTTCACCCTTTCTGGTCAACGCGTGGACGACACGCTTCCCGCAGGATGGGGAAAGAAGCCCAAGTCGAGATTTGGCGGTCTGAATCAGCAGGAAGAGAGTGACGACGAGCACGCTGGGCACGACCATGGGGATGATAGTGAAAGCGAGGAAGAGCTCTTCACGGGTGGTGGCAAAAAGTGAGTCCTTTTGCCCTGCTTTGGGCATAAGCTGATACGGTTGAAGCTCTGGTCTCGCTGTGCTTGGTCCGGACAAGAAGAAGGGCAAGAGCGACTCTCTCGTTGACAACATTCTGCGCACTGCTGGTGAGAATGGCCCCGTGGCGCCTCCTGCCGGCCGGGCTCACCCCGCCGCCCCTGGCCTTTCTGGCCCTTCGAGAGCCTTCCAAGGCGGTGGAAACACCCTCGGTGGTGATGGTACTCCATCCACACAAGTCCCCGCTCACGGCACCCACGACGACGAGGACGAAGAGACGGACGAGGAGGAGGAAGGGTCCCATCTTCAAGCTCTCCGGGACATGATGTCCCAAGCTGGAGTCAACTTTGGTACGATGGGGTCGGGCGGGTTCGACCAGATTCTGAGCCGTATGGGCGGAGGTCAACGACCCCAGGCTGGCGGCTCCAACTTTCGAGGTCAAGGCAACGTCCTCGGCTCTGAAGCCAGCCCTGCTGCTCCCGCTACCGAAAGTGCCACTCCTACCCGTTCATCCATCTCTCCTGGTCCTTCTGGTTTAGCCCACATTCCCGAAGAAGATATCTCTACCGATCCCGAGACTGGCGAGCGCGTTGTCAACCGTAGACTGACTTTCTGGCGCAACGGCTTTTCTATCGCCGACGGGCCACTTCTCGACTATGAAGAGCCTGCCAACCGTGCTCTCCTTGAAGCACTCGACTCTGGGCGAGCTCCGAGTGTTGCTTTCGGCGTTCCTTTCGATCAACGAGTCAATATTTTGGTAGCGCAGAGGAGGCGGGAGGATTACGAGCCGCCAGCAAAGGTGCTCAAGCCGTTCGAAGGGGGTGGACAGAGGTTGGGGAATGTGGCGCCTAGTACTGAGACGAGGAGTATGCCTGGGGCGTTGCCTGCCGCCCAGGAGAATACGGGTCGAGGTGCGGGAGGGCAGGTTGACTTCAAGGTTGACTCCGACAAGCCTACGACGAGCTTGCAGCTCCGTTTCGGCGATGGTTCTCGGTACGTCCTTCCCTTCTTCGTCTTTCGCAGATACTGATATACATCACTAGCCAAGTGGCCCGATTCAACACCACCCATACCGTCGGCGATATCTACTCCTTCTACCGATCCGCCAACCCTACCCAGCGAGAATTCGTGCTCCAGACTACTTTCCCGAGCAAGGAGCTGAAGGAGATGGACAAGACCGTGGAGGAGGAGAAGCTTGGTGGTGGTGTCGTCGTGCAGAGGTTCATTTGAGCGGGGCAGAAATGATAGAATATGGCAAGAGAAGTTCATGTAAAGTATGAAATCATGTTTTCCAGCTCTTCTGGTATGATGGGCCTGGTGGATCATCATGCCCTGCTTGGGCTACCAGGCCACCAGGGGCCATCTTCTCTGTCACCTGCAAGATTTACGTAACGCTTCCCGTCCATGACCTCCACCATCGAGCTCCGCTTGTTCGCTCGATCCATTCTTGTCTCCATCCACACAAATGTCCTTCTATCGCGCACGTTCACTTCTCTCCCTCTCATTCTCCACCATCCCCTCCCTCCGGATGTCCTTCTCCGCCACCTCTTTCAAGCCCCAGAAAGATGCCCACTGTTCGAGGTATCTCTTCCGACAGCCCAGCCCCGCTGCTTCGAGAGAGAGCCCATGGCCTGTCGTTTTTCTGAGAGCGAAGGGACTTGGTGAAGAGCCCGGAGAGTAAGCCACACATCTACTGATGACCGCCAGAGCTGACCAGATGTCTAGGTGGGCGGACTGGTCAGGCATGTTTGCCGAGAAGGGCTACACAGCCATCGAGATCGACATCACCGCCCCAACCCCTATCGAAGACGCCGAATCCCCTTTCGGTCAAATGTCAAACTCTCTCTCTTCCCAGATCCGGCTCTCCGCTATCCCCTTCCCTCCCATCATCATCGCCCGCGGCCTCTCCACCCTGCTCGCCCAGACATTCATCTCCGACTTTCCCGCCTCGGCTTTGGTGCTCGTCGACCCTGTGCCGGATGAAGACCCTCGGCCAGAAGGTTTTGGTACAGCTCTTGACGGCTCGTCCAAGGGTCAAGGTTGGGCCTGGCCGAAATTCGACTTTGAACCCCACTTCCCCATCCTCCTCATCTCTTCTCAGTCCCAGCTGAACGGACTTTCCGTATCCAACCGCCTCTTGCGCACCCATACCGGCATTGACCCCAACAAGAAGGGGTTCCTTGGGCGTTTGGGTGGGGGTGGTGGTAAGGGCGTGGAAGTGGTCGCGGCGGATGGGCTGGAGGGTGGTCAGTTGGGAGAGGGGGCGAGAGTGGAGGTGGAGCGGTGGATGGACCGATGTGGGTTCTAAGACCGGAAGGAGTAAGAAAATACGAAAGAACGTTTTGGACCAGGCCATAACTGCATGAATGTAGCATTTGAAAGGCTATCCAAGCATTCACTGCTGCCCATAGCATCGTCTGACCCAGATCCCAGATAGCAAGAATTACCCAACGCCAATGAGCTCCTCCCCGCGTTCCTTCAGCTCGATTAGCATAAGCTTTATTGAGGGACGACCACAAGCTCCTCAAGGATACCCAACATGCATGGATCGCTTTGTATCAGTGTCAGGGAGATTGAGATGCCGCCGTTGCAGAGATCTGCATCTGGCCAGTGAAGCTGGCGGCTGGTACATAGAGATATTGTATGGCGCTTCTAGATACGGCGATCTCTTTTCGTGAGCGATCCTCCTATCGTTTTGAAATCCACCGTTCGTGTACCGCGAGAAGGACTTTGGAGTTCTTCCGAACCTACATGCAATCCTGGATTTTAGAGTTGCATCTAGCATGTTGCCGGCCCCTACGCAAAGATTTATCTCCATCTCGTCGTTCCCTTGGCCTGGCTCCGGCCGCTGCTTGCGTCACCATTCAAGCCGTGAATCAAGATCGATCCCCCGAGGGTTTTCTCTTCTTCAACTTGTCCTAGCGCTCATCCGTCGGTATGTCTGGAGAGGAGATCGCTGTTGACGACCACGAGTGCATGGGACATACTCTGCAAACAGCTGCCGTTCAACATTACGTTACACGGTGGACTGTAGTCCTTCTCAATGCATAGTTTAGCATCCATGATGATGCTTCTTGACTCTATCTATGGGTACTATCTGATCGTCTCATTCCCCATACGTACTCCGGACGGCAGGAGGTAGAGAGAGCATGGTGCAGTGATAACCGGACGCTGATGATAGCGGCAAGTGTTATTCAACGCGACACGCTGTCGGTTGATGTCAACTGTGTGTTTTGGCCTCCTTTCGCCTTTTGCATCATTCTCCTTGCCTCTTACAATCCCATTGTTTTTTGTATTGCACGTTTCTCTCTCAACACACACCCACCTCAAGATATGATCCTGACCATATCGTAGTACAGCCTTCAGCGGGTGTCATCGCCACACGTCGCCCTCTCTCACACCGCATTGTCCTCTCCCCTGTATATTCGTCGTTGGACGCGCTCTTCGTCACCGTCTCCGACTTGGCGCCTCGCCCACTCCTGATATCAGAGCTTGTTAGGAGTGTCATGTTGAATGATACGCGAGGTTGTTACCGCTGAATGTTGACCTTCGAAGATTGCGGTATGTTCACCCATGGCATGTAGTACTTGCATGCATATCAGCTGACGTGGATGGTAGAAGATGAACCAGTCAAGGATTATGAGGCGCTGCTCGTCCTGTCAATCAACACGTCGCACATTGGTAATCCATCCCCTTCTCCAGAAGTCAACACCATTCCGCCGAAACACTGCCTACTATGCCCAGCGTCATTCAGCGACACTCAACTTCGACCCAGGACACGCAGCCTCCTTCGCGGATGTCAAGATGCCACCAACCACCGGCGAGCAGAGAGAGGAAGCCCGTTTACAGCCATGGACATAAGAAGGCATGATGACGAAGGGCATCGCATGCTTTTGGATGTTCCACTATCCGCGTGGAGCGTGGCAGCGGCCGGAAGTGGTCGACCAACGAGGCCAACGAACGATTTCTTCTCACGCAAAAGTGCATTGGCTTCAGAGCATGAAGACGATTAAGCATGACCCCGCGGGCCCTTGGATCTCCCCGGCCCCGACTATCAGCCCTATGATCTGCGAGAGACGTCGTCCTGTTTGTTTACGTGCATGCGCATGCCCAATCTTGAATCTGTCTCGGTGGAATCAGCAGATAAAGAGCTGATTAGCTGACGGAAGCGGATGCCCCGCCGCCTCTCCGCCGGGCCTCCACCGATTCGGGAATCGTGTCTCAAATTACCGAGTCTTCGGCATGCCTTCACGTCATGGCTGCTATGCATCTGTTGCAGATGTTTGGCAAGCCACAGTCCATGGTCGGGTAGTGGCCATCTGGTCAAGCGATGGGGAACGGGGAATGGCAGAGGCAGTGTCGAGGGACTGCCCCAAATTCGAGGCGGGTGAGGGGTGTAACCCGGGTTTGCGTTTGGCGAACGGCAATTGGCCCTAGATAGTCGCCGACGCCTGTGCCTCGCGGCGGTGGGTGGGATATATTACTCATCTCTCTGCGACTCTCGGCAAGGTGAAGAAAGGGTTAGCGAAGGCTAGCATGGGTGGGAGCAAATGATCAAGCCACCATGCACGGTAAATGGAGCAATAGATTAACCGCGGAGCCCGGGTGTGCGGTTGCCGGGCCGATGTTGCCGAGATCTCATTGGCCCAGTGATCATTACCGGGAGCCCCCATAAAACCGACGGCGCTCCATATAAAGTCAGCTTCCTGCCGTGCTTTTCTTCCCTCACAATCCATTTCCCATCATCACCACCATGGCTCCCACTTTCACCCACGAGTTCAACCACCCCGGCTACAAGGGCAAGGTCGAGATCCCCACCGGCGTCTTCATCAACAACGAGTGGAACACCTCTCTCGACAAAAGCGCAGAGACCATCGAGTGCGTACCCTTCCGTCTCGGCCAGCTTCCGCTGACCCCGCTGCAGCGTCTTCAACCCCTCCACTGGCGAGGTCCTCACCAGCATCCCCGAGGCCAGGGAGGCCGATGTCAACAAGGCCGTCGAGGACGCCCACACCGCGTTCAACACGACATGGGGTCTCCACACTCCCGGTTTCAAGCGTGGCGAGTACCTCATCAAGATCGCCGAGCTCATGGAGCGTGACCTCGATATCCTCGCTTCCATTGAGGCCCTCGACAACGGCAAGACCTTTGGTGCCGCCAAGGGCTTTGACGTCCCCGAGGCCGCTAGAACTTTCAGGTACTACGGTGGATGGGCCGACAAGATCCAGGGCAAGGTGATCGAGGTATGTACTCTTCTCAATTCTATTTGCGTACCATCGCTGACAATGCACACAGACCTCCAGCGCCAAGCTTGCCTACACTCTCCACGAGCCCGTCGGTGTTTGTGGCCAGATCATCCCCTGGAACTTTCCCCTCCTCATGTTTGCCTGGAAGGTCGCTCCCGCTATCTGCACCGGCTGTACCGTCGTCATCAAGCCTTCCGAGCTTACTCCTTTGACTGCTCTCTACATGACCAAGCTCTTTGTTGAGGCTGGTCTTCCCGCCGGTGTCGTCAATGTCGTTGTCGGGTACGTCTTTCTCCCGTGTTCGCCTTCCTGCGCTCACCATGTCGCAGCTACGGACAAACCGTCGGTAACGCCATCGCTGGCCACGAAAACATTGACAAGGTCGCTTTCACCGGTTCCACCGCCGTTGGCCGAAAGGTTATGGAGGAGGCTTCCAAGTCCAACATCAAGAAGGTCTCACTCGAGCTTGGTGGTAAGGGATCGAACGTCATCTTCGCCGACGCCGACTTTGACGAGGCCGTCAAGTATGCTGCTCAGGGTATCTTGTGAGTGCACCGTCGCCTTGGGAAGGCAAGGGCTGATTGAAATGTAGCTTCAACCACGGCCAGACTTGCTGTGCCGGTTCCAGGATCTACGTCGAGAAGCCCATCTACGACAAGTTCATCAAGGCTTTCAAGGAGACCACCCAGAAGCTCCAAGTCGGGTACGCCCTCATCATCTATTCCAATGACTTCAAGCTGACATGCCGCGCAGTGACCCCTTCGCGCCCACCACCTACCAGGGCCCTCAAGTCTCCAAGACCCAGGCCGAACGTATTATGTCATATGTCGAGTCTGGTAAGGAGGAAGGCGCGACTGTCATCACTGGTGGTGCCCGTCACGGTGACAAGGGCTACTTTATCCAACCCGTAAGTCCTCATCCCCATCTTTCAGTTTATGACTTCATCTCCCGGATTGCCGATCGGTGCCTGGCTGTCGGGCGGCTCTTTTCTCGACCGATTGCCGAGCTTGCGAACTTCCGACTATTCTCTTCTTTGGTTCCATACGCTGACACCTCCATGCAGACCATCTTTGGCGACGTCAAGCAAAACATGAAGATTGTCAAGGAAGAAATCTTTGGTCCCGTCGTTGTCGTCTCCCCCTTCGAGACTGAAGAAGAAGTCATCGCCCACGCCAACGACTCTGTCTACGGTCTCGCCTCTGCCGTCTTCACCTCTAACATCTCGCGCGCTACCCGAGTATCGCAAAAGATCAAGGCTGGTACCGTCTGGATCAACTGTTACAACGAGTTGCACCCCCAGATTCCCTTCGGTGGTTTCAAGCAGTCTGGTGAGTCTTTACTTGTTACGAGTGTCGGTGGATGAAGGTTGATGGGGTGAAATAGGTCTTGGTCGTGAACTTGGTGAATACGCTCTCGAGTCTTACACCGAAATCAAGTCTGTCCAGATCAACGTCTCTGCCAAGTGCGGTATCCCCGCTTAAGCCGATTACCTCGTTGTAAAGTCGTAAAAGGGAAAAGGAGAAAAAGGGTAACAAGAATGCGTGAGAAGTCAAGGAGAAGCAAAGTTGTCAGAAGTCCATTTTCATTTCATCTTTTTGTGCTGGGTGTGTTTGGCAAAACGACCCTTTGATTGTATTATGCCGTTCTAGCTTTTGATACTTGTGTATGCAGTATACGATGAGGTCATATCTCGTGCGGCTGACATGGGGTGCATACTCGAGAACCTGGCACTACGCAGGTACTACGAGTACACGAAACAGGAGGACTTACTGTTTCCTTCTGCGGTCATGGAATACCCATCGCCTGTTTGGTCTGCCATCTTGCGGGTGCTTACAGCACTGGCTAAAGCGAGCTGAGCAATGTCAAAAACTATAGCATCATGCGGCCGTCGGTCAAGGCTGGCAAGTGGAACAACGAAAGTCGTGACGTGGCAGAAAAAGTCTGTTGACGAGCGGACGAGTATGTCCTGCAGTGATCCAGCCTGATCCAGCAAGAGCTTCGTTGTCTCCACCTCAACATACATATAGCATACCGGCTCCCAGCCACACAGATATCAATCGACTGCCGTCCCGTGAATGGTGTCAGTCTGCGAGCATGAAAGACCCGAAGGTGAGCGAATTGAAGGAAAGAGCTCTGCGCAACGCTAACTCCTGGCCAGCTTCCGGTCTGACATCCACAGCTTGCGACATCACGCACCTCCCCTTCCCTCCTGAGGTCACTCTCCTCATATACGACTACTACACCGATGTCCCACTTCCCGGTAGCCGCGAGTACACCGATCTCCTCTGTCTCGACCGAACGACTTTCACGAAAAAGATCAGCGGTCTCTATGAGAATGTCATTTTGAGTTCAAGGAATGTGGAGGCATTCTTCCGGCCGTGGAGGGAATGGTATGCGAAGGCTTTGGGACCACCTGACCCATGGGACTTTCGCCGCCCTGTGCCGAGCGATATGTGTCACATCCGCTCCTTCATCGCCAACACCCCCATCCAGCACCTCACCTTCGCCGACACCACCTCCCTTACCATGACTCTTCAGTTCTACCATGACTGGCAGACATCTGTCTGGTGTAAAGCACGACTATCCTCCCCACATGTCTCTCCCGGCAAGATCTTCCTCCAACTTTCGAGGGTATCTTTCCTAGCCCCTTCCCTGCGTCAATCGTCCATTGATCACGGGCTCTGGCCGAACTTTGGGAGTCTATCCACAGGTCTTTGGCGATGGGTCAGCACTAATTCTGTCTCCCTCCAAGTACCGAAGGAGCCTCTGGATCGTGGGGTGGTTGAAGCCATGTCGGAGTATCTCAAGTGGCAAGAGAAAGCTGGCTTCGAGCTTCTCGTGCTTGACGACGCGGTACCTCAGGACCTGCCGTGGGCGCCGATTGAGGAGCGGATGTCTGTGAAGTATATCACGAAAGGAAGGGAGCTTGAAGACAGACTGGGGGTCAAGGACTCTGTGGCTCTTTACAATCTGAGCCCTCGAGATGCCACTCAGTGGTTGATGGATCTTGCCGAGCGCAGGTAAGTCGTTATGTTCTATGCTCTGATGCAACTGACACTCTTTTTTAGCTTGTATTCTATACCCAGTATATCATCTTCAGTATTGTAATCGTGCCTCATACCCGGAAGCATATATCTTGAACATGCCGCATGGACATATTGCAATCCCTCGCCTTCCCTCATACACCACCGGCTTTCCCCTCTACGACCGCTTTCCAAGCTATCTACACATCTGTAACAGGATGGCTACATGGCAGGCAGTTGCCTTCTACACTCGCCCGCATCAGCCCTTTCCGCCCCTATGTACGACTCCAACGTCCTTTTCACCTCTTCCTTGGACGCCTTTCCCATCGTTGCCTTCCATCCATCTGACGTATCAACAGCCTTTGCCAACGCCTAGACAGAGGCCTGGGTGCACATCTCTCTACCGATATAGACAGAGAGCAATAGCGAACGGGGCGTGAAAGACGAGATAAATAGAGAAGGAAGAGTATCATGGAGATAGCAGGAGAAGTGTTGAAGATGGGTACATCACATCTCTCTTTCCATTCGATCGCAGTCCCTAAAGAAGTCCCCATATGCCAAGCGTATTCTGTATACATGTCCGGGTCATTTAACTCTCATTATCACCACTATCAACAATCAACGGGACAATGACCCCGCATGCACAGGCACCTTCTGCAATATTCTCCTTGCCCTCGCCCTTGCCCGAGATATGCAGATGTTTCGCGATTTCTCCGACGCTGTAAAAAGTCCAGTCATTCCTTGCAGTAATGGCGAATGTGAGAGTGAACTTGTCGAGGATAGAGTTCCAGATCACAATTTGTGGCCATTCCTCCTCTTCATCTTCTCTGAAGAGACATTCAGCTATGGGACTGATACGAATAAATCTTATAAGAAAGACCTACTCGTCACTACGTCTGAATTCTCCAGAACAGTACTCGTAGTCGAAGAGAACATCGTGCTGGCACGCCCTAAATGCTTCAAAGCTTCTTTCTCGCTTGCTCTGGACCGATTCACTTTCGCATGTAGAACTTAGTCACAGAACGCCCAAGATGAAGCTGAGAACATCACGGTCCCTGCTCATTCCTTGCCTACAGCTCTCCTGCAAAGCCTTAAGCCGCAGCTAAACCACGTAAAATCTGCGCCGCCATTCGACTTATCAGTCAACTTGGACGTAGTGCCTAGCAATTTGCTTCCGTTACTCTGACAGTTGACACGTCCGTCGCGCGAAATATGTGGATGCATGTCCCAGCTTGATTCTGCCTCTCTATAATATTCTTGTCATCAGCAGGCATGTCCGAAGCAGACAAGGCAGCGGAAAGAGCCAAGCAGGCTGAAAGAGCTCGCAAACTTGTACGTCTCGTCTACCCACAGAATCCGCGTGGACTGACATGGTACACAGCTGGCGCAGCGGAAGAAGAAGAAGGCTGCTGCCGGTACAGCTACCCCGGGATCACCAGTCTCTGGTATAGACACGGCAACTGTGCCCTCGGCGAGGACAAGTCTGAGCTTGGATGATTCCGCGAGGGCGGAGGTGGAGAAGGGAGAGAAGAACGTGACTGAGGGACAAGGGAACGAGGGGAAGGATGGGGAAGCGGTTGAGAAGGGGGTCGTGGATGAGAAGGAAGAGCACGTGGAGAAGACCGAGAAGGAAGCGAAGGTGGAAGAACCGGCTGTCACTGGTCCCGAAGCTACACCATCGCCCACGCCCGCAGCCGACGATACACCTACCCAAACCCCCGCCGAGCCCTCAGCCGAGACGTCAGAAGCCCCCAAAGAATCCAAAAAGAGCAAGAAGAAGGCGAAGAAGGAGAAACAGGCGGAAGCAGCAAAAGCGGCTGAGCGTGACGAGGCTGAGGATGAGGAGGGTGAAGGTGGTGCCAAAGCGGAGCTGCCGGAGGAGCCTGAGCCCGTGGAACTCGCCCCCGAGACGATAGAAGAGCCGAAGGACGCTATGCCCGTGACAACGGAGACCACCCCTACCCCGAAATCCACAGAATCCCCTCAGACTGCTGAACCGGCATCCCCGGCAAAGCCTTCCCCTGACAGCTCATCCCTCGCAACCCTCCAAGAAACGGTCTCCCTTCTGATCGCCGAACGATCGGATCTCCAAGGGCAGCTCGCCTCTGTCAAGAAAGAGCTGGCGACTGCTCAAGGAGATAGCCAACTGCTGGAAGAAGGGCGAGCGCTCGTAGCGCGCCTGGAAGAGGAGAAGAAGGGTTTGGAAGAGCGGTTAGAAAAGGCAGAGAGTGATGCTGGAAAGGTGGAGGGGTTGGAGAAGGATGCTGCTCGTGCTACGAGTGAGCTTGAGAGTTTGAAGGGTGAGAAGGCGGATCTGGAAGAGAGACAGGCAAAGCTGGAAGAAGAGTTGAGAGTGAGAGAACAAGAAGGGAAAGAAAAGGTGGCAGAGCTGGAAAAGTCTCTGGAGAGATCGAGAGAACGAGAAGGTGGACTCGAGGCCGAGGTCACACGGTTACGGCAGGTGAGTAGTCCCTTATAGCCCATGGCCGGCGCTGAGAGAGTATAGACCAACAACGAGCTTTCCTCTTCACTTGCCACCATCACCGCCGACCTCGATGCCTTAAAGACTTCTTCTTCTGTCACTTCTCAAACTCTCGCCGACCTCCAAGTCGCCCACGAGACCCTGACGTCGACGCACGAATCCCTGTCATCAGAGCACACCACTCTGAAGGGAATGCACTCTGAACTCGACGGGAAGCACTCCGACCTCACCAAATCAAGCTCGGAATTGTCCACTCAGCTCTCTTCCCTCCAATCCACCCATTCATCTCTTCAATCCGAACTCGAGACTGCCAAGTCCAAACTTGGTGCTGCGACCAAGAAGCAAGAACAGACCGAGAAACGAAAAGACGCTTTGCAGAACGACAATGAGGAGCTGGTGAAGCAGCTTGAAGAGGTTAGAGGGAAAGTGGTGACGGCTATGGAGGAGAAGGCTGGGATGGCGGAGCAGGTAGAGAGCTTGGAGAGGAAGGAGGCGGCCTGGGAGAAGCAGAAAGGCGAGCTGGAGCATCAATTAGAAACTCTGACTGCTGAGAGTCATGTGCGTATCGCCTCATATCACCTAAAGCTAAGCTGACAATAGACAGGACATTCACGAACAAGTCACATCATTAGCTGAGGAGAACCGTACTCTGTCCTCTCAGATCTCGATTCTGCAAGAGGAACACACCTCCCTTCAGTCCACCCACTCTTCTCAAAAATCCCTGGTGCAAACTCTCCGCGCCGACATTGCCTCTGCCCGAGCTGCCATCCCCCTCCCCGTCTCTCCCCTCGTCCACACAGACGCCACTCTCCCCGCAACTCCAAACGGCAGAGACGAAGCCATCGACGACCCCGAAAGCATCGCGGCCATCCAAGCTGCCCACGCCCTCGAAGTATCCGACCTGACCTCGCACATCCGCACAATAGAAGCACAGCTCCACGCGCAAATGTCGAAAGTGCACGAATTGTCGAGACAGGTCACGTATTTGCAGCCTGCTTCTCCTTCGTCCTCAAGAACAGCGGGTGCGAGGGGATACTTTATCTCACCGGCTGAAGAGCGACCTGGGTCGCCTGGTTCGGCGGTTGTGTCACCGGGGACGCCGAGGAAGAGGCTCAATCCTGTTGATGCTATTCTTCCTGCTGCGGTCCGCCATAAGAGACAAGTCTCGCTCACGGCATTGAAGGCGAGGATGGAGGTATCGTCTCCGAAGGCGTCAACCCCTTCAAAGATGAACTTGGTATCAGAGAGTGCAGAGGGCGAAGGCCGTAGAGGAAGTGAGACGGGAGCCGAGAGGGTGCACGTGCAGCAGAGGATCCAGTTTGGAGAAGAGATCATGTTCTGTTGCCCTGCTTGTGACGGTGATCTTATCACCTTGTAAGGGCGCCTCTTGTAGGGCGGGACAGTTTTTGGGCGTAGAGATCAGAAGGCACTATGCATACATACATCTATATGAAGTTGATGATTTTGACAACAGCATTGACAGACTCGATTATAGAGAGTATAGTCACAGTCCAGATCGGTCTAGCCCAGGAAGACATCATCGTCGATTTCAATACCAAACTCCTCTTTGGCCATGGTCTCGAATTGCGCCTGGAGTCTTTCCTCCCAGTCACCCTTTTCCCTCGGCATGATTCCTAAGACATGTATCAGTATCCTCCACCACAGTAGCAGATAAGGGACCCACGCTGCTTGAGAGCATTCGCCCAGAAAGCCAAATCAAAGAACCCCACCGTCACTCGAAAGATCACATCCTCCACTCTTTCCCTCATCCAGACCCACCACCCCACAATATGCAATGACCTTGAACCAGTCAGGGATCGGGTGTACCCAATGGAAGCCCATTTGGCGGTAATGTTGATACGGGAGGAAGGCGAGCCAAGGAGTTGGTTGGCGGCTTGCATCATGCGTTGACAGCGGGTGAGGAAGATGAGTTCCTAGAATCACTATCAGTGGGTGAACACGACTGCTGAGTGGGGCGACGTACACGAGGGATGAGCTGCTCGTTCTCCAACATAGTCTTCAACCTTCTCTTCAGCTCCACCTGCTGAGCATACTGGTCTTGCTCCGCCGTGCTTCCGGGTGCTGGAGATGCAGATGAATGCTTGCCATGGTGAAACACGCCGCCTTGGGGCTCGGGCTTTGGGGCAGCTTTCTTGTCACGGTTGTTGACTTGGAAAGGTCGGAGGAGGATGGCGGATGCAAACCTGTCGGTATCGCTTAGTATGGGTCACGCTACGCAAGGCATGTATGGCTGTTGCCGGGCTTACAGGTTGGGATCCAGGGCGATACCCCATTTCCTCGCTATCGTCTCTATCTTTGGAACATCAAGAACAAACAACGATCTCCACAGCGTACAATAATCTTCTCTGAATTGCCGGGGCAGATCGATATACAGGCCGTGATCTATCAATATCTGTTGTTCCGTCAGCTCGTTAATGTGTCTATGAGTGCAAAGAGATATTCGAACGAACAATTTGAGGCTTGCCCTTTTTGGTGGGATGCGGTCTGACGAGGATGTTGCCTGGATGAGGATCGCAGTGTACGAATCCCCAGGAAAAGGTCATGGCGGACATGGTGGAGATTGTGATATCCATCACTTCGCGTACATTTAGACCCCAGTCCTCAATCTGCTTCTTATCATTGAGCCTGACCACTCGGTCAGCGATCACTTTACCCGAGAACGAAGCGGACTCACCGGCACCCGTCCACCCATTCCATGACCATGACCCGATCGCTCTCCTGACAGCCTTCGTCTTTGCCATAGACTCTGGGTACGTAGACGTCATCCCGAAGTTCCGGGGTCTGTGCTAGCAGATCGGCGCAGCGACGGGCGTTGCCGGCTTCGTGGATGAAGGAGGTTTCGTATCGCATTTGGTCGGATACGTATTTGGCGCTGGGGAACAATTAGTCATGTCGCGGGAAGAGACGCTCATATCGGACTCACACAAAGTACACTGGGAGATATCAGCGATGATCTCAGAGAGAGATAGGAGGGACTCACTCGGCATGTCGAATAGTTTCTCGGAGAGCCACATCAAGGCACTATGGTACAGTCAGTAGTAGTATGGACAAATATTATCACTGTGTGCGTACCGGTAGCTGAACAGATCCCACTCCATTTGAAGAGATATCTCTGGCTTCTGTACCTTGACAGCTACAGGCTTGCTATCTTTTTCGTTCCCCACACCCGGTTTGAGGGTCGCCTTGTGCACCTGGGCTATACTGGCTGTCGCCAAAGCTTCCTCCGAAAAGGTCTCAAAGATATCCTCCGGCCTGACCCCCACGTCCTTCATGAAGACTCCTACTACCTCTTCATACGGCACTGCAGGAGCACGATCAAAGACATGGCCAAACGCTTCACGATATGGCTTTGGCAGGAGGGCTGCTTGGAGGCCGAGAGCTTGGCCGAGTTTGAGGTAGAGGCCTTGATTGGTGTCAATGACCCATCGGAGGCGATTGGCGACTCGAGAGTGGAGAGCTTCTATCTGATCGGCTTTCGAGGGAGCAAAGTTGATCTTGTCTACAGTGCAGTCAGTCGTCTGACCTCTCTACTGGAGGTGAATCGGGCTCACAATCTAGTGTGCACACAATTCTACATTCATTGGTCAGCCTCTATCCATCGTGGGTCTCTGCCTTCGGCTGCGATGACTTACCCGATATATGCAGTTCTCAAGCTTCTTCCAACGGCACTGGCATTGTACTCCTTGTCATACACATACAGAGTACCTCCCAGTGCCCCTGCTATCAGTAGTCTTCGCCCCCAGACTTGCCCACGCGACCGCCGATGATTCGGCCTCGTCGAGGATGCTGGCGATGGAGGGGGCAGTGGCTGAGAGGCAAAAGGGCGAATTCCCCTGGGTAGAGCGTGCCGAATATAGGGGCGGGGAATGAGCATTTCGAGATGAAAGAAGAGATGCAAAAAGGAGATGGAGTGGACAAAATCAAGTGGAGGCGCCGATGCCCAGGCCTTGACGTAGTGCACCGGCACACCGGCCGCCGACAGCCTGTCCGACAGCCGTTCAACGTTGAACCGCCGCCACAACTTCACTGCCCATGATTCCAATGAGCAAGAGCTACCTATACAACTACACCCATCGATTCTGGGTACAGCAATGGTAGAGAGTCACTTCATATCATAGGCTATGTACCTATGCTATCGAATTGACTCTACTCAGTTTTTTCTGCTTCTTCTTGGCTCATCGCCACTGCACGTCATACCACTTCCGGTCCTCTTCTCTGGTCCTTATGAGTATTCGGTATTGATAGCCTCAATGAGAGTGTCCGCCCTTATCACTAGGGTTAGCTCCTATACGTGGGCTGTTAGAAAGAAGAAGACTTTTCAACTTACAGTTCGGTGGGTACGCTCTGGAGGACGCAGTCCGGTTCGGCGCACGAGCAGAGTCTGTCGTCTCGGCGTTCGAGCGTATGATCCTGTGTTGCGTTAAAGTGCTCTACAGTCCATGTTCGGCGGTCTCGATCGGGCACATAGCGCGACAAGAGGGTGAACGTCACATCATCAGGACCATTTGTATCGTAGAGGCTTCACAGGGTTCTTGTCAGTAGCCATTTCTTCCAGATTCTTCCTCGGACTTACTTTGCATAATACTCCCTCACCCCACTTCCCGGGAAGTCGGTATCAATAGAAGGGTTAATAGGGTCTTTGAACACGAAATCGCTGTCCTTCTCGTACACGGCCCCATCCCGAGACACAGCTGTGAAACTGACTCTCTCCCAGGGATCAAGACAATAGTCAGTGTGGTGTGCGTCGGGGATGGTCAAAGAAGCTGAACGATCAGGACGGTCTACGGCACCTTCTGATGCTTCGAGGGGTGCAACGGTTGGCGTGATGTAAATAACTGTAGGTTGCTGAGCGGACATGTTCTTGTTTGTTGGATACGTATATTCTGCCATGGAACAGCTCATTTTGAGTGCTATATATACGTACATGCGGTACCTCCAATAGCAACATGGCACCAGTACAAAAGAGAGACGATGAAGTAATATAGTGGTCGTATCGACCAGGCTCCGATGCATTCACCTCATCATCCATCCATCGCTGGCGCATGAGAATCAAATGAAGTATTAATACATGTCTCAAGGATGCTTCTGAAATCCATTGTTAATATGTAGGACGATTTCACAGTGATCTACAAAAGAGAGACCATGAAGTATTGCAGTGGTCGTATCGACTAGGCTCCAATGTGTTCACGTCACCATCCATTCATCGCTGGCGCCGAAAATCCAATGAAGTAATACATGTCTCTCTGAGATCTATTGTTCTATTTGTAAGACAATCTCACAGTGATCTTCCTTGGTCCGGATGGTGAACATCTCAATTGCTCGATGATTGAATGAAGTGATCGAAAAACAAGCAGTGATCGACAAGAAAGCCTTCTCGTAATCGTCGACAAGCCTTCTTTGAATGTACGTTACGTGAATGACCCTACTCGGATGTTTTCGACACGAAGAAGACGAAGTATGTAACTCAGATCGTGGTTCCAGCATCTAGTCGTCCGCGTACCTCTAGAAACATATCCATATCCCCACTTCCTTGCGTTATCATGAAGGCTGTGGACTACATACACGACAATATGCACAATGTACCAATTCGGATGGATGACAAATGAAAGAGAAAAGATCTCCAGAATGATAGCCAGGTCTGCAGCCTCCAACCTTCCACCATGCCAGCTGCTCCCAGAGGTCACATCCCCAGGCCCCAGCGGTGGACCCGAAGGCCCCGAAACGTCTCCAACCAGATCCAGCCTTTTTCCTCGGAAAAATAATTACAAAAGCGATAGGGGCTTATAGGGGGGGCTGCTGAGGCTGATAAGCAATCGCCTGGAGGCGTTCAAGCTTCTTTGCGGTTGGCTGATAGGGGGAGGCTGTTGAGGCTGATAAGCAATCGCCGGGAGGCGTCCAACCTTCTTTGCGGTTATTCCTAGGTGTCCTAGGAGATAGCGCCGCAAGCATGAACCTTATTTTACTCTTCTTTTCGTTTGTGTCTCTTTATTTACGCACCTGTGCATGTTGGCGACAGATGGGCATCCAATGAATGTTTTGGAGCAAGTAGGAACATCATATGTATCGAGATCATCGCATCGATCTTTGGTAGATAATCGAAACCTTCAACTGCCAGACAACCTTTTGATAAAATGAGAATAAGGTCCCAAACCCCAGGTGTCACCCTCGGTCCGAGACTTTCTCCCGTTTTCTGTTTGTCTCACATTCGTCTTGCTCTCCTTGGCCGTCTTCCTTCAATCATGTGTTGACGCGTTTACAGCTTTGACGCGTGTTTGAGGTCTGAACACTGAATAGCGACTTCAATATGTAGTGAGGAGAGGAGGCTGCTGAGATGATCGAGGACATGAAGACAGATAACTTGTGGCGCTGCAGGGGTATGTACGGCGGGTCCGTATCTGTGCTTTGCGTACGCGTATGTGAAATGGTGCACAAGATGACCTTTTGTTTGGTTCTATCCACCTGCAAACATCATTTTCATCGTTCAACGTCTCACGAGGGAAACTTTCAGTTTCGACTACTGGAACCTGCCAGATAGCGCTAATGAATCATGAATGAGAGAGGATTCAACACCATCCTCGTGGGCCTCGTGGACCTCGTGGACCTCGTGTTGCCAAAAGGCCCCACATGCTTCTTGACCTGCTGGTATTCCATTCTGGTACTGTCTAGTAGGCGGTTGTGAGACTCGCAATGGACGGTCATCCTCTCGAACATTAGAACTTGGCGCCATGAGAAGAAGAGACACGAGTTGCTCGTACAAACAGTATGTAGGAGTTATAGGAGTGCAGCCCAAACTACAATAGTGATCGACGGTTTGACAGCAGAGTTTGCCATCCGGCCGTCTCCACTCGAGTGGATGAGGAACCAAATAAAGACCTGCCACCACTTTCCTTGTCCTGTTGTTGTGTGTCGATAGTTGTGGGCGGTGACGAGACTGGAGCTCAAGGGAAGACCATGTGGAAAGCACGTGAAAAGGGGCTACATGTTGGACAACGACGTCGTCTCGAAACCGTTCGAAGAATCCGTGACATTGCGCAGCCACAGTTTGTCTTGAAATGTCGCCATTTCGTGGCCGAGATGCCGGACACGCCTTTTGGCAGCGAAATGCAGCGACGAAGTGTAAAATGTAAAACGTCGACGACGGAAGCGATTGCTCCGAACTGTATGTAGCTTTTTCGAGTTGCCGGACAGACTCTTAGATCGCACAAACAACCAGGCCAAGATCTCTTCCAACATTGTGGATCATAAAGCGTGGCATTTTTGTGTTCATGTCTGCCGTCCAGGCTAACGCGACTTGCGACAAACCGCCAAGCAGCGCCCGGAGGAGATGTCACCACAGTGGGTACGTACTCGGCTCTACTGCCTGCTATGTATCTACTACCTCCTCCAAGAACCGCGACGAACTGAACCAAAGTGTGAGCAAAGGAAGAAGAGCAAACAAAGATGCAAGGAGAAAAGGAGAATATAACAAATAGGCTTTGAGGCGACCCGGGTGTTCGGCGCAGGGCGGCTCTCCCATTCTCGCGCATCGCCTGCATTGATCGGAAAAGAAAGCATTAAGCTCCTGGACCCTGGCTTCATATGACACGGACCTGGTCTTGAAGCTCCTGAGAATTCACAAAAGAACCACTGCTAATTTTTGCAGCATTTTTGTAATCAACCCCCGGCTGTGTTTGTAATGCGACGAGCAGAAAAACAAATGCTAAAGACTCTCTAGCGCACCGCCCAAAATGTATTAATAGGGGCTATGTGATGTTTACCTGCGTCCCCCTGCTCACTCAACATCTCTCTCTGCCCCATACACCTCTGACCACTCGCACCACTTGCCCGTCGCTCTTTACCACCTGCACAGATCTAAAACTCGATTCGCCCAGCCAAACGGCGTGACTTGCAGCGTCACGTAAGAGAAGCCCGCCGGTAGCAGTAATTCCTTGCCCTACGCTAGTAGTTCGCTTTCTGCCTCCCTCGACCTCCCGTCCCGGTATGTACGTGAACAAATTGGCCTGGCGCGACAGCTCACTTTTTTCCAGTCTACAAAAGACCTTGGCCCTCCAAGGCCTGCCTCGTCTGCCCCCCTTTATCCCCCACCCCGTCACCCAGTCGTTGCACGGCCGCAACACTCGACTTGTAAGTGATCTCGCGCCGTCTCAAATTGCCCGAATCTGTCTGACGCCGTGCTCCCACCAAGGGTGTCATACTCCCCTCCAGGCAGCACGCGTACTCCTCTCGTTTTTGGGGCAACCGACCGGGGATATTTTCCCGTCCAACCCAAGCGTACATAGGCCACTTTCCTTTTATCCACTCCTCACGAGTCACCCCGGTCACACCCCCCACCCGCCCGCACTCTTTCACCAATCTCTCTTCCGCCTCTCTACAATGTATGGTCGCCTCTCCCCTCCCACCACCAACCGCCCATTTGAAGTCGAACCACGAAGAGCCTTCAGCCTCCCCTCCATCGCCATGCCGTTCTACAACTCCAAACAGTACTCCCCCATCCTCCCTTTATCCAACTCCTCCCCCTACTCTCCCGTGCCCACACGCATGAATGCCAGGAGACTGTCATACGGTATCAAAAGCCGCGCATCGCACTACTCCATCCCCCTCTCCATCGGCACTTTCATCACCCTCGCCATCTTCTTATTCGTCTACACCCGCCCCGACTCTGAATACGCCCGTTTCCAAGCCTCCAAACTCTCTATCCAATCCCGAAGCCAAGAGCGCAGCGATCTTGCCAAGGAGGTTGCGGCGCATGAGGAGCATGTGCCGGATAGGCATATGGACAATGGCGTGGGCATTCTGGTGAATGAGGACGAGTTGATTGCGGAGGACGATCTTTTCTGGGATTCGTACACGGAGGCGGAGCCGCTGTCGGCGGAAGAGGCTGCTGCCGAGGCAGAGCTCGAAGCCCACCGTGCCGACGTCTTTGCGCGCAACACGGCCGACTCTCTCCGTGCCCTGGTCTGGTGGCTCGCCGAGGGCGGTATCCTCCCCAACAACTGGGAAGTGCCCACCAAAGCCCAGCTGAAGAAGATGGGGAGCAAAGGATTTGAGAAGCTGTTGACGGAGATTGATCATGGTGATGAGGAGCAGGAGATCTTTGAGGATGGATGGGCAGACTTTGCCAACAGGCGGTACAAGATCGTCGTCTTCTCCAAGGTGAGCTCTTTTCTCCTTCTCGTGTGAGCGTCCAACTGACAGATCGCTAGTCTTACTGCCCATACTCGCGTAACGCCAAAGCCATCCTCGCTCAATACCACCTCTCCCCCGCACCCTTCTTCATCGAGCTCGACCATCGATGTAAGTCACTCTCCGTCCCATCATCTGACAACCCTCATGACTGACACCCTGATGTAGCCGATATGAACTCTCTCCAAACACTTCTCCACCACTTTACCGATCGCCGCACGGTACCCAACATCCTCCTCGACTTTGTCTCCAACGGCGGGTCGGACGACCTGACGCTGCAACATGCCGAGGGAGGGCTGCAGCAGAAGTTTGAGGATATGATGGTTATCTAAACTTGATGGCTCTGCCGCTGGTGAAGGAGATGAGGGAGCCTGAAGAAGAAGAGAAGGAGAAAAAGGAAGAAGACGAAGATGGTCAAACAAGATACGGGTCCAAGGACATTCAGCTTCAATTCCCCACCAATTTTCTTTATACCGCGTTACCCAGGCAGCCCTGCGAGGCTCAAATCACCCTGTTGTCAGATTAGAACAATCAACAACCCCCCTGTACAAAAGAGCCATATACCCCGATATATCTAGTTTGTAGCATCGAATCAATACAAGGCCTTCTCATGCATGGTCGTCACATGTCGCGCACCGTATGTCTGTAGTTCGAGGCTTGCGATGCATTATGAGAGAGGTGCAAGTTGACCGTCTACATGTGACAGATTACGTCTCTAGATGTGACAGACTACCACCTCCGTCTACTGCCACCCTGGAACATCCTCAAAACCCCTCCTCGTCGAGTGGCTAAAGCCCCCAGCAGACCATACATGATCCCTCCAATATGACCAGCCGAGTCTGTTCCAGAGTTGGGCCTGAAGAGCGCTCCATAGAAATCCCACTGTTCTTTCCATCAGCCCCCGCTCAACCAGCTCACCAACTAGACCCAGGACATGAAAGACTCACAGCAAACATTCCAGAGATGGCGAGCCATACAGGCATGGGGACAATAAAGAACATGAGCACAGTGCTCTGGGGAAACATGGCACCGTAGTATGCCAAGCACGCGTAGATGGCGCCGGAAGCGCCTTCAGAGCCCCACCATTGGTGTTTGGACATGCGGTGGTAGCCGAGAGAGACGAGAGAGGAGAAAGCACCGGCTATTGGAATGTCAGTATAAGGATATGAGGAAAGGAGGGTGGAAAGAGACGTACCACCGAGGTAAAGGCCGAGGAAGTTGGCGGTACCGAGAAGACTGAATATGGATGAGCTTGGGCCGGTGGGACGCGTGAAGGACTTACCCGGCAGCAGCAGGGGCAACAAAGTAGAGGCCCAAGCAGTTGACGAGAATGTGGGTTCCGGAGCTATGGGAGAAGGCGCTGGTGACGAGGGTCCATCTGCAGATACGAGTCAGTGGCGCTCATGATTCCCTCAGACGTCAAGGCTCACATTCTTCCAGCGAAAACGTTTGCCTCATTCAAGATAAAGTTGTTCCTCAAGAAGTAGAGCAGCGTTGGATCGCGAAAGCGTTGCTGCAAGTGTATGCGTCAGCTTCTGATACTTGACTCATCTGGACTCCACTCACAGCCGATTGAAGTGCATACTGCCAGAGCAGGTAGACACCTCCGTTAATGCCTATCAAGGCATACACAAGCGTCATCGGCGGTATTCTGTCGAGGCGCTGCTTGACCCGAGACCACCAATTGCTACCGCCACCATTTCCACCACCATAGTAGCCGCCGCTGGACCGTTTGTAGTATCTATCTCTGATAGCCGATGGTGGAGATGAGGAGATCAAACGCTTTGAGATGGATAGTGATGACTGTGGGCTGGCGAGAAGACGAGAGATGGGTGAGCGGTTCGAGAGCGGTCTGCTCGGCATGAAGGAGCGAGAGAGGGCGGTGGTGGAGATGCTCTGGGCCAGTCTGGTGTTGGTGGAAAGTCGTTGACACCTCTTGAGGGTATGGCCCAAGCCAATCGTTGCTCTGGGGAACATTTTTTAGTTGCTAGAGCTTTTGGAATATGGAAAGAGTGGTCAAGAACGGCCATGTCTGGGTAATGTGCAAGCGTTCAATGGTCGGTCGATAGGCGGATGCCGCCGAAGATGCTTTTCCGCCGATGAGGTTGATCCTCGCTGATTGATATGTGATTGATGGCGGATAGCCGGGCTTTCTTGGTGCTTTCCGAGTGCTTTCCACGGCTCCATATATACTCTCTCCCTTTTCAAGTTTTCTCTCTTTCATATCAACACAATCATCTTGTGAATCGTGTCACCAAATATATTCGCAACATCTAAAGACCCTTTTGCTGTCGTCCAACTCGCCCGTTTTTGCCCCATGGTAAGATGCTCGCCGTCACTCCCGATAGTTGTCGGCTCTCATTCTGACACGTTCCACAGGCTGGATTATGAAACCCACCCTTGATTCCGCAGACCTCACTGTATTACCTCTCCCTTCCGAGGTCATCTACATGATATACAACGAGTACCTCGAGTCAGTGGTCCCCGGCGAGCGTGCGTTCACCAACTCCCTTCTCCTCTCTCGAGCACTCTACGAACTGCGAGCGCCCAAGCTATACTCTACAATCACCCTCAATGCACGCAACATCGACTCTTTTATTCGCCCTTGGAAATCATGGTTCTTCGGAACCTTTTTCAACCAGGATGAGAAAGTCGCCGGATATTCCTGGAAACTGGACGTACCCCTCCGCAGCGCCGTCTGTCCCGTTCGCCGTTTTCTCTCATTCACCACCATCAACAGCCTGGTGTTTCAGGATATCTTTGCGCTTTCCCATTTCTGGAACTTTCTGTCATGGACCGCCTTCTTTCCATGGAATCTGTACTGCATTTCCGACCCTCGGACGTCTTTTGAGTTCCTGGCCACTCAGCTTCCAGTCATAGCTTTCAACGCCCCCGCATTCGAACATTCTACCGGCACCTGCATGGTCTGGTTGCGATACTTGGAAGGATCTCTCCCCCACATCAGAGCTAGGAGTTTCCACATCAACATGCCCCACGCCGGGCTAACAATGATCGTAAATCAGAGTTTATCGGCCCTTTTGACAGCAGCGGGGAGCACACTTGAGACTGTGCTGGTTACCAACTGCATCAGTCCACGGGAATTTGGATGGTGTCCTCCCCGCAAGACAGTTGGCATATATTTCGAACTTCCGACTTTGCTTGACGTATCTGAAGAGTTGAGGCTGGGACAGACGAAAGAAGATCAGGCACTTGCGGAACAAGATAAAATGATACTCGTAAAACGATCTTTAGCGAAGAGTTGTGCAGGCTATCTCTACCATGTTCTCTCCTATCCGTTAGCATCATTTGTTTCTTGCCCTTCACACAGCACTGATAATATTATAGAGCGGGACGTAGACCACTTATTGGCTTTTGTCAGCCACATTTTACTGTAAAAGAATTCAACGATGCTCTCGGGGGTTCCAAGCTTCCTCCACTTTGCGTTAGACAGATGCTGGGAGAGTCTGAAATCATTGATGTGGATTTGTTTTGGAAGGAGAAGTTAAGGGATCCTGTTTGGACTAGGCTTGAGATGAGGCGTTGATGTCGAGATGTATATGATGAGCGCCGACGTTCAGGGGCGCACGAATGACAAGAACGGCAGCAGTGTCCTCCAACGTCTTCTGATGTGATCACTGAAATTAGGCGACACGAGAACATACACGGCCCGAATCGTTTGGAATATTGGCATATAAGTCGCATTATAGATCTAGAGTAATGTGATTGTCCAGAGATAATAAACAGCTCCACGCCTCATATTAGTATCTACTAGAGCAAAACCCAAACGCCCATCAGACCGCCTACTAAGCATGCTACACTCTTTACTGGTAAGGCGTGCAATTTGGTTGCAGATGAAGTAGTCTGTATCATCATATCCATCATCAGCATCTGATAGTCCGAAAGAAGACACAGAGGAAGATAGGGAAAAGGCTCACGAGACCGAAGATGACAGACGGTGTCTTGAGTCTCGGCGTACCGGAGGGAGAAAGGGTCGAAGAGGCGTGGTAGGTAGGGAGGGGGTTGCTTGAAGACGATACCGATGTCGTTGAGAGAGATGAAGAAGAGGATGAAGAGGCGATGGAGGAAGTGGGTACTCCAGTAGCCGATGAAGAATCTTGTGAAGAGTCCGACGGCGTGCTGGCACCGTCTGTCGAGGTAGACGTTGTAGAGGCCTCGGCCGCAGCCACGACCTCACTAGTAGTTTCTGCAGATGAAACGACCATAGTGGAAGTGACAACCTGCCCACTCGCTTCCCCATCCGTAGCCACCGAAGTGACCACCACCGTCTGCGTCTGTGCCTCCTCCTTCACCGTCGTCGTCCCCGCCGCTGCGCTAGTTACGACAGTACTCGTTTGACCAGCCTTGGCGGAGGAAGTGGTGACGATAGTGGAAGAGGTGGCGTCGGGATCGGGGTTTTTGGAAGCGAGGGAGTAGAAGGAGATGTATCCCCAGCCGCCGCATTCGTATTGGGCGTTGCCGGCGCAGGTGTAGTTGCAGTTCTTTTCGTCGACTCGTTGAAAGTTGGAGAGTCTGGAGCCGCACATGCATTGGTCGGCGTCGGCTGTGAGTGTGTCAGCGAAAGGTCATATGTGGGATGGGTCCACGTACCGAGGCCGGCGAAAGGGAGCCCTTGATTGTTGCAATAGGTGACGCAGACGACGGGCGTCATTCCACTACTTGGATAGACTGTAGTATGATCAGTCATCATCTTTTCCAACGGTAAGCCCGAGTATCGCTTACTAGTCCAGTTCAAGATACGTTGTCCCTCTCCTTCATAAAGACATCCGACGTATTCCCAGCCGGAAGCCAAAGTCGGCACGTTGACAGCGAGGACAAGAGGTATAAATGTCAGGAGGACTGATAAGGCGGCGAGCATGGTGTGAGAGAAGTGAAGAGTCGAAGGGAGATATATTTGATGGGATCTGGAATGGATAGCCGCCAGAAGGATAGCACAGAGCAGCAGGTGGTGGTGAGGTCGCGAGGAGACCGGGTTCTGAAATTATAGAAATAGTAGGAGTATCAGTGTAAGACAGGTAGATGTGAGATGCAGGAAGGGAGAGATTTGAATCACTTGCCTCGGTCATCCCGCATCTCTTAGCCACCTGTGTACATAGTCCACATCCTACACGGGCAGTACTCCTCACCTTTCGGCGTGTCAGGCTTCAGGTCCTTTATCAAGCAGTTCTTGCTTGATACACACACACGAATGCCATATTCTCACGGCGTTCTACCGGAGGCATATATGCGAGATCCTACAGTATACCCCGGAGCCGCCCAAAGACAGTGAAGCGCGCGTGACACGCGTATGTTGTCGAGCTTGCCTGGTTGCAGGGCCTTGCTGCCAAGGTGTCGGACAAGATGGCGACTCAACCCCATAGCCTCAAGCATCAGTCAACAGTGGCACAGCAAAGGGACAGACATGTGATGGATTGGAAGTGTTTGGAAGGACTGAGTGGGAAGGCCGAGTGTGGTGTGTCCGTGATGGGTCTACCCTTAGCATGGCGAGGCTGGGCTGGGCTTGACAGACTGTCAATGCGAGGCAAGGCATGCACACCTGGTGTCGTAGAAGGTCCGGAAAGATATAAAGAAGGAAATGGTTACGATATACAACAAGTCAGAACAATTGAGTATCGGCGTAAAGCCGTCGGAAATATCACCGCCCGGATACGCGACGCGACGCGCACAACTCATCTCCTCTTTCCATCATGTCTCTTTCGAATTACGCCATCCCCGGCGAATCCTAGACAATGTCTGCTCCAAGAGACGACCGGAGTGATGGGCGCCCGGTGAGCACTGCCGGCCGAATTCTCGATCGCAGCTGACAGAGGACGCTGCTAGGTCTTTGTGGCTGAGACAGAGGATGTCCGAGAGTTTGCGAGGTTATTGCGAGGGGTCGGACTGAAGCATGTGTGTTTGATCCACCTCGGGAGACTATCGCATCGCTGATAGTCCCAGAACGCCATAATGGAAGTCCAGGAAAGCATGATGATCGTGACCGTCGAAGATTCGCGGACGCTCTGCGGTAAGCGTTCACTGCTCCGTTGTATCAGAAACTGAAAATCTCTCAGCCTTATCATACATCCCGACATCTATATTCAGCACCTGGACATTCCATCAGCCCACAGATGATCCCCCAATGTTTGAATTCTCTCTCGATTCCATGCTTCAATGTCTGAACATCTTTGGCAACGCCGGGTCTTCTGGCAAAGATTTTAACATCAAAGCCAAGAAGAGATGGGCTGGAGAGGGTGATGGTCTGAATCTCGGAGGGGAAGAGAGGGAAGATGATAGGCGGTTCACGAGGGATAAGAGGGGAATGACGGGTATGAGGATGGAGTGGATGGGACCGGGGTATGAGCTTACTTTGCTCTTGTACGGTTCAATACGATCATGGCTTCGTTATGGAGAGGTAGCTGACATCAGTGTAGACAAGATGAACACAAAGGCCCGACAACGACTTGCTCGCTGCGGACGCTCGAACCAGAAGAGATCCTCAATCCTCCATTCCACCTCGAAGATCTGTAAGCCCCTCTACCTGCTCTCAAGACTGTAGTTGACATGCCACGCCAGCAACCTAAACATGATCATGCAATCCGAATCCTTCCGCAACGCTCTCCTCGACCTACCCCCATCCTCCAGCCGCATCACCATAACCGCCAAACCGCCTTACAATGGCGAAGACTCCGAGGACGACCGAGCAGCCGACGCCGACGAGTCTGATGCCAACGTGCGGCGAAGGCGAAAGGTCAGGCAAGAGCAAGGGCAGTTCATCATCAAGGCGGAAGGTGATCTGGGGACTGTGGAGTTGGAGCACCCGAACGATCGGGATATCATGCAGTCGTTCGCTTGTGTAGAGGGTGGGATGACCTTCAGGTGAAAATTCTTCTGTAAAAGGAAAGGTACAGGGACTGATCATTTCAGCTACCACTCGGTACACTTTGCGCACCTCGCCAAAGCTCTTCAAGGCTCTATCAAGATCTGTCTACAGATAGACGACGAGGGGGTCTTGAATGCGCAGATTATGGTGGCAGAAGGAGATGGTATCGGCGGACACCGTGGATTACTGGAGTACAAAGTGAGTTTTTCGGTCTCTTACGATGTGACCCGGTCACTGATACTGCTTTAGCTGCAGGCGCTCGAGGACGAAGCGGAATAATAGATCATTCATTCATACACATTTCATGCTCATTGTTGTACCATACACCTGACTCACACTCATGCACTTCTGTAGCCACCCCGCTCAAGCCGTAGCGACCACAACATTTATCTCACACTGACCATTTTGCAGGGGTGCTTACACCATCGCGGCAGTCGCATCCAGATAATTAATCACCGACTCCAAAATCCCCACGTTCCATCTCTGTGCACTCTGACTTTTCTCCAGGATTAACAAAGCCACCCTCAACCTCCCCGACGCACTCGCCAGCCACTTCCTCGAGCGTTCATTCAACTGCTCCGACCTACGCGCTTCATCGAGTTCTAACCTTGCCATCTTCATCGTCTCGTTGATCTCCTTCGTCTCGGGGATATGCTCCAAAATAGCCAGGGAGCGGGAGACGGTATTCTTCAGAGCGTTGGTTCGATTAGCGTTGGTCAGGAAGGTGGTGATTCCGTCAGTGACGGCGGTGGATATGCATTTTTGGCCGGCGGCGGTTGAGATGTCGACCCGGCCTTTGCGGTAAGGTGGTGAGGAGGAGTCGGAATCCAAAATGGAGTAGTCGGGGGCCCTGCGATGCCAGGAGTTGTTTGCAGCTTGGGCGGCGGCGGTGGAGTTGGAAGTGGGGTTGGGGTTGGAGTTGGAGGTGAAGGAGAGGCTGCTCTCTACGAGCACACTGAGAAGGGATTCGATGTTGACAGTCTGGCGCCGATGGACTGGATGAAGCGTCAGGGCGAACCACGTTGGGGTAAACAGGGATCAACGTACTGTATCGGAATCCATTCCATCACCCGCCGACACCAGTGCTGCCAAGACTTTATCGAGCTTCTGCCGTACTTCATCGCTAGCTGCTTTGGAATCCTATCACAATATCAGTAAGAGTGTCCATTTTGAGGGAAGACGGTTGGGACGCACGCTGACTAAAGAATCAGGCAGTCTTCCGCCCTCACTCATCGTAATCTGCCCTTCCGCCATATAGGCCAGCAAGTCGCTCAAAAGCGTGTTGGGTTCGGACTGGATGCGATAGATGGTCGTATCTATATCGTCAAGTCTTTGAAGAATGCGGTTGGCCTGAGAGGAATTATGCTTGTCAGCTCGAGTCTCCTAGGGAGGTGGGAGGATACGTACCAGTGTGGGCCTTGTGGGGAAGTTCGGCATCCTCATCCATCGTGTCCTCGACAGCCAACCCCCCGTCGGGTTCGGAAGGCACCTCGGACCATGTGAAGGCGCTGGGCTCTGCCGTTGCGGCGCTTGGACTGGTGGTACTCGAGGCCATTGTTTTTGTGTGTATGAAAAGGAGAAATGAAAAGGGGAGAAAAGATTGAGGATGGAAAAGAGATGAGCGGGTATATATGCGTGTGGATTAGGTGGCAAATAGCGGAAAGACTGTTGTGGCGGCTGGGCCTGGATGTACGTACGTATACAGTACGAGTATGCGGCAAGAATGCATTTCTGGCGTAGGAATGGGAGCTTCGATACGGCGATATATCAAAAACACCAATCCCAGGTTCTCAATTGTGAGAGGAATACACCAGACTACAAATAGCATCATCATCGCGGATTCACCTCGACTCAGTTGAATCAAAGCAGCTCGGTACGCCGGCTGTTTAACCCCAATCAACCATACATCGGATTTACACCAATATCCGCACCGGCAGGAATGGTTATGTCACATGGCCTTGTGAGACCATGAATCTGGGGTTCCGCTGAAGACATCGAATTCAGGAGAATATTATACGTTGCATGAGCTGACTATCTATCTCGAGACAGCGCTCACACCATTGTAGCAGTAGTATCCAAATCATCTATCACCGATTCTAGGATCCCCATCTTCCATCCCTGCCCGTCCTCCTGATGCGTCTTCAGATACATCAAGGCCACCCTCAACCTGCCGGACGCACTCGCCAACAACTTTCTAGCCCTGCCATCCAGCCCTTTTGCATTCGCATTCGCTTGACAGAGGTCATCCATTGCAAAACTCAACATCATATCAATCCCTTCCGTTTTGGGGATATGTTCGAGGATGGAGAGCGAGCGGGAGACGGTAGCTTTGAATGCGTGGGATAGGCGGGCGCTGGACAGGTAGGTGATTATGCCGTCTGTAACGGCGGCGGCGATGGCCTCTCTCGTAGCTGATGATACATTGTCTGTGAGCATGCCGTCTGCGACAGTAGGGGCAATGCCCGGCTCGGTGTCAATGGAGGTCTTGTCACAAGAGAGGGGGCGGGATGGTGAAGAAAGAGACTGATCCTCTGCTGATTGCAGGAAGCTATCGTCGTCGGGGGTCACTATAATTCGCCCAGACCTGAGATCCCTGACATCTTTTCGGAGAACGGGGGGCCTGGGGTTGAAGGCGAGGCTGCGTTCGACCAAGATCCTGACGAGCGACTCGATGTTGGACACTCGAGCTCCAATGGACTGCGTAGAGAGTCAGCGCGCGAGCGGTAATGAAGGTAAGGCTCACTTACAGCTCCATCGTCTATCACATCACCTTCGGACATCAACGCCACCAGGATCCTATCAAGCTTTATCCGCACTTCCTTAGTGTGTGCCTTCGAGGACTTGGGGGGATCCCATGGTACAGGTCAGTACGAGCGTTGCATTGCAGGAACACAACAATCAAGACGTACGTTATCCACAGGAGGATCGGGTCGTCTTCCGCCATCGCTCATACTGATTTGACCTTCCGCCATATAGCCCAGCAAGTCGCTCAAGAGCGTATTGGGCTCGGATTGGATGCGATAGATGGTGGTGTCGATGTCATCGAGTCTTTGGAGTATGCGGTTCGCCTGACATATCACTGTAAGTCACTTGGTAGCTCTCAAGTGATCAGCTGAATACGCACCAACGTAGGCTTGCTGGGAAGCTCATCATCCTCGTCCACGAGGTCCTCGGCGGCTATCCCGACGTCTGGCTCTGAAGGTACCTGGGACCAAGTGAAGGCGCTGGTGGGCTCTGCCGTCGCAGGGCTCGAGCTGGCGGTATCGGAGGGCATTGTGTTTCTTTGTGTGTGTCGATGACAGAAATCAAAAGGAAGAAAAGAGTTGTGGAAAGCTGAGCGAGATACTTGCCTTGGGTGGCAATAAGGGAATCAAATTGGACCCGGACCTGACTCGGACCTGGGTGTACGTACCGTGTTTACTACTACACATTTTAGAGAGGATTGGGAGAGAATGCAGTACGGCCGTAGACATAAGTAGAGGGCGGCCAAGCAGGAATAAGCCAAGGACACGGTTCCAGAAGTATGCACTGTGTGAGAGTGAAATGGACTGAATAATGGCCAAACAATTTCAGAGCCGACGACGAGGCAGCTCGGTACGCCGGCGCCCCCGCGGCGACAGTGGTTACGCGCAAGGCTGTTTGATCTTCTCGATCAGCCGTGCATCAAAATCTCATAGCTTCTGGTACTAGGAAGATACGGACATACTCTTTATAGGTGTCTAGTGTGACAGGCAGTAAGTACGGACGCTCCTACAGAACTCTGCGCGTATGATAGCGACAGAGGTCTCACAGCGGCCTCTCCGTGCGGCGCTCGAAGATCAGGACTTGACGGTGGCTTCCCTCACGTCTCTAAACAATTCACCCTTCGGCAATCATCTTCCCTGCGCCTCTGTAAATCTGACGGCCTGTAGAAGGTCTGATCAGCTCGCAATGAACATCCGGTATCGACTAGCAGAAGTCGACTTTAAACCAATCTACCATAAGCAATGCATCGATGCATTCTTTTATGCAGTGTAATCTACTACAGCCGGATACTACAGTCTTCAGATCCCGAGCAAAGTCTTCAAATCAGAACTGTTCCGAGCCCAAGCTTCAAAATCGTGCTGGTCGGGCACAACCTTCTTACTCGCTTCCACATCTCTATCCATCCCACTACACCTCTCCATCAGTTTTCCCTCTTCGATGATGAATGAAGGAGACCCACCCTTCGATGAGAATCTTCATAGCCAGCCAGAGTTCTTCTCCTACAGCTTCTTTGTGCGCCTCGCTGAAAAAGGTTTCACGAGAGATGTGGGGGGTGTCGATTTTGAAGCCGGCGAGGTTGGAGAGGGAGGCGGCCATTTCGGCGACGGTGAGGGTATCGGTACAAGCCGTCATGTCTTTGCCTTGATACAAATCCTCAGCAAAAGTATCTTCACTACAAGGAGACAAATAAGCTGAAAACTCACCGATCCACTCGTCAGGCGCTTTCCAAGCAGCAACCACCCATTTACCCGTCTGGTCCGCGGGGTAAGAAGGCACTTTGGTGTCGTCTGGCACGGTAAAATTGAGCACCCATCGCTTGTCGTCGGGCGATTGTTTGAGGAGCCCGAATTTGTAGAGGTTGGAGAAATAGTTGCAGGCGTAGAGGTTGGTGTAGGGGTACTTTTTCTCCTTCAGATACGCCGAAACTGATCATAAAGTACATAAGCACGAGCCAAAACCCCAAGAAACTGAGAAACATACCAGCAGCCTTCGACTCAAAGTGAGGCGCAGCGCCCTTCTCCACCGCATCCAGCGTCGAATAGACGATATGCTTGATACCCGCCTCGACGCACGCATCTGCCGCGCCTTTAGACTCTGCCGTCTCGGCCTCTTGGGCAGCTTCGGCATCACCGCCGTTGGACACGAACTTGGCCCAGAAATCGGCGTTGATGAATGCGGCGTCGAGGCCTTTGAGGGAGGAAGAGTAGGAGGATGGGGAGGACATGTCGCCTTGGATTAGGTGGACGCCTTGGGCGGCGAGAGCTATTTGGTTTTTAGTATGAGCTGCTCGCTGAGGGATGTGAGGAGGACATCACCTTGAGCGCTGTCGGAGGTGGGGTTCCGGGTGATGCCGTAAACCTCAAAACCAGCCTCGAGGGCATACTTGCAGACGCTGGAACCTTGGTCTCCAGTAGCGGTAAAGACAACGACTTTGAGTACCATGGTGAACTATATTTTACAGCAAACTATGGCCAACGGCGGGGGAGTTTCTCTTCCCGGGGGGGTTTTATAGGCAGCATGTGACGGTTCGTTATTACTTAAGCTAGTGGCCATTCCGTCGGCATTGGTGGACTTCGGGGTGGAGGCAGGTGGACATCCCCGCCGAGGTCATCCGTGGACGCCGCCGCTACCGACGTAGGAAGCAGATCAGATCATAGCCATAATACCCATCAGAACGATACGGATGCTGAGTCACAGCAGGTTCTCTGTAGAACCGCGGTTCCTTGTGATATGGCCCTCATTGCCCATGCGTGCAGTAGTGAGCTGGATGACCTGGCACGTCCTCGTGTCTCGATTCGGTCCTTGCAACATCAGCCTGCCACAACGCAGCTCGAAGCTCATGCCCACCCACCCGCAGTATCTCCTACGCTCGATGGGACCCTTGATACAAACACACACATCCACGTCGGATCATTTACTTCATAAACAAACAGCGATATCGGATTAGATAGATACAGTAAGTAGAGAACCGAAGCGAGGTATCTCCAACATGTTCATGAATAGTCGGTGATGATCGACCAAGGCGAAATGCGCGGTTTAGTAACCGTGGCTATACACTCAATCAGCTCTACCCTCTCATTATCGCAGGCCAAGACTTACACCACGATAGTGACCTTCGCATCCTTGGCAGACACGATCCCACTGTCAATCAAGAACTGCTTGGCGCCCATCCTCTGGTCGCCCTGGAGCTGCAAGACATCTCCGTGGTTGACCTTGGCACCAGGGGCAGGGGAAGCCTCCTCATCCGAGTCGACCTCGGGCTTGTGGACGGTACCGTTGCAAGCGAATTCCTTCTTCATGGCTTTGAGGATCTTGTTGTGGTTAAACTTGGAGGGGATACCTTGGATGGTGGTAAGGGTCTTTCGACCGTTACGCTGCTGGAGACCTGGGCTCCGAGGTTAGCGCCGGTGCTAACCCCAGCTGGAGGAAGGGACGCACGGATGTGAATCTTGTCATTCTTGTTACCAACGGCCTTTTCGATAGAGGGAGTGTCGTTCAAGTCATCAACGGGGGCAAACGGGTCTAAGTTTATAATCAGCACACGAGCATTAAAGAATTGGCGAGGAAACGCACCAAAAGCGGGACCGAGGTTCTCAACCCCAGTCTGGGCCACGGGGGCCTTGGTCTTCTTGGTAGTGGCGTCCACCTTGTTTTGGGTTGTAGCTGTAGACCCCCAGTCAGCTTGCCACGCTTTAATGATACACCCGCCACGGTCGCGTCGAAAAGTCGGTGGTTAAGTGGCGGGATGGAACGTGGTGGGACTGACTAGTAGTGCTCATTCAAAAAGTAGCAGGGGAGCTGGGCAGTGCAGTAGCTGGGGGCGGGGAGGGGCTGAGTGGTGAGTGGTGAGTGGAGGAGTCCGATGCATGGCTCGCAGGGGGTGATAAAGAAGAGTGCTACAGTGGACGGCGTTTACGGGATTACCCATGTGGCGCTGTTTTTGCCACCCAACGCGTCTGATTTTTGGCCATCATTCTAAAATTTCAACTGATCTACGACACGCCATGCCCCGAGTCACCCGCAAAGAGAAGGAAGCTGGCAAAGCACCAAGACCAAAAGCCAGGAGCTCGGTCCAGAAGCCGAGCTATGGTGGTTTCAAGACTGGCCCGGCCCGAGCTGGCAAAGATGCCTACATGGGCAAAGGTGAGTCTATCTATATCTGATAAACTCAAGCTGACGACATGTACAGCAAAGAAGATGAAGGACGATCTCATTGAACGCGCCAAAGTCAAGAAACAGTTCGCCAAAGTTCTCAAGAAAGAAGGCATGGACTCTGAACGGTTAGGCGACGGTACGAGGAGACGGCAAGAGCGCGAGCCCCGCGAGGCAGGGTCTGAGAAGAAGGCGTGGAAGGACAAAGGCAAGCCTAGAGAGGGAAAGCCTAGAGAGGGAAAGCCTAGAGAAGGACAAAGTCAAGAGAGGCGCGGACCCCGAGGAGGCAGAGAAGATGAAGATATGGCCCGGATCCTCGCCCGCGCTGGTCCTTCGAAACCTTCCCCTTCCTCCAAACCATTCAAATCCTCCAAACCGTACCCCAACTCGAAGCCATACACCAAACGCCCCCGAGACTCTTCACCCTCTTCATCATTCTCTGCGCCTGCCCCTACTACCCCCGCCAAACCCCGGGCCCTCTCCCCCGAACGCCTCGCTCTCCCCGAGCCGCCCAAAGTGGACGGGAAAGAAGCGTCATTGAGGACATTGAAGAAGGAAGGGTTCAGCAAGTTCCATCGGGCGCGGGATGCGCCCGCTGCTGGGGCTGGTGCGCCGAGAGGCAAGGGGACGAGGGGTCAGCCGAATATGGGCTCGAGGATGGATGTGTTGTTGGAGAAGATCAGGAGGGATACGATAAAGAAGGCTTGAGTGCTCTGCGTAGTGGACGAGGGGGTGGGAATGTAAGATAGTGGGCACTGGCTAAACGCTTATAATGCACATGTTGTATCTGTCGTTCTTCACCCAGGATACCTTCATTCCGATTTCATTTCATCGTATTTATCTCGCCCTTGATTCGATATATACCTAAAGCCCAGCCAACTCCCGCACATCCCTTCAGCGTATGCTCCAACACCTGGATCTCCCACTTCGGAACCTCATCCCCCTTCATCTCGTACAACTTTGCCCCCAAACCGCCTGCCACCATCGCAAGCGAACTCGTGTCTTTCATATCTAGCTCCGCTTCATCTTTGGTGCTTTCCTTCATATCCACAAGAGTCTCCGGGTTTCCGAAGATGCACTCTATCATCACGAGACACCAGCCCCCTAGCAACCTTACACACATCTCAGGACAGTATTTCGACGTTGGACCGCCGCCACAACTTCATCGCCCATGATTCCAATGAGCAAGAGCGACCAATACACCTACGCTTATGGATTCTGGGCTTAGCAACGGTAGAGTGTCACTTCATACCATAGGCTATACACCTATGCTACCGAATTGACTCTATCAGTACTCTTTTTCCGCTTCTTCTTAGCCCACCGTCACTGCACGTCATGCCACTTCCGGTCCTCTTCTCTGGTCCTTATGAGTATTCAGTGTTGATAGCCTCAATGAGAGTGTCCGCCCTTATCACTAGGGTTAGCTCCTATACGTGGGCTGTTAGAAAGAAGAAGACTTTTCAACTTACAGTTCGGTGGGTACGCTCTGGAGGACGCAGTCCGGTTCGGCGCACGAGCAGAGTCTGTCGTCTCGGCGTTCGAGCGTATGATCCTGTGTTGCGTTAAAGTGCTCTACAGTCCATGTTCGGCGGTCTCGATCGGGCACATAGCGCGACAAGAGGGTGAACGTCACATCATCAGGGCCATTTGCCACGTAAAGCCTTCACAGGATTCTTGTCAGCAGCCATTCTTCCAGATCCTTCCTCGGACTTACTTTGCATAATGCTCCCTCACCCCACTTCCCGGGAAGTCGGTATCAATAGAAGGGTTAATAGGGTCTTTGAATACGAAATCGCTGTCCTTCTCGTACACGGTACCATCCCGAGACACAGCTCTGAAACTGACTCTCTCCCAGGGATAAAGACAATAGTCAGTGTGGTGTGCGTCGGGGATGGTCAAAGAAGCTGAACGATCAAGACGGTCTACGGCACCTTCCGATGCTTCGAGGGGTGCTTCGGTTGGCGTGATGTAAATAACTGTAGGGTGCTGAGCGGACATGTTCTTGTTTGTTGCACGTATATTCTGCAGTGGAACAGCTCAATTCAAGTGCATTATGTATGTACATGCAGTACCTCCCAATAGCAACATGGCGCCAGTACAAAAGAGAGACGATGAAGTAATATAGTGGTTGTATCGACTAGGCTCCGATGTGTTCTCGTCACCATCCATTCATCGCCGGAGCATGAGAATCAAATGAAGTAATACATGTCTCAAGCATGCTTCTGGAATCCATTGTTATATATGTAGGATGATTTCACAGAGATCTTCTTCAGTCCGGATGGTGAATGTGTTCACGTCATCATCCGTTCATCGCTGGCGCATGAAAATCAAATGAAATAATACTTGTCTCAAGGATGCTTCTGAGATCCATTTCTATATATGAAGGACGATTCCACATTGATCTTCCTTGGTCTGAATGGTGAACATCACCATTGCTCGATGATTGAAAGAAGTAATCGAAGAACAAGTAGCGATCGACAAGAAAGTCTAAAGTCGCGTTCAATTCCGCGACGAGTCAAGCATCACGCATCAGACGTGTCGTGCCAACGTGCGTCACGTTGATGAAGTGCATGGGTGTTAGAGACTAGCAATCACCTGCACCCACGACCTACAGACTGTAAGAGGCGGAAAGGTGAGACGTAACCTAGGGACGGTTACGTGGTGGATCTAACTAGGGGCGCCAGAGGTGATTATGACACGTGGCATTTTCGTGCTCATGTCTGCCGCCCAGGCTAACGCGACTTGCGACAAACCGCCAAGCAGCGCCCGGAGGAGATGTCACATCAGTGGGTACATACCATACTCTACTGCCTACTATCTACCACCTCCTCCCAGAGCCGCGCAAGAGCCGCGACAGAATGAACCATAGTGTGACGGGGGTTCGGCATTCGGCCCGTCTTGCGCACCATGCGTCCGTTATCGGTATATCTTTTCTCCTCCTTTTCCCTGTGATGAAATCTCAAAAGCTCGTGGGTGAGCCGAGGAGTCTGCCGAGTCGCCCGAAGGTCTTCTCGTTTACCAGAAAGGCCAGAAGCCAGAAGATCATTCTTGCCCTCGTGATTGATGCCAACTTTCGCGGGACCAAATACTCCCCAAGCCTGTGCTGGGTCGATGATCCGTACACGTGAACCGCAAAGGTATCATCTCTTGTCGTTATGGTTTACAACATAGTTTACAACATCTAGAATCACCAGCGTACCTCCAGCCCTATCGACTTGACGCCAACTCAACCTCATCCAACGCCCACCTCACTCCACCTCCCCTTCTCCCTGCCTTTCTCCCATCCTCTCAGCTTCTCCCATCTTCTCAGCCTTCTTCGCCCTCGCCCTCAACTTCGCCTTCTCCCTCCTGACCCTCTTCCGCTCTTCTTTTGCCTCCAACTTGGCTTGTTCGGCAGCAGCTTTTTGTTGGCGGTTGGCGGCTCTCTGGGAGAGGGATGATGCTCTTCGGGCTAATTCTGTATTTTGTCAGTCAAAGCTTTCGCGGGGAGAAAGGCGATGAGGGGGAATACGGACCTGCTTTGGAAACGTGGGGTCTTAAGGTGGGATCGGCTTTGGGGATAACCGACGTGTAGATGTCTGAACGCGAGGGTCTTTTTGGGCGTTCGGAAAGGCATTTCAAGCGATGGGATAGTACTGCAGCCAACATCAGCACCATGGCCCAAGACAGAGCTATGAAGGGGCCTACAATCTGGTCCGGGCTGGGTGTACATGGTCCGTAATCTGGCATTGGCTTTCCTGACCTCACTAATAAAAAGTCAGCGCGGACCTTCCAGGAAGGACGCAATACTCACGCTCGAGCACTAGGCAGCATAGCAGCCACCTCAAGCACATCCCCCCATCCTAGCGTCTCCAAATCTTTCCTAGCCTTGGACACCCTCGCCGGTCTTACGCCCGCGAGCTTTGTCAACACCTCTCTCACCATCTGTTCTGACGACTCGATCAGATTGGGCGGGAGCAGTGGGTTTGAGAGGTCTTGATCCGGTAGATTGGGCAGAGTGAGGGATTGTGTTCGGATGTAGGCAGTAGCGAAGGAGGTTATGGCTTCCGAGAAGCTTGGCGGTTCGGGCAGTTCTGTCAACCCTACGGGCCAGCGCGTCTCTCCACTTCCTTGCTGCCTCTTTCTCTTTCCTCCCACCCTCGCCCCCACATATTCATCCCCGACTACAGTGGGTCTTCCACTCGCCTCCCTGCTCAGTCTACTCTCCCAGTCGCTCTCATCCGACAAGACGATATCCTCATCTTCCCATCTATGGGCGAGCTGCTGCGAAAGGTCGGTCTGTTGTTCGTGCTGGAGATGCTCAAGGAACGATGCGTATGCTGCAAACTGCGAGCGCTGGATGGGCGGCGGCGGGGAGACCGACGGGGAGGACATGGTATATTATTTGTTTGGCTGCATGTCGAAATTTGTTGACATCGGGTTTGCATCGGGCGGTCGGCTGGTGATTGGAGGGCGGCGCCCCCCGCCGGGATCTCCCGCTGTTTTCCCCGAGCGCGATTCGGCATCTCTCCTTCTCTTCCATCCCCCTCGGCATCCTCTTTTCCGTCTCCGGCCTTTCACCGAGTATCAGATAAGATAAATGGACTACCCCGGCTATACCTCCGCACAAGAGCAGGAGCAGCGCCAGAGGGAGGAAGGCCGTGCCTATGACCACAGGTATCCCCCGCAAGAACAACAACAACAACAGCCGCGGTATGACCCTGACTTGACTGCGTCTCCGCGCAAGAGGGCGGCAGAGGAGAGCGAGTCGACCTCTCAGGCTGGGGCTGCTAGGGCCAAGCCGAAAGCGAAAGCATCGAATGGTGCGGGAAAGAGCAAGAAGGAGAAAGAGGGGGACGCGCCGGGACCGCGGAGAGCAGCGCAAGCATGTCTCAGATGCCGACGCCAGAAACTCAAATGTATCGGCGGCTGGCCTTGCGACAGGTGCCAGAAAAGCAAGAACGAGTGCGACTTTGGGAGACCGGGGATGATGCCGCCGAGGGAGGGCCATCAGCCTGCACCGGGGAGCAGCGAAGCGAATGCGAGGCTAGAGCAGCTTGAGAGTAGCGTCGCGAATTTGCTTGCTGGACTTGCTTCTGCGCCTCAGACGAGCTACCCCAAGAGCGAGGCGCTTCATGCGCTTGAAGCTGTGAGGCGAGAGTCGCTGTCTGCGAATCTTGATAGGAAACCCTCGTTCCCTCCCCCTCCTGAGCCGTCTTTCAATCCCAACATCCCGCCTCCTACACATACTCGCCATCTCGACCACCCCCGTATGGGTGTCGGAATCGGGTATCCCTCCACTTCTGCCTCTCCCGACGATATCCCGCAACACCACGTCCGATTCACTTCTTCGCCTCATCAGACGTTTGTGCAGCATGGGTACTCGCCGTCCAACTTTTCGTCGAATGGGACAGGACCCAGTCCTGCGAGCACAGAAGCGTTTCCGCGGGAAGAGAAGAAGCGGCCTCATAGCAAAATGAGGCAGAGGGCGGAAGAGAGGCTTGCGACGGCTACCGAAGCCGACTATGATGAGCCGCCTTTCAAGCCGCTTGTGTATCAGGCAAGTCTTGTTTGATCATTGTTGATTTTGCTGACGTGTCGTAGCCGGCGGTGTGGGACAACCGTGAGGCCTCCCGACGCAATTCCCCCCAGCCCAGCCAATCGTCGCAGAGTAGGGACGATGGTCTGCCTGGCACCTACAGTCGACAATTCATGCGTGCTCGAGATGACCCAGTCACCACCGAAATCATCTCTAGATCTACTGCTATCGTCATGTTTGACTTGCAAGTCTATTCCTTCTGCTAGCTGACTTTACTGACAAGATGAGTAGCTATGTCCAACACTGTCACCCGTTCTTGCCAGTAGTCAACGTCTCTCTCGAGAACGCGTTTGATACCATCTCCCAGTCACCTTTCCTGATCTCCTCCATGATCGCCATCGCCGGCCGATTCTACATCAAGTACACCAACAAAAACCCCTCAACATCCCTCCCACCCATCGACTCTTCAGTCCCTCACCGCCTCGCCAACCTCGCAGAATCCCACCTCGGCGCAACCCTCTTGCGAAAGCAACACGCCCTCTCCGACGTCCAGGCCGTCCTCCTCCTCTCCGCCTGGGGCCTTCAATCCGGCGGCCGCGGTCCAGACGCATGGATCATCACCGGCCACGCAGCGCGTATCGCCCGTCGTCTCGGCGTCCACAAAAACCTCGCTACCGCTGCCGAGTTGTCTCGTACCGTCCGGCCGGGCGGAGAAGGCTGGGACAAGCTGGAAGCTTTCATGCCGCAATGGCGCACGTGGCTCGCTTGGTTTACGTTTGATGGGTTCTTGAGCTTGGGCTTTGGGAGACCGCAAAGCACGCAGTTTGAGACGGTGGATGAATCTGGGTTCCTCCAGATCCGGCTGAATCAAAGCCCACCGAGGCCGGGGACGACACATTCCATGTCGTTGTATGGCGATGTGTACATTGCTGGGCAAGTGCAGCTTACACAGGTTGGAAGGGATCTGATCAGTTGGGGCGAGATGCTGGCGGACCCGAGGAGGGCGGCAGAGGCGGAGAAGGAGAGAGAAACCGGGGGGAGGGATATGAGTGTCAGGGGCATGTTTAAGGAATTGAATGGGAGGCTGGACGAATGGTGTAAACTCTGGGTATATGGTGAGTTCCCTGCTCTAACGGATTGGGGGAGTACTGACAGCAATAGCCAACTCTCCGAATGGTCTTTACCTCGGCTCTTCCGCCCGTATCGCCCGCCTTCAAGCCGACCACATGCGTCTCTGCCTCAACTCTTTCGCACTCAAGTCGTCTCCTGAGAAGGACGAGTTTGTGAGCGAGTGTCTGAGAAAGGCGTTGAATGCTGCTATGGCGACGATACAAACGCATCATGAGAGCAGTGTAACGGATATGGCGCTGAGTTTTGCTACTGATGTGAGTCCTTTGTGTACTCGGAGAGACGTTGAGCTGATGACACGTTTAGTACTTGACGATTACGTTGGCGCAATCGGCCATCTTTCTCGTGCGAATCGCCAAATCGTCTACCACCATTCAACAGATTCTCAACATTGATCCGTCCGTTATTGCGCACTATCTCAAGCTCTCCACTACGCTCCTCGAGGATGGAGAACTTTCCGAGACTCGCGTCGGCACGTATCTCGCCAAGACGATCCGAGATATTGCCCGGGCAGGCGGAATTACCGGGTTAGGAGGTAAATGGGATGAATGGGTCGAGAGTCGACCTGCCTCTCGAGCAGTCTCTCCCCGCGGCCGCGCATCAGCATCCACAAGCGCACACCCTCCAAACTCGGCCGACTCGACCACCCCCGCCCATCCCTTATCCAACTCCCATCAACCCCCCCCACTCACCGACCCGACCCAGCCTCCCGACTTGGCGTTCGAGATGAACAACCTCCTCGCATTCGAGAGCCAGTTCAACCTCGACAACTTGTTGGGCCTGCCGGGTGATGATATGGCGTCGGCGTCGTTGGGAGGGATGCCGATTGGGATGGGGGCGTCGGTGCAGATGGGGTTGGGCGGGGTGCCGCCTTCTGCTTCGCCCTCGACCGGAGGGGCGGGTGGCGGGGGGATGATGTATGCCCCGCCGGGGATGGCACATATGGGTGAAGGATTTGATTTCGGAGGGGCAGGGTTTAATGAGTTTGGGTTTGGCATGGGAGGAGTGGCTATGGGGTATGGCGGGGGCGGTGACGGGTGGCCGCCCAATGACGGGCAATAGTCTATAGATGGACTTTGAGCGAGTTACGATCGGTTTTTGGTAGGCATAATAGATCATATAGCGGTACTAGGGTTAATGCATGGCATGTTACATCATAGTATATACCTGGCAAGCTACGTTCTAAATCCCGAGCAGCTTCCTGAGCTCGGAGCTTTGGCGGGCCCAGACCTCCATGGTCATCGGGTTGGGCACGACTTGCTTGCTAGCCTCGATGTCTCGCTGAACACCCCTAAGACAACTGTCAGCACGCCAGCTTGGGCGATACCAGGCTATACTTGCCCTTCGGTGAGCAACTTCATAGAGGCCCAGATTTCTTCACCCAGGGCTTGCTTGTGTGCGTCGCTGTAGAAGAATTCTTTGGTGATCTGGGGAGTGCCGACGGGGACGCCAGTAACTCGAGTGAGGATGTCGGCCATTTCGGCAATCGTCAAGAACTCGGAGCAGGCGTGCATGTCTTTGCCTAACTCAAGACATTAGCTTCCTTCATGAAAGGCGGGGAAGTGACGAGAGACTTGCCGATCCATTTCTCAGGATTCTTCCACGCCTCCAAGACCCACAGTCCCGTCTCCTCGTCCGCATAAGTCGCGATCTCGGTATCATCCGGCGAGAAGTAGTCGACAACCCATCTCTGGCCCCCATCCTCGGTAGAAATGCGGTGGAGCATGCCGCGTTTGGTGAAGTTGGAGTAGTAGCTGGAGACGTAGAGGTTGGTGTAAGGGTACTTTTTCTCCTGGATATACTTGGATACTGTAAGAAAAATTAGCATGCCTGCCGTGAGGGAACAGGATGAAAGTACACACCGGCAGCCTTGGACTCGAAGTGTGCACAAGCACCTTCAGCCACTTCGTCCAAGGTCGAGTAGATGATGTGCTTGACACCCGCCGCGATACAGGCATCTGCAGCGGCGATGCCCTCTTCAACCTCGCCCTTCTGCGCGGCAAGGGAATCACCCCCGTTGGGAATAAACTTGGAGAAGAAGTCGGTGTTGATGAAGGCAGCGTCGAATGCCTGTCCGTTGAGGTGAGAGGTGTAGGAAGCAGGGTCTGCCATGTCACCTTGAACAACGTGGACACCGGAAGTGGCGAGGGCTGTCGTTTGTCAGCTTTGGACCGGCAGGGTACAGATCTGGCAGCTCACCTTTGGCCTTGGTAGATGATGGGGTTCTGGTGAGACCGTATACTTGATAGCCCGCATCCAAAGCGTACTTGCAGACGCTAGATCCCTGTGCTCCCGTGGCGGCGAATACAAAGACCTTCATTTCGTTGCAGTGTCGGATGAAGTGATGGTTGAGGAGATGCATCGATGAAGCGAGGACGGCTTTCCTATATATCGAGGGGTCATCGCCAAGGTCGACGTTCCGACGGAAGTGCTCTAGGACAGTGAGTGCCCGGTGGAGTTTCGGTACCGAAGTCGGGCTTACTGCAGCTGATTCCCTCGGGCAAGGGTTCAATAAACTACGCTATCGCTCAGTCAGATCTGCATTGGTGTGAGTCTTGTCAGCAGTAGTCTTTCGTCGGGAAGAGCATTATAACCAAAGCAGTTGTGATTACGTTACTCCCGCCTTCAACATCTATCAGCTCCAAGCAAACCAGCAGTGAGTCCAGGCTGTCTGTGTCTATGAGCGGAGTATCTAGCCAAATCTACAGTCAAGAGTTTTGTTCCAGGCAGTACCGCCATGTTGACTTATCGCCAGTGCACGTACATCAACACCGCCATAAACATCAGTCAACATCAGTCCCATCAACGATCATATTTTACGCAACACCCCTGAGACATCGATGCCTCCGTAGCTGAGTTGGTTACAGCGTACGACTTTTAATTACTGCCTCTTAAGTGTAGTTAGGGATTCATCGTAAGGTCACGGGTTCGAGCCCCGTCGGAGGCTCTTACTTTTTGCCTTCCTCGTCACTTTCTTCTTGTCCACCTTCTGGTAGCCATGCTATGCATGCAATCAATCAATCATTTCTGGAACCTCATCACAAGGTATGCGGTGTGAGGTCTGAAACCTGACATTGGTCTTGTCATGTCTTCAATTGTTTGCTTTTTACGTCGAATTGTTGCTCTAATCAGGGCCGTTGTGGTTTGGCAATTCACGCACGAAGCCAGCGATGGATTATTCAGCAGATATGGCAATAGTGTATACATCAATTTGCCAAAGAATATTATAACTAGACAAAAAGACTCAGACGTAAGCGTCCGCAAGGCCCAGCCCCGGCTCCAACTATATCGTCATCAACTCTGCTTCTTCTCCAAGATCTTCTTGTTCTTTCCTTCGTTCACTGTACAAGAGTGTCGGGCTGCTGGTATTATAACACTGACCAAAAGGAAGCAAGGGCTGGAAATGTGGGGGTGATTAGAAAAGGCTGAAGAGGGCGCCGGCGAACAAGGGGACGAGCGCGGTCAACATCGTTGTGCCAATCCGGCCTAAACACGTATCAGTCGTGCACTACCAATGAGAAAGAAGAAAGACGTACCAGCTCCACTCGTAGACGCTCCTTGTGCACCCTCCGCGCTCGCACTCCCACTAGCACTCGCCGTCGCCGAAGCTCCCTTGCTCGAAGCCGATCCAGCGATAGAGACGGGCGTGGAGGTGGGGGCGGGGTTGGAAGCGGCAAAGTCATTGAGGTTGGGAGCGGCGATAAAGTCGTCCATGGAAGCGCCTGGGGTGAGCATGTCGGGGTTCATGGAGATCATCAATCGAGAGTACCTGATCGCTTTAAGTCAGCTTCGTTTGACTGTGTGTATAGAGAGGTTTGGGGGAAGACGTACAGGACATTCTCGACGACGTTGTCCTTGGTGACAGAAGCGCTCAGAAGAGAAGACATGTCCCAGTTACCGCCCCATGCCCAAGCTTCGGGAGTCGAGTTGCAAGCGGCTTGGACGGCGGCGGCGGTCTTGGCAGGTTCGGCGCCCTATTCATCACATTAGCTGTCGTGCTGAAAAGCAAGCAAGGGAGAATACGTACAGACTTGGACCAAGCGCCAACCCAGCAGTCGATCGTGTTGCAAGCATCCTTCCCTTCTCCATTACCAGCGGTAGAGCTCTCCATGGGTGCCGAAGACGTCTTTGTGGCTTCCTCGCTCGCACTGTCCGACGCAGAGGACGAATTGGAAGCGGCAGACGAAGAATTGGAAGCGGCGGACGAAGAGTTGGAAGCGGCGGACGAAGAGTTGGAAGCGGCGGACGAAGAGTTTGAAGCCGAGGAAGCTGCGGCATCGTCGGCGGAGGGCGGGTTGATCAGACCAAACATGCCCATCGTGCAGTGCATACCGACAGTGCAGTAGTGGAATTGGGGTGTGGTGGCGGTGACGCTAGTCATAAACGTCTCTGTAGCATTCACTATCCCACCATCAGCCTCCCCTTCTCTTCAGACTTGAGAAGGAAAGAAGAAAGGAGTTACTCACATTTACCAGAGTCGAAAGCATCCTCCGCAGTACTCTTATTACACACATTCTCCCCCTGACTCAACGTCGCCGTGTGCGGCCCCGCACCCCACTTGAACATGATCTGATCGCCTTGCGCGGCGGTGACGGCAAACGGCACGAAGCGGAGGACGCCCATAGTGGGCGCGACGATGACGGTGTGGGTTGTACCGTTGGCGGAAGAGGTGGAAGTGGCATTTTGGGAGGAGGAGGCTGAGGTTTCGGAAGACTCGTATGAGGCGGAGGTGGATGTGGCAGACTCGGAAGAGTTGTAAGAGCCACCACCGAATTGCATTTGGCACATCTACATTCTTCATCAGTATCCCGGCGTATAGCCAAAGAGGGAAAGGAAGGTGGGCGTACGTTCAAACAGCTGTCCAAGTCACCGGTGTATGAAGAACCAGAGCCGTACATTGGAGTCTCGTAGGACTTGTCGGCGGTTGACGTCTAGAACCAGTATCAGCTTGGGGTTCAAGAATGAAAACGAAACAGTGGAGTTACGATAGTCTTTTCAGTCACTTGAGTAGTCCCCTTACAACCTGAATCATCACACCCCTATCCCATCTCATCAGCCAACATCCCAAAGAACAAAAAAAAGCGAGAAGAAGAACATACAGAGTCATAAGATGCCTTGCTAGTAGAGTCCTCATAAGCAGCAGAAGAAGAGCTCGACCCGGCTTTGTAAGACCTAGAGTCTCCGCTGGAGTTGTAAGACGACTGGTCGTATGATGACGAGTCTCCAGAAGAAGAGGAAGAGCTAGAGTCGCCGTAGGCGTTGTACCCCGAAGCAGAGGAGGCCGCTCTGTCACTCGACTTGCCGGAAGCGGAAGCGGAAGCCTCGGAGGCCATGCTAGATTCGGACTTGTCCCCCGGGTACGGCGAGGGAGCTGCGATGGCGAGCGAAGAGAGGAGGGAGAAGAGGAAGAGCTTGGTGGCGATCATCTTGTCTTTTGCTTTTCTTCCTTCCCTGTTGGTATTGATGTATAGAGGAGGAAGGCGAGGGGAAAGCTCTCAGAGCGTACTAGTGGAGTAAAGAAAAAAGACGGAGGGCCGATCACAGATCGTAGGAAGTAGTCGAGCAAAAGAGAGCGAGGTAAACTATTCCGGGGAGGGGTTTTGAAAGATGGAAGGCTCAGCCTAAATAGTATGTAGACAGAAGAAAAGAAAGAGGGAAGGGAACACAGTTCGCCTTGAAGCCGGGTCTCGTGAAGGTTGGAGTAGGGGGCAGAGGGAGAGGGGAAGGAAAGGGTTGAAGAACAGGGAAAGACTGCGGATGGGGGAGATATATACGTCTTACTGCTCGAGTAGGCGTGTATGACTGTAGAGAGGGAGGGGGTACGGACCCAAGCCGCATGAGGCCAGCGTATCGTAGATATCTGTTTATCGTCGTTGAGATACGGCCCAGAGATCAAAAGCCGACTGTCGTCAGGCCTAAGGCGGTGCATGCAAGAAAGGGCACGATCGCATAACCAGAGCCCTGGCCGCCGGCTTTTGGAACGGTGCAAAGATAAGCTTGGTACACCTGTTGACCTCCTTGGACTCTTCTGGGTGTAAAGTGACAGGAAAAGGAGGGTTGGTTACCGGTGACGGTCACGTTGACGATAGGTTTGATGGGATGATGATGTGGTTGCTGTTCCTGTTGTTGTCGATGGACGAGATCTCTTTTTTTTTGCTTAGTGGCGACTGGTGCCCTCTGGGTAGGATGGTATATAAGCCAAGAGGGGACTACACAGCATCGTGGTGTTCTGAGGCCAAGACTGTTCTTGGTGTACGCTAGGATTTGGAGGTTGCTTGACACATGCACTACACGGACCTAGTCGGGAGTCAGGACCTTGGACAAGCAGAAGGCAGCCTTGGAAACTAGACTCACTTCTGTAAGCCTTGGTCCTTGGTTCTTGGTTTGGATTATGTTGCAGCCCACGTTAAAGGGCAAGTTGACAGAGAGCCCTCGTCCACGATGATCGTCGTCGTGCGGCAGAAAATCAACCATATCCAGATCTATCTATATCGTCGTCGTATTCGGCACCTATCATTCCCCGATACCCCATATCCCTCAATCCCACAATCGATTGCATACACCACCACCATGTTAGATCTTGGACGATCATCTCTCGCAATGCGCGCCGGCGATGATAGATGAGCTGGGTGCTTTCGGTAATCTTGCCACCGGCGATAGATATAGTTGAATCATGAGGGGATAGATGCAAGGTGTTCACAAGTATATAGTTTCTCCTCTTTCTTGCGGCGGGGTCATCTTCTTTACCAAATGGCCAGCGAAGACCATCATACTTGTACGTATGCAACGCAGCGATTAAGCGCCGCCACATTCCCCGGCATTCTCGGCCTTTCCAAAACACCCCAACCCACGTGGTTTATTGTAATCTGATTACGAAAACCCCTCGGCACCGGGGCTGTCGGCGCTCGCCGACCCTGGTCATTTTCGCCAATCAATTCGCCAGGCCAAATGAGAATTCGCCTCTTCTAAATTACATCACCCCCTTCGTTCTCTTATCCACATTCCCATCCACTTCCCCCTCAAGTAATACAACAAAACAACACCCAGCAAAGAAAGAAGAATAAGAAACAAACAAGATGATGCGCTCTACTATCCTCCGATCTACCGCTCCACTCGCTTCCTCCTCCCTCCGCCCGACCGTACGCGCCAGCGCCAGCGCCGGCGCCAGGCCTGCCGTCGGTGCTATCTTCGCCGCTCCCCGTGCCACTGCGACGATGCCTGTGCAGAGCAGGGGGTATCATGCAAAGGTCATCGACCATTATGAGAACCCTCGTAACGTGCGTCCCCCTTTTTCTCATCCTTGGAAGTTTTAGTGGCGAAGGACGGTCATGCTGATAGGATTTGGGTTAGGTGGGTAATATGCCCAAGGGTGATCAGGATGTGGGTACGGGTCTTGTTGGTGCCCCCGCTTGTGGCGAGTACGTCTCCCCTTCCCCCCTCCGCCCTCCTTCTCCAAAAAACTAACAAAAGTACTACAACAGCGTGATGAAGCTCCAAATCCGCGTCGGCGAAGACGGCATCATCTCCGAAGTCAAATTCAAAACATTCGGCTGCGGTTCGGCCATTGCCTCCTCGTCGTTCATGACAGAGCATGTGAAGGGGATGACGTTGGAGCAGGCGGGGATGGTGAAGAACACGGAGATTGCGAAGGAGCTCTGTTTGCCTCCTGTCAAGTGTACGTCTGCTTCTTCCGCTTCTTTCTGAGGGGAAGAGGGTAAGAGGGGTGGTTGCTGATGGGGTGGATTCAGTGCACTGCTCTCTCCTCGCTGAGGACGCTATCAAATCGGCTATCAAGGACTACCAGTCCAAGCGAAACAAGCGCGTCGTCACTGTACGTTTCTTGTTATTCACTGTGGGGCGGAAGACTGACGAATGATATAGCCCGAGGTGATCAACGTATCAACAACGGGCGCGCAGACTGCTACTGCCTAAGTTGTCTTTGGCCGTTTTTCTGGTTGTTTCTCTGAATCCTATCCTATCGTCGAGAAGTGTAAAATTGTACTATAAGACTGGCGTGCATGTGGAGACTCAAGAGGGGATGAGAGGAGATATGAAGGAAGAGTAGATTGACGCGACTTTTTCTCGATTCTCTTCATATTGATTGATGGGAGTTTAGTATAGTAGCGGAGTATGGTGAGATATGTAACGAGTATGAGGTATCATTCCGAGGATGCCAAGACGGCGGCGCGCTGCATGCCGACGCCGAGTGCAGAGAAGGTCCAGCCGTCGGATATCTTTCCTGGCTGGCGTCCCGTTCGTCATGTCTATCTGACTCGCTCCTCTTGGGAGTTTGACCGGGGGACACGCAGTCGGGTGTCGGTGGCACCTGAATCAGCGCATGGCCCAAGGCAGTATATAGCTATGATCCATGGCGTGTATGAACGCGATGTCAGTCATGAGAGCATGCAAAACCAGCTGCTAGTGCCCGTCCCAATGAAGTACGGCAGTGACGAGAGATTACATGAATGGGTGGATACGGGAGGGAGGGTTACCATGGCGCGAAGGCGGTGAGCGAGGTGGGCGGTGGAGGCAGTCAGGGAGGGGCCGCCTGAGCCTGGACTTCTGCGCGCTCTCCAAGAAATGCACCGGGGAGAAGACAGATCCAGCCATCTCTCACTGGCATCCTCATAGCCAGTAAAGTACATATCCCAGCGCCCCCCGCCGCCAGTACCACGCGACCCCGTCCCTTGGACCACACACCACAACAACCTCGAAACAGTCACATCTTTTTTTGTCTTTCTATTGTCCCTTCGCTATATAACACCTCTTCCCCTTCCCCCTCCATCCCACCACCCACCATGGCCTCCCTCGCCTCGCCCCCCTCCTGCCCCCTCGCCATCACCACCGACCACCCCCACGCTGACCAACCGTCCCCCCTGCCCTCCCCCGGTCCAGCCTCGAGCGCATCAGTATCGGGCAAGTGGAAGAACGTCTTCAAGCTTGGGAAGGGCGCCTCGTCTTCGGTAGGGAGGGGGAAGGAGAACCGCCCGGCGTTACCGTCGACGATGGCGCCGTTACCGCTCGCCATGCCGACGCCGCCTCCGACTCTTGGAGACGCGCCGCCGCAGGACGCTGCGGCGAGAGATCCTAGAGGCGCGCAGTTGCAGCAGATGCGAGCTTATACAGAACCATACCTTTCCAAGAACGCCGAACCCTTAGGAGCGGGGGAGGGGGGGAGGGAAGACGGGTTGACGGAGAGCGTTTCGGTGAATCTCGGCGTAGACTCTGGTAGGGACAGGGGTGGCCAGACCCCGCCGTCGGCGTCGACGACAAACTCGGATATGGAGGGGTCGTATTTGGGTACGACGGATGCGACGTCTGTAGCCTCGGTGGAGCGTAACGGTCCTTCTCTCGCTGTGAGTCACCTCTTCCCACCGCGGGAAGCTGGGAAGCTGGGAAGCTGATTCATGAACCAGCAGCAACAGGGGGGCAAACCCAGAACCCAACCATCCACCGAATCCATCCCCGCCCCCGCCCCCACATCCACATCCTACTCTTCCAACAACGTCTCCCATGACGGCCCCAGAAACTACTCTGACACCGCCTCCATCTCCACAGCAGACAGGACATCGCATTCGTCCGCCTCGCACGCTTTATCGCCTGATGCCGCTGGTGCTGGTGCTGGTGCTGGGGCGGGGATCACGACGACACAGGGGTACGGTACGCCCTCGTCCCGCTCGGCGAGTGGGCATTTCGGTATGGGCGGTTTTAAGAGCCGGTTCTTCACTACCCCCATCTCCACTTCCACGTCTACGTCTACAGGTGGCGGGAAGAAGGACAGGGCGGAAAAGTATCGCGGGCTGGGTAAAACCCCTGACGGCCATTCGAGCACAACAATGTCCTCTTTCGCCTCCTCCCACTCGCCTTCCACTACATACTCTCCCCATACGCCCGCCACCCCAGCGACCCCAGCAACACCGGGCAAGAAACGCGACCCCTCCACCAGCCATAGCCATTCGTCCAGCTCGAAACGCAACAACCCTAACCATTCGTCGGAAAAGTCGGATAGCGGCGGCGGCGGCAGCATGTCGCGCTTTTTGAGGCGGGTGGTGTCGGCGCCGAATACGAAAGCGCTCTTTGGGCATAACGGGCTGTTTCATGATGCGCCTGACGTACCGCCTTTGCCCCATAGCTCTGGTGGCAGGCAGGGGCAGGGGCAGGGGCAGGGGCAGGGGCAGGGGCAAGGGCCGGTGGTGATCCTGGGCGGACAGGTGGACCTATCAGCATCGCCGATGAACGAGCACTTGCCCACCGGCTCGCCATTCGGTCCTACGCCGGGTACGACGCCTACCCCGTCACCCTTTAAATCCAAACATCTTTCGCCTGCATCCCCTTCCCCCTCCCACGCTCAAACGTACCCCTCCCCCTCTCCTTCCGCTCCAGGAGGAGGAGGAGGAGGTGGTGGTGGGCTGACGGTCCTGGGTACGAGGGCGAGCCGGGCCAAGACGACGGGTTCGAGCGCTATACCCAAGAATGTGCGGGAACTGCAGCAGGGGCAGTTGGGTGTTGGTGTCCCCGGTGGCGGCGGCGGCGGGGGGGAGAGTAAGCATAAGGCGGCGTTTAGGAGGACGTATTCGAGTAATTCTATCAAGACTAGGACTGTGAGTTTTCGTCTTTTGTTTGGGATGTTGTCTTTGGGGTATCGGCGGGGGTGGGTGTGGGAGGAGTCGTTGATCTTGTTGATCGGCCGGCCTCCTTTGTCTCTGTGAACTCTATCGAGGCGGTCAACTGTACTGTTGTGTCTGGTTGTCTGTATTTTCCGAATGCTGACAAGTCACCCAACCCAGGCCGAAGTGACGGCATCGTCATTCCAAAAGATCAAGTTGCTCGGCAAAGGCGACGTCGGGAAAGTCTACCTCGTCCGCGAGAAGAAATCCGACAAACTCTTTGCCATGAAAGGTACGCCCCTCCCCTCCCCTCCCCCCTCCTCCCTCCAGGCCCCAACCCAACCCTAACACCTGGCCGCAGTCTTGTCCAAAAAAGAAATGATCAAACGCAACAAGATCAAACGCGCCCTCGCCGAACAAGAGATCCTCGCGACAGCGAACCACCCCTTCATCGTCACCCTCTTCCACTCGTTCCAATCCCAGGAATACCTCTTCTTCGTACTCGACTATTGCATGGGCGGCGAGTTTTTCAGGGCGCTGCAGACGAGGCCGGGCAAGTGTTTGAGCGAGGAGCATGCCAAGTTTTATGCGGCGGAGGTGACGGCGGCGTTGGAGTATTTGCATTTGAATGGGTATATTTATAGGGATTTGAAGCCTGAGAGTGAGTCCTTCTTCTTTTTTTTTTTCTCGTGGGCGTGGGCATGGGGGAGGGAGCTGATGAGGGAAACAGATATTCTTCTGCATCAGTCGGGGCATATCATGCTTTCAGATTTCGACTTGTCAAAGCAGTCTGGTGAAGCTGGTGGTGCGCCTGCTACAATCAGGCATGGTGGTCCCAACGGCGTACGTCTTTTTCCATCTCATCTTTTCTTCTCCTTGTTGCTCTTTTCGCTGACTCGGACTCGTTAACAGCAAACGATCCTGGTGGATACCCGCTCTTGCATCGCCGATTTCCGAACCAACTCTTTCGTCGGTACAGAAGAGTACATTGCGCCAGAAGTCATCAAGGGGAACAGTCATTCGTCGGCTGTCGATTGGTGGACTTTGGGTATTTTGGTATACGAGATGATTGTGAGTTACACCTCATGTCCGCGTTCAGAGGCAAGGGCTGACAACTCTTGACAGTTCGCTACCACCCCATTCAAAGGGCCCAACCGAAACGCCACCTTTGCAAACGTCATGAAAAACGACGTCCTCTTCCCGGACCCCCCGTCCTCCTCCCCCTCCTCCCACACCGCCATCTCCTCCTCCTGCAAAAGCTGTATCCGCAAACTGCTCATCAAGGACGAAAACAAGAGACTCGGGTCGCAGAGCGGCGCGAGCGAGGTCAAGCAGCACAAGTGGTTTGGCAATCTGAGCTGGGGTCTATTGAGGAATATGACGCCGCCGATTATACCGGAAGAGTCGAATGGGATTGATACGATTAATTTTAGGCCGTTGAGGGAGAGTAAGAGTTTGGACTTTGATAAAGATGAGCTGGTGCGTTTTTTTTTTTTTTTTTTTTCACATGCTTTCCAAATCCTATCAAAGATGCTGATGGCTTTGGGTTAGACGGCGGATATCATCCATGCACAAGCGGGGAACCCCTCGGTATTCGGCGGAAACACGCCAGGCATGCTCACGCCGAATGAACTCCAACCCACGCTCCCTTCGGCCCCACCACTTCCTTCCTCATCGACGAGCAGTCAAGCGGGGGGCGATACGAGTCTAGCAGGGAGCGTCGCGAGCCTCGCCGTGAGCACCGACGGCTCCGGCTCCGGTCCCGGGTCCGCTCCCACAAATGGAGGACAGCATTCGAGTGCTAGTGGCAGTGGCAGTCTGGGGAAGAAGAGGGGGCAGGCGCAGAGCCCGTATGATCTGGAGAAGAATCCGTTTGGAGAGTTTAGTAGTGTCACGAGAGATTTTGGGGGGTACTGAGCTGCTTTTTGCGCTGTACCTCTTGGAGCGGGAGGAGAGGGGAGACAATCATTCGCCAATTATCACCATTTTTCACGCATCATCATATCACGTTCTCTCCCATCGAACAATCATGTCTTTTCCCACCATTCCCTTTTTTCTTTCTTTCCCTCTCTACAATAGGGCTGTGTGCTATAGCAAGCCTGGTCGCTTTCTACTTTTCTGATTCATGTCCTCTGTTGAATTATAGATATCTTACAAAAATGGTGGCGCAGAGATTTTCGTTGTGTATATTATCTTTTCTAGAGCCTCTTTTCTCGCGGAATGTCGGAGAGAAAGAGGTTTGATGGAGAGAAGAGTCGTTGTGTAGTATAGTTCATGATGCAAAAATGACCCTCTCGCCCACTCGTGCGATATCTAGCGATGGTCCATCAAGACAACAATACCTGGCAAGAGGAACAAACTGTCCATCACCATCGATCAGGCGGTCAAGCTTGCGGAGACGATTCTTTCGTGTGTGGTGGATCAGCGATACGACGAGCGCCTGGTGGCTCAGTCCGCCTCTCACGACGCCAGCCTGCTCCTTCTCAAAAATTCTCTTTGTTCTCTTCTATTTTTTGCGGTTAGCGGACTGAGCCACCAGGTGCTCGTCGTATCGCTGATCCACCACACACGAAAGAATCGTCTCCGCAAGCTTGACCGCCTGATCGATGGTGATGGACAGTTTGTTCCTCTTGCCAGGTATTGTCGTCTTGCCGTTCTCCATCGCCCACATCAGTATACACTTGCTGATGCGAGGGTCTGGTAGCTTCCCGGCGCGAGCTCTTTCGATCAGCCGAATGGCCTGCTCGGAGCCTCTGGATCGACGGGAGGCATACAATCTATACCCAGCTTTGGCTTCGGGCACGCAGCACTTGTATTTCCTGGCGGAATAGAACCGGCTATCAAAAGCTCAGTTATGTTGGGTCGAGAAAACGACATACGTACCAGGCAGTGAAAAAGAAGCTCATCGCGCGATTTTCCCTGGAGTATCTGCTAATCTACAGAAGGTAGGCGCTCGACAAAAAGCTGGACATGGACACAGCCATTATTCTTTCGATGGGTGGGGCAGTCACAGGTTTGTTGGCCCCACAGAGATTGTACATGGCAGAAACGGGGTAACTATATTTGTTGTCAGAATAGTGATCCCTAAAGGGTAGAGCTAGACTTACAGGTCTGGAATGCGCTTTGTCCCAATCCTGACAAACCCAGAGGTCGCGCCACAGCTTCACACAGAACATCGACCTCTCTTCTATCTCCTTTGCGTACTTTTCCCAAGATTCTTCACCATCCATCTCTTCAAATTTTGGATGCGACATGGGCTGTGGATTGTCGATGCTCACGAGCTGGGAACGCCGGAGCAGGGGGAGCGGCAAGGTGTGGCGGCAACGGAGAGAGTGCAGGAAGATGAGCCGGTGGTGAATAGTTGTCCTGTGGCGCATCATAGAAAGAATCACGCATTCTGCCCAAAGTCCCGCTCTGCATTGGGAAGTCGAGGGGGAGGTGTGATGCCGAGCTGCTCGTACCATTCATTGTTGGGAGGAAGAGCGAGGAGGGTCTATTTCTGCAGTAGCCGCAAGCGACCTTTCAGAACGCCAATGCAATGCCCTGCCTCTTGAAGTGTTCACTCTTCAGCTCCTTTCCCTGGGTTGCCTGACAGGTGAAGGTCTAGGGCTATCCTGATCAAAAGGAGAAGGGTCGAGCCCCGAAGAGCCGGACCAATCTGAGGGCCCAGGGGAGAAGGAAAGCAGTGACCTGGAGCAGTCATCGTCACCCCCGTCTCTTCTTCCATGGGGAGGGCGACATACAGAGCTCGTGCTTGAGCTGCCGTCTTCAGAGGCGGAATCCGGAATGGAAATATGGTCGGGAAGAGGGGGCGAGCCGGTATGGTCGAGCAGGTCGTCGCCCTCGTCGCCGGAGGAGTCGCCAAGGGATCGTAGGGCCTGGAGGAAGAGAGGGTCAAGGACCTGCTGGATATCAAGAGGAAGAAGGTCTAATAGGGAATATATATCACCGACGACCTCCACTCTGCCTCCACTTTTCATCTCCGAATACAATTGCGTGAGTAGAGTCTTCAGCTATCCTCATTTCCTCAATCTTCTTCTATACAATCAATCAGCACCATGTCAGATACCTGCGCAGACTGCGAAAAGCCCCCCCAGCCCTCCCCCGCCCCCTCCCCCCGCCCAGGAGTCTGCTGCCCCAGAGCAAGCCGCCCCCGCCCCCGCCCCTGCTCCTATTCCTACTCCTGCTTCGAGTGGCAACACCGCCGAAGGGCCCTTCATTGCACCTGATTTGAAACAGGTCAAGCCCAGTGTGGTCATAGAGTTCTGCGACCGCTGCCGATGGTACGCCTCCAAGTCTCCTGGAGAAGGTGTAAAAGCTGACAAAGCCGTAGGGCACCAAGAGCGACATGGATCCAGACTGAACTGTTCCTCACCTTTCCTACTCCCCTACTGAGAACCATTACTCTCATGCCCGGGAATACGCCAGAGACTGGGGGAAGGTTTAGAGTATGGGTCGATAACGGGGATGGGAAGGGCGACCAGCTTGCTTGGGACCGAAAGGTGAGCGCCACCGAAACGAGAGCTTGGGATTGGTGCTGATATCCCTATAGACAGAAGGAGGCTTCCCGGAGCTCAAGGTATTGAAGCAAAGAATAAGGAATATCATCCAACCCGATCTAGGTCTGGGCCACTCAGACGTCCACGGAAAGCAAGAAACCAAGTGAAAGCCGTGGCATGCATGATGTACATTATCAAAACGTCTACTCGTCCTCTACTTTCGCCTGAAAGCATTCTTCGAAGCACTCCTATCCGGTCTCCTCCTCTGTGTCCTTCCTCCCCTGTCTTCAAACTCTTCATCCTCCCTCCCACCCTTCTCCATCCCCGCACCAAACCTCTCCACCCTATCCTTCCTCCTCGTCCCTCCAGAGTACTCATCCTGATCATCTCCATCCTCATCTCCGCCCTTCCTGCTTCTAGAGTTGGAAGAAGGAATGAAGGACATTTCCATACCACCGTCCGCCGCCTTGCGCATAGCAAGGATAGAGGGGTCGTGTGCCGGGGCAGAGGATTTGGAAGATTTGGAAGCTTGGGAGTGGAGGCGTTGGCCGAACGTGGGAAGGGTGGAGGATTGGACGTCGCCGGAGACGAGGGTGGGTTTGTGACGGGGCATGGGGCGGCGCTCGGCGGCTTTGACTGTGCGGGGGTCGTACAGCAAGTCTTGACAGATGATCAGTCTACCGTAGCGCGAGCGCGATGAGATGGAAACACTTACTGCCGTCGTCACTTTCTTCACTGTCGCTTCCCGCTTCCTCAGGCTCAGGCTCAGACCCTTCCTCACTCTCCTCATCATCTTCCAAGTCTGATGAGAACTTGTCGCTCTCTTCTTCTTCATCCTCAACAGCAGTCTTGGCTCGCTTGGCCTGTGACAAGTCAGCATACATTTTCATCAAAACTCAAGACAACTCACATTGTTGTTGGCAGTGGCGGGGTTGATGAGAGCAAACTCTCGACTCTCCTCATCCACTTCAAAGTCGGGGTTGTCCCACAATTCCTTGAATCGAGGATCAGACAACAGGCCAGCCGCACCTGGCGCCTTTTCTTCTCCTTCAACCTCTTCCTCCTCCTCTTCTTCCTCTTCTGCCTCTGCCTCTCCCTCAGCCAACCCCCTCGCTTCCCTCCTCTCCCTCCTCTTCTTCTCCACAGCCTTCTCCCTCTCCTCCACCTTCCTGATCCTCTCCGCCAACGCCTTGTTGACCTTGGGCTGCTCCTTCCTCGCCCTGATACGCGACTCGCTCTTCGCCTTGAGCTTTTCGTTGACGATCCTGTCGCGGTGCTCGTCGTACGACTGCGGGTTGGCGATAAGTCGGGCGGTGGTGTAAAGTTTGAGGGAGAGGAAGTAGCCGTGCATGTATGGCTTGAGCGCGGGGGTACCGATGAGGTGGGTGAGTCCGAGGCTGCTGCAGGTCAGTGAAAGCTCATGGAGAAGAAGAGGAAGATGAAGGGGACGTACGTCTCGAGTTCGTGCTTGTCGATAAACTTGTAATCCGCATAAGCACTCTTCCCCGCCCCACCCGTAAAGTCATCCCCAAGCTCCTCCGTAACAGAATCCAAGAAACTCGCCCACTTTGGCGCCGGCCCAAGATCAGGGATGTAGTAAGACGACAGCTGCGGCGCATCGCACGCTACAAACATCAGACCCGACTGCGGGACGGGGTGCAGGTCCACCATGGACGCAGGGGGGTGGAGAGAGAGTTGGTTGTCTGCGGGAGCGTTCTTGTCCCAGATTTTGATGACTTTGCTGTCGGAGCTGACGACGCGGCCGCCGTCTTCGTGCGCACCGCCGCCTCGGAGCCAGTCAACTTTACGGATGGGCTCGCTGTAACCCTGGTCCTTGACAGCAAAGGGCGTGGGGCTTCGGAGGTCGTATAGCAAAGTGTGGCCGGTGGAGGTACCGACGGCAAAGGAGAGACCGTCTGTGGGGTGGGAGGCGAGGGCGGAGACGGAGAGTTTTTGGTATGGAGCGGGGATGTAGGCGTTGGGGTCGTGTGATTGTGCGGGGAGGAGGTCTTGAGCTGGGAGGACAAGGCGGGTAAGCGCAGAGCGGGATCGAGGATCCCAAAACTCGACGACACCTCCTCCTCCATCCAGTCCAAAACTCCAGAGACCATGTCTCGGGTTTACATCGACAACATTCACACCTTCCACATCATCCTCGTTTCCGTCACCCCAGTTTTGCGCTATTCTCAGAGGAGTCATGTATCGGCCTTCTTCGAGGTTGAAGCGGAAGACTTCGTTGCCGGTGGCACCGATGATGGCGTCGGCGGAGGGGGAGTGGTAGCCGAGGGCACGGCCATAGATGGGTAGGCGGACAGTGTGGTGGAGTCCCATCTGGGTGTGTAGTTGCAGGGAACGATCTCTTTGGAGATGCAAACTCTTTGTCCAGTCTTGTGACAGAATCTACGCCGTGTCACTATCAGTCTGCCTCAAGAGGCATGCAACTCACCACAAAATCCACATTCTCCGCATCCGTAACCCTCTCAAACTTGACAGTCAAAGCTTCCAGATCCCACACCTTCATCATGGGCTTGTATGTCCCCGTCGCAATCGCATGCAACCCATCTTCGGTCGTCTTGATCTTGATCGCCTGGCCGGGGAATTTAAAGTCTTGGATGAGCTCAAGGTCGCCGACAGTGTGCTGGGTTTTTGTGCGCTTCTTGTGCTTGCCGGTAGGCTTGGATTTGACGGCAAGCCAGGAGGGGAGGGCAGAAGCGGAGGTGGAGGAGGGGCCGTTGACGGTGTAGACTTTGGGGAAGGCGGACATGTCGAATTTGAGCTCGCTGTTGAGCAATTTTTGGGGCTAAAGAGGCGGAACCCTTGTCGAATACTGGGAACGATCCGGACTGTCGTGGTAATCCTGTTTCTGAGAGAATTTTGCTCGTTCGAGCTGCTGCCTGAGGAATGTTGACAATCTTCAAAAATTCTTTGACGGAAGACCGGCGGCGGCAGCTCGGCGGCGATCTCCGCTGCCTCGTATGTGGTTCCCATTCCGTCTTATGCAGGAGTTACGTCTTTCTGTACGAGGCTCATATACAGTTATACATATGGTTCTCGATACTAGTCCCTCTCACAGACGCTTGACTTTCTCCCTCGGGTCGATACCCAATAGGTCCCCGAGCAGCGATATCGTTGGCTTTCTCTTCATTAGAGTGGCCTCGCAGGTTGAGTCGAGATACTCAAAAGTACCAAAAAGCCCATATAGTAGTATGGTTCATTAAATGAGATATTTGGGATCACAGAATGTATATACAGGCGCAATGACCATGTCTTTACCTTCCTCCGTGAAGATTTCCAGACCGAGCTCGATAGCCCTGGGTCTCATCTTCCCTTCGCCTCTACCCTCTAGCCAGAAACAGCACTTGAGGCCTCGGCTAGTACACCTTCCGCAGCGGTAGATGTCGTCCACCTTGCACTAATGCTCATGTCAGCCTCTTTGGTCGATTCATGGATGGGATGGGGTGTACTCACACTTTTCCGGGCAATTCGACAGCACTCGCAGGCCATACTGGAGCGGGTGTGCTTCTTGGTGCGCTTGATGCCGGCCCGCTTCAGGTGGGCGGGGGTCGACGCCTTGGCAGGGCTCTTGTCGGAGCGGTTGGGAGAGCGCTTTTTGCCAGCAGACTTTTGAGTGGGAGTGATAGGGGTCTTGGAGATGGCAGTAGAAGCAAATTTAGGTGTGGTCGGAGGAGAGATTGGGACGTTAGAGGGCTCGCGAGTGAGGGATCCCGCAGTATCGTCGATGGTACCGGCCTTCTGTATCTATGTCAGCGCCTTGCCAGAGCTTGTTAGTGTAGAGCATGCTTACCTCGGGAGCGGGCTGGATACCAAACTGGTAGCTGAAAAACGCCTCCTGGCTCACTTCCACACCATTGAGGAAGAGCTCCGCGTCGGCTTCCTCCGCGTGAGAAGGAGTAACAACGGTTTGGACAGAGAGCTCATTCGTGCTAGGAGCAGGACAGGTGGAGAATTTTTTGGTTGGGGTATTGAAGGTGGTGGTAGAAGTCATACGAGAGGTGGCGGGAGCAGAGTCGGTGGCGATTGAAAAATCGCAAGTGGGGGATCCCGCAGTCTCGACAGTGGCACCGGCCTTTTGTGCCCATGTCAGCGTCTTGCCAGAGCCCGATCGTGTAGAGAATGCTTACCTCGAGGGCGGGTTGGATGCCAAAGTGGTAGTAGAAGAACACGTCCTGGCTCACTCTCACACCTTCGACGAAAAATCCCTCCTCGGCTTCCTCCTCGTAAGAGGGTGCAGCAACAGCCTGGGCAGAAAGATGCTCTGTGCTGGTGTCGCGATAGGTAGGGAGAGAGAAAGGGAAGGGATAGGATACCATGGTGGAGATACCAGAGAAGCACTGGCTGTCAGAAGACATGGTGCTTATTGGGTGATGGGTTTGGGTTTGGGTGTGGGTTGGTTTGGGTGTGAGAGTTGAAACGAGCGTGAAAGCGGGTTTCGATAAGCAAAGCTTGTGTAAAGGAGAAAAGAACAATTCTGAACGTCGAGGGGGGCATTATATCTGCTCCATGGGAAACGGCGTTGCCCAATGGGGACGAACGGAGGGCGGTGCATGGGTACAGGGAGTTGCGGGATCTTGGTCCGACCTTTGTAAAACCGCTCCTTGTCAACCACGCATCCGATTTTCTTCATTCCTGCACCGAAAGACGCGCCTCGACTGTGGCTATACGCCAGTACTTTATTCGCTTCGTAATATAACCTGCGAGCCGAGATATACGCGCTTGAGGGATAAAGAACTGAATTTTCGAACGCGGTCAGTGTCGACTCTTTTTTCCAGGTACCATCAAAATACTCGAATTTTCCCACGCATTCTGGCTTGCGACGCTCGTAGGTGCACAGTGGAGCGCACCGCCCTGTCTAGCGTAGAGGGTATCACATGCAGGGGGTCGAGTAACGACGGAAGACTGGGAGGGTTGAGTGACGGGTCGCAACGGGGCGCGCCGAGAATTTCTGTGGACGCGACCCTGCCGGGGGGGCAGCATCAGCCCCGCTAGCTCACCCTGACTACCCAGTGACCCCAGGACGAGCACCAGGGCGAACTGGGTCGAATGGAACCAAATAATGCGGAAGAGCGAGCATCAGGGTAAACTGTCCTGACGCGCTTCGGTTTAGCCTGATCTCGCGAAACGCGGAAATTTCCTGATCGGGCAATAGGTGGACGATGGAAATGAATGTCGAGCGATGGATGCATGGGATGACGAGAAGGGAAGGAAGGTGGCAGTAGTATCTGGAGTGTGCATATCAGCCTGGTACAGGTCAGATAGGGATGCCAGCCATGCCTACCAGTCAAAGGCGACATTACGCCCCGCTCAATGGGAAGCCGTAACTGTATCTCATGGCTCCATGTACCGCCCTTGGTTGTTGAGCGTCTCATCGACGAAGTACTTTCTACCGAGAGCATGTACCACCGTCTGGTTCCACTTTCCTGGAGTGCCAGGAGCGAGGACCGAGCGAAGTGACCAGAGTGCACTGGTGTGCTCCATGTTTTCTCTTGTCTAACGACATGGATCAGCTTGGATCCTTGATCTCTATGGATCAACGCTCACCAGGGCATTTGGGTCAATCTCTCTCCCTGAACATGCTGCTCTAAGTCCCCACATGTCTTAAGTGATCTGTTCTTTGCTGTTCAGAGCACAATGCGTCGTCAGGGAGCACATCATGAGAATGCGGAATGCCTGCGGAATGCCCAAAAGTCTGCATTGATACCTGTGGCTACTCCAAGTCAGAATACAGACCAAGTATCACCCAGACACTCCTCTGACTTACCTGGGAAAGTACGGCAGTCATCTGCGCGTGTTGTCAGAAGAAAAGACAAACACAACAAATGTCGAACACACAAGAGGAACCGACCCCGTGACTGCGCCTATGACCTTTTACAATTTAAAAGTTAAACAGAGTCACCAGATTTGGAGGCATAAGACGAGCAGTATCGAGTGTCATGCTGTATCGAGCAGTGGACGACTGTTGATGAGAGGTGCGACTTGGTCATGCGGGCATACATTATATCTATGAAAGTACACTGGTACATAAAGTACATCCGATTCCAAGATAACGATAGATAAGATGCTAAGCAAGATCAAAGTGGTGAGTTGAGAGTGATTGTCATTTGGAGCGGTGTGTTGATGTATAAATGCTCTATGATGCTCTACTCTTCCTATCTCTCTGCTTTGCCTCTCCCTTGAATCACTCTACGCCCCCAGCTTGGCAGCCACCAGCTCGTAAATCAAAAACATGCACGCCGCATGCGGCACAACCCTAAACACGTGGGCCGTCAACCCGCCATACAAGCTCCTCACCCCTTCCTCCCTCATGACCACTTTCAGCGTCTGTAGCAGACCGGTGTACTTGGGCGCGGTGCCAGTGGGAATGGGTTGACGAATCCGGGTACGGATAGCCTCGTGCGGGTAGGTGATCAGAGAGGCGACGGCTTTGGCTCCACCGGAGGCGCCAACGATGTGAGGAATGTAGGAGAGAAGGGGTTGAGATTCAAGTGGGGACGGAGGTGTTGGCGAGGCTTAGTTTGAACCTCATAACTGAAACATGTACGCACTTCGTAAAGAACCCATTAACCACACTCTCAGACACACCGAGGTAACTCGCCGACAGAACCTTGTAAAGTCCGCGGAAGCCCTTTTTCTGGATAATGCCCATGGTCATCTCGGTCGCCGGTGTCAGTGATGACTTGGCAGCGATAGCTACTGGCGCAGCAACAGTGACAGAGCCTGTAGAAAGAGCAGCAGCGCTCTTTGCGATGGGTTTTGGCAGGACCCCACCGCTCCCAATGCCCGCTCCCTTTCCAGCCCCAACCGCCGATGCCACAAGTGCAACCTCCCTCCTCTTTGCCGAGAATCGCAGCCTCGTTTTCACCACCCAAATCGGGTTTGTTTGCGTGCTCGTCATGATACCCGCCACCACCGCCGCTCCCAGGTGCACCAGCGGAAGAGCAGGGCAGGGGTAATTGTGGGTGTGGAAGATGCAGATGAAGAGGAAAATGAGTGATTGATGAATGATATGCATCATATAAGCGGGACGTCGTCGAGGACCGTCATGACCGTTGTCCTCACGTGTATCTGGCAAATTGATGGTGGGGCGTATCTCATTATTCTTGTCCAGCTGGCGCTCAGACGTCCCATGCATGATGGAAGCGGCTTCCATGCGACCACCTCCCAGTTGGCCTACTGAAGAGGACGAAAGCTATACGACGCAACATCAATCACCTTAGGACTATTCTTCTTTGTCCCCGTGGCTTCCACCAGTTTTCTCGAAGCAATAGACAGCTCTTCCTCCTCCAACATCTCCATCATCCTCCCTTGCTTCTCCCAAGCCTCCTCAAATTCATCTCCAACGGGAAATGTATCTCGAGAGAGCGATAGAGACCTTTCGCGGTACTTTGACGCCAGCTGTTCCAGTTTTCTCTTCATTTCCACTTGGAATTGTTGTTCTCTATTGGCATATTCGATGTCGTACACCCGCTACCTTTGATTAGCTACCACCTTTGTATATAAAAGTGAGACATGGGGACTGAGCTTACATAGAAGCCAAGAAGATGATTGTTGAACACCATAGCTTGAGCATTGACAGCGTCGGCATTCATCTTATCGACTGGGGGTGTCTCGTATTCTTCTGCAAGCGTTTGCAGACTCTCATAGTCTTGTATGAGTAGACTGCCATCATCATTAGCTCGCGGCCATAAGAATATCATGAAAGCAGTGACACACACCTTTTTGTGAGCATCAACGCCGCGTGCCGAGAGGGTGCCATGTATCCCCCGTTATTGTCGTAGGAGAGGCGCATATCTTCTTCGAGCTCGAGGTAAGAGGTAGTGATATCTTGGATCTGATTGCCAAAGTGGTGACGGTGATGTGGGTGGTAGCAAGGACATTGTGAGCCACAAATCCAAGGGTGTTTCAAGGAGCAGGCCGAATAGAGTCAGAACATACCAAATGAGTCCTATGGTACTCCGTACTCATCAAACCTGTCAGAATGTCCAATACCCCTCTAACGACAGCTGCAACGCTGCCTGTCCCCCCCGAGAGCGGATTCCCAAACTCCTCCTCCAATACTTCCTCGGCAGTCCGATCTTCTTCCCAATCTCTATCGATCTCTGCGACCTCTGGGTCATGCTGGGGGATGACGGGTGGGAGCTGTGAGATACTGCACATTGCTTGCTTTGCTGTCTGTTTCCTGTTCTGTTTTGCTTTGCCGTCTGTGGTATGTCGGCGAATGAGTGAGTGATGAGTGGCGACTACGTGCTATCAGAAGACCTCATAGACAGACGGCAGTGGTCATACTTGTACCCCCAAACGCCGACTAGCAGAAAGCTTCATGCTCTCGTCGTGTGCATGCTATTCGCAAGGCTGACGGCGACCATGCTTTTGCAGATTTGCAGATCGCGCGCTGAGGTGGGTGCATGTGTGTGTGTATGGTAATTGGGCAGCGCGGAAGATTGAGAGGTGAGGCCGCGATTTTCCTTCTGGCCGATCATTGCGTTTGTCGGTCAATCGAGGTCGTTGTTGAAGCCCCCGCGTATCGGATCCTGTAGTGAGCGACCCAGTAGACCGAGGCGCCGACACAAGTTGACAAGAAGCGATGCAAGCCGAATGGTGTAAAATGCATGCTCATGATATCGTCTACAACCCTCCCTTAGCACCTCTCCTAGCCATCTACCGAGCCCATCAGCTGTATCCCCATTCACATTTGCGCTTAAGCTTACCTCCACAACCTTCCACCCTCCCGTCAACTCATTCTCCAACTCGGTCTCCAACCTCGTCACCACCATCGCATACCTGCACTGCTCCACATCGTCCTCTGACCCGACCACGACCTGGCCTGTACGGGCTGAACGGAAGAGGAGCTGTTCTTGGGTGGCGAAGGTGATGACGAATACGGGAATGTCGTTCTCGAGCATCTTGCCGTTGGCAATGTCGACGTGCTTGATGTCGAGGATTTTGCTGTCCGAGACGAGGCCTTGCTTGATGTACTGGCCCATGGTTGCCCAGAGGACGTTGAAAGTCTGTCAGAGTATTAGTCGAGATCGGAATGAATGTGAAGCACTTACAGCCTCGCCACACCACTGTTTCAAGCTCTCCCTGTCTGCCGACAGGTAAGCGTCAACCACTTCCGGCACGATATACTCTCTGAGCTCTCCTGTCCATCGGTCCATGTTGAAGTTGGGGTCCATAGCCTTGAGCGTTCGAATGACCTGGGCGGTCTCGTTCTCCTCAAAGAGTGAGCCCACCTTGGTACCGACAGTTCGGATGGCAGAGATGAAGGGTGATTCAGACTCGTAGTAGGTCTCAAGCCATCGCTGGTATGTGGCAGACTCTTTGATGAATGCAAGTCGAGACGGTGTCTCGGGCTTGTCTGAAAGCACCAAAGCCTCACCCGCCTCCGGGTTCTCCTCCACCCGCTTCACAGCTGTCCTCCCAGCCTTCTTCGCCCTCATCTCCCTCTTCTTCCTCCTCGCCTCCTTCTCCTGGTACCCGCCGTACCTGCTTCCCACACCCGCCTCATCTTCGAAAGCCTCCTCGATCGACTCAGCCATGAGCTTGTAAGCCTTGGTGTCGCGGATAGGGGCGGTGGCATCATAGGTGGCAGAGACGAAGCGGTTGGAAGCGGCCGAGATGGCCCTGAGCACTTCAGAGTCACGGAGGGCGTGTTGGACGGCGTCGTGCACAGAGATACCGGCTTTTTGCAGGTCGGTGACGGCTGATTGGATTCGGGGGTTGTTCTTGATCAAGTTGGCGAGCTAGTACATGTCAGCACCAAATATCCCCTGTGGAACATGCAATGACTCACCCTGGCCTTTTCGTAGCTCTCTCGCATCTTCTTCATCGCCGCCGAGTCGGCCATCTTGTCCACATCACCCTGCAGCTGTTTCACATTGTCCTGCCACCCCTTATTCTTGTCAATCTCCTCCTTAAGTACCTGGGTAAACACAGCCCAGGGAGACCGGGGAGGACCATTGTCTTCAGGTTGCTGGCGCTTCTTTTCAGACTTTTTGTCGTCGAGGAGGCGGGCGGTGGAGGAGATGGGGCGGAGGGACTGGGGGCGAATGGGGAGGAGGCGGGGCTGGAGGGGGGCTTGTCGTAGTCTGAGGGCGCGGAGGAAGACGGGGCGGGAGTGCATCCTGGTGCTTTTGGGGGGTGGAATAGGTGGAAGAGAAAGTCTCAGAAAGCACAGAGTCGACGACTTTTCGGCTCCCTTCGGCGCGGACAGGGCCGCCGCCGCGGGATCAATTTCAGCCTTCGCCCAGAATTGACTGCCACGCCGTGTCGCCTGGGCGGAAACGGCCAGGGGTGTCCCGAGCGCTGTGCGTTTAACAGCTCGAGGTGGCTTCTTTATGATACAGACCATACGGATACTCTACAGTACCGTCCTAAGTATACAGTTGCTGTGTAATAGGCGGAAAGCGGCGAGAGCTACAAAAGCAGTTTTATGCAACAGTACAAGAGACTTACAGCTAGGCCAAACGTCCTTCAGTGGGCTCAGGGGAAATCTCAGCTCGTGTGGCAGCGACCGTGTGTGTTACCAAGGCTAGTTGGGTGTCCGGAGCACTGTGCGTCCACTGGGCTGTCAGTATATAGAGCACTCGTGGATAGGTTGCATGTGCTATAAAGTGCCTGTCTATGTTCGATCGTCCAGCACTTGCCCCTCGGCCCAGGGTAGAAATCGTCGGAAGATAAGGATGGCCGACAATGGTATCATTTTGCTGTTTTTGAATACGAGCACTCGATGCACGACCTCACCCCGGGCGCAGAAGTCTGTATGTTGCCAGCTGCGAAGAAGTAGTCGGAGTGAGGACAGCTCTTGTTGTGTCGCTGGAAGCAGCGAAAGCGATCGGCCAGTCCGGCCACGAGAACTTCCAACTGCTTGGGGATGGGACACCGACTGCTCTTGATAGAAGGACACCAGTGTTAATGTGAAGAACACTCACTCGACCGTAAGATGCGAGGCTCCTAACACGCCATTAGATATCCAGAGAGCGCACGGAAAGATGGGGTGGTCGTGCTAGGCGAAGCCCCGAAACGACCTATATCGCCAGGACACAAAACGGCAATGAGCTTGAGTGACTGGTGAAGGATGCGAAGAAGGCTTACGCGAATGGATTGAAAGCGACTGGACTATGCACCGGGACCGGAAGTGTCAGGATCCAGTGGTCAGGCCCCGGGGCGCGAGTTAACAAGTCCAGATACCAACATATGCATTATGATTCCGGAGTTGGTATTGTGATGCAATGGCTTTTGCTGCTCATCCGCTTAATTGATCTTACTTGGTAATATTTGGATTCGTTAAATCGCGCCCCGGGATCTGATCACTGGATCCTTACAGGAAGCTAATAAGGGAGGAATGGCCAGGATGGTAGGAGAAGCTATTCAGAATACCATGCGCCATCGAGGGACCCTGATGAGTTGTGTCAACTTGTCCGATCGGGCGAAATTGATGTGTTGTACTCACCTGCGTTATAACGACGACGAAAGACGATAGAAATGTCCTCGCTCACACTTGGCAGTAGGCTGAGTTTGGTCACAGAGCTCTCAAATTTTCTTCATAATGTAAAGGAGACATGGCCCATCAGACCCCAGATGCCTAGTATTGTTATCCATCCCTGCCCTGAGGCCATATTCAGCTTGAACGTCATTGAACGTGCCGCCGCCACGCACAAGCGGATTCGTCAGGTGGAGGCTCAGTGCCTGAGCGTCGCACCATTTTGTTTCCTTCTTATGTTATTTGGTTCCGACCAAGATCCCGACGAGAAGAGGTGACGAAAGAGAGTTGCAGTATGGCTGTTGAGATCTGATGTCTTCATTTTCTTTGCTTCTTCGTCGGGTGACACAGTCATGATCAGCCGACAAGTAGAGCGGAGAAGAGGAGGAGGAAGGAATGGTACCTACAGTATATTCAATGCGACAGTAGAGTAGTGTACAATACTTGTATGGTCAAGTGGTGGCTCACCAATAGAGCTGCGGTTCAGCTGATAGTCAAGTGCAGCTACCATCACCAGACACTTCTCTACTTTGAAGCGACGTTGAATGATGTATGGCGGCGTAAGCCGCTGACGCTCGGGCCTTATCCCTGTGTGGAGCTGTACGTCTTCTGTAATTGTATCTTCCAACCACCTTTCTACATCGACCATACACCCCGCGTCCCATTCCCAACTCCTTCAGAGACGAATCCCGCCCCAGGGCTCCCTCCCCCTCAGCGACACCGGAATTCGGACACTCTTTCGGCCTGTGGCAGGCTGCAGCCCGCTGTCCACGACACCGATGACGAGCATGCGTAGGGCGCCACATAGGCGACTGGCAACTACATATCTGCAGACAGATGACACCCGGGCTGAGGCTTTCGCCAATATCGGGAGCTTGTAGCTCGTCGCACGTGAGTACCCCGATCCCACCACGCGACTGTGCGACTGTTGGACAAGTACGAACTGATTCGATCCCACAGTGTCTCTCGGTAACTCAGAGTACCCCGGATGGATTCTCCTGCCATCCTGACTGTCCGCCTCCTACCATGCTGCCACTTTTTTCCTTTGGTCGGGAGCTTATGGCCCGCATGTGAGTACGACAACCCCATACGCTTAGACGAGCTGACTGGATCTCCCAGTGTTTCCCGGCAATGCAGAGTACTCTTGAAAGCTTCTCCTACCACCCTGGCCATTCCCTCTTACGGTGCCGGGTGCATATGTAGTTCAGTCGCCTTCAAGCCATTCGCGTAACCCTTAGTGCCCCCAGGGTACAACGGCAGCACTCCTGCAAAGGTTCCCCTTCTGGGCAATTCCAACTACGTCCAGTGGTCCTCCAGTGTGTCTTCACTACTTCTCAAGAAGCAGGCATTGTTCTGCCTAAGGTCCGAACCCATCGAAGACCCATTGTTGTATTTCGACGCTATGGGCTCCTCTGATCCATCGACAATCCCTACGCCGCTCACTCCTCTCAAGCAGGCTCGAAAGTTTCCGAACGGGACGACGAGCAGTCTGCCGAAACGCTCTCCGATTTGGTCGACAACATTGCTACTGCCGAAGAAGCCGACGACGCCCGCAAGAAGCGCAAGGGAGACAACGGGGACGAAGGAGGGCATGCCCTATTATACACCCGTCATTCCCTCACTGAGTGGACTAAGTGACAACAGCTGTTCATCATGAGCATCCATATTGAAGCCACCAAAGCGTCGACCGATATCCCTCAGCAAGAGCAGCAGGATACCCCCGTCTCCGTTTTCGAGTATCAAGCGCAAGCGCTTGAGGGTACGTAGCTCTTCTCTGCCTATCGTTTCCATTATCTAACCCACGCCATAGACGATTCCTCTTTACTCGAGGACGATGCTCCTTCCTGCCCCACATGCGACATTCTTCTTCCGCAAGAGGCGGTGGCGGCGGCGGAACCTGCTGATTCGTCCCACGGTGCGTTCTTCCTCTGGCTGCTCTTATTGACCCTGTCTTTCTGTGTTGGCTCACTGTATCGCTCAGCACAAAATACCCCTCCTCATTCACCATCGCCTTCTGAGGCTGACTCTGTTTCCGAACGGGACAACGAGCAGTCTGCCGAAACGCTCTCCGATCTGGTAGACAACATTGCTGCTGCCGAAGAAGCAGATGACGCCTGCAAGAAGCGCAAGCAAGACAACGAGGACGAAGGAGGTCGTGCCCCCTCTGAGACGAATCAGGAACCGGCTTCCGGCCCGGTCAACGCACCTCCAGTCGCCCTTCCTACATGCAATGAGTGTAGGCTTGCCCGTCGTCGCGTAGGTCTTCTTTGATCTGATGTAGGGGTGGATTGGAGCTAACAGCCACCTAGTGCCGCCTGCCAGAAGGGTCGTCCAGTCAGGACAATGCTTGCGAGCGATGCGTCATGATAGGTAGGTCATGCCGCAGAATCCATTTTTGCCCGAACCCGAGTAGGCCGAACGCGGGCAAGGACGAGCAGTAGGATCAAAGGACAAGCGCTGACGGACAACACGAGGACACCTCCAATGGCGATGAAGAAAACACCCTGCTTTGGTATGTCAATCTTGGGATGGAGAAAGAAGTGAGGGGCATTTGGAACAGGGACATCCGTATCGTCTCTACCGTCAAGCATGAGTAAGGACATGTCGTAGCCTTATAAGTAGATTCCGACTGGCCAGGCTATACCACTTATAATGAGGCGTGGATTGATAAGAGAAGGTATCCCTCTGTATATACAATGCCATAAACCATCAGCCAAGCAAGATCAGTTCGTTGCCGCGCGAGAGCTGACTGCTCACTTGGACTCACGCATGAGGTAAAATTTCTATCTGCTTCTTGCCATGCCCCCGTAGCTAACGTATTGGCTTGAATGCCAATATAAGGGTAAATGCGCTGCTGTCATATCGACGTCTCTCCCGGCTGATGTTGTGTGATGATTCTACTGGCGGCTTAAGCCGCGAAGAACGCTTGCCTGGGCCTCATGATCTTCTCTGCGTTCTTTATGTCCATTTCTCATCCTTCCAAAATCCCTCAACTGCATCTCGTTCTCCTTCGGATATCCTATCTCCTCTCACTTATTTCAAACCAGACCGTCTCCTCCACCGCACCACCATTCAGGGTGACTATGGCCCTTCCCCCGGCCACAACAACATCACGCTTCTCGAATCGTCACTCGCCTCTCGTAGCATCGTCTGTCTTTTGGCTTGGCCGCGCTATCTCCACGACTCTGTACCCATTCACGAGGAGCTTGGCCATGGAAGACAGTGAGTGTCCTCAATCCTCAACGCCAAACCAAGCTGATCACCCCTAGCCCTTCATTGGACCACCTCTCTTTCACTTTCTCTGCCCTCCGACATCGTAGTCCTCATTCATGACGTATACATCGCAAACACCCTGCCCTCCCTCCAAAGCGTTCACCAACCTACTCACGCTCAACAGGTCCTATCACGACAAATATGTAACGCGGCTATACGAAGACATCAAGCTCTCTTTCCACAATGTCGACGCGTTCTATGACCCCTGGCTGGTCTGGTTCAAGCAGCACGCGGATCTGGCCAACGGCGGGTGGGGGTGGGAGGAAGGGCAGAAGAGAATTATTAAAGGAGAGCTCGGCTGCCCTGTGCGACCGTATTTGGTCAGGGATCCTACAATAGTCTCCAGATTAATCTTCGAAGATCTCATCGCCGTGAGCTCCACGCTGTCGTTCCTCAAAATATCCTGGCGAGTATGTCCGCTCATGCACCACGTGGATCCCAAGAAACTCCCCTCCTCCGTGTTCTCGAATATGTCCGTCCTATCCCTATCCGCCGGCATCTTTCGACCCAGCCCTGTTGAATATTTGGTTTGGGAGGGCCTTCTTGCAGCAATCTCGCAGAGGTACATCAACTATCCTTTCATTTGCATCGAGTACCCTACCGACGCCTCGTCGATCTCTCATACAGCATATGTGGGGCTCGAGGCTATCCTCCGACAGGGAAGTGACTACATCCGGCATGTGTGCGTGCACAATTGTATGAATCCAGTTCTGTATTCCCCCTCCGCCACTGAAGAGCTGGTATTGTATCTGGACGACTCCTTAATCGCCTCTAGACCCGCCATGATGGACCAACAGTCCAAGATGGTGAACCAGTATCTAGCGAACTCTCTGAACGACGAGTGAGTCTTTCCTTCGCAGCGCAGAAGTCACTGAATGTTTCCCAGTAGAACGTTCACATCACCCCCCGAAGTCATCAAAGTCTATCGATATCCCCGACGACCTTCCTGGTGTTTCGAAACATTGCGGGAGACGTTGGGAGATCGCTGGTACGAGCTGCTGGAAGAGGACCACAACTGGGAGGTGTACAGCCGGGGCATTTGCGACCATCGAAAAGTTGGGATCTGTAAAGGAGGACGTCAGGTTGTGCAGCATGAATGTACGGAGGGATGCGATCTGTATGCCCAAGAGAGCGGGTGAGGGGCGGGTGAGGGCTGCGTTATGGCCATACTCTTTTAGCATACAAGTCATTGTCTTCCTGAATAGTTCATGTCGATGCACACCAAGTTACCTGGTCTACTGTACCCCCACCATGCAAGTACCATTACATCCAGAGCCTACCCAGGGCCTTGGCGCCGCTGTCCGTCGCCGATGTACAGTAACCACTCCTCTGCTAACTGCCACACCATTTGATACCACTCGATTCCATCAGACGTATCGGACGGAACTTTGCTTTGTCGAAACAGCATTGCTGGATTCGCAGTGGTGCATCAAGATAGCGACTCGAGTACTCGAGTACTGTACTTCTTTTTTCGTTCTCTCAATACGCCTGCTCATCTCCCCGTCTTCAGAACCTTGACACACTCCTTATTCTCCCTCTCCAAATTTGCAACCTTATCCACCAAATCACCCATCTTATCCAACAACCACCGTCCCCTATCCCTAATCGCCCTATTCCCACCCAACCCTAAACTCAGCCATCCGCCAGAGATACCCAGAGCCTCGGAACCGCCGTCGGAGGTAATGTTCTTGAGCTGTTGGAGCTCTTGCTCGTACTTTTGGATGTCGGATTCGGATTTGGCGATGACGGCGGTGTTGTACTCGATCTGGGATGAAGCTTTGAATACCGGGTCTGCTCGTATGTCAGCTATGACAAACAAAGTGTTTGATGAGGACTGACCATTGACAAGAGCCTGGAAGGCGTATCGGAACACCGGCTTGCCAGGCTTCACCATCGATGCCCGACCGTCCACATACGTCACCGATACCAGCTCATGCTCCTCCAACGCCTTCAAGCTCTGCTCGCTCCCCTTGAACGGGAACTCTTGCAACACATTGGCATACGGAATCTACCTCCCGTCAGCAGACACCACCATATCCAGTGAAACGACTGACCTCGCCCTTCTTTGCGAGCTCATTCACAATCTTCCAAGCCTGCGCCCTCGTCCACGCCAACCCCTTCGCATCAACACTATCATCCCCAAACGCCGCCTTCCTCAGCTCCACCACATTCCTCAAAATGATATCGTCCACCGCATCTTGGATCTTGAGCCCGGCCGAGCGGACTTTGTAGACGAGCGTTTCGAGGTCGACCATACGTCCGCCAAGCTTGGCTATTTGCGCGCTGTCCTCGGCGGAGAGGGTGTTGACGCTCTTGTCGTCGGAAGAGGTGGGTCTGGGGGAAGAAGAGTGGTGCCGGAGTTTTTCAGAGACGTATGCGAGCGCATTGGTCTCGTCCGCATCTGCCAACCCTACGAGGTTCAACGGCTTGGCCGGCAACGACTTTGTCAGCGCCTTCGTCGCTGTCGGTCCTTCCGTAACGACAATCACATGCGCAATCTTGTTTTCGACAAGACTGGCACCCCATTCGGCGAGCACGTTCCAGAGATCGCCCTTGGCCGTCTTTTGGGCAAAGTTTTTGAGGACGATGATGGGGAGAGACTTGATGGCGTCTGATTCGGGGTCCAGCTCGTTGGAGAGTTGGGTCTCGGAGGCTGGTTGAGGCATGATGGGGCGAGAAGGCGTGGGACCAAGAGATTCGGTAGTCACAGCCACCGTTCCCCCTTCAATCGGCGCCACATTCCCTCCAATCTCCTTCACCACCACCTTCTCCTGCTGCACCTCATCCATATCAGCCTCCCAAAACGGCTCTTCCCCACCCCCAAGTTCACTCAGTCCATTCCCAGCCACACAATCCAACCTCCCATCATGCCACCCCCGCCTAATCATCTCCCTTCGCTTGTCCTTGAGTTTTTCGAGCTCGAGGTGGCTTTTTTGGTACTGCACGTCGTCAGCGTGGGATTTGAGGGCGTGGGCAGTGACGTCTTTGAGGGCGGAGCCGACGGTTTCGAGAATCTGGCGGAGCTGTTGGTCGGTTGGGGTTGAGAAGCCTGCTTTTTGGCCGATCAGGCCGACCGCGGCGAGGTCGATCAAGCCAGAGATGGATGACATGAAGGAAAACACTGGGTAATAGCCTGTACTTTATCAGCCCATTGCCATCGGTTCGGTCCAGAAAGAAAGAGGACTGACCAGTTTGTTCTGCCAAAGCGCTCACAAGCCCCGCATCATTCTTCGCCTTTGCAATAGCTTCACAGTCAATAACCATCGCCGGCTTGTCCTGCTGCTTCAACACTCTCTGCACCAGACTACCTTTCCCAGATCCTGGAGGACCGGTGATGGCGATGAACGTGCTAGGATACTCGGCGAGCCAGGATTCGACACCCTTTTCAGCTTCGATACGGTCTTTCCAGGCATTGCGGCCGAGACCCTCTTCGTCTGAAGAGTCGGAAAAAGAGGAGGAGGAGTTCAGGAAGGAGAAGGAGGTAGGGAGGGAGAATTTGGAGCGGAGCGCTGGGTGATGTTAGTATGACTTTGAGGGAAAGATGGGAGAGTACGTACTCTTGATCAAGGAATACTTTTCGATATCCCAGACGCCTTCCAATTTGGACCTTACAAAGAATTCTCGGATGGGGTCGAAGAACTTGACAGGTCAACACATACCACCCTGAGTAAGTGATGCACTCACAGTGTAACTCAGAGTACCGATCAAGAAAGCTACCACCGGCAACACCAACCTCGGATGCGAGCTCACCCAATCCCTCATCGCATGCGCCTTCAACGGTCTTTCATAATACAGCCTCAGCCGACTCATCGGTATCGGCTTCTTCTCCTCCCCCTCCCCTTGTGTTCTGGCAGAAGATACCCTAAGGGAAAAGTCGGCGCTGTTGGTGGCGGTAGAATAGCCGTGAAGCGAGTTGATGGCGATGGCGGCGGGGGTGAGGCCGGAGTAGGACACGACGGCGTATCGGAGGGAGCCAGAGGGGACGGGGGAAGGGGGGGTTATGTCTGCGAGGCGGCCGTAGGGTCTGAAGAGGGTGTAGAGCATCTCTTGAGAGACGTCGGGGCCTTCAAACTCGACCCGTAGTCTATTCGAGGCGAACCTGTTCATATCCTTATACGAGTCAGCATGGCAACAAAGGGCTGAGGGGGTGCTTACCTCTGTCCATTGCTTGCCCTTGACCACCCATACTCTTCCGCCACCAGCAGCAGCCTGCAGCCCCCTAACGCCCCCCACACTTCCCTTTCTCAAGCCGCCACCTTCCTCAACCATCCCATCCGCATCCTCTTCCACAGCCGAGTACAGCGTATGCCCCGGTACTTCTCTATTCCTATCACTCCACTGCTTGCTTGCCCAGTACTTGCCCAACCAGCTCGGCCATCCCCCGTGCGCTTTGGCGCTCTCCTCGAGGTGCGGGATGAACAGCCGTCCGGGGAGGTTCTTCGTCCAGCTCGCGAGTCCGGGTTCCACACCTAGTCTGGCGACTTTTTCCTCGGCAGCCTCAGCATCTGCTGTTGGCGTCACGTCCTCTGCTGGAGGCACGTAAGAGTAGTGCATGAATACACCTCCATCTTTCCAGCTGACTTCAAAACTCTCCACCCTGAAGCCATGCGCGTCTACGCCACTCGCTATGGCATGCAGCTTGTCCAGTAATGTCTCTTGCTGTAGAGAAGCGAGGGCAGGGCGAGGGTCAAGGCGGCCGAATTTGATGGGAAAGACATTGGAGATGTAGAAGGAGCCGGTGGATCTGGGGGTGGGAGGGGTGGAGAGGAGGCGGCGGGCGAGGGGTGTGGGGCGGTATGTGGGTCGTGAGAGGGGAGCGCGGGCGAGGGAGCGGAGGGGGAGATGTCTTGGGCGGAGCATGATAGTTGTTGAGAAAGAAGAAGAAGGATAATGCAATTCACAATTCGCTTGATGGTTCTCATAGAAGCGATGATGTCAAAGGGTAAGTCACCAGGCACCATCAGAAAGCCAAATGCTACACATATAACACAAGTACTTGTACAAGATGCATTACATCTGCCCTACTGCCCCGGCAAATTACTCTGGTCCTTCTTTACATGCGTAAACGTGCCCCCCGCAAACCACCTATCATTCGCCGCCTTCACCCTCTGCGCCGCCGACAGACTCGGCGTCACAATCTCGAGACCCTGCACAGGGGTGAACGAGAGCGATGTAGACATACCCGAGGCAGCATCGTTGGATGCTTGGGATCGACCGAGCAGTTGAGTACGGAGTTTATTTGCTCTAGATAGCTTGGCTGTATATGGCGTTAGCAGAGCACAGAAAAGAGGGAGGACAAATACGCACCTTTACTTCTCGAGTCTGCCATCTCGCCACGGACTTTTCCAGCAGAGCCAATCATACCCAGACCAACAGTCTCGTCGTCCACCCCAATCTCCTCTTCTGCCTTGCCAAACTCCATTCTGTTTTGCAGCTTGCGCAGCTCCGTCTGGGCATACGCTTCTTTCTGTTTTCGTGCTCTGTCCCAACTCGTCAGCTAAACACTCCAGAGTTGAATGCAAGGACTGACCTTTTACCACCTCGCTTCTTCCTGTTGGTTTCTTGCGGGATTGGCAAAGCCTTGATAAGCTTATTGGGTGGTGGCTCCGCCATCTTTTCAATCTTCTTCTGCAACTGCGCCAACGTCGTCTTTCCAAACGACCCATCCCTACTCCCCTTCCCCGCATCAATCCTCGCCGCCAACACCACCTTGGCAGCTACAGCCCTCTGCGCCCGGCGTCGATCCTCGGGCTGGGCGCTCTGCACGATCGCGCTCTGAAAGATGAATCCCGTGTGCCGTTGCTGCGAAGCAGCTGACAAGTGGCTCGTAGCTAGAGTCTTCTTCATAGCGCCAAAGAGCATGACGTTGCAGGAAGGCTGCCTGCTGATAGCTGCGAGACCGCCAGCAAGACCGAGCAGCTTGGCGGCGATACCCGTACCCACCAATATGGACAGGTTGGGCGCCACAGCAGCCATACGCGATTCCACAAAGTTGAAGATCTTCTCCCTCGCATCCCGCAAGTCCTGCGCGACCGTGATAGCCCGCTGCACAGTTTCGTACTCTGCACGGCTCAACATCCTCCCCCTCGACGTCGTAGCCGTCAAAGTAATAGACAAGATCGTAGCAGGCAAAAGCGTCTTTGAAAAGTCGACTTTCGTCACATCCTCGCTCTGGCCAATCGCGTTGACAGCGGCAATGTAGGTCCATGGTTCGGCGATGAGCTGCTCGAGCTCGGGGAATCGGGGGGCGTAGTGGTCGCGGATGAACTTGTGGACGATGAGGATTTCGTTGTCGACCTCCACAGACATATTGTTAGCTGTCACGACGAGGTGGTACTCGGGGTTTTCTTCCAAAGGTCCGGAGGCTGTTGACATGTCCGTAGGCGATTCCGTGAATTTTGCAATATCCTACCCAGACATCAGCTTCCATCCCTTCATCCTTCATCTCTTCGCCTCCAAGTCTCCAACCTCTGAACTTACCTTGATAACATCCTGCAACTTCCGACTCCCCGCCAACTTTGCAACCTTGCCAACATCTTCAAACCCCATCATATCCGTCCGCTCCACATCCTCCTTGTCCAGCTCTTCTGCAGGCTTCACACCGCCTTCCGGCACGTACCCCACGGCGCTGGTACCATCTTCTAATGTCAGTCCGTCCCCTTCCCCTTCCCCTCCATCCCCTTCCCCGCCTTCCTCTTCGCCTACGGTGTCGAGGTCCATAGCGCTAGCCGGCCTCTTGTTGGTCCCATGACCAGGGAAAGACAAATCGGGAGGCGCGGCGGAAGAGGATGAGGATTGCTCGGGGGCGGGGGCGGGGGAAGGGGAGCGTTCTTCTTCATCGGAAAAGTCGGCCAGGAGGGCGTCTGCTAAGGACATGGCGAGTGATTCCCCCCTGAGATATAATTCGGGGAGGGAAGTGGGATGTGAGGGAGAGAGATGTTTGGGAAGTCTGTGGAATTGACGCTTCGCTTTTGCAGTGCAGTGGGTGGCGGCGGCGGCGGATGGAAAGTGGTTACGTAATGACTTGAGTCTTTTGTAAATGATGCAATGCATGATGTTGAATGATATTCACATGATGCGACCATACTTCAACGATGCAATTATTATCGATCGTCATAAGTAGAGTCCTCCTCCTCCTCGTCATGATGAGGACTGCAGTAGGGGGCCACGCTATCCGGAGCAGGCATGTGGTCCATTTACGTAGACAAAGACCGACGTTCTCTCGCAGTCAACTAGTAGACAGTAACATTCATAGCCTCCCTTCACTGACCAGACTTGCCCTCACACTCTCCACCATCTTCTTGTCTCTATTGTTCAGCCGAGCCAACTGCGCTTTCAGTTCCTCGATGTCCGTATATCTTGAGGCCTTTCGTGATCCACATGTGCGCTCGTTGATCTTGGTCATCAACAAATCTTTCTCGTGTTGCTTGCTGGCAGTTTTTGCACGTTCTGTTTGAGCGGTCACCCGTATGTCAGTCACACACATGTCTCGCTTCTTGTAGACAAAGTCTCACGTTTAGTATTATATAGGTCGAGTGCCTGTCTGCGCCTTGATTCCTGGTCTCCAGCTGGGAAGATGGTGAGTCTTTGAGTAATGATTGTCACAGGGTGAGAAATGACAACACGTACGCAATGTACTTGTTATACGCCAAGGCATGAACATGTTTTCAGATATAGCCTCCTCTGACTCGGTAGCATTTGTTTCCGGCAAAGATATTGTTGCCCCTGACAGTAAGCTTGCTATTATCTGTGCCTCCATTTCCGCGTCGTATTCGTCCAGCTTTTGTTTTTGACGCTTCAGATCCTTCATTCTCAGACGTCCGGTGTTTGTCGATGAGCCTGCCTCAGTGCGTCGGTCGATCTCGTCAATCAGCTTTTGCTTACGCTGTGTGAACTCTCGAGCGGCCTGACGGTCTGTTGATTTCAAGAGTCATCTATCGGCCCCAAGCTTGTACACTCACATCCTTCTGACTAACAATATGATTTTCGGTTTTCTCTTGCCTCACGCTTGGCTTCTTCATCCTCCTCGGCTAATGAGCGGAATCACCATGAGCAAACATCTCAAAATTCTGAGAATTCTACCCACGCGCTTTCTCCTCCAAAGACTCTCCAGTCTCTGTCACTTCTTCGTCATCATCCTTGAAATCATCAAAGTCCATATCTTCAAAGTTCAGGTCAGTTCCGGTAAAGTCTTCTTCATCTTCCTGCAAAAGCCCCGCTTCCAACATTGTTCGGTTTATGGCGAGGCGATCGGACTCCCAATCTCCTGCATAGCTGGACCCCTGTAGGAATTGTACTTAGAGTCAGCGATGTGCATACGGCGAGATATAGTAGTATTAGGGACATCAGATGCTTACATCTCCAGCATCGGACGCGTAGTAGTGGCTACTAGATTCAGAGGGGCGGTCGCTCATGTCGTCGCTTTTGTGTGGTTTGCAGCTGTGCTTGTGAGGGCATCTTTTCGAAAACCTCGACAGTTATGAATGTGATCATAAGCCGAATCTATTCGACGCCCGCCCCTAGGTGTTGTCATCGGAGTTGTGCGTATCCATTGTCTTGGTATGTCTGGCTTACAAGGATCGGAACTGGCCCCATAAATACACCAGGTTTTGTCTATGATTATGCCCAATGTCGAGAACGGTTCAGCTTCCTTTCGGAGCTATCCACGATAGCTTCATGTACTCGATTGCGTATAGAATGGATGACTCAAGAAGACTCAAGACGAGCGGATCGGTAATTGCCCAGTGCAAGAAGTGTGAAACAGAGAGTATCGTTTCCCCGCCATGGGGCGGGGTGAACTTGTGGGCGTAATGCTATAGATGAAGGGAACGTTTTACTTGAGCAAACGGGGGTCTTTCATATTCACGCAAGAATGAGTTGATTCACTGAGGAAAAGCTATGCAGCCCGGTATCAGGTCCAGTGGACGACAGACGTTCTCTTCCAGTCAACTAGGCAGTATCATTCATAACCTTCCTTCACTAATCAGTTTTACCCTCACACTCTCAACCCTCTTCTTGTCTCTATCATCCAGCCGAATCAACTGCGCTTACAGTTCATCGACGTTTGTATGCGTTGTGGCCTTTCGTGATCCACATGTGCGCTCGTTGATTCTTGCCATCAACAAGTCCTTTTTGTGTTGGACCCTGGCAGTCTTTGCGCGTCCTGTTCGAGTAGCCACGCATGTGTAAGTAACAGACCTGTGTTGCTGCTTGTAACAAAGAGAGAAAAGACTCACGTTTGGAATTATATCTGACCTGTGCCTGTTTCGTCGTGGAGGATGCCTTGGTCCCAGCTGGTAAAGTGATCCGTTAGTAATGATCTGCACACTTCGATAAATGACGACACGTGTACCGTGCCGCACGCTACACGTACACAACACTTTCCTTCTCGTTGAACCACCGAGCATGAATTCATTCACAGAGGTAGCCATCGGATCAGCGCTGACATCATCTGATTTGGCAGCAGAGTCATCATCTGTCATCGGTATAGATATCGGCGTCCCTGACAGTAAGCTTGTTGTTATTTGTGCCTCCATCTCCGCTTCGAATTCGTCTAGCTTTTGTATTTGATGCTTCAAATCCTTCATTCTCAGACGTCCGGCATTCGTGGATGAGCCTCGCTCAGTGCGTTGGTCGATCTCGTCCATTACCTCTTGCCTACGCTTTGACGCATTCCGAACGGCCTGAGCATCTGTTGGACTCAAGAGTCACTTATCGTTCACAAGCTTGTACAAGCACATGCCTCTGACTTACTACGCACTTTTCGCCTGTCATGTGCCTCGCGCTTGGCTTGTTTATCCTCCTCGGCTGATGAACGCGGAAATCACTGTGAGCAAACATCTCATCTTGTTGGGTATCCTACAGTACGCACGCGCTTCCTCTTCTTCCAGCGACTCCCCAGTCTCCGTCACGTCCTCGGCATCATACTTGAAATCATCAAAGTCCATATCTTCCGGTCCGACAGAAAGGTCAAAGTCCAAGTCAGTCTCGGTAATTTCTTCTCCATCTTCCTGCAAAAACCCCGCTTCCAACATTGTCTGGTGCATGGCGAGGCGATCGGAAACCCAATCTCCTGCATAGCTGGACCCCTGATAGAAATGTTATCGTCAGCGACGTGGATTTGGTGAAGTATGTTAGGGACTGTTGCTCACTTCTTCAGCATTTGACGGACAGTAGTAGCTACTAGATTCGGAGGGGTGGTCGCTGCTCATTTCGTCGCTTTTGATAGTTTGTAGCTATGCTTTTTCGAATATCAGGACAATTATATATGTAATCGTAAGTCAGATCTCTTTGTCGCCCACCGCTTTACGTGGTCATCGGAGTTGTGCATATCCATTGTCTCGATGTGTTGACGCTTCCGAGGATAGCAAATCTCCCTATAAATACACTCAGCTTTGTCTCCGATGATATGCCGGTCCGGCTTCCTTTCAGAGCTTTCTACGATAGCTTCCTGTACTTGACTACTTCTTGAATGGGTGACTCAGAAAGAGTCCGGATGAGTGCATTGGGACATGCCCAGTACAAGAAGTAGTGTGAAAGACAGAGTATCGTTTCGCCGCCATGGGGCGGGGTGAAATTGTGGGTGTAATGCTAAAGATGATGATAACGTCCTACTTGGCTAGACTAGAGTCGTTCAGATTCACGCAAGCAATAGCTGGTTTACTGAAAAGAAGCTATGCGACCATATGGGGTAGAAGAAGAAGACGCATGCTTCAGCAATAGCACGGCCGTCTCAGGAATACGTACTTGTAGTGGACTTGACGACCGACGTTCTCTCGCAGTCGACTAGTTAGTCCCATTCATAGCCTTCCTTCACTAATCAGTCTTTCTCTCACACTCTCAACCATCTTCTTATATCTATCATCCAGCTGAGCCAGCTGCTCTTCCAGTTCCTGAATGTCCGTCTGATATGTGGCCTTTCGTGAATCACAAGTGCGCTCGTTGATTTTAGCCATCAACAATTCTTTTGCGTCTTGGCTGATGGCAGTTCTTTCACGTTCTGTTTGAGCAGTCACATATGTGTAAGTCATATACGCATCTGGGTGGCTGCTTGTACCACCAAGTAGAGAAAGACTCACGTTTAGCACGATATCGTTCGCGTGCCTTTCTGCGCCTCGATGCCTTGTCCCCAGCTGGGAAGATGGTGTGTCTGTTAGTGATGATTCTCACACGTGGAGGAATGCCGAAACGCACAGTACAATCTCTTTTTCGAGCGGGCGGGCATGGACGTGTCGACAGTTGTAGCCTCTGATTCGGCAGCATCCGTTCCCGGAAAACATACTGTTGCCCCTGACAGTAAGCTTGCTGTTATCTTTGCCTCCATGTCCGCGTCGTATTTATCCAGTTTGTATACGAGACTGCAGATCCTTCATTGTCACATGCGCGGCGCTCGACCAGGAGCATCGCTCAGTGCGCTGGTTGATATCGTTCATCACCTCTTGCCTACGCTTTGCCGCATTTCGAGTGTTCCGAGCCTCTATTGGATTCAAGAGTCACCAATCGGTCACAAGCTTCTACACTCACATGCCTTTGACTTACTACGTGCTCTTCGCTTCTCATCTGCCTCGCGCTTGGCTTCTTCATCCTCCTCGGCTGATCAACGCGGAAATCACTGTGAGCAAACATCTCATCTTGTTCGGTATCCTACAGTACGCACGCGCTTCCTCTTCTTCCAGTGACTCGCGAGTCATTAGAGTTGTGCATATCCATTGTCTTGCAAGGCTGTCAAGGATCGGAGAATACCCCACAAGTACAGCAGCTGACCTCTGTCTGTGATATTTCATCTATCTGTATGTAGAGCACAGTGTGCCAAACCTGGGTATGGTCACAATTCAGGCCACAGGAACAAAAAACGTTTTGAGAGAAAATAGAACTGTTTCACAAGGGGGTTTCAGATACCATGTTGTACGGCACTTGTGGACAGTCAACAAAGGACAGGAGCTAATTTGAGGATTCAGAATGGGCGTATGTGGCGTGGCGTTGTCGAGGGGCCTATGACTGTGTACTGCAACAAGTGTCCGTGCAATCATAAGAGTATTGACACCAATAATGCATTGCAGATGTTTTTCAGCGCGGTGACCAGTACCTGATGCCATGATTCTGTGGCTGCTACTGCATCCTTGACGTCGCGAGTACAACATATATACCGCTGTCATTGAAACACATCAATTCATGCAGAAGAGGGGAAAAAAGAGAAAATAAGGAGAACCAGCCAACGCTCTATCATCACTTTTAACTTGTCGACTTTTCTTTCATCACCCCGATCTATCCACCCGTGGACGAGGAGTAGATCACTTCTTCTTACCCTTCTTGGGCTTTGGAGCGGCACCATTCGCAGGTGTTGGCTCGGGCTCTTCTTCAGCGCCTACTCCATGATCAGCTTGGGCACCAATAAGATTAGGCAAAGAAAAACTGACCGTCACCAACAGCAAGCTCCTTAACCTTCTCCACCAGCCCCTCCACATTCTCCTTGACAGACTCGCCCACACTACCGGCGGCCTCCTCAAACGCAGCAACCGGCTCCGACTCCGGCACCCCAAACAACTCCCCATCCACCCCCGGCTCCGCAATCTTCTCCACAACCTTTCCCCTCCCCTCCTTCCCAAGCTCCTCCTTCCAGCTCTTCACCGCCCCATCCATCTCTGCCGGCGCATACGACCTCGCAAACAACGCCGCCTCGGCCCACCGACCCGTTTTGCCGAGGATGGCAATACACTTGGACGTATTTCCGAGGGAGAGGTAGGCGGAGAAGGCGAGGTTGGAGAGACCCTTGGCTTCTGCTCTTTGGGCGAGGGACTCGAGGCCGGCACGGTCCGAGATGGAAGTGTAGAGCAGTAGCAAAGCGGGCAAATCGCCTGCCCGCTCAAACGCCTCCTTGGCGAGATCCATCTCCCAGCTCTTCAGAGCTTCGTCGCCGACGACCTTCCACTTGCTCACGCTGGTCGCCGAGTCTTCCTGCGCACGGACGATAGAGAGCGCAGTTTGTAGGTCGGAAAGAGCGATGGCGAGGTCGAATTTGTGGTCGGGGTCGCTAGTCAGGTTGAGAGCGAGCTCCTTCTGATCCTGACTCTCCAAAAACCTCGCCAGCCGGTTCTTCTGCTCCTGAGGGACATTCTCCAGAAGCGCTTCCGCAGCCTCAAAGTCTTCTCTCAGAATAGCACTCTGGTACTCGACAACGGCCACAGACAGGCTGTAGCTAAAGATCGCGAGGCTCTTGTCGGCGACGTAGATGCGGTTGTGGGCGGGAAGGTAGCCGAGGAGGTAGACGGGCTTGTCAAAGTGGTTGATGGTGTGGGGCTGTTCGCCGACGAGATAGTTGAGACGGTTTGTAGAGTTGGTGTAGATGAAACAGTCGCCGACCCACTTGGAGGTCTTGACGCTGTCAAGATATCAGCTTTGATTCTATGGACTAGGAAATCACTTACGTCTCGCTGATCTCGGCAATCACGTCGAAAGCCTCCTCGACACCCTCATCTCCCACGTCTTCTCCACTGGCAATCCTCGCCTCGTAAGCATCCCTGTCGAACGCCAAGACATAGAACCCGTCCTCAGCGGTAATCACCACCCTCTCCCCACTGGTACTCCAGCTAACAGCAGTAGCATCCACCTCAATCCTCCTCACCACCTGTCCCGTCTCCCAGTCCCAAAACATCACAAACCCATCGCCCCTAGCCGACAAGAGCGTACCACCATGGATACCCTCAATGGCATAGTTGCCGGCAGAGTGCAAAAAGTTGGGGCGTTCCTTGAAGGAACGGAAGACCTTTATCTTCGACTTGCCTTCTTGCACGGCATAGGTATTTGAGTCGCCCGCCCAGGCAAAGGAAGTACCCGACCCGTAGGCCTTGTTCCTCCATGCGAGCGACGTATATATGATGTACTCTCCGTCTCCGCAGACGGTGACGAATCGGCCGTTGGGAGAGTGCTGGAGCGACGTGGGGTAGACTTCAGTGGTGCCGAGGTCACGGAGGGAAAGAGGGAGCCGGGAGCCGTCCTCGGGTATTTCGGAGGGAGAGAGGGCAGAAAGGTTGGCGGTGAGAATTTCAGTGTTGCGGGCGTAGACGACTTTACCCGAAGTGTCCATGGACACGGCGGGCTCGTCCCGGCCGAGTTTGAGTACGACGGCGCCTTCGTCGAAACCGACTGCAACCTCGTTCCCGCTCTTCCTGTATGCGACACACCAAGCACGCTCCAAGCCATAGCTTAGTGTGTTTTCCAGGCGGTAAGTGGAAGAGTGCCAGATCTTGATGGTACCGTCCTCGGAGCCAGAGATGATGATGGGAAGCGAGGGGTGGAAGATGGCGAATGAGACGTTGGCAGAGTGGGATTCGAGGGTTTGGACGCAGGACTTGGAGTGATAGTCCCAGATCTTTACCAGACTGTGAATCGTTAGACAAGGTCTTGATAACGAAACAAGACTTACCGATCATCACCTGTAGTCACAATGTAAGGCCTGTCTCCACCATGGTAGTAGTCGACATAGTTGACACCCTTCTCGTGGGCTTCCAAGCTAAAGTTCGGCACGGGGTTCCCCAGACTCCACACCTTGACAGTGTGGTCCAGACACGCCGATGCAAAAGTCTGAGGGTCTTTCGGGTTGATAGCCAACGCCATGATATAATGTGTGTGCCCTTCAAAGATCTGGACACATCGCCATCCCTTGTCCCAGTCCCAGCTCTTGATCGTCATGTCGTCGGATCCTGTAAGGACGACGGGGAGAGTGGGGTGGACGGTGAGGCATCGGATGTAGTCGGGGTGGGCTTCGAAAGAAGTAATCTTCTCGCCGGTGGAGATGTTGTAGACTCGGAGTTGAAAGTCGTCGCTGCCAGAGACAAACTGCAAGATGTCAGCGCGCGTCCCGTCAGAGTCTCTGCCGTCATGGATCTGCCGCCATCTGTCTTCCATCCAACAAGCCCTCTCCACCACTCTCCTGTCGCCTGCCGCATACGTCCTCACCCCCTCCGCCTCGCGCACGCTCTCAGCCCCATATATGAAAGGTGCACTCACCCAGTTCTTCCTCGCAATATACTTTACGCATCGCACCGGAACATCCGTCACCTCAAACGTCTTTACATCCGTTCCAGACTCATAGTCCCAGATCTTGACCTGGCCGTTGTAGAGACCGCAGATAACATGCGGCTCGGTCGGGTGAAAGTCGACGCTCTTGACGCGGTCGGAGCGGGCCAAGAGCTTCCTCTGCAGAAATCAGACGGGGTGAGCATTATGCCTTGGTCTTGCTGCAGCGTAGATGAAGCTTACGGTGATATCGAGTAGCATGGGCTGCAGATTGGGATTAGCTATCGCGTCCTACGTGGAACCCTTGAAGCGAGACGTACCATCTTGAGCCCACTTATTTCTGCTGTATTCTTTTTACGCGCTTTGAGGAGGAAGTTGGGGGTAGGGGAGGGGGCGCAGCGGAGGGATAGTGGGGCGGGGGAGAGATGGGGGGGGGATGGGTGGATGCGGTAGGGAGGTCGATGGTCCACTGCGCGTCGATGACAGCGAAGAGGGGGCGCGAATAATGCCACGTCAGGGGCATCAATCAACCTCCTCTCAGCAGCCGTCGATTCGCCTGTTCGGCATGTCGTAAATGTTTCATGGGTTCAAAATGGGAGCACGGGCTCATACACAGATGTATACAGATGCTAGGCAGATATATATCAGCTGCGCGGTAAGCAAAAAGCAGTACCAATCCAGTAAAGCCGCGCCGTCAGAGGCATCGATTGTTGGGGTCTGATCTCTAGCTATTTTGTTTTCTCCATACACTCAGAGCACACCAGAAGTGCAGCTACCGCAGCACTGGAGGTTTTCATCAACAACAAAAGCATGAGAGCGATACCATCGAGCATCCACCTCACGCAATCACTCGATCAACACGCCGGTCAACGATTCTCGTGCATACAGTATATTGATACATGTCCACAGCTTTCCCTTTCACAGGATATGATAGCTACAAACACCATGCTTACAAATCGCTCTAACACAAAGGCTAATCAACATGCGCCACACCCCACTCCACCCCAGCCCCACTAACAACAACTCTCAACGACGCCGTCAACAGCCCACCGCCGCTCTGTACCCCTGGCGCTGTTATAGGCGGATCTGATGCGGGTCCGAGGGTATACGCTTCTTCGGCGTCCCTCATACGGAGGTCAATTTTGCTCATACGTTTGACGATCCCCATACCCCTTTTCACCTCCGACCCCGTCAAGGGCGCGGGGACAGGGGAGACGTCGGCATAATCGTCTGCAAAGACAAGGCCCATCGGAGACGGTGACGGCACGGGCGAGATGCCGGACGAAGACCACGATGGAGAAGGGGTGACGGGGCTGGGGGAAGGGTATGGCGTGAGGATGCGGACCCGCGCTTGATGGTTGAGCTTTGGTAAGGCAAGCGGTTCGGGCCTCTTCTCCTCCTTCTTCCTCCCCTCCCCCTTCCCCTTCCCCTGCTCCCCTCTTCTCTCCATCTCCCCGAACCCGCTCTTCCCTCCCGTCCGAAAATCAACACCACCCTCGTTCGGAGCATAAGAAGGCAGCGTTGTGCGGCGCTTCATCAGCATCCTCGGCGGTACGGGCGAAAGCGGCAGACGGCGGGTGTTGAAGGATGGGGAGAGGGAGGAGAGCTTGGACATTCTGAGGGTTGGGGGGAGGGTGGTGGGACGGGGGATTGGGATGGGGGTCTTGGGGGATATTAGTAAAGGTTCACATTAGTATAGATGAATGGGGACAGAGACATACAGAGACTCTTGTCGCGGCGGTTGTTCTCTCATCCCGTTCCAGATCACTGCCTTCATCTTCATCTTCATCTTCATCTTCCTCTCCGTCACCACCGTCACCACCCTCAAAACTCGCCCCCACAGCACCAAGAGGCGAAGAAGCCCTCACCACAACAGGCGACCCCAGAGAAAGCCCGCTCACACCCGTCAGCAGCGGCGAAGATAGTGGCGAGTACGAGAACCGAGTCGGGTAAGGCGTCAGACACCTCGGGATCTTTATCGTCTAAAACCCCGCACATCAATACAAGTACTTCTTTCTCTCTTTCTGCAAGAACGTATGATGAGTGAGGGGGAACTTACGGAGGCGGAGGCGGATGAGCAGGGGGATGGTGAGAGGCTGGTGTGATGGAGTGTGTGGGGACTGGGGATGAGGAAATGGGGGTGGGGGGTATCGGGCAGTTTGAGCGTTTGTGACATCTTCTTGTTGTAGGCTCTCTTGACTCTTCAGACTCTTCAGTGAAGGAGTGGTAGGGTTTTGCGGAATTCAGTCCAGCTGGTTCTTATATACGCGTAATTGTAGGTTGGTTATCAAGGACTGTATCTCAGATGTCGAGTTTGTACGAGTGGCGGATTCCCTTCAAGGGCACGGTGCTCGTAATTATTCCGGGTGGATGGCGGGGGATACAAGGATGCTTACCGCAGACCGCAGAACGCGCAGCTTGTCTTGGCAGAGACAACAAAACTCTAGGGATCTCCTGTTTCAAGTCCAGCGTATACCTCGGATTGTGGATCTTGGAGGCCGATGGATAGTGCAGCCAAGGGGATTATCGATAAGTGCACTGAGCAATGAGCGGTCGCTGATCAACAGCTTGATACGGCGCGGGCGTTGCTATGAAGAAAGGGAACCGGGTTACGGGCGTTGCTGTTTTGTTTTCTTGTTCTTGTTATGTTTCTGGTACGCGTTTTGACCCGAGATATTGATGAGACAGACCTGCTGTCATATACAGAGAGGAAAAGCAAGAAAAAAAACGTAGGGCGAAAGATGGAAGATGGAAGAAATGATTGCGATGGAAAGAAACAACACAAGATCAAGTTCAAACCACTATATCGCCTGACCATTGTATTCAGCTCTTCCCTTGACTTTGCTACGAGCTACGGCTCGGTCATGACATCACCATCAAAGCATAGATTTCCCACCTTTCCTGCGCAATATCAAAGGACATCAAGCCGGTGGGCGGTGAAAGACCTTTCATGCGCGAGATGCCAAACAAACGGGTTTTTCCATTGACTCTGGATGATGCCTTTCTGTATTCATCAGAACAGCAGTATCAGAAAGCAAGGCAAAAGATCTGCAAGGGAGCATGTCGGCCGAAGAGGTTGAGAAAGGGGAGAGAGATCCTTTCTGGAGATGAGACGGGATACGGCATAAGGGGCGAGAGATGGATGAGATGAAAGGAATGGGGGGATGTGGTCGCGCGTAGGGTGGGCTACGAGTCCGGAGCGAAAGTGCTCCCGAGGGCGATGAAAGTAGACGACGGTAACCAAACAACGCGCAGCCACTCGCCGCGCCCCGCATCCATCGGCGATAACCCAAGCCCCCCCTGATTTGATCCCGTCCGGCACGCGCTCTTGTCCTCTTTCATCCCTCTTCTCGCAAGCCCCTGTGCACACCACCCCCCAAAAACATCATCAACAATGTCCGCTGACCTCACTTGGCTCCTTATCCGAAACTACAACTCTTTCCAGGTCAAGGGTGGCCACGGTCCCACTTTCTCCAGGGAGAAGGTAAGTTTTGGAATACTTGGTTGGAGGGATCAGGGCTGGAATTTTGAGGGCGGTTTGTGGGGGACGTGTAGGCTTATGGAAGGGGCGGGGGGTGAAGGATATGGAGTGTAGGACTGGGTGATGGAGAGAATGGGGTAGTTCTGGAGACGGGCGGAGGAAATCTGGCGGATTTTGGAGAGAAGCGTGGAGCTAGCCTTTGGTGGTCGCGCCGAAACCTCGAATCGCCCTCCATCCCTTGCCCCTACCCACCAACCCAATCACATACCCCAGGCATCAAACTGACACTGTCCCCAGGGAAACCTCCTCAACAAGTCTTCCCAGAAGTACTCCGGCCTCGCCAACTCCAAGGTCGTCGCCGTCGCTGCTTCCCCCAACGGTGGTGTGACCATCACCAAGATCAAGGCCGACGCCAAGCCCAACCAGGTGCGTCTCCTCCCCCTCCGTGTATCTCTGGTTCGAATGCGGAGCTGATGGAGGTGGATAGGTCGCTTCTGCCCGATCCCACGTCGCCCTCAAGCGATCCACCGGTCCCCGACGAGCCAACAAGATCGTTGCCGGTGAGACCGCCGGTAAGGGTTACCGAGCCGACCTCCGAGCTGTACGTGTCCTCTTAACTACCCATGTTTTCGCATCTCTTGTGTTTTGTGTCTCTTGGAGTGCTCGAGAGCCTTCCCTCCCTCGCCTTTCCCGAACCGACGCAGCTGCTAGAACTCCCCGGAATCTCCTCTATCATTCAATGTTGGAGCGGTATGAAGGGCCGAGCGTATTGTGCTTGCCATATAAACCATTTCAACCTTTTCCTTCTACCACCTATCTCTCCCATGGTGGGCGATTCTTGTGCTGGTTGTGTACATCCCTCTGCTTTCCTTACCTTTCCTTGCGTTTGCTTTTATTTCAAGAATGTGAAAGAAGGACGTCAGCTGACCCTTGCGGTTTTACAGGCTGCCGTCGCCCGAACTTCCGCCCTCCTCCTCGCCCAACGCCGAACCGCCAACCCCCCCAAGACCATCCAGCGTGGCCGCAAGCAGGCTCCTTCCGCCGTCGGCAAGGCTGCCGCCGAGCAGGAGGTTGAGGAGATTGCCGTTGACGTCGAGTAAATTACTCTTTCAGAGTGATCTATGAGAGGGAGATGGGGTTGCATCTGGGATTTAATCTAGGTCTCGGATGTATGGTGTTATGACGCTTGTTGGGGTTTTCGTGCGAAGGTTGGCATGAGATGGGTTACAGGGTGGTCTAGACATTGGACATGGTGCATCTGGTACGCCAAAAGCGGACGTGTCCTGGTCGTGTCGCAACGTACTTGCTGCAATTCACGATACATGTTCCACCAGTCGTTGTGGAGGGATTCCAGCAACAGCCATGTTAGAGCTTTTGTATTTCCTCGTCTGGTATAGCACCAGGCCCCTTTTGAAAGTAATCCAGAAGTAGTGTCAGAAAGACGAACTATAGGGAGGTGTTGAGCGACGCCGCGTCATTCAGAGTCAGCCCGCCGTGGGACAGAGGTTTACCCATGATACACCTTCGGACTTTTGGCAACCAGAAACCCATGCCATGAGCTCTAAATTGGCCAGTAGTCTGACGGACAAAATGTGGACTTGCCCACGATGATTTGTCTTCCGGTCCGCAAGCGACATATGGTCATCGTGAGTCGGACATGGCGCATTGCAATGTATCATATGAAATGAAAAGAAGTTCTTTTGCGCATGTATCTCCACTCCTGCCCCCATCTTGAATGACTCGAGTCTATGCATGCAACCGATAAACACCGTTGAATACCCCCAAAGCCCCTTCTGTGATAGGAGCGCCGACCGCCGACTTTGAACTTTTGGTGCGCGACTTTTTCCCTCGCTCACCACCGATCTCTCCACCATCGCCTCTATCCAAAACCATTCCATTTCTCCTTCTTCCCCCCTCTTTCCCTAGCCACCATGCCCCCTCCGAGGCTCCACCAAATATTCCCCCCCTCCTCCCTCGCGCACCATGTCTTCCGGCTCGTGTCGAACGGGTACATTGGCGAATCATCTGCTCAAGGGGCGACGGCGGCTTTGAGAGAATGTGCTTTGCGTCGGCAGGGGCGTGTGGGGATATGTGAGCGTCCAGCTGGGTCTATGATGTCCCCTGTAAGTCCTTGATATACAAGCTTTGGATGGAGGGAGCTGACAATCTTGAAAGAGTGCTAACCGGCCGATGCGATCGTACTCCACTACTGCTCGTGCTGCTTCAAGTGGCCAGTGGTCTCCTCTCGGAGGGAGTATCATGAGACGGAGAGGTGTAATACGAAGTCTAGAGCCAAGGATGGGATCTATGGCATTGCCGGTGAGTCTGAAGAGGTTAAAATTCACCTGATTATGGAACTGACGATCATGCAGAAGGATCGTATACGGCTATACTCTTCTAGTGCTGCCCAAACAGTCGATAATCAGCCACCCTCTCATTCCGAGGATATAGACCAGCAGGGCGAAGAGCCGGAATTGGAACGATTCATTGCCTCAGCCTCCGAAGTCGAAGACAACTCCCTCCCTCCGCCCTTGCACGCCGCTCTCGCCTCTGGTTCCCTCACCAGCGCTTCAGAATTCGTTCACTTGTTTGAACAGTACGACGCAGACGATTCACCCGCTGCTGGCAAAGTGAAGAAGGGAAAAGGAAAGGGTGTTTCGAGCACGTCAGATATGGGAGGGGTCAAACAGCTAGGTCTGATATTCGACCTCTTTCGCAAAACGGCCGAGGACGCGCAGTGGGCATGGCTGGAAAGAAGGATGAGAAAGGTGCTGGATTCCAATTACACGCCGGCTCAAGGTATCGCAACCGCCATCAGAGGCTATGCCCTCTTTGAGCTCGGTACCCACGGACCCCAAGTCATCGACGTCCTCCAAGGCGTCCTCCCCTCCAACAACTCCCTGCCACATGCCATCGCCGGCCTGGTATACGCCCAATTGGGTGAATGGCATCTGGCAAGAGAAGAGATGTCGCGGAATCTGAAGATTGTTTTCGCCCTCATTATGGGCGAAGACATGCAGATCGAGCCGTATCCTGCTATCGACCGGAGACTGCTGTATCTGTACGAATCTGCAGTGCTCAAGGGGGGTAGGAATCATGATCTCGTCGATATCATACTCTACTCTGCGTCGCCGCGTATGCGGTATCATCTTCTCGGCCAAGCTCGATTCGATAATAGGATATCTGCTTTACAGGTCGTCGACATTTTTGGCCGGGCGGTATCTCGTATCACGAACCCTGCGCAGTGGTGGATCGACGAATACATTACGACGCCTACCAAAGACATGGAGTGGATGGGCTCTTTTATCGTCTCGGCCCTTTCTCAGGATAAGACCAGGCTCGGAGAAGCACTCGCTCTGCACGACGAAATCATCTCGCGCCAGATCCACATCACTCCCAGTATCTCCTTCTTCATCTGCCAACAAATGGCTATCTACCGCATCCCCTCTGCCCGCGCCACGTTCCATCGCATGTTGGAGCTTCATCCCAACCCGCCCCGCACATCTCTCCGCCGCATCATGCACTTTGCCGCTAGAGTGGGCTGGGAGGAGGAAGAAGCGAACGCTTGGGATTTGTTGAACGAAAAGGGTGTGCCGACGATCTGGGAAAAGACGATTTTGGCGAGTGTGTATGCTTTCCAGGGGAGGGTGGAGTTGGTGAAGAAGGTGCTGGGGGAGAGGTTCCCGGGATGGAGAGACAATGCCGAGGGGTTACAAGTGCTCTTTACGGCGTATATCAACAACAACGAGGCTGCTCTGGCAGAGGAAACTCTTTTCCAGATCGATACCTTCTCCCCACGTCTTTACGTCTACAACGCCCTTCTCCAACTGTACGCCGACCAGGGCAACCTCATACCCGCCCTCGAGCTCTTCGACCGCCTCCTCGAACACCCCACCCTCCGCCCCACCAAACACTCCTACACCGCCCTCATCACCCTCTTTGCCAACCGCCGCGACCCGACGAATGCGCACAATGTGTTTGAGAGTATGGCCGACGCAGGGATCCAGCCGGACGCATTGGCGTACGCCGCGGTGATCAATGCGGAGGTGGAGGCTGGGGACTGGTCGGAAGCTGCGAGGTCGTGGACAAAGGCGCCTGCGAAGGTTAGGGAACATCGGACGGTGCTTTCGGCAGTGCTGAAAGCGCTTGTTTGGCTACCTGCTCCGACAGAGCATGTGGTTGGGATATTCCGCAGGATTCGGAATCCGTCAAGGCATGCTTGGGCGCTGGTCATCCAGTCTGCGTGTGATTCTGGGAATATGGATCTTGCGAGAGAGCTTTATACTGAGATGGACGTCGCTTCTCGCAGGGGTGCGAACCCCGCGCCGGACGTCTACACGTTTTCCATCCTCTTACATGGGTATATGCGCGCGGACGACTCGGCCTCTGCGAGAGCAGTCTACGACGAGATGACCGAGAGGGGCATCTTGCCATCGTCTGTCACGTACGGTATCGTCATACAAAGCTTTGCCGACACCCGTGGCGCGCGTTCATTGGAGCAAGCGCACGATTTCGCCACGTCCGTCTATCGCGAAGTGCAAAAAGGCAAAATCGCAGATGTCGGAGCCGACAAGTTCAACACGCGACGCAACATCTTTACACCCCTCGCCATCGCACACGGTAAACTACAAAACTGGGAACGCGCCCAGTCCTACTTTGACCTCATCGACCCCACCGAAGAACCGCTGGACCCAGAGACAGACAACTTTTTGGCGGCGTCGCCCCAGCAAAAGATCATCACTTGGTCTCAGCTTATGGACGTGCATCGTCGTGCCGGCGATGTCGCGCAAGTCGTCAAGATCTGGGGCGACCTCTTCCGTTTCGCCATCGATGCTATTCCGCTTGTCGCGAGGAATGAAAGCGAAGAGGCTGATATGAATCGGGCCTTTGGTGGGAGTAATATCAATGTACCCGGCGGCGGTAAACATTCGCGCAAACGCATACCCGAGTCTATCCTCTGTATCCCCCTCTCCATCGCGCTCGACTCTGTATCGTCCGTCGGCGATGCCAAAGCCGTTCGCAAACTGTGGTCGAGCGTTTCCCATTACCACTTTGGGTTTGACGCTGCGAATTATAACCACTATGCGATAGCACTGGCGAGGACGGGGGATGTGGAAGGGGCGTTCAGGATCACAGAGAAGGTCTTGATGCGGCGGTTCGCGAGGATCAAGTTCCGCGGCGATGCTGCTATGCGCGAGAAGAAGAGGGATCTGCGCCGTCATTCTCGAGGTCAACTCATCCGTCCTGCCGTCTCATCCATGGACGGCTGGGACCACGATGTAGAGGAAATCCCAGAAGAGGAAGAAGAGGACTACGAGTTTGAGGAAGGGGAGAATGAAGATCTTCGGAGTGACCCTGAAGAAATGTCGGCCGTGCTCGACCTCAAAGTCGACCCCGTCATCGGCCCACCCAACAGGCGACACCAGTACCACTCGTCCTCCTCCCCCTTCCGGCCCCCTCACCTTCCTTCCTCTTCTGAGCACGACGCGAAAGAGTCGGTATTGGGCATGGAGGACAAGATGGGCGGAGAGGACCCGGTGCCGAAGACGGTTGCTTTGCTGCATAGGTGGAGACCGAGGGATACGCTCTGGCGGCCGAGTATATTGTTGATGAACGTGCTGGATAGTGTCTTTGGGCAGGTGGAGGATTATGGCGCTTCCCGCGGTTGGGTCTCGCTTCAAGAAAAAGCCCCCACCACTCCTCAGCTTGAAGATCCCGAGCAGAGCCCCAGCCAGCCTCGTAAGAAAGATGGCTTCCACGGCACCGTCCTGCCTCTCTACGGCAACACCCCAATCAAGGATTATCAGACGGGCAAGCCTTTGCCCATCAGTCCGAGAGCGTTCAGGGTGAGGTTGGAGGATAGGTATGCGAAAGCTGTAGAGTTGGTGAGGTATTTCAGGCGGAGAAAGGAGGAGAGGAGGAGTGATTGATGTGAGTACGGGTTTGCGACGGTTGATAATGAGGCTGACGAGCAGAAGCAGGCTTGAGCGTCTCGTATCGCATCTTGATTCTGTCAGCGGAGTGGTTCAATCTTCCACAGGTATGTTCTATACTTCTGCGCGTACTGGCCGTGACTGACTCGACTCGCAGCTCAGCGCCTGCCAACATATAATGAGAGGACGAGGAGTCATGTTCAAATTGCATTTTTGGATATCCAGCATATAGTTTCCCATATACCCAATCATCTCAATTTCACCACATAGCATGTAACACCCCCTTCATTCATTGACCTTTGCATTGCGAAAAAATGATTCATTATCTACAACTCCTATCCTTCTACCACAGGTCTTTCTACTCTTGCATCTGAACATCTTCCCCTTGCTGTCCTTCTCCCTCCCCAGCCGCAGGAGCAGCCCCTTCAGCCCCTTCACCCGCCGCCGCCTCCTCCGGCTCCTCACTAGGCCCATCCTCCGGCTCCCCCCTGCTCCTCCTCCACGCCCTCAAAAACCCATCCACGCCCTCATTCTCCCACACCCTAAAGTTGCCCTTCTGCGCCGCAGCAGAAGCGCGCACGTCTTCGAGGTTTGCGCTCTCGTCGGAAGCGGGGCCGATGATGGCGATGGAGGTATTGAGGACGGAGAGGTGTTTGTCTTGTTGGAGGGTGTCGTGGAGGGCGGAGAGACCGTGGTTGATCAGTTCGGGAAGGGAAGCTGTCATCCTCTTTGTCAACTCCAATCTTCCATGCGACATGCAATACCAAGTAGGGGAATGTGAGGAGACTGACCATCTTCAAACTTTTCAAAGTTCTTCTCGAGATACGTCTTGGCACTTTGGCTCCTCGCCCCGATAGAGTGGGCGTAGTATTCGAATGCCGTGCCGGAGGGGGAGAATTCAAAGAGGTGGGGACCGGTCTCGTCGGTACCGATGACGAGGAAGCCGACACCGTAGGGGCGACGACCGTACTCTTGGGTGTTGGTTTGAGCTCCTATTGTAGTGTTAGCGGTGGTCCCGTAGATTGTTTGCGCTCTCTCCAAGCGCCTCGCTCCTTCCCCCAACCTCCAGCTAAACCCAGAGACAACTCACGATCCGCAATACTCTGCACCAACCTCGCAACCGGCGTAGCCCTCCCATACGTCATCCTCGACTGCATAGCCTTCTGCCTCAAAAAGTTGCTCAACACTCGCGCATCACTTGTCAGGCCGGCGATAGCGACACCGACGTGGTCGTCAATGCGGATCAGCTTCTTTTGGTAGGTTGCAAGTTCGCCTGTGGATCGCTATTTGGAGGCTTGGTGTCAGCTCAGGACGGGGAAAGAAGGGAGGGGAGTGGAGGAAGGGGACGAACTTTGAGAGTGAGCAAGACGGCGTGGGTCTTGGAGCGGAGACCGATAGCGGCTGACCCTTGCTTTACGGCTTCGAGCGCATATTCCACTTGGAAGAGCTTTCCCTGGGGCGACTGTTACACCGTGTCAGCTTTCATCACCAACTTCCCGAACCAAAATGGACTGACGAAAGTGGTGTTGTCGGAGTCGTAGGAATTTCGGAACTGTCCCCGTGATCAGCTATACCCCCTCTGCCCCCCTCGCATGCACTCACCATGGCTGCCGAGTAGAAATCCTGAAATGATAGAGGAGATGGTTCAAAGCGAGGCGTGCGCGTCGATGGGCTCGCCCTCTCCCAGTGATTACGTAAGCGAGTGGAGGTTGCCCAAAGATTTCCGGATTGTCTCTGACTTTTGTTGTCGAATTGATACATCTATACCATCCTACAATGCGGCCCTTAACAGAAGAAGAAACAAAGTCCGTCTTTGAGAGTGCGTGCCCCTCTTGAATAGCTGTGGAAAGGGGCTGATGATTGATGCTAGAGCTCGCCAACTACATCGGCAAAAACCTCGTGCACCTCATCGACCGCGACGAAGACGACGAGTACTGCTTCCGTCTCCACAAAGACCGTGTCTACTACCTCCCCCTCCCCATGCTGCACTTTGCCACCTCTGTTGCCCGGCCCAACCTCGTCTCCCTCGGCACGTGCTTTGGCAAGTTTTCAAAGACTGGAAAGTTCAAGCTGGGTATCGCGAGTTTGGATTATCTGGCAAAGTATGCCAAGTACAAGGTGTGTACCTATCCGTGGCTGGGTGTGTACAGGGGGAGTGCTGATGGGCAACAGGTGTGGATCAAACCCTCCGGAGAACTTCCTTTCCTGTACGGCAACCACGTCGCCAAAGCCCACCTCGGTCGTATAACAGAAGACACCCCCGAACACCAAGGTGTTGTAGTGTACAACATGTCCGATGTGCCATTAGTACGTCCACCCCCTCTTACCCTGCAGTGACCTTGGCTTGGTATGATGAAGAGCTAATGAAAGGGATAGGGCTTTGGCGTGACTGCCCGATCGACGCTGGATACCCGAAAACTCGACCCTACTGGTATTATCGTGTTCCACCAGGCGGATGTTGGAGAGTTCTTGCGTGATGAGGATACCATGTTCTAAGCTGGATGGAGGATAGCGCGTTGAGGTAGTGGAGATGAGAGCAAGGGGATGGGGATATTCTGGTTTCTTGGGGACAGTTCTGCCTCGAATTGCGAGGGAGAGTCTCGTGTAACTTCGTATGTACACTAATTTTCATCAACATGGGCCGTCTCAGGTGTCGTTGTGTCTTGCTGGGATGAGTCGGCGCGCTGCTGTGCGGCATCGTTGAAGGGGAGAGTGGCTGCCTGTAAGAGAAGATGGGTGCGATCCTGTAAATGCGTACATGTCACCCTTTCCTTATCTACAAATCAATACAAACAACTCTTCTTTCCCCCGGCTGTCTATACATCTATACAAGGCCAGCCAAAAGAGCTCATACAAACCCCATGACTTCGTCCACAACATTTGAGAAGGCATGTGTGTTTCTCTCGGGGAATGTCTTGAGAGCATCGGTCCTTTGGAGAAAGAGGGGTATTTGTTCTTGTAATTCGCTACAGCCCCATCAGCCTCTGGTCTCAAGTTTCCCACACCCGCTCCAAAATCTCTCTCCAAACAGAGCCTCGACTCGTCCTCGAGAAAACGTCAACAAGATTACGAAAAAGACGTACCTGACCGCCGCAACCGCACAAAACCCATCCCTGCCCAACGCCTCCGCAAGCTCGACTTGATGATTATCCATGAGCCCCGTGTTGGGGACTATCAAGAGTGGTTTGGGGGGACGGGAGCGGAGGGTGGTGAGGATCGAGCCTGAACCTGCATCTTTCTTGTTAGCTTTTGGCTTTCACTGCTTTCGGCTTTCACTGCCTTCATGCAGGGATTCCACAGAAGAAGACATTGGGGGAGAAGGTAAAAGCAGGAAAGGGGAGGGGAGAGGGGGGACGCTTACCAGCATGACTGATCACAGCTTCCACGCTATCTACCAACCCCTCAAAATCATCTGTATACCGCATCACCTCGACTTGCACATCTCCTATCTTTCCCTTGCCTTTTCCTTGAGCATCCACCCCTTGCCGTTGCTCTTCATTATGACATGGTGATGGTGATGGTGATGGTGACGGGGGTTGAGCTTGGAGCGCATTAAGGAACTCTGCCGGCAACTCTGCACCCCCATACTGCACCACAACCCTTCCAACGCCCAGGCCTGAGAGGGAAGACAGAAAAGAGGGAGAGAGGAGGGGGTCAGTGAGGGCTGGGAAGAGGGTGGAGCCGACTGTTATTAGGAGGGAAGATGGGGGCATGGTTGCTTGAATGGTTCGAGATTTGAGAGTGATAAACGGGAGAGTGATCGATGGGTGCAGTGTGAAAGGGGCAGGTGGAGGTGGGCGGAGGGGAGCGCTCTTGTCCTTGTTGTGGTCCTGTGTCTTTTGAACATCGATACAAGACGTCCAAGCTAGCGAATAGATGATAATCTCACCAGGACAGACCACACAATAAAAGTTTGATACGGAGACTGGACCCTTAAATGCAGAGAAAGAAGTAACAGGGGAGTAATGCAATATTCATGCCCAGAAACCAAAGAAGCCTATGCCGATATATGTTTTTATGTTCGTCTTTCTCAAGCTCCTCCTAGCCTAGCGCCCTAGAACGAAAGTCTAGTAAGGTCGGGCAGCAGCCTGGCAAGCCTCTACAGAGTACATTAGTCAGCTCCACCACCTCGAAAACAAAGGAGAGAATGAGGACGTACTGAGGGCTTCGAGGTAGTAGCCACAAGATTGCATGTCGCCGTTGGTAGCCTCGAGACACTTGGTAAAGTCTATTCCCAAGTCAGCACCACATTCACAAGATAAAAGCAGAACGCACCCTTAGCCTGGATATCACAGCTCATACCAGCCTGCTGCTGGTTAACAGGCGCCTGCGCCTGCTCAACAGGAGCCGCCTGCTGTCCGCCACCCCCACCGAACAGCATGTTGCTGATACCGTGCCCGACGACAGAACCAGCCATGGCACCGCCCATGGTGGACGCGGCCTGGGCGAGCATGCCGGGCTGGCGCTGCTGCTGCACACCGGCGTGCTGAGCGGCGGGAGCGGGGGCGTGTTGGGCGGGGTAGGCGGCGGTGTGGGCGCCTCGGGATTGTTGGGAGGAGTGGGAGGAGGAGGGGGCGGAGGGGCGGGCCGAGGAACGGGACTGTGGGTGGGGGGTGGCAAGGTTAGTATGGAAATGTGGCGTTTTTTCGATCTCTTCTTTTCCTCCCCCTTCCCCCCACTCTTCTCTCCCAACCCTCCCCCCTTATAGCATGAATGGTACTCACAGATCGAGGCATTTTGTTCGATTTATCTGCAGTAGTAAACGGATAGAAATGAAAGCGATGGATGAAAATGACCGACGTCGATTGGAGAACATCCCAGCAAACATTGACGGGATCAAATCACCTCCACTCTTCCGGTGCTTGCCGGACCGCTGTCGTAAGCCTTTTTTGGAAGCCGAGCAAGGCCGATAAGGGGAGGCCGACGGCGTTGGGTATGTATGGGATGTGGAGAAGTTGGCGATGGTGATGGTGGGAGGAGACATCGGGGTGGTGGTAAGAGGAGGGTTTGGGATGTGCAGTACGCGTGATTGCGCGCGCGATGGCTTCTTTCAATGGTGTCTTCTTCATTCAACGATCAGATGTTGCGAATGGTACTGACACAGGATCATTCAGTGTGGTTAGCGGCATTCGATTGCATGGTTTGAATGGGAGAAAAGGCCACAGCGTCAGTGACAGTACATGAGAGTCTTTGCGCAGCAGAGTCGGGGCGCCCGTCAAATTCAGTGAAGACCCAGGACGCATGGGTGCTCATAAAGGAGTATAGGATGTATCTGAAGCGATGCAAGCACATGTAATATGAGTTGCATCTTCTCCTTTTCCCCTCTTTCCCATTTCCATACATAGAGATTATCACCGCTTACTGCTTGGCAACAGCAATAAACTCGACCTCCACAAGCACATCCTTAGGCAACCTAGCCACCTCAACACAGCTCCTAGCAGGCTTACTCTCGCCAAAGAAGTCGGCGTAGATCTTGTTGAACTCGACAAAGTCGCCCATGTCCTTGAGGAAACAGGTGGTCTTGAGGACTTGGGCGGGGGTGATGTTGGAGGCTTCGAGGAGAGCAGAGATGTTGGCGAAGACTTGTTTCTGTTCATCTATCAGTGAGCTGTGAGGGAAGGGGGAGAGGAGGGGAGGAACGTACGGATTGGACGGAGATGTCGCCCTCGACGATCTGCATAGACCTGGGGTCAAGAGGGATAGAACCAGAAGAGTAGATAAGCTGCCACAAGCCATAAGCTCTTCGCACCACATCACACAGAGAGTTAACATACGCCGTTGTGCTGCACAGCCTGGGCGTAAGGACCAATAGCAGCGGGAGCCTCTACAAGTCATATCAGCCACCGTCCTCCATATGTCGACGAGAGTCACACTCACTGTCGGTAGCGATGGTGGTGTAAGACATTTTTCGGGTAGTAGTTTGGATGGGTCTGAGAGAACGAGAAAGAAGAGGCGTAAGACGTCTTGTGAGCATTGACAACGACAAGAGAAATTGGAAAACGGAAGTTGGCAGCAGCCAGCGGGGTGCCTTGGTGGTGACTCGGCGCCGCGACGGATGTAAAGCCACGTGGAAGATGTGGAGGTCGATACCTGCTGTTCCTGCGATCTGCGTCATGGCGCTGGTTCACCTTTGCCACCCTTCTCTCTATATATAGCCTTGCCTTCTCCTCCTCTTCCTTATCCCCATCTCGGTGCAAGAAGGATACGCTGCTGTCATGTGTCAATTGGAAACTGCAAAGTGGGTACAAATAGCATCCGTGAGGAGAGCCGATGACCGACGGCGGACGACGTATGCAGGGCTTTGATTTTCGACTGTTATGAAGTGGGTGGTTATCATGATTGCCAGGACATATGCCGGGGTGCTGACTTGCAGTATTGTATTGTAGACGCTCATCGTCAGTTCCCTTTCCGCCAGACCGCTGGACCGACAGTCGTACTGTGCCAGTCGACGTCTTTCTTCTCAGACACCCAAGCGCAGATAGCTAACATCCATTTTCTAGGACTGGGAACGAGGCAAATACGAAGCTCTGGAAGAATCAATCTTCTCCCAGAAGACATGCCCCGAGCCCGAAAAGATCTTTCGCTCCCTGGGCGTCATCGAGAACAGGATCCAGCAAGAAGACAAGGATCGGATCTATCCTGAAGTGTAGGTACCCCTTCCACTCCAGCCACCTTATTCTGCCTCTCTCGTTCGGTGCTGATGCGTATGCAGGCTCGAGCTGAGCTATAAAGAACTGACCGGCGAATACCGTCTCTGGTACGACCCCGCCTCAGCCCAAGCTTTCGGCGACTCGGTAGGCTCATGGCCCCCTTTCCCAGACTCTGCCAAAGCTCTCAAACGACTCAAAGAAATGGGGCTGAAGCTTTTTGTGTTGAGTAATGTCGATAACGAGAGTTTTGCGGTGACGAGGAAGAAGTTGGAAGTGGATGGATTTGAGTTTTATGGGGCTTGGACGGCGGAGGATAGTGAGTCGTCTTTTGTTCTCTTGTTATGTACTGTATGGGGGCGAATGCTGATAGATGGGGATAGTTGGGAGCTACAAGCCGGACCTGCGCAATTTCCGGTATGCACTCGGAAAGCTGCAAGAAGAGTTTGATATTGAGCCACATGAGGTGCTCGCCGTTGCAAACTCCAAGTTGGGCGATATACGCCCGTACGTCTCCTTCCCCTCCCCCTTCTATCCCTCTCTCCTCCCCCTTTCTCATCCATTCACATATTGAAAAAAGCTGACTCTGAGCGGACAGCGCGCACAAAATGAACCTCAAAGCCGTTTGGATCAACCGCCCCCAAGCCATCATCGGTGTCGAAGGGCAGGAAGACGTCAAGCCAGAGTGGGAGTTCGAGAGTATGGAGGCATTTGCGGATGGGGTGAAGGAGGCTATGGAGGAGGAGGGGTATTAGGAGTTTGAGGGGTGGGGTCTTGGGGACTTGGGGGGTTTGGAGGAAGGAGGACTGGAGGGATGTGGTTTTGGGGTTGGTTTATTGGAGGCCTGTTGTACAGTATTTCCATGTTTGATGATGTGAGTCATTTTAGGGGTCTGATGTCCATTGTCTGTGAGCTATTGATGCATTTCTTTGCGCGTGTCAGTACATAGAGTAGCTTATGGATGTCTTAAGGCCCCATCTGTCTCCCTTGCTGCCTGTCCTGACCTTCGTCCTCCTCACTTTACTATTCCCTTCTCTTCTTCGTTCCCTCTTCTCTCTCTTCTTTTATCATGGGCATTCTGATGTAGATTATTACCACAACAGGTTTGGACAGACCGGATACTAGCAGCGTAGGCCGTACATTGCCTCACCTGCCCGACGCCGTAGGGGGTATGACGCCTCTTGCCCAATGTAACCACCGCTTTACATGTCACTTGATGATCTCTTCAGCTGCTTCTCTTGGGGCAGGTCCAATAATCCTCCACCTCCACCACCTATCAATTGACCAAAACCATCCATGAGCATTGCTTCTCTTCACTGAGAAGATACGGGGGGCCCGAGTCCGATTGCACGAGGTCTCCACTTGGAAAGGACGGGCGACCGACAAATCCACTCTTCGCGACGCGTCTTCGCATAAGCCATTGCATCTTCTTCTTTCACCCATCTCAATGCCGTCTTCTGACCTCACTACCGAGAGGAGATCCAATGGCGGAGGCGAGTCCGACCAACACGCCCTCAATAGAGACTCCTGCTAATTCTGGATCTGCGTCACAAGGACACCAAAGCCATCCCCTCGACCTCAACTCCATATCCTTCTTGACCCTCCCCCCAGAGGTTCTATCCCTCATTTCCAACTTCTACATCATTGCCGCTCACCCGGATGACGAAGCCTACACCGATTTTCTCTGTCTTAATCGTTCTATCCACGACGATATTATCAACAGGGCATACGAGAGAATCACCCTGACGGAACGCAGCCATATACATCACATTATGGCCAAACAAGAACCATTGCCCATGCATTATTCTGTATAGTTTGCCCACGCACTATATCTGTGCAGAGTCGCTCGTTCCTTAGCTGTGAGGTCCGCGCGAGAGTCGGCCGGCGCCGCCATCAGCCCCACATGACCACTGGACCACATCAGCCCCCCTCTCCCCCGTCTTCTTCGCTGTCGCTATATGTGCCACAACCACAACTCTCCCATATCATCCATTATCTCCTCTAGGCCAATTGCCTTGCCAATCCCCGCCCCCCTCGCTCGTCTTCTCGACTTCGAGGCTGCGGTGACAGCACCTTATCGTCCCGACTCTCAATGTCGCTCCCTAATCCCGCTGAGATCGCTAAAGACCGAGGTGAGTGGTAGCGTCATCATTCTGCCCCAGCTGACCCCGATGCAGCATCCAAAGACCGTCAGATATCTTCCCTCGAGGCCGACCCAAAATTCGACCTAGCCCTCCCTCCAGAGCTCATCTCCCTCATCTTCATCTTCTACGCCTCCTCCACAATCCCTGGCAGCAAAGCCTTCACCGACCTCCTCTGCCTCAGCCGCGCTATCCACGACGAGAACGTCAATAGGGCCTATGATAGAATCACACTGACGAAAGACAATGCGCTGGCGTTCTTCCGGCCTTGGATCGAATGGGCGGTAAAGGTGAAAAAGAATGCCAGCTCGAATGGTCGGTCCATAAAGAGCCAAATGCGTCTGGATACCACCACTATCTATCCGCGAGCATGGATGGGGTATGCGGAGAACTTCGATCGAAAAAGGTCCATCACCTTTGCCGACACGCGTGCCCTTCTCGAGACATGTCAATTCAAGAATGAAAAGGGGTCGGGGCCGTTCGGAGTGTTTTCCTACCCTTCTGAAGAAGAGTTTAGAAAATCCCCTTTTTACCTGTTGAACAACCTCCACCACGTCGCCTTCCCATCCTCTTTCTTCATATCAACATCGACATCACAGCTTTATCAGATAGCTTGGGAAAAGTATAGGCGTTGGAAAATGTATGAGACTTCTTACGTCAGGGCTCAACATGTCTGCATTGAGTTGCCTCTGGGTCCACTCCCCCAGGTGGCGTTTGATGGACTGAACGACATGCTCAAGAATACCATGGCCAATCTCAAGAAGTTGACCGTGCATAATTGCTCGGTCACCTCTGATCTTCCCTTGTTGTCCATCGATCCCACAGTGACCTTCGAGATCTTCATGAAGAGTCCCAGAGATACTGGCATGGATGAAGCGCATGTAGATGCCTTAGAAATCGCACAGCAGGATGGACTCGTCGATCGTATTGTGGATATATTCAGCTACGAGTAAGTACGCCACTGGTCTCGTTCAAACAAGCAGCTGATTTGGCGATAGCAAGAACTTACCCAGCTGTATCGTCCATCATTCACAGCCACACGGTCGCGATCCTGTCTCCAACATCATTCAAGGTCTCGAAGATGAAGATCTGGACGATGATGTTCTGGGCCAAATCAGGGACGAGAAGATGTCGATTTTCACCAACGAGGATTGCGTGGCCCATGAGAAGGTGGTGTGTCTGTGTGGACTCGAGAAATGCCGATAGGAGGAGACTAGAGTGATGACGAGGTGAGCGAAGGGCTGGCGGAGAGACTTATCGACGGTGGTGGTGTGACATTGCGTTACGATATTGGAATGAATCACAAGTACATGTATAATGGGATACGGGTTACTACATTACATATTGACGTCTTACGCTGCCTCTTCTGCCATGGGGCCGGGCGAGTATGCTTTGTTTGGTTCTCAGAGCGTACCGCGTCGGCATCCGACTGACCCTGACCAGGCAGAATCTGCTCGGACGGGTCTTTGTAGAAAATCTGTCTTTCCATTGGTGTCTTTCCATTTCCATCATTCTCTCCATTTCCCAAGGCATCCCGAGATCTCACTCAGTATTTGGTTCCTACAAGGCAGGGTCGAATAAGGCGGCGAACGCCGCCCCGATCTCTCTTTCGACAACTTGGCCAGTACTTGTCTGTAATCAATTGTAGAACTCCAATGCAACCCCTTTTTCGACCACAATGGACCCCCTCGCCCCTCTGCCAACCCTTGTCCTCCCCCCTCAGACCCTGATTCTCCTCGTGGGACTCCCTGGTAGCGGTAAATCCACCTTCGCCTCCTCTCTCTGCCAATCTTCGGCCTCTCTCCTCACTTCCGACCCTTCCAACCCATATCAGCCCCTGCACGCTTCGATAAAAGGAGGCATTAGACCGTGGATAAGAGCTTCGCAAGATGATGCGCCGAGTCGGAGAAGGCAGGAGGTGGAAGCACTTGTGGGATGGGGATTAAGGGAGGGGTGTAATGTGGTTGTGGACCGTTGTGGATTCGATCCTGTGTAAGTTTTCTGCATGATGTGTACAACTAGGTAGCTGACATACCGCTGTAGACAAAGAAGCCATTTCATATCGATAGCGGAAGGCATCAACCCCCAAATCCGGATATACGCCCTCGTCCTCGCCGTCTCTGAACAGACCCTCAAAACACGACTCACGTCTCGTGAATCTCACCCCACCATCACCGGAAGTGAAGAAGGTCTTCGAGTGCTTGGGCAAATGGATAAAGTCTGGCAACCGCCTACTTCCCAATCCGGCGAGGGGTTCCACAAGATCTTGATACTGGACGAGAAAGATCAACCGAATGGAGCCGAGGGATGGACAGAAGACTTGGCACGGGGAGTGGTAGCGAAGATAGAAAGAGAAGGAGAGCAGGAGGTAGGGGAGAGGAAGGACTACAAGCCAAAGCCGAGAGAATTTGGAGATGGAAGAGGACGGGGCAGAGGTGGTTATCGAGGGAGCTGGGAGAATGGGCGTGGAAGGGGAGGCTGGGGAGGAGATCGAGGAAGAGGAGGATATGCCAGAGGAGGGTCGGGTGGTCCCTGGAGAGGAAGCGGTGATGGATGGAGAGGAGGCTATGCTCGAGGTGGGTACCATCAATCAGACAGTACGAGTACTGCTTCGGCGCCGCCTTCGTGATGCATTCAAGGCGCTACACTATGCATGAAAAGACGTATCAGTCTCACCCCTCCTCGGATGCTCGTCCATTCGCATGCATATAAGACGATCCTCTTGCTCCTGCTGGCTGGGAGGCGGAGACCGGAGTCACCGTCTTACGGCTTACCGACGTTATGTGCGCTGAGTTCCTGGAATTTGAACAATTCTCGGATTGTATTGCCGTTTCTTCCCCTTTTCTGTTCTACATCTCTTTCTAGATAACACACGCATGCACTCCTCAACAACCCCTCCGATCCCTCCCCGGCCAATCACTCTCCAGGCCCTGCAGTTCCTTCTTCGTCGCGACGCGACAATACCGCAGTCTCTTGAGCGCGATGCCATCGCCTGTGTCCAGCGATGTCGTCGGTGACCATGGTAAGCTACAGCGCACCCACTCCATTGTCATAGCTTCCAGCTGATCCTGAGCTAGCGTCCAAAGATTACCCTCTTCCACCCTCTGACCTCACCCCCTTCTCCGGCCCAGCGCTCCCTTCAGACATCCTCGCCCTCATTTTCCCCTTATACGTCACTGCTGCTTGTCCCGGCAGCAAGGCATTCACCAACCTCCTCTGTCTCAACCGAGAAATCCACGACGAGAACATCAACAGGGCGTATGAGAGGATTACATTGACGAAAGATAATGTCGACGCGTTCTTCAAACCTTGGTGGGACGGTACGAGATGGCTGAGTGGAAGGGCAGCGGAGACTACCAAAGCAAGCACCCAGATGGCCCGTTGAATGACGATCGCTTGTCTGTCAGGGCGTGGCTGGGTACCGAGGAGAATATCGCCAGGAAGAGGTATATCACCTTTGCCGATTCGTGCGCTCTTCTCGAGACAGCTCGATTCCTGCAGCGAAACCCGTGGGAACGATGGGTCGACATCTGCCGCCAAACAGAATTCAAAAAAATCTCCCCAGCGTCTCTTCGAGAACCTCCACCACATCACCTACCCCGCTGCTCTCTTCCAACCCACGTCAATCTGTCACGTAGCTTGGGGCATGTACAGGGTCTCTTTAACGAAAGCTCGCTACATCTGTATCGACATGCCTCCTTGGCCGATCCCTAAGGTAGCAATCGATGCGCTACGCAGCCCCTTTACCGGCAAATCTCCTCCTTGCGGGTTGACAGTTCATAACTGCTCCTCGTTCATCGATGTGCCGTTGTTGAATTTGGAGTCAGATACCTGTGTTGAGGTTTTCATGCGGAGTCCGAAGGACACGTTTGGGTCTGAGCGGGTGGATGTGGACGACATACAGTTCCTACATGAATACACCCTCACTAATTACTTTAATCAAGTCTTTAATGGGGCGAGGTGAGCATCCAATTTCTTAACATTGGTCAGAAAGCTGATGACCTTCTAGCTGGATAACTCGACCCAACTTTGTTGTCCATCATGCAGCGCGAACACAAGACGACATTGACAGTGTTTACTTTCAGCATGATCTGTATGATGGGGAGAAGTTGACAATCTGGACCGACGAAGAGTGTGCGGCACATGAGGAGCTGGATTGTATGTGTGGATTGAAAGTGTGCGAGGCAATTCGCGAATGGACGAGCGACGAGGAGTCAGAAGGGTTCGAGGACAGTGGGGAAGACAGTCCGATATCTGGATGATTCTCGGCCTCAGGTATATATCGCTATCACTTTTATTGTCTATCCATTGCATATCGATGTCGCATGCATCGCATATTTGGTTCTCCAAGTTCTTTCAATTTCAAGGGCAGGAACCAAACTTCATCGCGCTCATCTCGGCTCTCCGCGCGTTCTTGACTTTGCAATGCAATGACTTTGGACTCTCTTTTGACTCTCTTTTCGCCATTGTCTCGACCTTCAATGGCACCAAGTCTAAATATTTCTGAAGAGTCCGAAGGATGCTGGTATGAAATTTTCGCAGGAGAGCGGACTTTTAGAATACATTGCTGAGGCTTTCAGAAATGAAGGATAAGTGCACGACCGCTTCACTCTGAGAAGACAAGCTGATATTCATCCAGAACGATGAGTCGGTCCATCTTTGATGTGCATTCATGGACGCGTGGGTCAGATGCACTCTTGTTTATCATCGACGGCGAACTCGGGATGGAGGACTATGAAAAGAGAGTCGTGATCTTCACGCACGGAGCATGTTCGAAGCACGAGATGATCAATCGTTGGTGTAGGCTGGAAGTGTGTGAGGCGGAGCCGTGGCAGAGATGTGACGTGAAGGTGGCAGGCAAGGTATCTCGATTGTGCTGTGACCCGTGATACGGTACAGTATATGCATACAAATGCTCAAGACAAACGCGCCCTGCGACGACCCATACGCACCCTCCATCCCATCCCTCGCCCTCACCCTAGCTTATACACTCAACAGCGTTCCCACAGCCCACCCAATCATCGGCAATATAAGATTGTCGTTCTGCGCCGAGAACGCCTCGAGAAGGGTGACAAACGCTACAGTGATCGTATATGGCACAAGCTAGTAAGTGTCAGCTGTTGGTCTTCAAATTTAGGGAAGGAGGGAGAGAGAGAGAGAGGGAAGTAGGCAGGGGGCGAGGCAAAGAGATGAAGGGGAGCTCACATTGAACGAATCAACAGCCCCAACAGCCCACATAAAAACCGAGCTAACCAACACCGACAGGAAGAATGCCAAACTGCCTTCGACCGTCTTGCCGAATGCCGGACACCATCGGAGTCTTCCGATTCGTCTTCCAACTATCGATGCCTGAGAGAGAAAGGTGTGTCAGTTTGAAATATGATGGATCAAGTGGTGGAGACGTACGAGAGCATCGCCTATGCCGAGGGAGAGGACACCAAAGTAGGATAGCAATTCGCTCGGCCTTTCCCAAACTCATCAGCTCTCCTTCTTCTTCTCTTCAAGAATAGGAGCAACTCACCCTTCAAACCACAAAGGCGACGAACACCCCGCCAACAAATAAAAATGACTCAAAATCGCCGTCCCCGAATCTTTCGCATCCAAAAACTCGTTCAAAAACAAGTGCACCTTGACGCCAAAAGGCCAGAGGGCGAAATAGCGAATGTATTCTGCAAAGTTGAAGGCGGCGAAAGCGACGGAGAATGAGAGGTGAGTGAATGCTGGCTGTTTGGAGCGTCAGTAAGGGTATGGGGGATAGAATGTGAAAGGGGACGTACGTCGACGGCGATACCGGGGATAAACATGATGACCGCCAGCGCATGAAACGATTTCCTCCTCGCATTCACAGACAATGTCGGCATCCGCTGATCGGCCGCATCCATCATCTGTGTCGCTGCTCCGGAGAGACCTGCTTGTCCTCTTCCTTCCACCTGTCCTGCTGTTTGTCCGGGGTGGCCGGGTGCGGATGGGGCGTTTGGAAGGGTTGAGGTTGAGGTTGAGACGGACGGGTGGGTCTGGTTGGAGGAGTTGGAGTTCGAGTTCGAGGAAGAAGGAGCGTCGCCTCTGCTAGCTGCTGTACCAGGGACGGTATACCTTTTATGCCTCCTAGCACGATTGAGCTGCCTCTCCCAGCCCGCCACCGAAACAATAGCCAACCCAACCCAATACCCCACGAGCCCCAACCTCGTCCACATATGCCTCCCCCCAAACACGAACCAAAACACCCAACTATACGGATTCCGCCCGCCCAAACACCACCACGTCCACCCGCCCACCAATCCCCCACAGACAACCGCCGAACCACCATAGAAGCCGAGAGCGAGCAAGCGGCGGTGGATGGGTTTTTCGTGTGGGAGGCGGAGGCGGTGCGCTGGTTTTTGGGCGAGGTTGCGGGAGAGGTAGAGGAGTGGGGAGAGGAGGAAGCCGGCGAGGAGGGAGCCGGGGATGAGGGCGAGTTGGAATGTGAGGAGAGGGGTGGGGAGACGGTATGTTTTGATGTAGGGGGTGCGGAAGATTGCGATCTGGTAGACATCGAATTATCTCAGCACAAGCGTTTGAGGAAGGAGGAAGGGAGGAAGCGACGGACCTTCATACGGGTCAAATTGACGACTTCCATAAACATTGCCGTCGCCGCACTACACACCGAAGCCAGTTCCCCCAACGTCAACCCCTTCCGGGCGAGTCTGACACAAACGTAGATACTGAATTGGTAGAAGAGGGTAGCGATGACGATATCGGAGGGCGACATATCTGCCATCCCATCAGCACCATGCCTTTTCCCTCATCCGCCCCGAAAGAGAAAGAGGAAAAGGAAGGAGAAAAGGAAGGGAAGGAAAGGGAAGAATAAGACGAGACGTACCACTCCAAACTCCTCTTCCGACATACGCAGTAACAGCCTTAACCCCCAAACACCCCGCACTAACCAACGCCGAAAAACCCACCACGCTCCCCGTCCTCCTCCATTCACCCTTCCTTAACCAGAAGGTGCCAAAGCCGGCTTGTTGGGCGCTGAACCTGCCCCCAACGCTATTGGGACCGCCACCGCCACCGCCATGACCACTCCGGATACCGGGAGGGACCTCCCCGAGCTCTGAGACGCTTGGGTCGTTAGGAGGGGGGCAGAGGAGACGCATTTGTTTGATTTCGAGATGCAACGACCTTGCAAGGTGCACGAGAAGGACAAATGAACACAACGTGAAGAGTTGTACGAGGTTCCGGCGTGAAGTTGCAAGTGCTGAGAGGGCGCGGATCGTCTCGATAGGTCCCCTTGTAGGGTCGACGTCCCGCCTCAGCGGGGTTGTGGGCAGTACAAGGGGGTTCTCAATCTTCCAATTCTCATGCGGCAATGGAGAAGAGGGGTAGGAGAACAGTTGGGAGAGGGAAGCGTGCAAGAGGGCGGAAGCTACAAGGGGGCCCAGGAGGAGGGCGTAGTATATGCCGTCGTCGAGGCAGTCGCTGTATTTGTGATCGTTAGTATGATTTGGTTGAAAGTGCATGTTGGGGGAGGGGAGAGGGAGATGGATAGGGAGAGGGAGGGGCTTACCGATATTCACGTTCTTCCGTCCCCCATATACTCCCCTTATGTCCAATCCCTATATACCCATCTTCATCCGGCAACAACATCCTCGCCCGAGGATCATCCTTTGGCAGCGCAGGGGACGTCAAGGGTACGCCAGCAAGGGAATGAGAAGCATGGCCAACACTCGCCCGAGCAGACCTTTCGCGTGCAGGATATGTGCCCCCCCAAGTGGAAGGTGGGACGGGAGAGGGGGAGAGGGGTCGGGTTGGGGGGAGGTATGTGGATAAGACCCGGGCTGGGGTCGGTCGGAATCGAAGGGCGGAGTAGAGGATCGTCAAGCCTACTAATAAACCGATTTCTATAATACGTTTTAGCAGAGTTGATGGGAGGTGAGAGGGGAGGGAGGGACACACCACCGGCAATAGCTTGTTCGCCCCATCTATACCCCAGCACCCAGATACCCCAACACACTGCTGACAATACCAAAAGATTCTCGCATTTGCGTCGTGTCATCAACATAGACAGTCCTATGCGCCGGGTTTTACCGCCTAATTTGAAAGTGATGACATGGTTGAGACCGATCATGAATGGGAGTAGGGTATGAGGAGGCGGCGAGGGCGGTGCCGAGTTTTGCCGTCGGGCTGAGTTGGAGGTACGGGCAGAGGCGAGCGGTGTTGGTCTGGCAACAAGATCAGCCGCAAGTAAAGGGTAAAATGACGAAGGAAGCCTTACGTTCGATCAACAGGCTCGTCTACCTGTTTCTTCCAATTCACTCTACTAGCCCTCTCCACCTCCGTCTCATCTCCCCTCAGAAACTCTACCTCGCTCCCGCTACCCGCGCCGGCGACGCTACTCGCCGAAGCACCGTATTGCGTCGAGAATCCGACGTCGGTCGTTTCGTGGTCTTGCTGGTCTTCTAGTGTTGTGCGAGATGCTAGTGGGGAGGAGGGAAGGTCGGAGGGGGATTTGTAAAAGGGAGGAAGGGGGCTGCGGCTTGGGGCACGTGTGCGATGACTGTTATGACCATGGCCGTGGTTATGGCCGACTGATCCGGTAGCAGAAGACCGAGGTGAATTGAAGCTTTTCCGCTTTTCTCTACTGTTATGCAGTGGTGTGCTTGTTCTTGGTGGGTGGCCGTGGACAGACAGAGAGGAAGGCGGGGGCGGAGAAGGCGAAGAAGATGAGCGTGATACGGAGCGGTGACGGGTGTTCCTGTGAGTGTGGTGCGACCTTGCGGGCTGGAGGGTCATCCTGACCGCTGAGCCGAGGTGCTCTTCTGGGGTGCTGCTGAAGCCTGAGATATGGAAATGTAAACAGAATGGAAATGTCAGAGGAGATGGTGATTTGTTGACGTCGCCAAAGTGGAGGCCACGGTGGAGGCACACCGAGGAACGGTGGCTGAGGCTGCAGAGATGATAATGGGAGGGCTCTCTTTGCTTTGCATGCACATCAGCCATGGGCAGGTCACTCCAGGGAATACCCCAAGTATTCTTATGCATCCCTAAGCATCCCCTTGCATCCTCTTTGCATAACCAGGAGTGACCAAGATACATAGAGAAGCCCCCCGCGCCCACGCCATTTGATCCCGCTCAAAAATTATGGAACGCAGATTTCTTATATATCTTCGAACCCTCTATATCTATCCTTCTCCCCTATCCAACCCCCTCCAAAAGCAAGATAGGAGGTCCACAATGTCCACCGAAGACTCCCCCCTCTCCGCCCCTGTGCCTACAGTGCTCGGCGAGCTCGCAACAGAGCTCGAAGAACGACCATGGGCCTTGGCTTCAGAAAACGACGAGAGCGTTAGGGAAAAGAGTTTGAAGGCTGCCAAGGCTCTTTTTGACCTCAGTAAGTGTTTGGTCCAATCTTGGGAATGTAGAAGAGTGGTATAGGGCTGACAAAGTGGGTAGGCGTAAAGTGCGAGCAACTGTCGCACCCGCATATCCAACCATTCCTCGTATCCATCCTCGAACCCCCCTCCATCGAAACCCGCTCCAAATCCCAATCCAATCCTGCTCAATCAGACAAGACGCCGATGGACCCTAACGAAACCTTCCCCTACACCCCGCTCGACCTTTTGACCGTTGAGGGGTTCGACCCGGACCAGATCTGGGCGCAATTGGAGTTGAAGAATGAGGGACTTGTACCAGTCTTGTCGAAGATGGGGGAGCAAGAGCAAGTGCCTGAGGGTATTGAAGAACTTTCGGACGCTTCTTCTGACGACATGACGCTGGAAGAGTTTAGGGAGATGTTGAAAGAAGCGGGCTACGAAGGGATCGACGAGATGTCTGATGACGAAGTGGAAGAACTCAAAGAAGAGATGGAGGGGGATGAGGGAGAAGATGGGAAGATGTCGCTGGATGAGTTTAGGGAGATGTATAGGGAGGCGGGGGAAGATGTGGATAGTATGACGGAAGAAGAGTTGAGGGAGAGGATGGAAGAGATGGAGGGAGGGTCTGACTCTGACTCTGATAGTGAAGAGAGTGGGAGCGAAGATGATGAGGAGGAGAGTGGAAGCGACAGCGAAGAGGGAGAGGAAGGAGAGGATGAAGATGAGGAGATGCTTTCTGGTGAAGACGACGAGCTCTCTGCTTCCGCTTCCGGCTCTGCCTCCGAAGAAGAAGAAGAAGACGACGACGAAGAAGCCGAAGGCTTTTCAGCCTCAGACGACGAAGACGACTCCTCTGCCCTCCTCTCCGGCTCCGCCCCCTCTTCTTCCATCCCCGGCCCCTCCAAAGCCCGCAAATCAAAATCCAAACACCCAACTCTCGACGACGACTTCTTCTCCATCGACGATTTCAACCGTCAAACAGAAGAACTCGAAGCTGGCCGTCTTACCTCTGGCGGTTTGGGCGGTGACGACGAAGAAGAGGAGGAGGAGTTGCAAGATTTCGGGAGTTTGATGTTGGATGGAGCTGGGGATGATGATGGTACGTCTCTTCTTCCTTGTGTGTGTGTGTGTGGTGGGGATGGAGCTGATTTGAGGGGTAGAAATCACTTATGCCGACTTTTTCGAACCGCCAAAAGGTGGGGCCAAGAAACCTTCGTCCTCCGGCTCGAAGGAGAAGAAGGGGAAAGGCAAGAGGAGCAAGAAGCCCAAGTATGACGAAGACGAGGATATGGGCGAAGAGGAGGAGGAGGAGGAGGAAGTGGATGATGATGAAGAGGCGTTTGGTATTATGGGACGTGTTAAGGGCGATTTGTTTGATAGTGATGACGAGGGAGAAGCCGAGGAACAAGGTATCTTTTTCACCCCACGTACTTCATCCCATAGTATCAAGCCTGACCCCGTCATAGTCCTCTCCGCACACGAAAAACGTCAAAAAGCACTCGCCCTCCAAATCGCCGAGCTCGAAGACCAAGCCGTCGGTCCCAAAGAATGGACCCTCCTCGGTGAAGCCTCCAGCAAAGCCCGGCCTGAAAACTCATTGTTGGAGGAAGATTTGGATTTCGAGCAGGTTGGCAAGGTTGTGCCTGTTGTGACGGAAGATTCGGTGAAGAGTATGGAAGAGTTGATCAAGCAGAGGATTTTGGATGTGAGTCACTCTTCTTTCTGGCAGGAAGGGATGGGAGCTGATGCAAAGTAGAACAACTTTGACTCTCCCGTCCGAGTGCGTGCATACGAACCCACCCCCTTCCTCCCCTCCCGCTTCTTCGACCTCCAAGACACCCAATCCGCCAAATCCCTCGCACAAATCTACGAAGAAGATTACCAAGCTGCCGCGTCGGGTGAAAAGGTCAAGGATGCGAGGGATGAAAAGCTCAATAAGGCGCATGAGGAGATTGATGGGTTGTGGAATGATATTTGTTATAAGCTTGATGCGTTGAGTAGTTTGAACTTTGTGCCCAAGGCTGTGAGTCCTTTCTTAATATTGATGTGGTGTGGGCTGATACAGTACACAGCCAAAGGCGAATATCTCGACAATCTCGGATTTACCGACGACGTCGATGGAATCTGCCCTCCCCCCAACATCCGCCGCTTCCACAATGCTCGCCCCTCAAGAACTCTTTGCCGCCCCCACCTCTTCCTCCCTCGTCGCCCGCTCCGAGCTCACATCCCAAGACGCCCAAGCGCTGCGCACCAAACACCGCAGGCACAAAAAAGCCGACAGGAAGAAGCTCGGCGAGATGGAAGAGTTGTATGGGAAGAAGAAGCAGAGTGTCAAGGAGCAGAAGGAAGAGGCGTTGAAGGGGTTGGTGAAGAGTGGAAAGGGGGTGACGATTGTGGGGAAGGGAGGGAAGGAGCAGGGGAAGGCGATGAAGAGGGGTGGGGAGGGGCAGGGAGAGCAGCAGGATGGGAAGCGGTTGAAGCTGTAGTCTTTGGATCTTGTCTTTATGTATGGTCTGCACTGTCTATCCTTTACATGTCTTACTCGAGTATATTTGTCAGGGTATCGTATGTGGGCATCAAAGAGTCCAAGACTGATTAGGCGAAGGCCAAGGTTCTCCCACCAAATCAGGTAGTAGCTGAGATCGTCCATTGTTGGTAGAATGTGCGATAGGCATGCATTAGATGCGAAAGAAAGGTTCACACTAGCAGACTCTGTCATAACAAGGACGCGACTACATTGATCTCGTGACAACACACTCCTCTCTCACCGATCATTGCTGTCTGAGCCCCGACCGACACACCTTCAGCCCACAGAGACATTCCACTTCCTCATGCGCCACACACTCCTTATTCGAATAGACCACCAACTTCTTCTCATTCAAGATCATGTCATATGTCTCCGGGGATCTCCAATTTTCGCTGAGGGTTTCTCCCACAGAAGAAACAATGTCGCTCGACGCCGAATGATGGACGACAAAGTCGGGGTACACCTCCAAGCTACATCTAATCTGCTCGTGTGGCGATGAAGATAGCATGTGTACCCTTTTTTTTTGAAACATCTTCAAAGTATTCGCAGAGCCCTTTTTCCTGGGACTGTTCTATATCCTCAACAGACATCTGATCCAATCCAGTATCCCTCGGACTCCGCAAGAAAATTTCAACCTGGAGGCTAGATGTGATCCCGCCCACCAAGAGTATGTCGTAGGGTGAGAAGCAATTAAGCACCGTCAACGTCTCAGGCTGAGGGCTCTGATGAACCAACACGGATTGCAGTGTATCAACTACTATCTTGGGCAGTATCGTGAAAGGCATCTCGATACACACGTGACGGGCGTTCACAAAAAAACTGGAACCATATGTCTCCCAAGCTATCCGAGAGACGGGCGTACCGTCAAAGATAGAAGCGGGAAAGGCGAGATGGTGGAGATGCCGAAAGAAATATTGGGGTGATGGTTTATAGTCCCTTCCTCTTGCTCGGACTCTTGCTTGCTTGACCGGCGACCAATAATAATTGTGCAGGAATCGAGCAACCTCGAGCAGAGCGTAGGCATCGACAATGGTGACGCTTCTCCTTCGATCCGAATCCGCCTCTCGCGCCAGCCACGTTCTGACATAGATGTCGAAAACAGTGACGGACCTTTCCACCTTGGTTTGCGATCTCAAATCGGTCTGAGCTTTCTCGAACCACTCCCTCCAAGGCCGGAAGAAGGCCAATACATTTTCTCTCGTCAATATGATCTTTTCGTAAGCTCTGTTGACGTTCTGGTCGTGGATAGCGCGGCTGAGGCAGAGGAGGTCGGTGAAGGCTTTGCTGCCAGGGATTGTGGAGGAGATGTAGAAGGTGAAGATGAGGGAGAGGATTTCTGCGGGGAGGGCTGAGAAGGGGTCGAGGGGGCGGCTTTGTTCTTTCGACGCTACGACAGTGTTAGCTGTGGGCGGAGTCGAATCATAGAGCAGTCATAGCGGCAGCAACGCGGCATCAATGTTGACAGGCGGGACATGCCGCCCGGACCGGCTTCTTGTTGGCAGATCGTGCCTGTGACGTTTTCTGATTCTGGGTCGGATGTTGACTGCGCATTTTCGCGTTCTTTATTTCAAGGTCATTTCTGCGATTCTTGCACTGGAATTAATACTATCTCATCACTACATCTATATCCAGTCTATCACACTCAGGACTGATAATCATCACACTCTATCACACTTTCACAAATCTAAGCGTATAAATAACAAACCACATCATCATGGTACGTTCTCTCGTCTTCCGATCTACTTTCGCAAAGCTGATCTCATTTGTGTAGGGTCTTTGTCACTCTAGGCGCGCTCACGGGCCCCCAGGCGGCTACGGCGGTGGAGGTATGGGTATGGGCGGAGGCGGCATGGGAGGGGGCGGCATGGGCGGAGGACCGATGATGGGCGGTGGGGGTAGACACGGAGGGCACCATGGTGGCGGTATGGGTGGTGGAGGATTTGGAGGGCCTGGGGGAGGTATGGGAGGCGGCGGTATGGGTGGGGGAGGATTCGGAGGGCCTGGGGGAGGTATGGGAGGCGGGGGAATGGGTGGAGGAGGATTTGGTGGACCTGGAGGAGGAATGGGCGGGGGTGGTATGGGTGGTGGACCTGGAGGGGGCGGTGGTGGACGTTGGTAATCGAGGGAGAATGAGAGAACGGAATAAGAAGATAGCAAGTATATTTAATGCAATTAATCGAACACGATGGTAGTAGTGTTTGGTTCGCCAGACTTGTGTGTGCTGGTTCTGGTTTGTGAGCTATCGCCTGACGCCTAAGTTCTCTGCTGGTCGTATACCCTCAATCTTTCATCAACACCATAGCTCTGGAAAGGTCATAGACTGCTGTCTGGTCAGCTGTATGCGATGGCAAGAAAGGCGGCAGCAAGTGAAGATAAGGTGGGCGTACGCCGCCAGATGACTCACATCTCGTACATCATATCAGCATCTCATAGTTGCGGCTAATCACTCCAACAAACAGCTCATGGTACTGTCAGCCGTCATGAGAAACATGAGTAGTTTTGATATATCACCCAGGTCGTACACAAAACTGTAGCAGCGGCTAGTCATCCGATCGCTCGCTCAACACGCGTACAACAAGGCCCACATCACGCCCACCTTATCGGTACTCGTACAAGACACAAAGCAAGGACCTTTACAAAATGGTACATCTCCAAGCCTCCCCCTCAAACGAGTTAACCACCCGCCAGGGCATATGCACCTCCCAATCCCGCTCCCACTCCGCCGACTCAACCCACGCAGCCCACTACCACCCCTTCGAACCTTCTCCCGTCGTCTTCTCCCGTCCGCGCCAGCGAAAGAATCTCGTAGGGGGTCACAAGTTTGGACCGGGCGATGGGAAGGTGTATCATGGGGGGCATAGACCGATGGGAGGGAGGGAGAGGATCCAGGGGGCGGTGGTGCGAGGTGGTGGGGGGCGTGAGCTGAGGACGGGGAGAAGACAAGCGGGGAGGAGATAGTACTGGACGTACTTTCGAGAGTTTGGATGTGGATACCAGGCTGGTGACTCGGGATTCTGCTTTCATCGCGTAGGGCTGGTGGGTATCGGGCGAGTACTGTATTGATGAGATGACTGCTTTGGGGGCGATATGAATGCGAGTGCCATGCCTAAGCGTCACGCACCGTAAGCATTGGTACTCGAGCCGAGTGTCATCAGAAGGATTCTAGAGAATGCATAAGATCAAAGTCAACCACAACCTAAAGAAAAGAAAAGAAGAGAAGAGAAAAAAGAAAGACCACAGCTACGGAGTTACAGGCATTATCACACTCTTTGTTTTAGATCTCAAAAACGGTCGAGAGGATAGATATATAAGAAGCGAGAAGAGGAGACGAGAGGGGAAAGAAGCGATACAGACTTTTTGGTGGACGAGGATAGACTATAGTTGTGTTGCAGAACGCGAGAGTATAACAGACCAGACGACAGGAGGACAGAAAAAGAGAAGGCAAAAGAAGAAGAGAAGCTCTAACGCAACCTCCCCCCCACATGCCCATGCCCCCCCGGATGTCCCCCAAAGCCCGTCGGCATCCCCAACCCACAATCCCGATGCTGCATCAATATCGCCGTCAGCCGCCCCACCTCCTCATGCATCTGCTGCACAGTCTGTTGCAGGCGCTCGTTGTCGATGGTGAGGGTTTCGACTTTGGATTGGAGCTCGTTGAGCCAGGCCTTTTTGCGTTGACGGCATTTGAGCGCGGCTGGATGGTACATGGATTAGTATTGAGCTGAAGAAGAGGAAGGAGGAGGGGGCGTTACCTTGTCTGTTTCGTTCTAAAAAGTTCTTCCTCTTATCCTCCTCCGTCTCAAACTTGGCCCCCTCCCCACCCCGTCCCTGACTCCCCCCATCATCCGAATCCTCACTCGCCGTCTCCTTCTCCACAACCTGCGCCTTCCCTCCCTTCTTCCCCTTCTTCGCCTTCCCATTCCCATTCCCGTTTGTCGCCGGCGCCGCCTCAGGCTTCCTCTTCTGCCCCGCAATACTCCCCGGCGCAGTCTGCGATACCGCCCTGCCTCCCCGGCGATTGTTGTTGGCGCCAACGGGGGAGTGGGAGCCCTCGGCTTCTTCCCGCTTTGACAGTTCTTGGTGCGCTTGGCTGAGGAGGAACAGACCGTTCGCGGCTTGGGATGCTGCGTTGGCGTTGTGCTGTGCGTAGTCGACATAGGGCGGCATACCCGGTTGGCCCGGATGCCCCTGGCCCGGGATTGGCGCGGGGAAGAAGCCCGGGGGCGGTTGGCCATGTCCGCCGGGTGGAGCGCGGGACATGTCGCCGAATACGCCAGACAGGGCGTTGAGGGTATTCGGCGTGATAGTCTCTTGCACCCCCGGCGGCTGGGAGGGGTGGTTCGGAGGGGTGGAGTGGTGTGCGGGGTGATGGGGCGGAGCGTGTTGTTGCATATGCGGCGGGATGGCGGACGGGGGATGGGGGTGGTCGTGCGTGGGGTTGGTGGTGGAAGCTGCAGCAGCTTGGGCGGCTTGGGCGACTTCGGAACCTTCCCCGAGAGGGGTGACGTTGGTGATGGAATTCAAGAATGCGGCGGTGTTTGGCGAAGGGATGGGGAGAGAGCTGAGGGACGAGTTGATGAATGAGTTGTACCCCGGGGTGAAGCCTGTCCCTGTACCAGGCGTGAACCCGGTACGGAACGAACCCTGCTCGAAAGCGCCTTCGGAAGGCTGGTTGGACTCGTCGGCAGGGCGCTGGGTGTTCGGTTGGTTCTGCCCCTGGGGGCCGGTGAGCATAGCAGGGCTCAGAGGGCCGGCGCGAAGGGACTGGTTGGCGAGCCAGGGGAACTGGGTGGGGTCGGCCGCGGCGGGGCTGGTGAGGGATGAGAGCGGGGGCAGCGCGTTGTGGCGGGTGGATGTGGCGTCGGTGCCTCTTGGGGGGGTGTTGTCGTCGGGCGCGGGGTGGGAGAAGGACTGTTCGAAGGGGTTGGGTTCTTGGTCGAATCGGGAGCGGACGCCTTGTGGTCGGATGGGCGGTCTCTGGGGGTCGTCCTCTTTGGCTGAACCAATGTAAGCGTGGGTTATGATAGACGTGAGGTACTTACCAGGAGCGTCCTTCTCGGCGGGCTCGTCAACAGGGGTGGGCTCCTTGACGGTGACAGCAGCCGGCTCTTTATTGTCGCTGGATGCAGGTGCAGTCTCCTTTTGCTGTGGATTCGACGCGGCGGACGATGGACGGGGGGCTGGTAGGCAGTTTAGCATGATGTCATCGGCGGTGGCAATGTTGACTTACCACTGTCTATGGATGGTTGCGGGATCGCAGACGGTGCTTGGGCGACGGCGGCCATCGTACTGAAAGTGTTGTGGCGGACCTTTGTGGAGTTGCTGAGTAAGCACGCGTAGACGACCGCGTAGAGGGTTGGGTGGAGAAGGAGAAAGAGTAGCGAGTCGGGCGGGTCGAGGTGAGTCGAGGGCTACCCGTTTTGTGGATTGGTTGGGTAGACTAGAGTGTCTGGGGTGGTATTGTTTACAACAGCAGCGGGTAAGACTGCAGGTAGGGCTACAGGCGGGGTTTAAAAATGTAAAAAGCGCGGTGGTTTGACTGTATACGAAGAGAGATGTGGTCAGCCATGGGTTCATCATTCAACATGCAGTATCAAGGTTCATCTGCAAGCCCCCACCGCCCAGCAAGTGGAGGTGTGGGTGTTGTGGAGCGGGGGGTAAAACAGGGGTGGGCAGGAGGGGCAAGAGGGGGGGTCTTGGGTGGCAACTCTTCTCTCTTTCAACTGTGGCATTGTACTCACCTTGGTTGGGTGAGTGGGACCCGGCTGTTTGCTGGAATCTGCGTCAGAGGCTGGAAAGGAGGAGATGATGAAAGAGAGGATGACAAATGACGTACAGAGCCTATGACGACAGGAAAAAAAACCTTCCGTCGTATTTATTTATTCGTGCCTCAGTTTGTCACTTTTCTCCCACCCGCACGCCGCATGCCTTCTACCGCGGGCCTATCTCCCTTGCCTAGCTGTGCACGCCTATCCACGCGTCGGCCAGCGCGACTTGGTTTCAGCTTCGAGTATACTCGTTGTATCTCCATCCATCATGGTAAGCCCCCCTCCCCCAATACCCACCCCGTCTAACACCCATCACAGTCAAATCTCTCCCTCTACACCGTCACCGCACTCCTCATCCTCGACTCGGACGGCCAGCGCGTCCTCGCGAAATACTACCAGCCCCCGCACCAGCACGCGCAGGGGCAGGGGATAGTGGCGGATTTGGGGGTAGGGCAGGGGGGGCCGGGGATGGGGGGGCTGGCGGGGGTGAAGGAGCAGAAGGTGTTTGAGAAGGGGATATGGGAGAAGATTAGGAGGGGGGGAGGTAAGTCGAGATCATGGGTCTGCGAGCGAAGCGAGCGGTATCATTGGGAAGGGGGTGGGATGGGGGCCTGCAAGCGTAGCGAGCAGTATATCCCTCGAGCGAAGCGAGAAATCCTGCTGCCCGAGCGAGCAAAGCGAGCGAGCTATCACAGGGAAGGGGGTGGGACGGGGGCCTGCGAGCGCAGCGAGCAGTATATCCCGAGTATTTCCCTCGAGCGAGCACCGCGGGCGAGTAGTCATTGGCGGAGGTGGGGGTGGTGGGCGGGCATTGCGAGCAGTATTCCCCCCAGAGATATCAGTGGACAGGGGGACAAGGGTCGAGCGAGTGCAGCGAGCAAGAGTAGTGTCAGGCCACCCCAAAACCCCTTTCCCTTTCCCTTCCTCCTTTGCTCCTCCTGCTTCCCTACTCCCACTCACTAACACTTTCGTAGGCGAGATCCACCCCCTCCCCCCACACCTCCTCCTAACCCGCCAAATCGTCGACCTCACCTTCATCATCATCGGTCCCCTGTCCACCTCCAACGAGCTCATGCTCTTTTCCACCCTGAACGCGTTTGTGGATAGCGTGAACCTGCTGTTGCGCGGGTCGGTGGAGAAGCGGAACGTGTTGGAGAGTTTGGATTTGGTCATGCTTGCGGCGGATGAGACTGTCGACGATGGGTAACTCTTCTTGTCCCTTTCCTTCTCAAGTACAAGCTGATCAGAGGGCAGGGTCATCCTCGAGACGGACGCAGCTGCCATCGCCTCGCGCGTCTCCCGGCCGAGACCCGATACCACCGATATCGTCATCAACGAGCAGACCTTGATGAGCGCTTGTACGTCCCTCCCTTTTCTATTTCTATTCTGAGGGTAAATGCTGATGGGGGTGGTAGATACGTCAATCAGGGACAGGGTGTCGCAGAAGATCCAGCAGTTCTAGAGTGAGGGGTTGGCGATATTGTACTATCAGAAAGGTTATGCAGTTGCATAGATTGTTTGTCGTTGCTTTGTTGAGAGCAGTGATGTGTAGACTTGCTCAAATGTTGACTGTCTTGGAGGAGCAAAGCCTGTAGCCCCAACCTGAGCATAGACGAGAGGTGTATGGCCAAGTTGTGCGCGGAGGGAAGGATATAAGCGCGTTCGCGTCGCGTCGCATCGCGACATTGTCCAATCATTTCAGCAACTTGCGCGTATAGGCTCCGTTCCACAAATCTTTACAATCCCCTGTTGCCAAATACCACAAACCCGTAGAATCGTATCTGCAAGCCCAGCCTGCGCAATGCCATAGCAAATTTACTTGTTCCGTGTTAATTGGAATGGTGTGTTTGGTGAGGGGTAAAGTGCATTCGAGGAGAGTAGAGTTGATGCTGATGTCCTAGCCTGGAAAGGAGGCCATCTGAATATCCCTCTCTCTACCCACACGACGAGTATCGCACGAGACTCGGCAGTCTTTAAGATGGTTGTACATCAGGGGAAATATGCAGCTTTATGACATGTTACGCGTACAGAACAGCACGGGTCATCATCAGGACTCTGGAGTGTGGAGGGTAATTATCAAAAGCGAGATAGGTGTTGGAAGATGGTTATGACCAGCACTCGGTACACGTCTTGTTGAGATGAACAAGTCATCATCATTGGAGAGACTCCATACAATGTACTTTACGAGTACAGTACAGTACATACCACAGCTCATAGACCGATTTTTTACAGGATACAGTTTCACTACATAATACCATGCAATTACTCAACCGTCAGTTCCTTGCTCTCACGTGGAGGCCCTAACATACACCTCCATTCTTACCCTACCTATCCCTGTAGCTCAAACATCATGACTCGCTAGGATCAACAACAAAGACTTGAAGTGACGAGTGATCCCAGCTACCAGACATGACTCGTCAGCCGCTCATCCTTTTTCTTTGACTCTTCATTCGAAAACGCACCTCTTAATCTTGCTATCAACCAGTTTAATCTGCTCCATCCTATGCTTCCTCTCCCTGAAGAGTGTAGCTTTCTCTCCTACCACCGCTGTCTTATACTCCAACGTCACATGCTTCACATCCGGCAACCTCTTGCCAAGCCCCGCGAGCCAGTTCAGTGCCAGAGGTGAGATACAATGAAAAGGCCTCGACGGCATGACGATCACCAGCCTCTCCGCCCCATAATGCGTACACCGGTTCCTCGGCTCATACCTCACGTGACTCCCCATCTTCACCTCTCCTCCTCCAAGCGTCTGTTCTTCAAACACAACCGTTTTGGCGCCGTGTAAAAGCCGGATAGGATGAGGCAACGAAGGATGGTGTTTCCACAAGTACCCGCCATAAGACGTGGGGATGTTGAAGAGCTTTGAGATCTTGTCGAAGCAGATGGCGTTTTCGAATGTGAGGCTGTTGATGTTGAAGTTTGTTAAAATGTATTTGATGGGGCAAAGGAGGTTATAGACGATCTCGTCCTCATCCACAACGTGCCCTGTGCTGCGCTCAGTAGCCAAGGATTGCATCGCTTTGAAAGCCCATTCCCTCCACATATCCACAAACCGATCTGCCATGCTCTCGTTTAATTTGAGGTCCCGGTAAAGTCTGCGAATGTTTAGGGCATAGTGATTTCGGGAAAGAGTGAGGAGCGTGAGGAACCCGGGTGTGCCGGGGAGGGTGAGGGCGGTGTAGGTGTCAAAGATTTCGAGAGCGAGCTCGGGTGGGAGAGGGAGGAGATGGAGAGGTGCGTCGGGTCGATGCATTGCAATGGTGTGCATTGCAATGATGATGGAGCAGGCGTTGGCGATGTTAAGAGGCGAAAGAGCGAGGATGAAGAAATTGACGCGACGATGATCGCTGATGCCCGACGCGACGCGGTGAACAGCGCCATGTTGACTGACAACGTCGAGTGGGGTGCAGGCTGTAAGCATTCAATGGACAGAATGAATCACTGACAAATCCGCATATGTACATCATGCATACTACCTCGCACGACGAACTCTGGCGAGCTTGGCGCGACGACGGAGGGAAGACTGGATTTGAGCCGACTCCGTGATTAGCCTACCCCGTCATGGTCACACCCAGTATGTCAGAAGAGGCGAATATGCTGCAGGTAAACAGGATATCTCTACAGGATATCTCTTGCCTTTTACTGTCCCCCCGCTTCAAATACATGAAGAGCTTGGTTGATGCAGACCTAACTTTGGCGCTGGATGAACAACAGAAGATGGACAACCGGCCGCTCACGAATCCAAAACGCCAAGAGTGGAAAAAGCTCGACAAGCTTGGTCTCAAGTCAACTGGAAAATACACCTGGAGGTCTGATCTTGTTGTGAAGCGGAAGAAGACGGCGAGGGAGTGTGATACTGTGGTAGGGGACTTTGTGTTTTGGAAGAATATGGCTTGGGTCGTGTTGAGAGGGGGTATGGTGTGATTGTGAGTCAGTGACTTGGCGATGAGCAGGGGAGTGAGTTCTGATGAACTTGCGAAGTTATTCTCAAACATATTTGACTGCAATCACTTGACCTCATTTCCACCATGTCCACCAAGGCGCCCTTAATCCGACGACATCGTCAAACACCTTGATGCAGTCCACGGAAATATATTAAGCCTCGCGAGGGCGCTCACTTGGCCCCGATTTCTTGGATCACTCATTTTCCCATATCTTTCGACACATTTATTTTACAGCTTAACCAAAACCCCCGCCCCCCACAGTGCCGCCGTCACTACAGAGCCATGTTTTTAGATTTTCTTATGCATGAAGGTGCGACCTGTCTGAATGCCATTTGTACTGTACGAGTACTTTTGTACTTGCCCCCCGCAACGGCACTGATTTGAGTCTCTAGTAGATGATTATCACATGATGCGACCATACTTCAACGATGCAACTATTCTCGATCTTGATGTGTAGAGTCGTTCTCCTCCTCGTCATGAGATCTGCAGTCGGGGGTCTCGGTATCCGGAGCAGACATGTGGTCCATTGACGTGGACAAAGACCGACTTTCTCTCGCAGTCAACAACGTAGCACACAGTACGAGTAACATTCATAGCCTTCCTTCACTAATCAGTTTTGCCCTCACACTCTCCACCATCTCCTTGTCTCTATCATCCAGCCGAACCAACTGCGCTTTCAGTTCCTCGATGTTCGTATATCCTGAGGCCTTTCGTAATCCAAAAGTGCGCTCGTTGATCTCGGCCATCAACAAGTCTTTCTCGTGTTGACTTGTGGAAGTCCTTGCACGCCCTGTTTGAGCGATCCCCCGTGTGTCAGTCACACACATGTCACGTCGCTTGTAGACAAAGGCTCACGATTAGCATTATATAGGTCGAGTGCCCGTCTGCGCCTTGATTCCTGGTCTCCAGTTGGGAAGATGGTGAGTGTTCTGGCAACACGTACACAGTCTCCTTGTTATACGCCAGGGCTTGGATTTGTTTTCAGATGTAGCCTCCTCTGGTTCGGTAGCATCTGTTCCCGGCAAAGATGACGTTGCCCCTGACAGTAAGCTTGCTGTGAATTGTGCCTCCATCTCCGCGTCGTATTTGTCCAACTTTTGTTTTTGATGCTTCAGATCCTTCATACTCAGACGTTTGGTCTTTGTCGATGAGCATGCCTCAGTGCGTCGGTCGATCTCGTCCATCAACATTTTCTTACGTTGTTCGAACTCTAGCGCGATCTGGCGCTCTGTTGGTTTCAAGAGTCATCTATCGGTCACAAGCTTGTACACTTACATGCCGCTGACCTACTACGCGCTTTTTGCTTTTCATCTGCCCCGCGATTATCCTCTTCGGCTGATGAACGAGGAAATGCACTGTGAGCAAACAAATCATCTTTTTGGGTATATTACAGTACGCACGTGCTTCCTCTTCTTCCAGCGACTCGCCAGTCTCTGTCACTTCCTCTGCATCATCCTTAAAATCATCAAAGGCAAGATCTTCCGATCCGATAGAAAAGTCAAAGTTTAAGTCAGTCTCGGTAATTTCTTCTTCATGTTCCTGCAAAAGCCCCGCTTCCAACATTGTCTGGTTCATGGCACGGCGAGCCGCATCCCAATCTCCCGTATAATTGGACCCTTAAAGGAATTGTGATTGAAGTCAGCGATGTGCATACGGCGGGATATAGTAGTAGGAACATCAGGTGCTTACTTCTCCAGCATCGGACGCGTAGTAGTGGCTACTAGATTCGGAGGGGCAGTCGCTCATGACGTCGCTTTTTCTGTGGTTTGCTGCCGTGCTTGTGCGTCGACATTTATGTATGTGGCCATAAGCCTACTCTATTCTACGCCCGCTCCTCTTAGTTGTCATCGGGGCTGTGCATATCCATTGTCTTGGTATTTGCTGGTTTACAAGGATCGGAACTGACCCCATAAATACACTGAGTTTTGTCTATGATTATGCCAATGTTCAGGACAGTTCAGCTTCCTTTCAGGGTTATCCACGATAGCTTCATGTACTCGATTACTGATAGAATGGGTGACCCGAGAAGGCGCAAGTCGAGTGGATTGGTAATTGCCCAGTGCAAGGAGTGTGAAAGGGGAAAGGGAAAGTATCGTTTCCCCGGCATCATGAGGCGGGGTGAGATTGTGGCCGTCATGCTAACGATGAAGATACCGTTTTACTTGGGTAAATCGGGGTCTTTCAGACTCACACAAGGATGAGCTGGTTCACCGAGGAAAAATCATGCAGCCCGGTCTCAGGTCCAGTGGACGACAGACGTTCTCTTCCAATAAACTAGGCAGTATCATTCATAAGCTTCATTCACTAATCAGTCTTGCCCTCACATTCTCAACCCTCTTCTTTTCTCTATCATCCAGCCGATTCAACTGCGCTTCCAGTTCATCGATGTTTGTATGTGTTGTGGCCTTTCGTGATCCACATGTGCGCTCGTTGATTCTTGCCATCAACAAGTCCTTTTTGTGTTGGATGCTGGCAGTCTTTGCGCGTCCTGTTCGAGTAGCCACCCATGTGTAAGTAACAGACCTGTCCTGCTGCTTCTATAAACCTGTACGGTCCTCCGCCACCATGCCATATTGAGGCTATCCTGCATCCATACGATCTGGCCTCAGCCTGTCACTAACAGCAATGCACGAGATCATTCATTTCAACAAAGCGGACGACGCCGCGAGACTTTTCGCCAACATCCTCTATCGTTCATCTATCAGCCATCTTTCTACGATGACTGTCTTCTTGGCATGAAATCATGTACACACTAGGACATCGCCGAGTTCGACTTACAACATGTATCGTATCATCGCTCGTAAGTGCCTGGCCGACCCGGAGGCAGAAAAGTCAACAAAGAATGGATCGTACGATACGACGCGACTGTTCATATATATCTTGGCAACCCTACAATCATTATCGCACATCTCCTCTTTACTTCTTTATTGAGTGACAGAATATGGTCTCCGCTCAGAAATCCAATAGCGGTGCTCCGGCTCCACCACCGGCACAAGCATGCGTTCTCAAATGGGGTCGACGCGGGCTTATTCTAGCGCTGGGTTGGGTTTTATACTCGGTTGGCTGTTCTTACAACGTATTTCCGTCCCGGGTATACTAGAAGTGACATCTCTCATCTGCTCTTAGCACATTTTCTACCGATTAGACCCCGCCGAACTAAACAAGACCGTCCAATCCGCCCTCGCCTCAGCATCCGCCCTCACCCCCGCCGGATCCCCTTCCAACGCCACTCTCATCATCGACACCCTCGTCCACAAGCTCGCTGAGGACCATCCTCAGATCAAGTGGAGGACGGACTGGCAGAATAGAGATGATTGGGTTTTCAACAATGCGGGAGGGGCTATGGGGAGTATGTATCTGTTGCATTCTAGTCTTACCGAGTACGTCCCTCATCATTCACCCCCTTTGAAATGTCGGCTGATAAGAGACAGGTACCTGATCATATTCGGCTCTGCTATTGGTACCGAAGGTCATTCCGGACGACACCCCGCAGACGACTGGTTCCACATCCTCACCGGCCGTCAACACGCGTACGAAGCAGGCGCGCTCGAACGAGAAGTATACAACCCGGGAGATGTGAATTGGATGAAGAGGGGGATGGTGAAGCAGTATGGTATGGAGCCGGAGACTTGGGCGCTGGAGTATGCGAGAGGTGAGTACGCGTTTTGTCCCGGCCTTGGGATGGAGGGCGATCGGAGGCTGATGGAAGGATGGGTAGGTTGGATCCCTTTGATGTTGCCATTTGGGTTTGCGGATATGGTGTTGTCGACGATGGACGTTCACACCATGTTCCACACGGTCAGAATCACTGGGAAGGAGATGATCTTGAATCTGCTCAGAGGGAAGATATAGGAGATGCTCTTTTATAGAACGTAGAAATCATGTAGCCCTAATGGCAACAACTGGTCATCTCGAAAGAGTGGGACTATGCAGACCTGCACTCCCAATATTGTAGTCCAGATGCCGTACGCAACTCACTAGCCACGTATACGCCCGATAGAATCAACCAACTTGTTGTTGTCCTCGATATCGTGACGTGTGCTTTACGTAACCCTCGGCATGCTGCGGCTTCGGCTTTGACTGCCAACGCGACGAGGTCTCTTTCTCTATCATTTCACTTTCCATCTTCTTCCCCATCTACCCCTGAAGAGGACGCCCCCGCCATGCGCCTCCTCTCCCTTGCCCTCCTCGGCACAGCCCTCAGCGCCATCACCGCCCTCGCAGCCCAAGACCCCGCCCAAAAATGGTCCCAGCTCGCAGCCAAGTCTCGCGACGGCATCATCAAGCTCGACTCGGAGAGTTATCAGGATCTATTGGCGCTGGATAGGGAGTATAGTGTGACGGTGTTGTTGACGGCTTTGCCGGCGCAGTTCAAGTGTCAGCCTTGCCAGTGAGTACCCCTTGTGCAAGTGAGAGAGGGAAGGAGAGGGACAGGGGCAGGGCTGATGGGGTGGATAGCAATTTCGACCCGTCGTTCTCCCAAGTAGCAGACTCCTGGGCCCGTCTTCCTAAATCCACGCGTGATCAACACTTTTTCGCGAAACTCGACTTTGCAGATGGTCAGGCCGTGTACAGCCAGCTCGGCCTGACGTCGGCGCCAACCGTCATGTTCCACCCGCCCCTTGCTGGGGAGAGGAGGAACAATAAGCTAGGTGTGATCAATTATGATATGAACAGGAAGTGAGTCTCTTGCTTTGCTGGGATGGAAGTGAGGGGATGGAAGCTGATGAATGGGGTGTAGTGGTTTGACCGTACAGCCGTTCTACTCTTGGGCCAAGAACCTCACTCCTCAATCGTTCGACCTCCACGTCCCCCTCAACCCCTGGCCATTCATCCTCGTCCCCCTCGCCCTCGCCTTCACCGCCGTATCCCTCTATATCCTCTCCCCCATCCTCATTCCCCTCATCCAATCCCGCGTCGTCTGGGGCACATTCTCGATCATTCTGATCTTGACCTTTACTTCGGGGTACATGTGGAACAAGATTAAGGGGGCGCCGTATGTGGCAGTGGGGAAGGGTGGGGGGATTAGTTGGATTGCGGGGGGGTATCAGAATCAGTTGGGGTTGGAGAGCCAGGTTGTTGGTGGGATTTGTGAGTCTACCAAGAAGAGTGGAGGGCAAGGCTGATTTGGGGGTTTAGACGGTCTTCTTGCGTTTTCTATCGTCGCTCTCACTGTATTCGTCCCCGCCCAATCATCCCCCGCCAAGCAGCGTATCGGCGTCTACCTCTGGCTCGGCATGCTCGTCGTCGTCTTTAGCTTGCTCATGAAATTGTTCAAGATGAAGAATGGCGGATATCCCTTCTCTCTGCTCTTCTAAAGGTAGAGCCGAGGGAGGGTCGAGATAGATGAGAAGAAGAGTAGAAAAAAATGCATCGTCTGCAAATGTTTGTTTGGTAAATCAAATCGAAGGAAAGGAATATATGAATATGAAAAGGTGGTTCATCAAGCCTCGTCGGGCTTGGCCTTCTTTGCAGCAGGCTCATCACCACCTTCCGCCGCCCTCTTCTCACCACCAACCACCGGCGCGTCCGCAGCAGGAGCAGGAGCAGGAGTAGGAGCAGCAGGAGCAGGTCGAGCAGGCGCCGCCTTGGGCTTCTTCTTCACCATCCCCGTCAAATCATTCACCGGCCCATTATCCACCTTCACCCCCGCACCTTCGCTCTGCCCCATCAAAAGATTGATCGACTCGTGCACCTCCTGCGCGGCTTCGGGCGTGGATTTGAGTTCTTCCACTTTGGCTTCCAGATCGCCCAACAACAGCTCCACCTCCTCCAGCTCATTCTTCTTTTCCTTTTCAGACAACTTGCCGACTTCGGCGGGTTGGTCCGAGGTGGCGGGGCCAGAGAGTTGGGCTTTGCGGAGTTGGAAAGCGTGGATAGCGGCTTCGACGTGGGAGAGGGCGGAGGTGCGTTTGGAGGGAATGTTTTCGAGGGCGGTGGCGATTTGGTAGTGGAGGGAGGCGATGGCGCGGGAAGAAGGGGGGAGGAGGGCGGATTTGATAGTGAGGGCGGCTGTAAAGTCTTCGACTGCTTGGGGGAACTTTTCTACCAACCCTTCATCAGCTCCAACCTTGAAAGATTCTCTCAAGGACTCACCAGTCTCACAGCTGACATCTCCAAGAGTCTGATGACAGTCTGCCAAAGCAAGCCTCTCTTTCTCACCCTCGCCTTCCTTGAGGGTGGAGACGATCTCTTCGTAAATCTTGCGCGCGACGTCGAGGACTTCCCATGCGGCGTTGTAGTCGTCTTCGAGCTCGCCGATGTCATCGGCAGCCTCGCCTTCTGCGGCCTCTGCCGAAGGGCCAGAAGGGCCGGGGGCAGAGCCGGACGCTTCGGGTTCAGGGCCAGCGGCGTCGTCGCCTTCATCATCCGAAGCGGGGTCTGCAGAAAAGACAAAGTTGGGGTTTTGCTCACCCGAGGGACCTACCCCTACGTCAGTCTCATCCTTTGTCGCACAGAGGGCATGGATGGGCATGGATGGAGAGAGGAGAGAAACGTACCGGCTTCATCAGCTACTGGAGTAGGCTCTTCACGGCCCATAACGCCCGCTTGGCTTGATGCAAGTTCGTACAGCGCGCGGCCGTAGGAGAGGAGGAGAGGTGCCATTTGGGGGTCTTTGTCGCCTACGAGTTCTTGCCTTCTCTCAAGTCAGTCGTGTTCACGAGAAGAGAGAGGGAGAGAGGGGGTGGACGCACTGGAGCTCGAGAGCCTCGCCGTACCGCTCGACGGCTTCTTCCCATTGACTCAGCGCGATAGCTTTCTTGCCCTCGTCGACGAGCTTGTCGATGGATGCGCGGATGGCGGCGGGGTCGGAGGAGGCGGAGGCGTCGGGGATATCTGAGGATGACCTGCATAGCTTGTCAGCAGAGTAGGGGCTAGGGGGGGTTACGCACATGGTAGCTGGATAAACGCGCGGATGAAAGAGGTAATGAGTAGTTGAACGCGTTTCTTCGACGCGTTTTTATCATCTACGTGTGTTTACGTAAAATGAATTTATGACTGCAATCATTTTGAGTGACGTTTTGCTGTATCCCATCTCCTTTCTTCCCAATCTATTTCCGTGAAAATGAGTACAGCAACAGAGGCTTCCGGCGCCGTCAACGCCAACGCTACAGACGTCTTCAAGAGGCTCCACCCGGCGCAATATCTGTCCCGCTTTTTGGCTTCTGGATACCGGCCCGATGGGAGAAGCGTATCTGCCTGGAGGGATGTTAGTATCAACGTCGGTGAGTCATCTGTCTCCTGGTAATGTGTAGATGGGATGCTGAGCAATTGAAAAGGATCGATATCGACAGCACATGGATCAGCGTTGGTGAGAATAGGCGATACGACGATGGTTTGTGGGATCAAAGGCGAGATCTCGGAGCCTTTGACGAATGCGCCCAATGATGGGTTTGTCGGTGAGCGCCCCTTCTGTCTAGGTCAAAGAGATATGGTGGCTGATAAGGGGGATAGTACCGAATATCGACCTACCAGCACTGAGTTCTCCGCATTTCAAACCAGGACCTCCAGGCGATGAGGCGCAGACGTTCTCAAATTGGCTGAACGACCTTCTTGTCTCGTATGTCCCATCCCTCGCTCCCATACTACTGAGATGGTGCTCATAAGGCTTGTAGATCAAAGACGATCCCTCCAAACAAACTCCTCATCTCCCCTGGCAAAGCTGCTTGGGTCCTCTACATTGATGTGGTGTGTATCAACTATGATGGGAATGCGTTTGATGCTGCTGTGCTGGCTGTTATGGCTGCTCTTCGTAACAGTACGTCCTCCCCCCCTCCCCCTCCCTTGCCTTGCGTATCTTGTGATGAGAAGGGAAGCTGATGGAGTGGGTGTAGCGAGATTACCACAAGCTCGGTACGACGACGATTCTGGCCGGACGATCTGTTCGAGGGAGGAGACTTTCCCGTTGACTTTGGGGCGGATACCACTGTCGGCGTCGTTTGGGATATTCCAATCGTACGTCCCTTCCCATTCCCCCCATTTACTCTTTGATTGGGAAGGAAGCGAGTACTAAAAGTGGATTATAGGAAACACATTCTCCCCGACCCAACATCATTCGAAACGCCCCTCCTCCCCACTTCGATCACCATCGCTCTGGACGAACAGTCACAAGCGTGTTTGGTCAGGCAGGAGGGGCTGGGAGGTGTGGAGGGGAAGGGCGGGGAAGGGGTGTTGGATGAGGTTTGGGAGGTGGCGGAGGGGAGGGTGGGGGAGTTGAGAAGGATTTTGGAGGATAGTGCTGAGTGATTGTCACTGTAATTGGGGATGGGGATGGGGAACTTAGGGGGAGAGAGAGAAAGGTGGTATGTATACGTTTAGTAACAAGGAAATGGGAAGGTCTGCGGCGTTCGTCTTGGAGTCATGGCGCGCTTCCTCGGGGATCTCATATCTGCGGCTGGTTTGTTTGGAAAAGGGGGGGCGTGGACAGTTGAAATACTTTTGCAGCTGAGGAAGGCAGAGACTGTGGGGGGAGAGCTTGGACGAGGCAGCTGTTGTGGGATGGATGATAGCGTCGCTCAAAGTAGGATTGGTGGAGTTCAAGCCGGCGGGCGGCCATCAGCGACCATTTCACGCGTCAACCACTTTTTTGATCCTCGTCCTTTATCTTATCAACATCTCCAAATTCGGCTTCATCACCGCAGTGGGGAACCGAACTACACAGTATCTCCTCCATCTATGAAGCCTATTCTGCCGACATCTCGACCGGCTCCCCCGACTTCACCACCCTCCTCACTCTCTCCCGATACCAACATGCCCAAAACATACCAAAGCTTCACCGAGACTTGAAGTTGAAGCACACCAATATCAGCGGATATCTGGAGACGTGGAAGAGGTGGATGGAGTATGCAGCGCCTCTCCTCGAACAGCACGACGAAGAGGTTATCGAGGAGATGGTTGGCGCCGTCCTTTGCCCCATCAAGGCGAACTGGGCGAATGTCCGGGTTGAGACTCTCACTTTTCATGATGCCGTCTGCTTCCTTTGACGAACAGACACTTGGAGGAAAGTGATATGAGGCTTCGGCACCTATGGTGTGTATGGGCGCTGGAACGCGCCGTACTCGTACAGCTTTGCGGCGGAGCATCTCGTTATCGTCATGTCATCTCACCCGTTTCCACTGCACCGCCTCGCTCGCTCCAAGTTGGCTCGCCCGACAGGCTGATGGAAGCTGGCTTCGTACTTTTCCATCTCGCACACCTGAGAGTCGACGTATGCTGCGCCAATCCGACCGAGGAGGTTGTGCCCCTTCACGCCGAGCTGTGGCTTCTCGTCAGTGATATCCGAAGGCTCCTGGGTGATAGAGAGGGAGGGGAGATGGCGAAACTTGCGTGTTGTGTATCGACTTCACCATCCTCCTTGGTGATGAATAGCTCGGAGATGAGAGAAGCGTTGGCGAGGAGTTGGTGGTAGAGGGCGTTTCGGAGTGAGACGGTGGGGATGTCGTAGAATTGGGCGATACCAGAGTGCTATAAACGATGCGTCAACTCTCGTTTTTTGTTTTTCGTCTTTGGAGCGGTGATGATCGAGGTAGGAGAACGTACCAAGTCGCCGCCGTTTGTGACTGTCTTGAACATTAACGCAAATACGCTATCGAGAGTTGATCAGCTTGTGTACTGGATACGTGACGAAGTCGAGAGAGGAAGCGTACTGCAAATTCAAGATAGCAGGTTTGTTCGGTAGGTCAAGAAGACTTCGAACAAGAATCTTGTATGAGTCGATATTTTTGACCAGTCTGCATGTCGTCAGTGTTGCCTTGCTACATCATGAAGTAGATTCGGATCTCACGCTTCATCGTTGATAGCCAGATCGACAAAGACAACATCCACGTCCTCGGGGATGTGTTCCCCGTAGCAGAGAGAAAAGTAATCAGATCCTTTACGCCCGTCAGCTCTGCCGAAATTCAACCAGCATAGCAAGAAGAGTACTCACCAACGCCGCCTTGAGCACCATTAGTATACGAGTTCTTCCCCTCTTCCCGACCACTCTTGTCATTCACTACACCGTTCGGCGCGGGAAAAAGATAGTTGAGGCGGTCAAAGACGATACGGTTGAGATGGTGGATTGGTCGGAGCCGTAGGATGGTAAGCTGTTTATGCCGTGCCCCTTGGATACTATGCAGTCACATGAGCTCGAGGAGAAGGATGAGATGAAAGTTGAGGCAGGTTACGAGTAGCTTACCAGGACCCCCGAGGACACCGGCTACAAGCTGTTCGCCCCGTTTGAGTTTTGAGAGCATTCGCTGGAAACGCGTGCCGGTTCCAGAGAAGAGAAGCGAGCGTTCGAGGTTCCTCCTTCTACCACAGATATCATCAGCCACTACCTTAGCTTGTGGAATTGATAGAAGAGGACATACCCAAGCTCTTGGCACAAGACAGGATCCATCGCGCACATTTCGCAGCCACTCCCGACCACCGCGCGGTCGACCAAATCGCTTTCAGCTTTCTGCTCCTGCACCCCTTGCCACTGTTCCTTCTCGGCATATCGATACTCAAGCTTCTTTGAATACGCTTCCCTTACACCCGATTCCTTCTCCCAAACGCCGTCTGGCGGTGCCCCGTCTGGCCTATCGCCGCGGTAGAAGAGGAACCAGATGAGGAGGGCGATGTTGATGGCTGTGGATAGCTCGAGTAGGCGGCGGGGGATGTTGCGTATGATGGACATTGCCGAGGGTGGAAGGAAACGCAAAAGATGGGTGCATTTCTTTTTTGTTTCGCGCATGGAGACGAACCAAAGACGGAGTGTGTGTTAAGTTGATGGGAGATCTGTGCGAAGAACAACGTCCGTGCGTCGCATCGTTAACGTGATGCAGGAGGAAAGGAAAGTGCTGCTAGTAGATAGTCGCTTATGCTTCTAAACGCCTTTCCCCTTGCTGTGAATACATTGGGATGGCTGCGATTCAGTCTCGAGAGGCAATGTGCCACAAAGAGTAGATTGTTGGTGCATTGTTTGAGTGAAACTCTGAAACACAAGCCTAGCGGATCTGAGATCTGTTGTCCTTACTTGAGTTGCCGTCCTCACCTTTAACCGAGTGACGGAATCGCAGCACATTTACAATGAGATAGTGATCGATGTAAGCAGCATTCATGTAGTTCTACAGCTATGAAACAAGTTATATATATCGTACAACATTCCAAGGCGAACCCAGTCCCCGGGGATAGGAAAGAGTGAAAACCAAACGCGTCGCGTGTATAATATGACCGTTTATCAGATGCTAATGGACCATTATCAGCGCCATTGCTAAAACATCAGGCAGTATATTACCGCCCGAGGGTAGAAAAGACAAAAGTAGATCAAGAGAGAAACGTGAACTCACCTCATGGCCGAGATCAACCTGAACTCCTTCCCACCCTTTGGATCTTTCGTCTCGTTCAAATGCTCGCACGTCAAGATGTGTTTGCCGATCGAAAGGCCATCCTTGATCGTTGTCGTCCTAAATATTGACAGACATCAGCTGGTATCCCTTGGCGAAAAAGAAGAACGAGGCGCAAAAAAACGTACTGCCCGATATTGAACGTCTTCTCCCAATACCCATCCAACCTCACCCCCTCCCCCTCCCGCCCATCAACCCAACACCTCACACTCCCCAGCCCAAAACTCTCCGATCTCAAATAATGCAGATCGACCCTGCCCAAGCTCGTGTGCAGCTCGAATGACACCCTTGCGCCGGGGGTGGTGGAGATGAGGTATTTCTTGTGGGAGTCTTGCTGCTGCCAGGGGTGCCAGCCGTTGGGGCCGAGGGCGGAGGAGGGGAGGGGGAGGAGGGGGTGTTTGAGGCCGTTTGTGGAGAAGCATTGGGGGGAGATTTGGGGGAGGTGGGTTGTGGAGTCGTACGGTTGGTTGAGGCGCAGCTATGTTTATCGTCACTACGGGTCATTTTGCTGTCGTAGCCAGAGATGGGAGCTACGATAGAGGGAGGAGAGGGAGACATACACGAGGAAGCGGCGCGAGGGGATACAGCTCATCGAGGCTCATACCCTCAGCACGATCAAACGTATCCTCATATTTTTCCATCTCACAAACCTGCGAATCCACATACGCCGCGCCCATCCTCCCAAGGAGATTATGTCCTTTCAGATTGATCTAACCCTAGTCCATCAGCACCGTCCAACTCCACGGAACTCCACAGGGCAAGAAGAGGAGGAAGGGAAGGAAGGTAGGGAGGAGGAGAAGGTAGACGCACATGCCGCAGATCAAGCTCGCCATGCCTGTCGATGCTGAATAGCTCGGGGATGATGGATGAGTTGGCGAGGACTTGTTCGTAGAGGGCGTTGCGGAGGGAGATGGTGGGGAGGTCGTAGTATTGAGAGATACCAGAGTGCTACGTTATCATACATTAGCATGGCGTAAGACAGCGGGTAGGGAAGGGGACATACGAGATCACCGCCGTTTGCGACCGTTTTGAACATCAGAGCGAAGACGCTGTGTAGATCGAATCAGCTTTGAGTCTCCGAAAGGTGAAAGAGATGAGTGAAGGGACGTACTCCAAGGCTAGGATGGCGGGTTTGTTGGGGAGATCGAGAAGGCTTCGGATGAGGATCTCGTACGAGTCCATGTTACTCAGCAGCCTGTGGATCATCAGTGCTTGGCTTCGGACGGATATGAGAGAAGGGGTGCGTACACTTCGTCGTTGATAGCTAGCTCCACAAACACGACATCCATATCCTCCGGTAGATGTTCGCGGTAGCATAGAGAAAAGTATTGTGATCCTGCAAAACCATCAGCCATCTCCGCAGTGGCGAAAGACAGAAGAGAGAGTACTGACCAGAAGCACCCTGAGCACCATTCACATACGAATTCATCCCCTCCGCCCGCCCGTTCTTCCCTGTGACAGCGCCGTTGGGCGCGGGGTAGAGATGGTCGATACGGTCGAATATGATGCGGTGTAGGTTTGTGGATTGGTCGGGTTTCCAGCCGGGTAGAAGGTCGATACCGTGGCCGCTTGATACTGTGATCTGCGTGAGCTACCGTAGGGGGAAGAAGAAGGATGTTGAGGGAGGGGAAGGGGAGAGGCTTACCGGAACCGCCGATGACGCCTGCTACGAGGCGTTCGCCTCTTTTGAGCTTTGAGAGCATACGCCTGAAGCGCATACCTGTACCAGCGAAAGAAAGCGCCCTTTCGAGGTTCTCCTTTCTGTCACAGGGATTAGCATGGGAGCTCGATAAGGATAAGAAAAGAGAGAGAGAGAACTTACCCGAGTTCTTGACACAGAGCAGGATCCATCTCACACAAAGTACATCCGCCTTGCCGTTCCTCGCTCGTGGGACCGTCCACCTCCACCACCTGCTCCTCGACGCCCGCTTCCCATGCATGCTCCGGCTCGATGGGTTTCCGCCCCAGCCTCTCAAGTACGCCCTTGGGTATCCTCCACCATCGCCCTTCCTCCATATTCTGTCCCAGCGCACCTTGGGCCGAGTCGTGCGGGAGAAAGATGAAGATGAAGAGGAAGATGTTGATGGCTATCGACATTTCGAGCAGGCGGCGGGGGACGTTGCGCATGATTGACATCATGGATGACAATAGCGATAGTAGCTATACTCGTGGATCGTTTGTGATAGAGAGCGGGGATGGGAAAGATGGAAGAGAGATGAAAGAGGGAAGATGAAACACGAAATTAGCAGGGCGTTTCTGTCTTTCGTGCTAGCGCCAAAAACAGGTGTGTTTGTGCGCGTAACCTTGATGGGCTTTTGTTAGATGAAGCGATGAAACAGAGAGCCTTCTTGCTTGCTCAAATACCAATCTCTCTTCGCCCTCGTTTCCTCACCAGGTAGTCACCAACAGACCTCCTCTTCTATAGAGTACGACGCGTTTGATGCGTACATGCTCAGAGTATCTGGGAAGGCTGGGCGAGGTCCTTGATCGCGAGGTACGAAATAGTCGGAAACTCTGATATGCGCGGGAGAATCACATATACACAGTTCGGAACATGCCGACCGGGAGCAAATCCTTCGTGAGCGGCCACTGGCTTGCAACACGAGCATTTTCCAAGCATTTTCATGGGTCATTGGAGCGCGGAGAGTGACGATGATCACGTAGGCTATGTAAGGTAAGTGTATCTTTGGGGGCGTCGAGTGAAAGAAGAAGAGCCAGACGATTTGAGTTCGCGCTATCTGATGAAAAATATCTCAGGGAAGCCTGCTGATAAAAAGTGGAAATGGTGACTGGTGAGTAACCACCGGTGTCTGTCGATATCTAAAGTCTCCCACACAGTTGCCAAAATCTCCAGGTCGATGGACAAGCTTGCCATGTACCAACTGCCAAGCTGCTGAGACGGGTGAGATGGTAGAAATGCAGGATGTACTTGTACTTGTTGCGGCTGAGATGCTGAGGGACTGATTGCGCTACCTCGTGGTTCCGTGGTTCCGAGCGTCCTCGGCTGGAAGAAGCAGGGCCGGTTTTTGCGCATCTTGGCCAGTTCTCTGACTTGCACACTTGCTGAGGAGCTCAGAAGTGTGTACGTTGATGTGATGGACGAATGCAGACGGGTGGAAACAAAGATGATCATAGCCCGTCTTGTGGGCAGGCCCGCCCCGAGACGATGTCCGTGAAGGAGGAGATATATACGTTGTATCTCGTGTCGCGAGAAAGGCAAGAATTAAACGGCAAAATAAAATACGCCTTGAAGAAAGCAAAGTGATTGAGAGATTCATGCGCTGCGTGACTGTGCATATACACGAGCTGGCAGCACTTGCAATGCTCTCTCACATCCACTTCCTATAGGTCGACCTTATTCCATCTAGCATAGACTCGTCGATGACAGGTTGATGCACCACCGCCGCCCGGGTGTGGGGTACCAGTATGAGTACGAGTACTGTGTACATATGTCGCAACGACCCCCGCTGCGCTGAACGTTACCTGTTGGTGCTACCAGTTTCCACCGTCGGATCATCACATTCACTCCCAAGGTCTACAAGGCGGTATGGCAGATAGTTCTACATACAGCGCTCTTACCCACTGACACGAGGCCAAAAGCTGCGGGAAACCCATCACAGCGGGAGGAAGGACCGTAGTCGATCGATCATACGCGTATATTTTGGACCAAGATCACAGATGTCAGAAAGGTCACACCAGCCAGCCCTCCTTATGGCCTCCCTTCGTCTGCAATTACTCTTTCACCGACGGCGCGAGACCGACCGACGAGTCACCAAAGACCAAAGTTTGTAGATTTGGTTATGACCGATCATTTGGATTCGCCTCGCCGCATCAACGGTGCTCGGTGCTCGATGATGTTGGCTTTGTGGAATGTGCTACGTATGCGCTGCAACGTCTGGCGGCTGGCGGTATATCCCTGACACAACGTCAGCGTTTACAGACACTGCCATGAGACAAAGAAGAATGGCTGAGGTGAATCTTGCGAGCATATCATGTTGTTTTGGGTGGGCATCGTGCTGTTGACTGATACCATCATTCCTACTGCTAAAAACTGTGCATACGGCCGTATAGTTGATCGCGTCGCCCAGGCACTGCCGGGCTGCCGAAACTGCGGGGTGCCGAAGAAAGCATCAAACGCTGATCCTCTGATTGGGTCGGTCTTGGCCGCCCTCACCTCTTCCGGCGTCCTTGTCGGCACAAGTCGCGAGTTTCTCCTTCGTCCTCTCTTCGCTTGCACAGTTGATTTGGCTTTTGACGCGTGGCATCTACAAATCAATGTAGCAACTTCAAACCCCGCCTTGTCCGGCTCAAATGCGAGCGGCTGAATTATCAAACATGGACTAGCTATCGGCTCAGGTCGGAGTCGGTGTTGATGGCTGATGGCTCTGCACTCTGAAAAAGTTTGATAACGTGATAGATAGTAGGAGCCGATGATATATAAGACATCCTGTTCGTCGACGTCTTGACCACATACTTATCGACACCATCACCAAGCACCAAACAACATCAATGTCTAAAACTACTACAGAAGCTGCGCCTCGGTGCCCCTTCAGTGGCCAAGCCGCCGCCGGCGCTACTGGCTGCCCCTTTAGTGCCCAAAGGTGACTCGTCTCTTATAGCCTAGAAAGATCAATACTGACGAAGTGGAAGATCCGCAGCTTTGCCCGTGCCATCCCACCGATGTGACCCCGCGTCTCTTCAGGACGAGCTCAAAGTCCCAGAGGTCCCTCCCCTCACCGACAACCAAAAGGCGCTCATTACTGCTACTGTTCCTATCTTGGCCGAGCATGGGTTGGCCATTACTTCCCACTTCTGTGAGTCTGCAAGGACTGTCCGACGGAGCGAAGCTAATGCTGCGGTTACAGACAGAAACATGATTTTGGCTCATCCCGAGCTGAGGGACGTTTTCTCCATCAGCTCCCAAGAGGTATGTCCCCTTTTTTGAGTGATTGGACCTAGCTAACGCTTTGTTATAGCTCGGCCACCAGCCCCAGGCCCTCGCTGCTGCCGTCTACGCCTACGCCGCCAATATCAACGATCTCACTCCTCTCCTCCCCACCGTCGAACGTATCGCCCATAAACACACTTCGCTCCACATCACCCCCGAGCAGTATGGTATCGTCGGCAAGCACCTCATCCAGTCTATCGTCGATATCCTCGGTGATGCTGTGACGCCCGAGATCGGTGATGCTTGGTACAACGGTTACTGGAACTTGGCTCATGTGCGTCTTCCCTCCCATCTCATCTCTGAACACTGCTGAGTTGGTGATAGGTCTTTATCGACCGCGAGAAGGCAATCTACTCCGAGGCTGTCCAAGCTGGTGGATGGGAAGGCTGGAGGTCGTTCAAGGTTGTCAAGCGCGTTAAGGAGAGCGATCAGATCACTTCGTTCTATCTCAAGCCTGCCGACGGCTCCACCAAGCCTCTTCCCAAGTTCAACCCCGGTCAGTACACGGCTGTATCGATACATGTACCCGCTCTTGGGCACAAACAAGCCAGACAGTGAGTTTTTTTCATGTTCGAGTGGTCAAGGAGGTGCTGACTGAGGGATAGGTACTCGCTTTCGGACGCGCCGAATGGCGACTACTACCGTATCTCCGTGAAGTGTGAAGATGGTGTTCGTGTGCCAACTCCTTCCAACCCTACCGTCCCCGCCCACCCTGGATGGTACGTTTTTCTTCCCCCTCTCTTTTTCCGCTGCTGACATACTCTGTAGGATGTCCAACCTTCTTCACAAAGACCTCCAAGTCGGCTCCCTCATCGATGTCGCATCCCCCTACGGCGACTTCTTCCACCTCCCCGACCCTGCCAAGCCCACATCTCCCCTGGTGCTCCTCTCTGCCGGTGTCGGCCAGACTCCCCTTATGTCGATCCTCAACTCTGAAATCGCCGCGTCTTGCAAGAGGCCGATTACTTATGTGACGGTGGCGAAGAACCAGGAGGCGCATGCGTGGAAGGACTACCTGAAGCAAGTGAGCGTCGAGCATGAGAATGTTCTTTCGAAGGTGTTCTACTCTGCGCCTGGGTGGGGGAGCTGGGCTTGGGGCGACTATGATTTCAAGGGCAGGATGAATTTGGACCTTGTCAAGGATGATCTTTACCTCAATGACAACACGACCCGATACTTGTGAGTTTATCTCGCCGGAAAGGAGGTATGGGAAGCTGATACTTGGTAGCTTGTGTGGTCCTGCGCAGTTTATGATTTCACAATCCAAGGTTCTGCAAGGTATGGGCGTCGATGAGAAGAGGATCCACTTTGAGATGTTCGAGGCTGGAGAGCTCCCCGTCCCGGCGGCTTAGATCATAAGAGTCGGTATCGTATTTCGTATAGCATCTTTCATAGTCATCACTTCCATTTAAAAGCATTTCTATAGTCGGTCACTTTTGGGTATTCCAGCATGTACAAGTACTACACTTTCCTCACGGGTTTCGAGATTGATAGCTACCAATGAAAACTATTTCAGCAATCTTGTCAAGGATGGGGAAGCTATGATTGAGAGTGGTCAGAGGAGCATGAAGGGGGAGAAGGCATCACAGTCGAAGGGTACTGACCTTCCCGGGGCGAGTGCTGGGGCCACCAGCACCGTTCGTGGTTGAAGAATAGAATTTCAGGTGAAGTTAATCTTACGTCTGCTGTGTCTCTTAGCTGATACGATGTTTCACTAGGATGCCACCGCCGGTAGCGTGCGAGGGCTGACATCCCGTTCCCCCCCTTCTTCTCCTTCAGTGCACCAATTCTTCGCATGTATACATACGGCAGGCGAAACAAAGGCTAATGTATTGGGTTGTGACTAGCTAGATCGTCGATCTGATATGGAGTGAATGCTATGAACGTCAATCATTGTTCAACACCTCTTCCGTCCGCTCAAACATCTACATGCGTCGATGCCCAGTATCGGGCCAGAAATGAACAGAGAGAGATGTACCATAAGTAGGGCTGAGATACATACATGTACTCGCTTGAAGACTCGCTGGCCCCCCCCGTCTCACCCCCTTCCCGATATGTGCTCGCTCGCTCCGCTTACTCGCCTACTTGAAATCAACATCCTCCAGCTCCTTCCCTCCCACTTCCACCTTCTTTGCCTCTACCACCACCGTAACTACCCTCGCCCCTTCCTCTCCTGCTTCCCACCCATGCAATGTCCCCGTCTGCACTACCAATTCTCCCGCCTTCACTTCTTCCCTCTTCTCCCCTCCTTGGCCATCTGGGACAATGAGAAAGATGGAGCCTTGGACGATGACGTTGTAGTCGACGGAGGATGTGCGATGGAGGGGTACGCTAGCGCGCGGGGCGTAGTGGGTGACTTGGGCGTCTGTACCGCCTGGGAGGACAACGCCTTTGACGTTGGATGCAGCGCCGGATATGTGTTCTGTGGAGACGATATGGGGGTTGTAGGTGGGGAGGCCGGGGGAGGAGTATAGGGGAGAGATGTGGAGGCCTGGGAGGACGGGGTGTAGAGGGAGGGTGTCGTCGTGGTATGTGACGTTGTCGCCGGTGGTGTCTGAGGGATGATGGGAGGTGACGATGCGGCGGAAAGTAGGGGGAGACATGGTGCTGCTGAAGTCGAGATGAAATGATAGAGAAGAATGAATCCATGGTCACGATTCGGCGTGTCCCAAGCTGGTCCCAAGTAGCAAGCGTGTCCACGAGGCCGGCGGCCCGGAAAATGATTTGCCGAATTGCGATCGGCTTGTTGTTTGTCCGTTCCCTCCGGACCGCTGCCTCCACTTTCATCGCCCACCGTACAAAGCTGCATCGACCTCCTCTTTCTCTGCATCGCAAGAACCATGGTCAGTCCTCAAGAGCAGAAGGTATGCCCCTTCCTCTCTTCATTACTGCGCTGACCGGCTAGCAGACTATCAACGCCCTCCAGCAGAACTGGGTCTGGCTCCCCAACTGGATTGACTCGCCCACTCCCCCATCCACCTCTGCCGCCCGCCTCGTCTCTTTCCGCCGCTCCCTCAACCTCACCTCCATTCCCACGTCAGCTATCCTGCACTTCTCCGCCGACACACGCTACAAACTCTTCATCAACGGCCAACACGTTGCTGTCGGACCAACGAAAGGGCAAGCGGCTATATGGTACTACGACACCCTCGACATTGCTCCGTATGTGAGAGAGGGAGAGAATGAGCTGGAGTTCCGGGTTATCAGGTATTTTGCGAGGTCGCGCGGGGGGATGCCTTTTGAACGTACGGCTTTCCCTGGACTGACCGTCGTCGGCTCTGTCGGTGGGACGGATGTTGGGAGTAAAGAGGGGTGGGTGGGGTATGTCGATGAGGGAACAGAGTTTCCGACTGGTTTGGTAGATGATGTCTTCCTACACGTATGTTTTCTTTGAACAAAAATACGCGGATAGAGCTGACTTTTGGGCCAGATCAACGAACGTACATCCCCTCACCCTGCTCCCGAGCCTCAAACTCCAGTGGCGTACGGCTTCATGCTCGTCAACGGCGAACTCCCTCCATGGCGTCTCCTCCCTCGCCCCATCCCCATGCCCGAATCGACCCCAGTCAACGTTCAGACCATCCATGCTTGCAACAGCGACAAGGCCTCTTCCGAATGGGCGTCTTTCCTCGACGGGTCTTCGTCTTTGACGCTACCAGGAGAGAGTGAGCACGAGCTTGATATCCAAGCGGACGTCCATTCTACCGCTTTTTTGCGCCTCTCTCTAGTCGCACCTGAGGATACAAAGGTCATGCTCAAGATCAACTATTCGGAAGGGTACGAGCTCGACCCCAGGCAATACCCTTGGCTGCGTACCAAAGGTGATAGGCTCGACCCATCGGGGCATCTCCTCGGGCCTTATGACGAGGTAGAGCTGGAGTTGTCAGCCGGGAAAGAGTTCGTCTGGGAACCGTTTTGGTTTAGGACGTTCATGCTGCTTCGCTTCCATATCACCACCTCCTCCTCGCCTATCACTTTACTCTCATTGAAAGCTGATCAAGTCAACTACCCTATGAACACCAAAGCGAGCTGGAAGGAAGACAGGATAGAAGGAAAGGAAAGGGAGAAGATGTGGGAGGTTTCAAAGAGGACGTTGAGGAATTGTATGTTTGATGGGTATTCGGATTGTCCGTTCTACGAGCAGCTCCAGTACGTCCCTCTCCCCGTCCTTGTCGCTCGAATTCATGCTGACGAAGAATCAGGTATTCTGGCGACTCTCGCTCGGTCGCTCTGTTTCACTACCTCCTCTCCGGCGACGACCGTCTCATGCGTCAAGCCATCACCAACTTCTCCACCTCCATCACCTCCGAAGGCCTCACCCAATCCCGCTTCCCATCCCACGTCCCTCAAGTCATCGCTGCCTTCTCCCTCTACTGGGTCTTGACAGTAGCGGACCATCATCTTTGGTTTGGAGATACGCCATTTGCGAGGGGGTTTATACCCAAGGTGGATGGGGTGTTGGAGTATTTTGAGAGGCATGTGGATGGGAGGGGGTTGGTGGGGGGGATAGAGGAGGATGTGTGGCAGTATTGCGATTGGGTGACGACTTGGTCTGCTACGGCGGAGCATCCGGATAAGGGCGTACCCACTTCCGGCCGCAAGTCTAATCGACACACTTACCTCTCTCTTCTCTATGTTTATGTGCTGCAAGAAGCTGCAAAGCTTTTGCGGGACGTTGGAAGGCCGGGCAATGCGGGAGAGTACGAGGAAAGGGCAGAGAGGGTGAGAGCGGCGGTCAACCAACATTGTTTCGATGGAGAGTTTTATACAGACTCGACGTCGGATATAGCAGACGACCAGGCATACTCTCAGCACTGCCAAATATTCGCCATCCTCTCCAACACCTGCCCTCCCTCATCTGCCGCCTCCCTCCTCTCCCGCACCTTCGACAACCCAAAGAGGGACTTTAGCAAGTGCTCCTACGTCATGATCTTCTACGCCCTCCGCGCCCACGCTCAAGCCGGGCCCGAGAGCTATGAGCGATATTGGAGAGAAGTGTGGAGGCCGTGGAGGAAGATGTTGGGGAGCAATTTGACGACGTGGGAGGAGGATGATGTGAGGCAGAGGAGCGATTGTCATGCGTGGGGGGCGGTGCCGGTGTGGGAGTTTTGTACCGAGCTAGCAGGGGTCAAGCCGGTCGCTCCGGGGTGTCGGGAGATAAGGTGGGAGCCGAGGGTGGGGTTGAGTGAGGGGTTGGAAGCGAAGGTTTGTTTGGGGAAGGGGAATGTGGCCAGGGTGATTTTTAGGACGGAGGGAGAGGGAAGGGTTGTTAGGTTGGAGTTGGAGAAGGCGATGAAGGTTAAGAGTGTGATTGAGGGGGTGGAGAGGGAGCATGGGGTTGTCAAAGAGCTCGAGTTTAGGGTGGATGTTTGAGATCTGAGAGAGTGGTTTGAAAGAGAGTATCCTATGAATAACTTATCTGTTTTGAACATTGAACATGAGGTCGGGCGGGGACCAAGCTTTGAAGTCGGATGATCATTTTGGGGGCAATATGTAGAAACGGCAAGAAATGGGCATAGAACGAACAGATACAAGAAAGAGTGGACTGATGGCACAGTGACAGTGTCGGACGCTCTCTGGGCTGGGGAAAGGGTGATGTTGACGAAGGATTGAACCTTAGTTGGTGGCAGAGATGTAATCCTTGGGCCCGGGTAATGATATACTGGAAGGGCTTGGTGACGTGAAGGACATACTCCCCAACGTCAATCTTCCCCTTCTCTCTTTGAATACCGAAAGTTTTGCATAGCCGCATTCACATAGCTGGGAGAGATGCCCTGGTGATGAATAGAGAGAGAGGCAAGATAGAGTCGGACTGCGCAAAGAGATATCGGCGTAAACATGTCCCACGCGCTGTTCGGAGGAATCTACCCGGTGCTCCCGATATTTGGTTTGGTGCGTCCTGCATCAAAGTCATTTTTTGATCAGCTGCTGCCCCATGCAGATATATATGCTGCCCATGGTTCCCTCTTTGCAACGCCATTCACTAACAGTATCCGCCGCCATGTCCCCTCTCGAGAAACCCCATAGTACCACTCTCGAGTCTGCCGAGAAAGATCTCGAGATCACCCATGCTGAACACCCACTCCACCATGACGGCCCCGAACATCTCCAGTCCCCCGAAGATATCCGGACTGATCTCTCGAAGGGCGGGGTAGTGCAGATGAGGAGCAAGTACGCCGACTTGGGGTTTGTAGATTCCATCAAGAGGTTTAAGCTGCTGGGCGGGGTGGCTATGGCAGCTGCTTTTAGTGCAAGCTTGGATGGGTATCGTGAGTGCTTGAAACAGTATGTTGGAAGGGGATGGAGCTGACGGGGTACAGAGATCAATTTGAATGGAGGGATAGTGTCCAATGCGGGGTTTATCAGGCAGATGGCGTCGCCGGGGACGACAGTCATCAAGGGTTCATATGTCTCGGCTTGGGGCGGTGTCCAATCTGCCGGCCAGACGCTTGGTCAAATCGTACGTTTCTCTCCTTCTCCTCGTACCAAGCTGACGGGGTATAGTTCCTGCAATACGCCACCGAAGCGCTCGGCCGTAAGATGGCGCTCTACATCCTCTGGGTCTTTCTTGTCGCTTCGATCTTTGCAGAGACGTTTGCGTCGCATTGGTGGCATTGGTTACTCGCCAAGCTGTTCTCGGGTATTGGAGTGGGGATGCTGCAAGCTACGCTGCCTGTGTATCTGAGCGAGTACGTTTTTTTTCGGAGGTGCGAGGGCGAGTACTGACTGGTGATTAGGATCTCGCCGACGCAGGTTCGAGGATTCTTCATCAACGCTTACTCTTTGTGCGTTATTCTCTTCCTCCCGTCTACGAAGGAGAGTGCTGATTCGGTTGGATAGCTGGTTCTGTCTTGGTCAACTATTCGCCTCGGTAGCGCTCAACGAACTCAAAGCTATGGACCCTTACAACTACAAAATCGCCATCTACTCTCAAGTACGTTCTCCCTTCTCTCTCCACTTCCATCTCCCCTTCTCTTTCCTCGAAGATGAATCTGATGAATGAAATAGTGGCCAATGGTTGCGATTATGGGCGTCATCTTTGTTCTTCTACCCGAATCGCCATGGTGGCTCGCCTCCAAGGGAAGACTCGATCAAGCCGCCAAGATGCTTGAACGATATCAAGGACATTTGGAGGGGTTCAACGTCGCTGATGAAGTTGTACGTCCCATTTCACCTTCCTCCCCTCTTCCGTGTGTAGCGAAGGAAAGAAGGCGGCTGATATGTGGGATAGGCGATCATGACGGCGACGCTGGAAGAGTCCAAATTGATTGCGCAGAGGACGGGGCAGCAGGGGACGTGGGCGGTGTTCAAGGGGAGTAATCTGTTTAGGCTTTTCATCGCTTCTTGGCCAAAGATGATTCAGCAATTCGTCGGGTACATCCTCCCCCTTCTCCCCTCCCCACTAGTCACACGTACTGACTCGCGCATAGGTTGACAGTATTCAACACCTACGCCACCTATTTCTTCCAACTCGCCGGCAACTCCAACCCTTTCCTCGTCACCGTCATCCTCTCTTGCGTGCAGCTCTTGTCCATGTTGATTACTTGTTCTCTTTCAGACAATCTGGGGCGCCGGCCGTTGACTGTTTATCCATATGCGGTGACGGTGGGGAGTATGTTGGCGTTGGGGATTATTGGGTGTTTCGATTATGCAAGCAAGTCGCTGGGGTCTCTTCTTGTAAGTCTTTTCTTCTCCTTTCGCCCTCCTCTTATCCATCCCCGCCTCTGAGTCGGCTAATGCCGGGATAGATCTTCTTTGCCTGCCTCGCAACGTTCTCCACTACCGGCGCCTCCGCCATCGGCTACGCCTACGCCGCCGAAGTACCCACCCAGCGACTCAGGGCGCAGACGGCAGGGTGGGGATTGGCGTTGAGTAATCTGATTGCCATCATGTTTAGCTTTTGTACGCCGTTGATGTTGAATGGGGATGTGCATTGGAATGTGAAGACTGGGTTCTTGTGAGTACCTGCTTGTCTGAGATGAGATGAAAAGAGAGGCTGATGGGGGATGTAGCTTTGCGGGGACGGGGAGTGTGGCTACTGTTGTGGGGTGGTTTATCTTGCCTGAAGTTGCGCGACGGACGCCCGCTGAACTGGATGAGATGTAAGTCGTTTTCTCTTCCCTCTTCTTCCCTTACGCTTCTTCTTCTCGAATGGATTAGGGCTGATAGGTGTGTAGGTTTGAGAAGAAGGTGAACCCGAGAAAGTTCAAGGGATATGTGACGGAGGTGGAGTTGCAGTCGAGAGAGGTGGAAGGCGAAGGGGTGCGTAATGAGCTCTGAGTGACTAATGTTCTGTGCATATGGTCTTGCTGTGGTTTCTCTCTTTGCCTGGTGTAATTTTAGTAGGGAAGTTGATAAGCAATGCATGTATTACAAGTCCAAACATACAGCATCACGAGAAATGTCTCGACGATAAGGATAAGCATAAGCAAGAGGCTTGAATAATTAACGATCGAGGGGCGGGCCGCTTTGCCGACGTTTGCCGGCTGGCGGCTGAGGGGCACAAGTATGGGGCCCACGGGGCCACGTGAACAAACAGCTCCCGCCAATGTCCTTTTTCTTTGGATCTGTCTATCTTTCTTTTTGAGGGGTATACAGCTATTCGACTACCTCTCTCTTCACGCTCGTCAGAAGTACTGCTCTCGAAGATATCGGCCAGCGGAACGAAAATCGGCTTCGGAGTACGAAAAGACTAGACGCCAAGACAGTCGACCATCTCTGTCTGACCGACTATCTTTTGCCCTATTACCCCTACCCGATAGCACCCGTCCCATCACTTCTCTCACTTTTGCACGATGCCAAAAGTCCCCTCTTCCCGCTCCCAGTCCTTCTCAGACACCAAACCGAATATCGCCAACCCGCCCGCTCTCTCCATTACTTGCGCCCCTTGCCGGTCTAAAAAGATCAGTACGTCCCGCCCTCGTCTTCTCATAAACTTGTAGGGCCGAGCTGATGGGATTGGTGTGTGTGGAATTAGAGTGCGATTCGGTAAAGCCGACGTGTGCGAATTGTTTGAAGAATCCCGAGCGGTGTTTTTATCCTGCAAAGCTGAAGCCGGGGTTGAGGCCAGGGACGGGGTTGGAGATGATGAAGCGTGTTGGTGAGTCTCCCGCCTCTTTGATACTCATGAGGGTGGAAGCTGACGTCTTGCTAGAGATTTTGGAAGAAAAGATGGAGCTGTATGGTTCGCAGCTGGCAGAGCACGAAAGGCGCCTCTCCTCTATGCCCTATTCTGTCGCTGGGCCCTCTTTTTCGTATGACAACAACACCCCCCTTCCCGATCCGAACCAACAGGCCCAGCAGCAGCAAGACCAGCTTCAACAAGCCTACACGACGGGCGTCTCTCCAGGGATGAGCTCGAGAGGCCATATGCCCCCGCCGCTCCATGCGATCTCTACCAACCTACCGCCAAGTTCCCAGCCGTTCGCCTACCCGCCCAACCCTTCGCCGAGTTCGGCAGGAGGACCGGTATATGACCGACAGTCTTTCGCCATGTCATCGGCATCGCCGCATGTGAACAACAGCGTCGCGTCCCCAGGCTCATTCCTCGACCCTCAAATCCTCCCGCCAGACGATATAGTCCGCGACCTCATCACCCTCTTCTTCACCCACATCCACCCCTGGTGCCCCATCCTCTCTCCCTCCCCGTCCGACTTTCAGCCGCCCTGGGGGATAGTGCACCACGCCATCGTCGTCGTCTCCCTGCGCTTCTCGCGCGATCCGCGTATAAGGATGGACAAGGGGTCGATCAAGCAGAAGGCGAAGCAGCATGTGTTGGCGCATGCGGTGGAGTCGACGAGTGTGGCGTCGTTGCAGGCGTTGGCGCTGTTGGCTGTGGATCTGATAGGGAGCGATCAGGGGCCGAGTAGTTGGGGGATACTTGCGCTTCTTACGCGTTCTGCAGTCCACCTCGGTCTTTCGCGCGAAGACGACCCCCCTCCTCCCTCGTCTTCCACCTCTTCCTCCACTGCCCATGCGCACGCGCATGCGCCAAGAGCCCCAGCGCTTTCGAGGACGAGTATCCTCCCCCCGCCGGGGTCTTGGCACGAAGATGAATCAAGGAGGCGATTGTTTTGGTGGGTGTTTGTGCTGGATCGGTATGTGTGTTGTTCGACGGGGTGGGATTTTGCGGTGCCGGATGGGGATGTGGGGAGGAGGATGCCTTGTCCGGATGAGGTGTGGACGCAGCCTGTGAGTATATCCCTCCTTGGCCTTCGGTATTGGGAGGGAGGATTGAGGGTGGAAGGGTGAGGGCTGATGAGATGTAGGAATGGCACCAAACCCCCACCTTCTCCTCCCCCCTCTCTTCCCTCTCCTCCACTTCGCACCACCATCCCCTCCCACCCGTGCCCCTAACCTCCGTCTCGCCCTTAGCATACCTCGTCGAAGCGCTCGACCTGCTCGGCCGCGCGCACACACTGCAAGGGGAAAAGATCAACCTCGGCGATCGGGGGGAGGTGGAGGGGCGGAGGGAGATGGCGTTGGGTGTTACGCGGGTTGTGAGGGAATGGTGGGAGGGGAGGGATGTGGGGGGGATTGGGGAGGTGGGGATGAGGTTGATGATTGTATGTTTCCCCTTTCCCCCTGTCCCCTTCCCCTTTGTTGGAATGGTTGAATGGGACGGGACTAACGATAAGAAAAGCAAGCGATCCACCACGCCACTCTCCTCAAACTGAACGCCTCCCACGCCTACCCCGCCATTCTTCCGCCCACGAGATCAGCACAGGAACCTTTTTTGTCTACGTGCCTCAGCTCGGCGAGGGCGATGGCGAGGTTGGTGGAGGAAGGGCGGGAGGCGGGGTGGGAGAGGGGAGGGGCGTTGTTTGTTTGGGGGTGTTGGGTTGCTGCGAGGGTGCTTTTTGGTATGTTCTTTCTCTACCCCTGTTTCTGTGGGGGATGGGTAAGGGGAAAAAACTGAGAGGTGGGGGTTGTAGTGCATGCGTTTTTGAATGGTCATAAGAGGCTGGATGATGATTTCGAGGTGATTGTGGGGGGGTTGAAGGAACAAGCGGAATACTGGGGCTTGGCGAGTACGTCTCTTTTCATGTTTCTCAACAACGAATGTACTGACGAGAGAAATAGCACAATATGTGAAACTGCTCGAAAGAGCTAAACGCAAGATGCTCAAGTCCCGCCAATCCCACCCCTCCACTTCCTCATCCACCACCAACTCGCACCCACATGCCTCCAATCCCAATCTAAAACACGCACCCGAAGGCCCCTCGTCTGCCCTGCCAGACGCCATCCACGTGCTGCTCGACCTCCGGCGAACAGCTTATGGCGCAGTGGGCACGAATATACAAGAGACGCCGCATACGACGCCGCCCCCCGAGGGTTTGGAGGGCGCGGGGGGGCGGGAGGGGGGGTTGGGGTTCGTGCCGGGGTATGAACCGGGGCATGGGCATGGGATGGAGGGTGGTATGATGGGAGGGGTAGGGGGAGGGATGGGTCAAGGGCAAGCGCAAGGAGGACAGGGACAGGGGATGCAAGGGGTGGAAGGTATGGATCTGGGGCTGGATATGGTTCCTGCTTGGGCGGTACAGCCGGGGTTGGAAGATTTGTATAGCTGGTTTGATTTACCGGCGGGGTTGTTCCAGGGGGAGGGGATGTGAAGAGATATAAAAAGAGGGATTCATAATAACGAAAGCAAGTACGAGTACTCGATTGTATCAAATACAGAGATTACTATAAGGAATGTATTGCTCTGTTTATGTTGATCCACCTGGGTATCGTTTGAACTTTGAGGGAACAAACAAAGAGTGACAGTGACATGACGAATGGGCGGCAGGGTGTCACCGGATAGTGGGACAGTGAGGCACAGGCGTGATCGAGAGGTTGAACGATGCAGTACTCATGCACGGCGTCACTCTTCTCACTCGAAGCACTGATTGGGAGATAGCTATACAGACCCGACAAGGTATATCTCCCCTCGATGCATGCCCCAGTATATACTTGTATGCACCCAGCAAGAAGGTCACCGTTAAGGTGACTGGGGTGAAACTCGGTGCCTGAGCGTTTCAGGATCAGTTGCGCGGTTTAGTGTCTTTTGTAAACACGCGACCGATTTCGTAGCATGCTTTTTGCAGCTCAACCGTGCACGTCATGTATATCTACCCTTTACTCTGTTTCTCTTCCCCATCTCTCTCTATTCTCTCTCATCCTCTCCAGGCCATACACGAGCCTACCAAGTCACTCTTTTACCCCACCCCACAGCCCCCGCCCCCCTCATCCACCGAGAATGAAACTCTCCACCATCTCCCTCCTCCTCCTCCCCACCCTCGCCCTCGCCGCCCCCTCAGAGAACCGTGCGTTAGAAAAGGTGCGCGCCGTGGGCGATTCGACGTCGGTTGTCAGTCTGAATGATGATTCGTATGTTCCCCTCCATTCCCTGCGTTGCAAGGCATGTACTGATCTGGGGGGTAGGTCGACGCTTTCCTCGCTTGTAGTATACAACCCATCTTCCTCCCGTGCCGCCGCTGCTGCTTCGAGCTCCGGCGCTGGCGCTGGCGCTGGCTCTTCAGTGTCGTCGGCGGCTGAATCCGCCAAAACCATTACGTCCGGTGAATCCCTCGCTTTCACCCCGTCTAGCACTTCGACGCTGTCTTTTATTGGGAATGTGTCTACCGCTACCGCTACTGGGGCTACGAGCGCGCAGGGAAGTGGGAGTAAGGTGGCGGCTGCGGCGGGGACGACGACGACGGGGAGTGGGAGTGCAAGTTCGAGTTCGAGTTCGAGTTCTGGGGCTGTGGTAGGGAGGGGTATGGCGTGGGGGTGGGGTGGGGTTGTGGGTATGTGTGTTGCTGGGTTGATGCTGGTTTGAGGTTTTTGCTGCTTGATGCGCTTGCGTGTGTGGGTTTTTTTCCGTATCGAGTACAATCTCCTATCGTTTTTTTCAGTCTCTTTCTCGTCTTTGCCGTCCGTCGTGTGGGCGTAATACACATTCATTTGTCTTCCATCTCTGCGAAAGTATATAGTTCTCGAGCTCCTTTTCTGTATCATACTTATCGACTCTTGACTCGGTGTGCTGGAAATAAATGTATCTCAATCTGCATCCACATGTTCGATTTTCCTTTTGCGGCACCAAGAGCGTTGACAGGCGACGGGCGGGAGGCGACAGGGAAGGTAGGGTAGTGCGGCAGAGAAGAGGGTTGATAGGGTGGGAAATGGGAAGTATTATATATCAAGTACATGCTGTGTTTATGTCGTAAAAAGTCATTAAGCAATCGCCCTCCCCTCTCCCCAGCCATTGTCCCGTACATTGTCCCTCCGACGACTGCCCCCATTTACAAGTATATCTTGCACCAAATCCCCGACATATATGCCCTCTCTTTGCTCTTGGTTTTCTATACTGCGCCATGTCCAAGCCTCATATGAGGGGATGAGGGGGAAAGGCAACAAGTGAAGTGGTGGGGTGGTGGGGAGGGGGTCATGAAGATCGAATAGCATACGCGACGACGTAGAAGATGAGTGTATCCTATAGATCTTGTCAGTGTCCATCCATTGTCAACCACAGAGGATAGGGCGAAAAGGAAGGGAAGAAATAGGTGGAATGGAAGGGGTAGGGTAAGGAGACGTACGTTACTAAACATCTCTTGCATTGCCAGATCGCCTTCTTCCCAGTGACAGGCCATATCGCCTCTATCATGATGTGGGGTGTTAGCTGATGCAGCTTTCTTCAGCAGAAAAATGCGGAGGGGGAGGATGAGAAGGGGAAGGGGAGAGAGGACGGGGGGAGAAGGATCAGGGAAAGGGGAGATGAGGAAGGAGAAGGGACGTACCGACCACCTTGTCCGAGATTCTCTGTTAACGTCGATTGGACCTATTTTTTTCCTTTCATGTTAGCCGGATGTCTTGATTATCAGACGAAGAGATTGGTTGAGGAGAGAAGGAAAATAGGGGAGAGGGAAGAGGGAAGAAGGAGAAGGGGGGACGTACGATATACTTGAAACCATTCGGTTCGAGCTCGACCATCCGGGATTTTATCTTCTACTCTCCCAGTTGTCAGCCTCTTTTATCCCTTGCTCTTCTTCTTCCCAGCTTCCTGCTTCGGCCGGCAGATCGCTTTTGGCAATACTGGTACAAAAGACAAAGACGCCAGAGAGAAGGGGGACGTACATCCGATAGACCTTTTCCGACTTCACGCATCTTGGTCTTGTTTTCGGGGTCCCATGATGTATTTGTCAGAGTTGATGCTAGGAGCTAATGTTGTCCAGCAGATATTTGAGGAGAAGTGGTTATGGGTTCCAGTGTGGGTTTGAAGGAGAGGCGAAGAGAGATAGAGGGGGAGCAGATGGAATAGGGTCGTTAGCTTGATGCGCCTTGAGTGTGGTTAGAAGAAGAAGAGGAGGATGTACGTTCTTGGTCCAAGATCGCAGACTGTCCACTGGGAACCTAGCATGTCGTCAGCGTACCACCTTCTCTTCCGAATGGATACCTGTCCCCGAGATGGCAGGGGACGAGGAGACAGGAAAGGAGAGGGGAAAGCATACCTTGGTCTGGGGGTTATACTGCGGGGAGCCTGGAGGGGCGGGGAGAGTGCGCCGTTGAGTCTTGAGGCTGGCATCGGGGGGTATGGGGGAGGATGGGAGAGTCTATAAGGGGAGAGAGGTTGTTGTGACACCGCGACGCGTCGAACGGAGTCAAATTCTTCCCATCTCAGCTTGTGATTGTTTGTCTTACTTTTATTCCACCCCATCTACCCATGTCCCACCTCCCAACACCCCCCTCCACAACCCCCCACTCCCCACCCACCTCCTCATCCTCATCCAGCTCATCTACCTCAAGTTCAGCATCAAGACGCAGACAAGAGAGGGAAGAAGAAGCAGCCAAGCACGCGCAGGAAGCGTGGTCTGCGTCGTCGTCGTTCCATTCGGTGTTTGGGAAGAAGGGGATGAATCTGAGTATTGGGAGTGTGAGTGCGCTGGAGGGGTCTTGGAGGGACGGGGCGCCGCAGGCGCAGTTGTCGAGTGCTTCTGTTGGACGGGGTGAGGAGGCGCCGGTGATGCTGGGAAAGGAGCAAGAGAATAAGGGTTTAGGGGTGGATGAAACGGGGGACGATGGGGACTGTCTGGGAAGGGTAGATCTAGAGGGCAGCAAAGGTATCTCAAAGTCGATGGCCAAGAATGAGACCCGAGAGTTGTTGGCTATACAGGTCCTGGCGCGGATGATGGATAGTAGCAAAGGTCGTGATAAAGTGCTCGTACGTCCTCCCTTCCTCTGCCGCCTCTATATCCACAGAATGACAAGGATGGAAGTTGATGGAAAGAGTATAGAAATGTATACAGTACACGCTGAAGACGTATTTGTATTTGATGAGCTTGTTTGTAAGAGTCCGACCGCTCTCGCCGTGGTTCAGGGCGAATCGAAAACGGATGGCTATCGCTGTATCCGGTCTTTCCCTCACCCGGTATGTCCCCTCTCCCCTCTCCCCTCCATCGCCTTCCCCCCTACCCCTCCATGCCTTCTTGTCTTTGACCCAAACTTGAAAAACTGGAAGCTGATCGAAGCGCCCCCAGAAAATGTCTCCTCCTCCTAACACCCCTCCACCCCCTATCCGACCTTCTCTCCCCCGCACCCATATCGGCGCGTACACTGTTGCTGCATCTGGTGGATTTGGCGGGGGCGGTGGCGGATGATGTGTTTTGTTTGAGCAAGTTGGGGGTTTTGGCGCGGGGGAAGGGGGAGGTTGGGGGGCGGTGGGCTGAGTGAGTTTTCTTTGTCTTCTTGTTCTCTTTCTTTTGGTTTGGAAAATGGTCAAGAAGCTGACAAAGATGATCAGCCGGATCTGGTTCCTAACAACCCTCATCGGTCTATACAAACTCCACACGCAAACCATCCCCAGCCTCCCACCCCTGTCAAAACCAGTATCAGTAACAGCGTGTGCCGATCGATTGCTCTCCCCGCAAGACATTGCAAACCAGAGGGAAGAGGAGAGGATGTGGGAGAAGGAGTGGGGTGATGCGAGGTGGACGGGGAGAAAGTTGGTGGCGGATTTGTGTTTTGTTTGTGGGTCTTTCCTCTTCTCCTCCTCCTCCTCCTCCTCCTCCTCCGACGATCTTTCCACCATCTTGTGCTGGTGGTGGGGGTTGGAAAAGGTAAAAGAAGAGGGGCTGACGGGCGAAATTATAGCGTATGATGTGTTGGGTCTCGATTTCCCGTTGGTTGGGGAACCGATGCAGTGCGTGGCGGGGTTAGTTTCTGGGTTTATCAGGTATGTCCCTCTCTCTCCTATCACCTCTTCCTGTCTCTTTCTTCCGTCCTTTCTCTTTCTTTCATTCGATTCAAATACCCTTTGGAATGTGTCAATCTTCCCCTTCTTCTGCCTTCCGTCTTCTGTCTTTAAGCGTATTCTCTTGAGAAGGCTTTAGGAAAAGCTGACTTGGCTGCTAGTGCGACGAAGCTGTATAACCAGCATTGGGATGCTAGTCTTGGCAAATGAATCTAAATCCACCCCCCACTACACTACATTCTCGGATCTCATCCCTAGCTCCCACTCGACCTGTTTCTTCGGCTTGTTTCGACTTTCTTGACTATCGTCGATCATTCCGACCTTTGACCCTTTTGGGGGGTTGGGGGTTCTTGGGCGTAGGCGTAAAAGTGCAGTGTTGTGATTCGGGGTAATGAGAGAGAGAGAGGTAGGGAGGATGTAAAATAGCGTTTGGCGTTTTGCGTTCAGATGGATATATGGATACTTGTATAGTGTAATGTGAAACGACGATTCATCATGCTCCCGGGGTGCCAATCTTGGATACCAAATTTCTACGTCCACGTCCGTGGAGGCTTTCTATGAAGTCCCGATCGTCGAGGTGGTGGCCTTTCGTCTTGAAAATCGGTTGTTGGTGTGATGTTGGCGTTGATGGATGGGAGATTGGGATGAGGGCAAAGTGGAAAGATGGAAGAGATGAGAGCATGGGAAATCGCGCTTCGGTTGAAGAATTTGCAGGCAGCAGGCTGAGGCTGACGCTTGCTCGGCCTCTTTCGGCGTCTCGAAGTCTTGTCATGCAACGCCGATTTGGTTGAGAGTGCTGTGAGGACGAGATAATGCGCGCGCATCCAACTACGAGTTATGCGTACGTTTCAGACACTTGTGGGCATTCACGCTTGTTCTGTTAAACGACATTTCGTTTTTGGAAAAGGTGTTTCAGATGACGATCTTTTTCCATTTTCTTTGCGAGCCTCGGGTTAAGGAGATTGCTTCGACCGAAGAAGTGGCTTGTGGCCTGGGAAAGTGAGCGGTAGTGGATGATTGAGTCTCCACAGATGCAGCTGAACAAGGATCACTCAACGTGCCCAGCTCTCCACCCCCCTAAGCGAAGAAGCGACAAGTCAACATCTGCCCCACGAACCACGACATGTTTTGGTTCAATCGTGTAGCGCCATTATCGACGCATCAACCAGCTACCGCGTTTTCATTCTACCTCGCTCTCCTTCGAGATTCCCCGTTGGACTGTTTGGCCGTGCCGTGGAGCTGTGGATCGATTCATCGAATGTTTGAATGTTCGAAAATGTGTTCGAGTCGTCTTGACATCGAGATCTCTTATGGACCCTGCCCCCGTCGTGTTTTACATAGAGTGTGAAGTGGTAGCTCAGGGATCAAGTGTAGGGCCGTGTTGAGTGATGGATGGTGGGGTGGGTGATGGGCTGCTACTGTGGGTTCTCATCTGTGGCGGTGCAGCGAGCTTGAGCAAAGCACCATAATATAACGAGGCACGAGGGTATGCTGCTGCACATCCCGCCTCGATTAGCACATGCATACATCAAACGGCCATGCGAATCTACAAACAAACACGCACTCTAGTCCGGCAGCACGGCGCTGATTCCGGTTTCGAGGGGACAAGACAACAGGGCCCCTCACGTGCCTGGGCGACTCCCTTTGAGCAGCGACGCACGGTTCGTGTAGGTGCTTCTTTTTGTTTGCTTTCGCGCGCTGATCACGGGTACTCTGGCCAATTGGGGGAAGGAGATACATGTAGGGATAGGGGCACAAGAGAGAGGGGCAATGAAAGAGGAGATGGGCGCGGGGAGAGGGGTGGTTGATCATCCAACACACACTCAAACGGACGGTGCACCCAGAAAAACGGCTGTGTCCCCTCACGACACCCCCGACGGCCCGTGCGCTGGTGACTGTTCGCCCCTCGTCGTCCAATTTCCATCTCATCCCTCATCCGCATCTCCATCTCCCTCCCCAAATGGTCAACAACTCGCGCCGCAGCCAGTCCCAGATCACACGGGCCACCCCCTCCAACTCGTCCACCAACCCCTTCCCCCACATCCACCCCCCACCGCAGGGGCGTGTCCCGGTATACGACCCCCAAGATATCTACGGCGCGTACCCCCAGCCGGCGTATCATCCGTATCAGGTTCCGTACCCGCCGCAGTACCAAGGACAGCAGGGGGCGATACATCCTCCGCGACGTGATCGAAATAGGCCTCTGGGGCCGCCGGTACCGCTGGAACCGCCGAGAGAGGAGACGCCAAAGTACCCAGTGAAATCCGTCAACGTGTTATCGACAAGCCTGAACGCTGCTCAACCGCCTCCCCCTCCTGCCGGTCCGGTATCCAACAACAACCCCGGCAAGACGTATCTATCAGGCTTCCAAGTCGACTATCCCCGCGTCGACGCAGGGCGCGCCGTCCGCCGGCCGAGGGTGGTGGTGGAAGAAGGCGAGAAGGACGAAGGGTCGGGGGTGAGGAAGGTGCTGGTGGGGGGGCGGAAGGTGGTGGTCAAGCCTGGGGTGGGGCTCGATGGGCTGGATGGGGATGATGTGGGGGAGGTGTTCCCGCCGCCGGCAGAGGCGTATATTATACTGCGGCCGCATCGGGTACCGAAAGAGTTGTGGGATGATGGGGTGATTGGGAACTTTACGGATGCTGAGGACTGGTGAGTCGCTTTTTGGGACTTGTTTTGGATTCCGGTGATGGAATAGGTCGTATGCGGTTGATATACTTCAAAGTCCTACGAGAGGGAAAGCTCTCGGTCTTCAAGCTCTGCCTCGCGTACGTCTTGGTTGTCTATGTCGACATTATCTGACAACGTTGTAGGGCTTTCCGTCTCTCACCGCTCCCCTCATCGTTCAACTAAGAGTCTACGACTCGCAAGGGCACGTCATTCCCATCGAGTACGTCTCTCTCTCCTTCTTTCCCTCCTTCTTCTGCCTCGTATCTCACTAGGCAAAGCTGACTTTGAGAATAGCTCGCCCGTACTAAGTCGTAGGCTAGTGCATACGATCATGGTTGTCGATCTTGTGTCGCCGGATGGGAAGGAACAACGGTCTAGTATCAAGCTCAAGCCGAATAACGATCTCCGTACGTCCTCTTCTCTCTCATCTCCTCCACTAGTATCAAGCTAAGTCCAACTCCAGACGACTCCACCTCCCCCGATTCATCCCCCCCAATCTACAGGCGCAACCTCCTAGGCGCCACCGTCCGCGCCTCCGCCGTCCTCAGCAGGGGCGGCGGAAGACATCCAGAGAGGGGGATATACTTTGTGTTTTCAGAGTTGGTGGTGAGGAATGTTGGGGAGTTTGCCCTGAGGATGAGGGTTGCTGATTTGGCTGGGTGAGTTCTTTTTTCTTTCTTCTTTCTTCTTCTATGACTGAGGGATGAGAGGGGGTAGTGGGGAGGAAGGAGAGGGGAGGGGAGGGAATGAGAGGGCAAGAGCTGATAGGATGATAGGCCAGCGCATCTTGGGACTTCTATCGGTGTAACGCGGACGTTGGTGGAGGGGTTGACCCCGCCCTTCGAAGTATTGTACGTTGACCTTGTTTCTTTTACTCGCGAAGCGCAAGGCTGATGGGAGGGGACATACGTGTAGTCATCCGACAAGGTATCCGGGGGCGATACCTGTGACGGAGCTTTCGCAAGAGTTTACGAGGCAGGGGGAACGGCATCTTGGGGTGAGTTCTCTCTCTCTCTCTCTCTTTCTTCTTTTTTTTTTTTGTCTCCCCGCGAATCTCTTTATCGAGCCGTTCGTCCCCCCGACGTGCTTCGCTCTTTGGGATCTTTTGGAAGAGCACTTGAGCTTGGGAATGGAAGAATGGAAGAATGGAATGCTGACGGCGATGGGGATGGGATAGCGCAAATCTCGAGGAGATGTTATGGCTTCTAGCGATGATGAAGTGTAGCCCCTGCTTCACGCCTCACGACAACTGCCCAGCCACCACCCTATCTCTCCTACTTCTCGCCCTTATCTTCAGACACGCACTTCCCCAGCATCCCGCCCTCTTCTTTGTACGCTCTCACCCCCAGCATCTCGCCCTCCTCGTCGTATACGGCGATCCCTACTCGATATCCCGCTTTTCCCTCTGCGCTGCCCTTCCTTCGCAGGGCGGGCTGCTGATCGAAGGCGAGAAGGCCACGTGCGGGGTAGGGGACATGGCTAGGTGGATGGGATAGGGATAGGGATAGGGAAGTCTTGTGTGTATTGGGGAAGAGGATGTATTGATGGATAGGTGGTATGGGGAGGAGAGTAATGACGGTGGGGGTTGTTGTAGATCGATGAAAAGTGGTTTTGAGGGATGTCACGAATAGGCGTTGTAGTATTTCATGTTATGAGATTCTCTTTTGCTGTTGTCTTTGAGCGACGCAACGATGTGTGATGAACGATTGGTGGAGGTACAAGTAGGTCTGGACACGACATCGGTGAAGTTGGTGGCTTTTGAATGGGGTAGAAGTTAGAGTGGAGGAGATGTTGGGTGATGGAATAGCTGTCAGTACCGCCCAGCCACATCCCTATCCCTTGCACCTCTCACCGGCGTTTTCGCCGTCTTCGTCAAACACTCTCCTTCCCAACGTCTCGTACTCGTTATACACGCGAATGCCCGCTCGTATTGATATTCGACCTTTTTCACTTGTTCACTTGTGTTGCTTTTTTTGTAGGGCAGGTGGCTGGGGAGGCGAGGAGAAGGGCGACGAGGGGAGCGTGGATATGGTGGGTAAGATGGGTACGGTGGAGGTGGGGGAGTACGAGTACTGTGTTGTAGGTCGAGAAGATGTATGCTGGTGGGAGAAGATGTTTTGGTATTGTGGGAGCGAGTAGGGCGGGGATGGATGGATCAATAGAAAGTAACTCTTAGAGAATGTGACGAGACGGCGATGTAGTATTCATGTCATCAGGATGTTTTTTGGTGTTGTCTCTGAGCGACGATGTTGAGTGATGAACAGCTATCAGTCTGGCGGTGTCAGAGATCTCGCTTGCGTTCATATCTCTCATGATGCGAGGTTTTTGGACCACTATTTCGCGAATTCTGTTCATAAACCTATTCGAAAGCTACTTACTGCGTTGCATGGATCTCAACCCCCAGCAACAATGACTGTGACAATCACCGCCAAAGAGCGGCTAAATCGTCCCACAGGGGTTTGAAAGATCGTATAACAGAATTCCTGCAGTCTTGACAATGAATAGAGAGTCGAAATGAGCTGGCGATGTCAGACCACAGGCTATCGTCGTCGCGGCCCGGCCACTGAACGAGATTGCGTCGAAGATCCTTCCCACCCGACCGACTGGCGGTCGCCCACCAAACATCAGATCTCCTGCAACTACACTCCTTCCCGCACTCCACTAATCTCTTATCCTTGAAATCGGCTTGTGAATTTTTTAGGAAGTCATGGTTGGCTGCAGAGGACGACGAGAGGGAATGGGGATTTTTGAACATAAAGAATGGGTTTCGCCGGTGTATCTCTCTCCAAAGCGCGGCATATGGGGCGTGGTGCTTGTCGAGGACGGAAAGTATGGGCTGTGGACACGACTTCGTAAGGTCCCAACGCAGAGTTGACCTTGCAATGGCTTTAGCAACCGTTTCGTCGGCTTCGAACGCAGCGTAGAGTAATCGGAACCAAGGTGACGTTTCAGAGATGCTCAAGCGAGCCTGGGCTGAGAATGTGGTGAAGCCGTACTGGTCGGCGATTTTGAAAGCAAGCACCAGGTCCTCATGTCGTACCCGTATCCCTTACTTTGGGAACGGAATATTTTTCGCTTCCTGTCGTACAGATAGACGTCAGGCCAGGATTCTGTCTCTTTGACCTGGAGCTGGAGCAACACCACCCGCAAGCCATTTGACAGCGCCCCCGGCATATCTCTTCGCACGGCTTGGGTACGACCTTTCCCAGCATCGTCGTCTTGTCTGATATCTGAATCCATCTCTTCAAAGTCGCGGAAGAATTCAGAGTGCTCCAGGAGGAAAGATCGCTTGACATAGAATCCGACGTCGTCGTCGGTAACTAGTAGGAAATCGTCGCTGGTCTGGATGGAGAAGTCGGGATGGATTGACAAGGGAAGAGCATCAGGGTTGTGATCGGTGAGGGGAGATGATACAACGTCTCGAGTGACCTCTGATGACTGTCAGCGGTCTGACGTACATAGACGCGATGGACGCACCCGTGAGCCTATCCGCACCCGCAGAACCCGCCGCGTCCGAGCCGGGGGTACAAGAAGAAGAAAATACTTGATGATCGCCGTCGTCATGAGTACGCGAAGCGTCGGTCTCTACTTCGCAGCATTAGTGTAAGGCCGGAAGACATTTACATGAACCGCTCACCCTGGGCGTCCTTCACGTCGAGATGATTGAGCGACTTGGTCACTTCCGCGTCGTCGCCTGACATGTCGTAGCGTTGTGAGGAATCCGGATGATATATGCTAATGAGGAAGGAAAGTGCTGGTCTAGGGAGCCGAAATGGATGTTGAAATCAATAGGCTGACCGTAGTATAGCTCGAGAGAGATGATTTCAAGCTGTGAAAGTAGATGGGAAGGTAAGCGGAAACGATAGATAGATGTCGTACTACGCGAATCTTTCCGTTGAAAGACGACCCCGCAGCCGAGCTACTAGAACCCGAACGCAGTGGGCGTACGACCGTGAAGTAGGGTACATTGGGTTCTCTGTTGAGTCAGGCTGTGCTGCAAGTAGGCGACGTTGAGTAATGAAGAGTGATGGTGAGCCGCCACTGGGAGCGTCTACGAGACTCTGTCACGTTCACATTCCAAGTCAACTACTGATATATACGAAAACTTCATACATTCGTCTGTGAGACATATCAGCATCTGTTACTGCCAATGCGCCGTCACATCGTTCCACAGCGTCTTGAAAGATCGTAATACGGAACCGCGACAACCTACACTAGATGGCTTGGATGTCTATCCGTGATCCTTTGAAGCTATTTCCTTGCAAAAGTCTTTACTCTGCAGTGCTTTCAGAGTAGCTATTGGTCTGTGGGAGAACGCTTTGGGGGTATATGTTTGGGCTGTATACGTTCTATTTGAAGGACGCTTTGCCTTGGTTACCTTCTGATGATGCCTACATCGGAACAAGGCATCTTGAGAGCAGAAGAATGAAGCAGAAAGCAGAAGACGAGCGTTAGGAGGAGAAGTTGAAATTTGGGCTGTGTCGTTAGCTGATTGGCGCACTACGCTATGCACCGTGAGGTTCGATATGCGTATGTATGAGATTTTGTGGAGTATACATCAATAGCCCCCGACGGAAGACATTCAAGACAAGAAGAAGAAGGCGACGAGATCTTGTTTGGTGACTATACGTGTTTGTTGAGTTTGCTGAATGATGAGAGGGCGTCTTGGAGGTTTATAACCCAGTGTCAGATGGATATGATTACTTTGGTGTCTCTGGAGAAGTTTTAACCAGTAATGCAATGTAGCGTTCGACGACAGCAGGAATGGAAGGCAACAAGCAATGCGGGATGTACATTACACTATCCTACATCACCCTCCTCTCTCTCCCCTAATTCTCTACTGCAATGAGATAGCCATCCCCCCATCCACAAGCACGCTCGCCCCCGTACAATACCCGCTCAAATCACTCGCAAAAAACAAAGCAGGACCGACGAGATCTTCAGGCTCGCCGAGACGTCCGAGGGGGATACGGCGGATCTGGTCGGCGCGTTTGGAAGGGTTGGCGAGGTCTTCTTTGTTGATGTTTGTTTCGATTGTTCCTGTACTCTTGTCAGTGGAAGAAAAGAAGGGGAGGGGTGGGAGGGGGACGGACCTGGGAGAACGGAATTACACCTGATACCCATCGGTCCCAGCGCTATCGCACAACTCTCCATCAAACTCTTCACCCCCGCCTTTGTCGGTGTATAATGACACTGCTCTCCTCCTCCCATCAATGCCGATATACTGCTGACTGCGACGATGGACCCGCCTTTGGGGGACTGGGAGGCCATCTGGTTGGCGGCGGCTTGGACGGCGTAGAATGCGCCGTTGAGATTGACGTTCTGGACGCGGTGCCAGAGCGGGTGGGGGAGGTCGAGGAAGGAGTGGAAGGGGCATATACCGGCGTTGGAGATGAGGATGTCGAGGCGGGAGAAGGAGGAGACGGAGGCGGAGACGATCTGCGCCTTGGTCAGCATGGGGCAAGAAGGGGAGATGGGGAGCGTACAGCTGAGGCTGTTTTGGCGTCTGAGATGTCACCTGGGACGACCACGGTCTTTGCGCCGAGGTCGTGGCATGCGGATTCGACTTGAGCGATATCAGAACGTGTGGAGTCGTCGCCCAAGTGGTGTAGGACGAGATTTGCGCCATTCCTAGCAGCGCCTGAGAGGTCAGCATGGGATATAGGGGCAGTCAGTGGGCTTACCGATGGCGATTGCACGGCCGATGCCTGTTGAGCAGCCTGTGACGGCAACGACCTTGTCCTTAAGGAGACCGAACGACATGGCAGATAGCAGAAAGATGTCCGTCCATGTCCGATACTTGAAGGTGCAGCAAGACACGTCGCGTTCGGGGGAACGGGGGCCGAAGGGCACGGCACATGATCCCCCCGACCACACCTCGGCTAGCCGTACACAGCGGATCCAGCCTCGGCACGCGTATTTACCGGTACCCGGCCCGGCGTATCTTTCCTCTGCCGTCCGAAGCATCGTACAAAGATATATGATCCATCTCGCAATGGATTATCTGCTTCTCCCCCTATACCCTCCGCAGACATATTACCCAGCATGCCTAAGCAGTGGCCCACCATCGTCAGTATAGTCTCCCTTCATCTCTCTCACTGCTGATAGCTCGTAGGTCAAGCTCGAGACTTTTATCCCCAGCGCCAATGGCTCTGGAGGCGACTATCACAGGTTGGTTCTTCGTTTTCCGTGCTGTACTCTTGCTGACCATCTTGTAGGCAGAATACCGACCACTGGAGTAAGCCATCGCCAATCCACTAAGTCCATCGCGCTGATCCTCCATCACAGTCGTCCAAGGCAACATATCATGCCCCATGCACAAGTACGAAGAGTACAAGGTCTCGCGAACGTCCTGGGGTATCGGAGTCCTCGGTAGTATCTTTGGTGAGTCCTCTCAAATCAACACTTCTCCACACGCTCATACGCGTCACAGTCAAAGTCCACGCGTCGGACGGTACCGTCGGCTATGCGACTGGCTTTGGCGGCCCTCCTGCCTGCTGGCTCATTGAAGAGCATTTCAAGCGCTTCATCATCGGCCAAGACCCGAGGGATACCAACAAGATGTGGGATATGATGTTCCGGGCTTCCATGTTTTACGGTCGTAAAGGTTCGTCCTCCCTTCTGCTTCTGCTTCTTGCTTCTCTGCTTCTTTGACTGACGATTGACCAGGTCTTCCCCTCGCCGCCATCTCCGTCGTCGACCTCGCCATCTGGGACCTCATCGGCAAGATCCGGGGCGAACCCATCTACAAGATGATCGGCGGGCGCACCAAGAAAGACATTCCCCTTTACCTCACTGGCCCTCGTCCGGAAGTTGCCAAGAAGCTCGGGTTCTGGGGCGCAAAAGTCGCGCTGCCGCATGGACCGTCGGACGGGCACGAGGGGATCAGGAAGAATGTAGAGTATTTGAAGGAGTGTAAGGCGGCGGTGGGGGAGGATTATCCGGTGCAGGTGGATTGTTATATGAGTTTGGATGTGCCGTATACCATCTCGCTCATCAAGGTGAGTCTCTTCCCTCCTCTACCATCAGTGTTTTGGGATGGTGGCTGATGGGTGGTAGGCGTGTGAGAAGGCGGGGGTTGAGATGAATTGGTGGGAAGAGGTGCTTCATCCCGACGACTTTGATGGGCATGTCAAGCTCAAGGAGGCTTTGCCGCATATCAAGTTTACCACCGGCGAGCACGAGTATTCCAAGTGAGTCTCCTTCTTCTTCTCTCTCCCTCTCCCTCTACTTCGTCTTCGTCTGTTAAAGAGCGAGGTGTACTGATACGTAAGTATAGGTATGGTTTCCGAAAACTTATCGAGAACCGTGCGGTCGATATCATCCAGCCGGACGTCATGTGGCTCGGAGGACTGACCGAGTTGATCAAAGTCGCTTCGTGAGTCGCCCTCTTTCCTCTTCCTCCCCTTGTCCTTCCCCTCCAAAGCCTCTTTTGTCAGACTATGTGATACGTAGAGGGCGGTGCTGATACCCCCGTAGGATGGCGGCAGCGTACGATATCCCGGTGGTGCCGCATGGTTCGGGGCCGTATTCGTTCCAAGCTATCATGACGTTCCCGAACTCGGACTTTTGCGAGTACATCGTGAGTTCTTCTCTCTCCACCTCCCTCCCTTCCCCTCTTCCCTTCCCCTCTTCCCTTCCCCTCTTCCCTTCCCCTCTTCCCTTCCCCTCTTCCCTTCCCCTCTTCCCTTCCCCTCGCCCCTCGCCCCTCCCCTCGAGCACACTAGCTAACGATCACGAAAAGGCAAACTCCCCCGACGGCAAATCCATCCACCCCTCCTTCGGCAACCTCTTCACCAACGAAGTGCTCCCCCACAACGGCAGGGTTGATCTCACGGACGAACCCGGGTGGGGGCTGGAGCTGAACCCGGAGGCGGAGTTGGTGCCGTATGAGAGCTTTTTTAGGGTTGATAGGGGTTTGGGGGCGGCGGGGGAGGAGGAGGTGAAGGGGAAGGTGAATGGGAAGCATTAGGTTGGAGGAAGGGGGAAGAGGGGGAAGGAGATTGTTGTGTAGGAGGTTGGATGTCGGAATGTATGGCTCATGTCTTGTAACGTCTTGGTGCATATCGCAAACGTCTTATACTCATACACTTGAACTATCATATCCAACATCAAGCTCTATACTCGCGCAACACTGGCACCCTCCCACCCCCCTCTTCGCCCCCTCTCTCCCTCGCACCATCGCACCATCGCACCATTGGCTCGTACATTACACCTCCCGCCTCGCCCCCGTCTTGAACCCCAAAGCTTCCACCTGATCAACGTTGACGGGCGTAAGCGGTAGACCGGAGGGAGATTGGAGGTAGTGGATGATGTTTTCGAGGACTTCGGCATTGAGGGCGGGGCCCATGGAGTCGGGGGCGGGGGCTACGTGGGGGGAGAGGGTCTGGGGATGATGTTAGTTTGTGTTTCGGGGGAGGAGAGGGGGGCTGAGGAGAGATGTAATGAGGGAGAGATAGGAAGGGAGGAACGGGGGAAGATGAGGGGATGGGGATGGGGAAGGGGAAGTTAGGAGGGACGTACGACATTGGGGTTGGAGAGAAGACCGGGGTGAACTTGGGGTTCGTTCTCGAATACGTCCAAAGCCGCTCGAAGTACTAATGGTGGTTAGCTATCACATATACACAGCAGATTGAGTCCTAGCACGATAAAAAGAAGGAAAGATAAGGGTTGATGCAAGACATGGAGAGGCAGCAGATCGGGAACGAGACATACCTTTACCGCTCTCAAGAGCTTTGACCAGCTCGTCTTCGACGATGACCTTTCCCCTAGACACATTCACAACAATAACTCCGTCTTTCATCTGCTTGAACGCTTCCTTCCCTATGATGCCTTCTGTCGCTTTCGTCAACGGGCACGTGAGGATGAGAATGTCGACGACAGGGAGGAGGCTGGAAAGCGTGGAGTGATAGGTGTAGGACGTGGCGAAAGGGGAGGATGAGGGGTGGCGGGAGTGATAATGGATTTGGAGGGTGGAAGAGAGGGATGTGAGGAGAGTGGAGAGACGGTGGCCGATAGTGCCGAGCCCGACGATTCCGATCTGCGTTTCGTCAGTCAACGTTGCCTAGGGCATTGAAAGAAAACGTACTTTGGCATTACGCCAATCAACACTCTTCACACCCACATCTCTCCATCCCCCTGATCTCACACCAATATCATATCGCACAATGCCCCTCGCTGCGGCAAGGACGAGACCCAGAGCCCCGTCGGCGGTACGTTCTCCAACAGCACGGGGAGAGTTGGCATAGAGAGCGCCGTGGGAGGAGAGGTAGGGAATGTCCACTTTGTCGTATCCTGCGCCGGGGCCGACGAAGAGTCTGCAGGCCGGGAAGAGGGGGGAGAGGAGGCCAGCATCCCATAGGGAGGGGAAGTTGTCGGTGATGACAAAGAGGCCCTATACGAGTGTCAGTGCAGGTTACGTTCAAAGAGGGTCATGTACTTACACCAAAAGCGACAAAGTCTCCTTCCTCTTCAACCTTCTGTTTGATAAGCGCTGCAGTCTCGGTATAGCCGCATCGGGGCATAGTGTGGACGTCTGCAATTTCGCGAATGAGGTTATCATATTTGGGGATACCGCAAAAGTCGCCGATGAGGAGGACTTTTGGTTTCGGAGTGATGTGGGTGGAAGAAAGTAAAGGTGAGACGAGAGAAGAGGCGGGGGTGGTAAACTGAGAGTTTTCCGAGGATGTCGAGGGGCTAGACATGGCGTTGTTGTGTAGTCGGTCGCGATGAGATGAACGAGTAGGAGGAATGGGCGACGCAGATAAGCCTTTATATATACATAACTTGACGGAAAGCACGCGACTGGGCGCTCAGGGTGCTGTCCTCGTATCTACTGACCAAGATCCAGGGCATATCCGAAAGTACGCAAGTCGAGAGACCAAAACAGGCTGAGATGGACAGCACTGGTGGAGGCGTCCGGGCGGAGCTTGCAATCCGGCCGGAGCTTGCCATGTGGGCGGAGATGTCCGATAAGTGGTCCGTGTTGTGCTCATGTCCTCTTTCATTCTTCGACATCTATCATGCTTCTGGTACCTATCGTAGCTGCGCTCGCAGTCGGAGCGAGCGCAAAGCCTCAGCTTGACCCTCAGACACACCAGCGGCTGCTGCATCAGGGACGTCCACAGGTAGCGCTTTGGCAGGCATTGTTACGGGAGCAGCACGACGCAGATCACTCGTACGTGCCTCCGATATCGCCTCAGCTCTTACTGACCAGGATCATAGCGCACAAGCTTCATTCAGGCCTACTAGTCCCCTCGCCAGATCCCACTGCTTCCCACAGAAGATTAGCCATTTCGACGAGAGCATCAACGGTACTTTCTGCCAGCGGTATTGGCTCGATGCCAGTCATTACAAGCCTGGTGGACCTGTCTACCTACTGGATGGCGGAGAGACTAGCGGTGAGAACAGGTATGTCCCGTCTCCCCTCATCCGTCAATGTTTACGAAGCTAATCGGTATATAGGATCCCGTTCTTGGAAACTGGCATTTTGGAAATTCTGGGCAATGCGACTGACGGACTTTCCATCGTCCTCGAGCATAGGTGAGGAGCTGCGCTGAGACGTAGGATCGAGCTGACAAGTGATAGGTATTACGGAGACTCGGTACCGGTCGAGTCTTTCTCCACTGACGACCTTCGTTTCCTCAACAACGCCGAAGCCCTTGAAGACTCTGCCTACGTCCGTCCCCTCTTTCTCATCTTGTCCCTCGTCACCGACTCTGGCATAGTTCATTGAAAATTTTAAACCCCCCTCTTCCCTCGACCTGGACGAATACTCTTTCCATCCCAACAACACCCCCTGGATCTACTATGGCGGGTCATACGCTGGGGCGAGGGCGGCGCATATGAGGGTGCAGTACCCGGATCTGGTATGGGGTGCTATAGCTTCTTCCGGTATGTCGCTGATCTCATCATCACTCTCTTTTCCTTTTACCTTCGCGCGCGCTCTTCGGCTAAGCTGACACCCACTCAGGCGTCACCCACGCTCAAGTCGTCTTTTCCGAATACTACGACCCCATCCAGCAATACGCTCCCCCAGAATGTATCTCCACCCTCCAATCGGCCGTAGCCTTCATCGACACTATTCTTGATCACCCTAAGGTTCTGAAAGATGCGTTGAAGGGACTATTTGGGCTTGGAGTGTTGGGGGATGGTGATTTTGCGGATGTTATTAGTTCGCCGTTGGGGTATTGGCAGGCGAGGAATTGGGATGATGAGGGTATGTTAATCTGCTTCCCGAGACTGACGAATGCTGACGCGGGGCGTAGTCGGGTCGATGGAGTTTTACAAGTTTTGCGATGCCCTTACCGTTGGCGGCGCTGGTAGCAAGATTGGGCTTATCAGCGTGTATGTCCTCTCCTTTCATCCCATACCACCCTGCCCTATCTCTCACTTGGTTGATCATTTTTGCTGACTCGATGTAGGCCCGCGTCGGTGCTGAACTATGCCAAGTATATCAAAGAAGTACGTTCATTCGTCATGTCTTTTTCGGGCTTGCGCTGATGTCGGAACGTAGACTGTCGTTGCGGAATGTCCCTCGGACGATGTCGATGATGTACGTTGACTCTTGTCACTCTCGGCCCTTTCTTCTCTCTATCTCTCTTCTCCTTTCAGCCCTCGTCCCTTTCCAAAATCTCAGGTCGGACGCTGACGACTTTTGACCCAGTGTTTCGGCAGCGACGACGTGGAAAAGTTTAGATACACGGATTTGAGCCAGACATGGAGGCTGTGGATCTTCCAAGGTAAGTCCGATTCGTTCTTCTCGTATCCACTTGCCCCGCCCTCTCCTTCCCACCAACCGTACACATCGCCCTGTCTCTAGTTCCTCGCCAGAAATGAAAAAAAGTGGCTGAGAATTCGACAGTCTGCACCCAATGGGGCTACTTCATGCCCGCTCCTCCCGCCGCTTTCCTCTCCATAGTCTCCCGCCACCTCACCCTCGGCCACACCCAACAAATCTGCCCCGACGCCTTCCCCCCCGGCAAATTCTTCTCCATCCCCGACGTGCCCGATGTGGAGGAAGTGAACAAGAGGGGTGATTATGGGATTGAAGCGGATAGGCTGGCGTTTATTGATGGGGATAGTGATCCGTGGAGGGTTGTTACGCCGCAAAGTGATTTCGCGGAGGGCAAGAAGAGTTCGGTAAACAGGCCTAGGCATATTATCTTTGGTGAGTCGCTATCCCCTTTCTCATTCTTTTGATTCCCCTGTCACTCTCTCCCCACTCGATGTTGTTCTATAAGAGGATGAGCGCTAACACACCAGTAGACGGAGTCCATCACTACGACGAAAACGGTTTAGCCGACCACTCGAAAGAACCAGCACGGGTCAGGGATGTGCACGAGTTTGAAAAGCTGTTTGTGAGCGAGTGGCTTGCGCAGTGGAAGGAGGAGAAGCTTGGGCGGGGGAAGGATCTGGTTTGAGAAGATCGTGCTGGAATGATGGAAATGTGTACTTGGAGATGTTGTCGTCTTGGATCTTGGATGTCAATATGCATATTCACAATACTGTACAGTACTAGGCAGACACCACACGACGCACGTTACGAGCAGGGCAAAAGCGGTCGTCGAAAGTGGAGGCTTCCGGCGATGGCCGATACCGAGTTCCGAGCTTCCGAGTCTGCGCGTATCTATTCTTGCTTTTGAGTCAGCAACCGTATCCACCCACCGTCAAATCCATTCTCTCCTTTCCCCCAAACACATACAGACAAGATGCCGCTCCAGTCGCCTATCAACTTTCCGAAATGGATCGAAGAGAACAAGCATTTACTGAAACCGCCTGTTGGTACGTCATTTTCTGTTCTTTGGTAGAAAAGTCTTGAGCTGACTTTCTCTCTTCCCCCTCTCTTCTCTCCTTCTCCCCCTTTCACCCTCCCCTCCCCATCTCTAACGAATTACGGCAAAAGGCAACAAATGCCTCTACAAAGGCGAAAACTTTATCACCATGATCGTCGGCGGGCCCAACACCCGGGTCGATTTCCACATCAACACGACGGAAGAATGGTTCTATCAGTACAAAGGGGCGATGGTGTTGAAGGTGGTGGATGAGGGGGAGATTAGGGATATCGTTATTGGGGAGGGCGATATGTTTTTGTTGCCCGGTGCGTCTTTCTTCTAGGGGTTCGGAGAAGGTCGGGGACGGGAGATGGGGGCGGAGGTGGATTTGGGTGGGGGAGGGTATAAGATGATGGAACCACAGCTGATAGAAATCTGTAGCAAACACGCCGCATTCGCCTAGGAGGGTTGCGGATACGATTGGGGTTGTTATGGAGCTTGTCCGTCCGGGAGATGCTATCGGTACGCTTTCTCTTTCCCTTCTCCCCTCTTCCCATTGCACCTCTTTCCCCCCTCCCGATGCAAGACCTCACGCCGACTCTATCACAGACAAGATGCGATGGTACTGCCCCAACCCTACGCACACCGCCCTCACGCTCATCCGCGAAGTTACATTCCACTGCTCGGATCTGGATACGCAGTTGAAGCCGGTGATTGAGAGATGGATGGGGGATGAAGAGTGGAGGAGGTGTGGGGAGTGTGGGGAGGTAGCGCCCGGCAAGTGAGCGTGGGGAGTGATTGGCAGATTTGCATGAATACACAGTCGTTACTATACTCTCTCTTGATTACACTGCTCGCTCTGCGAGCGAAGTCCCACCCCCTTCCCAATGACTACACTGCTTGCTCCGCTCCAATAACTAGATTACTCTCTCCTCCTCCTCCTCCTCTCCCCCCACCACACCGACCCTCTGCAAGACCCTCTCCACGACCATCGGCAACATCCTCTCCCTCTCCTTCTTCTCCCTCCACCTCTGCCTCCTCTGTTCCCGCCTCAACTCTTGCAATTCCAGTTCCAGCTCTGATATGCGCGTTTCGGACTGGGCGAGGGAGTAGGAGTGGGAGAGATAGGTGCGGAGGAGAGAGAGGGAGAGGAATATGGTGGTGGAAAGGACGAATATGGGGAGCATGGCTAGAGGCGGGTCAGTATGATTCTGCGCTCGGAGTACAGTTCTCAACTCACCAGGCACAATCTCTCGATACCAATTGGCATGTGCATTGGGCGGCTTATGCTGCCTCTGGGCCTGGTGTGTATGATTCGACAGCTGGTGGTTCCCGCCGGTAGTGGGCGATCTCGTGACTGACGAGGAGTGTATTGGGCGGCGGAGCGGAAGAGGGCGGAGCGGAATCGGATGCAGCCCCAGGGACCGTGCGACGCGGGCAGACATGGCGAGGGCGATAGTGTAGAGTATAGTAGGGAACAGTAAGGCAGAAGAGAGCCGGAGGTCTTCCGCTGGCGGCACCCACCGCCGACATTTACGTAAACACTCTTCGCGCTCGAAACCGACTTTTCACAACTCAGGCTTGTTTCTGCTCCGTCCCAGTTGATGCTTCCCCGGCTCGCCACAGTCTCACGAGCACTCACACGACCCCTCCACACCATGGCCACCGACGCATCCATCCTCCAACGCCTCGCCGACCTCAAGATCGCGCACCCCGAGGTCATCTCCCACGCCCCCGTCAAGAACGCGAGCGAATGGCGCGCCCAGCTTGTCATCCATGACCCCTCCCTCGCCAACACCCTCCTCACCAAGACCCTCCTCTTCAAGCCCAAGACCGCCAAGTCGGCCGTCCCCACCCCTGTCCTCGTCCTCGCCTCCGAGGCCACCGAGACTCCTTCCGGCGCTTTGGGCAAGGTCCTCGACTTGAAGGAGCTCCGACTCGCTTCTGAAGACCTTATCAAGGAGGTCCTTCCTTCCGCCGCGTCCAAGGACGACGTCTCTGCCCTTGCTGTCCCCGCTCCCAAGGCCGAGACCCTCCACCTCTTGCTCGATGCTGCGCTCGCGCAGTCCGAGGACGCTTTCGCCCTGCACTTGACCACTTCCGCTACTACCGTCCTTATCAAGGGCAGCGAGATCAAAAAGTACCTCGACAATGTTGCTGGCGGCGAGGGTGTCAAGGTTGTGGACTTTGCAGAGCTCAAGGCTGCTGCCCCTGCGCCTGTCGAGAAGAAGGCCCCTGCGTGAGTTTACTTTTTCCTTCGACTTGGGAGATGGCTGACGATGGTATAGTCCCAAGGAGCCCAAGGCTGTTGTTCCCTCCGGTCCCGCCGACGACAAGTACGAGATGGCTATCCAGTACAAGAAGGACGAGGACTTTTCGGCTGGTACACCGACGTAAGTATCTTGTCGTGCGTTCTCGACTTGGGCTGACTCGTTTGTAGGTCCTCATCAAGGGTCAGATGCTCGACTACTACGACATCTCCGGTTGCTACATCCTCCGACCATGGTCTTACGCCATCTGGCAGACTATCCAGAGTACGTTCACCTCCTCTTCGCGTAGAATTGTGCTGATTCGACGTAGACTGGTTCGACGACGAGATCAAGAAGCTCGGTGTGCAGGACTGTTACTTCCCCATGTTTGTCTCCAACGCTCGTCTCGAGAAGGAGAAGGACCATATCGAAGGTTTTGCTCCCGAAGTCGCCTGGGTCACCCGAGCGTACGTCTTCGCCCTTTCTCCCCTCCTTCCATTATTGACTTGACTTTAGCGGCAAGTCCGACCTCGAAGAGCCCATCGCCATCCGACCCACCTCGGAAACCGTCATGTACCCCTACTACGCCAAGTGGATCAACTCCCACCGCGACCTCCCCCTCAAACTCAACCAGTGGAACTCGGTCGTCCGATGGGAATTCAAAAACCCCCAGCCCTTCCTCCGTACCCGAGAGTTCCTCTGGCAGGAGGGCCACACTGCGTTCTTGCAGAAGGCCGAGGCGGACAGGGAGGTGTTGGATATTCTGAACTTGTACCAGAAGGTGTACGAGGATATCTTGGCGGTGCCGGTGATTCCGGGAAAGAAGTCGGAGAATGAAAAGTTTGCCGGGGGGCGACTATACGACTACCGTCGAGGGCTTCATCCCCACCACCGGACGAGGTATCCAAGGCGGGACTTCTCACCACCTCGGTCAGAACTTTTCCAAGATGTTTGACATTACCGTCGAGAACCCCGACCGCTCCGCCGGCGCGCCCGAGCGTCTCTTTGCGTACCAAAACTCATGGGGTCTTTCCACCCGAACCATCGGTGTTATGGTGATGGTCCATGGGGATGACCAGGGCCTTGTGCTTCCCCCCAGGTGTGCGTTGCAGCAGGTGGTGATTGTGCCCGTGGGCTTGAGCAAGCAGGAGGAAAGAATGAGGGGATTTATGACGCTTGTCACGAGTTGGAGAGGACTTTGACGAAGGCTGGCATTAGGGCGAAGGCGGATTTGAGGGAGGGGTATACCCCTGGATGGAAGTTTAACGACTGGGAGATGCGAGTGAGTCTTCTTTCTCTTTTTCTTGTTGGTTCGAGCTGATGAAGATGTAGGGCGTTCCCCTTCGACTCGAGCTCGGTCCCCGTGATATCGCCGCCAAGACCACCCTCTCTGTCCGACGATACGACAACCACAAGACCTCCTTCCCCCCTCGCCGACATTGCCAACACCGTCACCTCGTACCTTTCCGACATTCAGGCGTCTATGCTCGCGCGCGCTAGCAAGACTTTTGAGGAGAGATTGAAGGTGGTGAGCAAGTGGGAGGAGGTGGTGCCTACGTTGGATGCGAAGAATGTGCTGGTGTTGCCGTGGTGTGAGGGGAGCGAGTGTGAGGATGAGATCAAGGAGAGGAGTAAGAGCCAGTACGTCCCCTTCCCCTCCCCCCCTCCCCTCTTTCTATTGCCCCCTTGTTTCTGAGTTTGGCTGACACGTCGATAGGGCCACCGCGGGTGCCGCCGAAGACTCCAAAGCCCCCTCCGCCGGCGCCAAGTCCCTCTGTATCCCCTTCGACCAAGAACGCTTCGGCGCCTTCCCCGATGGCGAGAAGCAAAAGTGTGTGCAGTGTGGGGAGAAGGCGAAGAGCTGGACGTTGTTTGGGAGGAGTTATTAGGGAGCTTTGAGGGTGGGGAAGGGGGTGTGATGTTGGGTGGGGGTCTGTCATGTGGGGGAGGGGAGTGTTTGGGCGTTTTGGAGAGGTTATACGGGTTATGATAAAAGATAAGTGTAGATAGGAGCATGGAATGAGAATGATGTATCTACTCGGACAACGTTTTGAGGTCGCATATGGCTACTTATGGCTACTACGGGAGGCGCGGATGAGCTGAGTGGGACGCATTGTCGGAGAGTATTGGAGAGGGTTGTGGTGGAAGGGAGGTCGTGTAGTGGGGGTGGGAGATAGAAGCAGGAGTGATGTGCAGTACATATACAGAAGAGGGACATGGCGTTTGTCAATTGTCAAGTCCTCGGCAGCGCCAACAAGTCCGAGAGAATACCGATGGTCCATGCTCGTCCCGAGAACAGAAACAAATGCGCTGGCCTGATGCATTTCCACGTTGCAACTTGTCTTTTCTTGCCGCCGTTCTGCATCTCATCGCCTGTATTCATGTGTATCCTCCCATTCTAACGTCGCCCTCGCCCTTCGGGGCGTTAGCGCGCGGGTTAGCTGCGGGGGTTAGCGGGGTTAGCGGGGGGTTAGCGGGGGGTTAGCGGGGTTAAGGCGGGGGGTTAGGCGGGTTAGCGGGGTTAGCGGGGGTTAGCGGGGGTTAGCGGGGTTAGCGGGTGTTAGCGGGGTTAGCGGGGGTTAGCCGGGGGTTAGCGGGTTATCGAGCGGGGGTTAGCGGGGTTAGGGGGTAGGGGTGTAGCGGAGTTTAGCGGGATCTCCGCGCGGTTACGTGGTTTCTTGCGCGAGATGCGAGTTAGAACAAGTTGGTCGGTCGTGTTT